TAACCCTAACCTACCGAACCCTAACCCTAACCCTAACCCTAACCCTAACCCTAACCCTAACCCTAACCTAACCCTAACCCTAACCCTAACCCTAACCCTAACCCTAACCCTAACCCTAACCCTAACCCTAACCCTAACCCTAACCCTAACCCTAACCCTAACCCTAACCCTAACCCTAACCCTAACCCTAACCCTAACCCTAACCCTAACCCTAACCCTAACCCTCAGCGTTTAGTGAGGGTCGCTCACTGTCAGACCTCACTGTCAGATGAGTCCGGAAGGGCCTCGAGGAAACTCCTCAGGGGTTTTAGCGCGCTGTGGGAGAGCTAGAACCTCCTCGCGTGCTTTTTTGAGTCGGTCTATGCCGCGAGCTTGCTTACGGCTCGCCTAATTGGACCTTGTCTAATTTCCACCTGAATTGACCTTTGGAGAGGTATCAGGTGTACCAAATTGGCTTGAATCAGTCATGTTCACGTTTCACGTCAACACCTTGTGTCGATGTAGAGCTTTTGGCCTCTAGGGCCTTTTATCTTTCTTCTGCCTCTCGGGCGTTTTTTCTTTTTTCCGCTTGGCGCTCCAGTTCGGCCACTCGGTCCTTCCATTCTTGAGCCTTCAGTTTGAATTGGGCACCAGCCTTCATTACGGCCCGGTAAGCCTGCTCATCCAGGGAGTCGCCAACTGACACACTAGGCGATTGTCCGTATTCGAACACCCATGCTGCGTAGTCGATGGCGTAGTCAGCCTCGGGATCGCAACGACGGAGGAGATCCTCTGCCTTGTCCTCGGTGGTGCCGAAGTGGAAGAACTCCCAATCGGGAGTATTGATAAAGTTCTGAGTTTCTTCATTCCACACATATAGTGCCAAGCTGGAAGCGTTATGCACAATTGTAGGAGCTGGGAAGGACTCGGGTTTGACAGGTGGTGGTGGTACTTGACGCTCAGTATCCGGCTCCGGCTTGACACGGAATTCGCCGGTTGAGACTAGCTTACAGGCTCGAGCTTCCAAATACGCGGGCCTCAAAAGATGCGTCGATTCCTCGTAAGTAGGGACGTGACCAGTCGCAAGAGTCCACCTTCCATCGTGAAAAGCCTGGATGGTTTGGGACAAGGACTTGTATTTCAAGCACGTAGGGTCCTGAGAAAGGTGAGGGCAGCTGAACGGATCGTCTTTGGCCGGGTCAAACCCCCAAAGCTGGGCTAGCTTTTCCTCTGTGTCGACCATCTTCATAGCGTACTTATGGGTCCATGGATAGCGGCCCTTTGTATCCCAGACTGACCCATCAAGTTCCGCGTAAGACTTGATCGCCTTCGCATCCTTACGGTAAGAATGGAAAAACAGAGGCCAGGTCATGCCATTGGTTGCGAACGAAGGCCTGTTGGCCCTTTTAACAAAGATCGCGTCCAGCAGCGTCTCGACGTACCCTTTGATCTTCACTCTGTCCACGTGCCTTGCTCCAGGGGCCGGCTGAGGCTTTCGAGGACAGTCCATGTCAACAAGGTGGTCACCCGTGTTGCACAATGGACAGCCATACACGAGACCGGTTTTGGGGTCTGGGATGACACACTGAGCGAGTGTGTGGCCTTTTCTGCCGCACAGCTTGTTGCCGCAGACAACAGGAGCTTCTGCGACCTGACTGGCCTGTTGATCGAGCTCGTCCTCGCGTTGGACATTGGCTCGACCTTCTTCAACTTCGTTGCAATGTTTTCAACGAAAAATTGTGGGACGAGCTCAATCCTGAAACTGGCAACCGAAGTGTTATGTTCCTCGGCGAGCTGCTCGATTCGGTTGACCAAGGCAGCCAACGACTGGCGGTCGGTTGTTGTCTTGCCTATGTAGGCGTTTGGCTTGCTGAACCTGTCTTGACGCGCCATCCAATTGAAATCAGAAGCGCTTGGGTCGGCGGAGACACGCTCCATGAAATCTGGCTCATTTCCACCCTTCTTGTTGAAACGGTAGAGAACCTCATCGTCGGAGATGAGAGGAAAGAGCTTGCCTTGCTCGTCAAATTTGGGCTTGATATTGGTCAAGTCCGACATGGACTTGCCAACCCCACGTGTGCTTTGTCCGACGGTCAAAAGATGCCGGACCTGTTGTTGGGCAGATTTCGAAAGGCTCTGCTTGCCCTTTTGAGCGCCTCTATTGTCGCGCTTTCTAGGTTCCATTCGGTCCCGCACTTGGGCAGGCCCGTGTTCGGGAGACCTCGATCTCGAGGATCTTCTTCTTGAGGGTTGGTCAGAGGGTTTGTCCGGCATTTTGGCAACTGTATCGCAAACCAATCAGTTTAGAGTCGATATCTACGAGGAGAAAGCGCAACCGTATAGAGAAAGTGGTAGAGAGGTGAGGAGGCGCGACGGGAGAGGGCAGCGAAGGGAGGGGCAAGAGGGGTGGGGCAAGAGGGGTGGGGGTCCATACCGTGGTTGTGTGTTGTGTTGGTTGATTGAGAGGAAAAAGTTCAAGAGGAACGCAAAGTTTGGGATTGCCGGTAAATGGACAGCCACCTAAATGAAGGGAACCTAGGGCACGGACTTCCATCCAACAAGAAAGGGAAAGTGCGAGCGATTGTTCGTTTGCACGTGGCAATGCTGCCTACCGAACTCCCCTTCACTGGGCCTCTTGTCTTGGCCTCCATTCACCTGTCATCGGCACGCCCCGCCACCTTTTGTATCTCCATCCCTCCAAAATTATTCCTCTTTCTTTCAATGTCTACCCCAGAACACAATCCACACATCGTCTTTTGCCTTGGCATCAGCAGGGGACTTCAACCGCTTTTCGACCCGATCTACTTGACAGCTTTCCAGCGGACAAACCCACCCACCCACTTCACAGCATGGCGCCTCCCCTCCAAGGCGATACCGTCGACGAGGTCGAAGCGAGTTGGCAACGTTTATTGCGCGTGATAGAGACCGTGTTCAGACCGCTTTCAAAGGCGCCCGGCGTCGAAAACCTGAAAGCCGAGTGGATCCAACTAAAGCTTCACTGGGTAGCAGCCTCGCCCGCATGCATTGCCGCAACTGGAGAAGAAAAGTCTGCTCGAATTCAAGAGCATATCCGACATATCGCCAAGCAACTTGAGCTTGCGTTGGCCAAAGTTCACGAAGCTCGAGAGGAATGGCAAGATTTCCCATCCGCTCCCTATGTCCGCAACCAATGTCGCCTTTTGGAGGTAATCAGCATGTGCCTGGAGAACGGAATTTCGACACGGCATGAAGTGCCGCCGGAGACGGATGAGCTCGATTGGCTCAAGAGTTATAAGGAGGCCTTTCCAAATGTGGTGAAGGAGTTGCGGGAGCTTAGGAACACCTGGAGGAATCCCGGGCACCAACTTATGGCGCAACAGACTGAGTCGGGCATGAGGGAGACTGGGCTTGAAGAGGAAAAGGAGGTTGATGGGTTGAAACAGAATCTGGAGGCAGCTGATGTCGAGATTCACAAGGAGGAATAGGCTTTGAACGACAGGATCCAAAGATGAAAGAGCTGAAAGATGGTTTCAAGGAACATACACGAATATAGACAAGTTATGGAGGAGATTTGGAAGAAGTCGAGCGTTTGAAGAGGTACGATTTACGGGCGCTCATATTTCCTCCTAATGCACGATGCAATTCAGAACTCGGAGTTCGCCCATTGTGCATGCATTCCACATATATGCATAACGCACATGATCAAACACATAAAGCCCGCTTTCCGGGCGTTCCATAAAAGACAAGATGCAACAGTCAAGTGGTCAAATCCGCGACAAAACATCGGAGATTCCAGAGACGTAAATCTCAGGGAAGTGATGATGAAATAATCGCGCATTTCTCATGCACTCAAGTCTTTGCTTCATATCCCTGGTTTTTGCGCCCTTGGTCGACGAGCTACAGCGCTTTTTGTCAGCCTTGTAAGTAAAGTGGGTCCAACCCCTGGGACTTCAAAGATCTCGCAAACAAAACATCAGGGGCAATGAGTTACCATCCATACTTTTCTCCATTTTACTTGTTTAATCCCCGAAGGCTTTGAGTCATTCTGGGTCGGTACAGTCGTGCATTATGTAGCTTCGGGCAGTGGGGGACATAATGTGCAGGATTCGGTGAAAAAAATGCGCGTTCGGCCGGGTCTTGCATCGGAGTTAGAAAAGTCGGACTGCCGAGCGTGTCTGTCTGCACATCATGAATTTCTATTTTCTTAGTACGTGGCGTGTTGAAACTATTTAAAATCCCATGGCTCCCGGTCACTTGTCCCAGAAAGTTCCTCCAAACTCCTCCATCATCTCAACCAGCTCCTCCTAAATCATCCAGCATCTACCCTTCACTCACCTAAACCATCATTCATCCTTTTGGACCTCGCATCTACGTTCACTTCGACAATGTCAACTCCCACAGAAGACATGCCCACCGTGTCAGTTCCCACAGGTGGCATGCCCACCATATCATCACCCACCCGTTCAACTACCCCCCACCCACTCCCTCCGCACAAGAGGCCCTAGAGCAACGAATCTCCCGCCTCGAATCCGCCGCCGGCTACCAAAAGAAATTGTACAAGAAGATCAGCTCCACCATCACCAGGCTCGAGGACAGGACCTACGCGGCCATGGACGATTTACTCGACGAGTCGTTTAGGAAAGGGGCCGGGCGCCCGGCGGTTGACGGAAGAGACCGAGGAGGAGCGAATGAGGTTATTGGATGTGGCGATGGAATTGGTCAAAAAGGAGAGGGAGGCCGAGTTTCGGAGTGAACAGGAAGCAAAGAGGCAGGCTCTTGAGGACGCAGGCGTGTGGTGGAGGAGATTCTGAGGAGGCAGGGACAGGAACGAAGCCAGTTTTGGGGGTTGCGAAAGCGGAAAGCGGATGACATGAAGTAGCTTCCACCTCGAGGGGCACAGAAAGCGGTCTTAGGTCGCTGCTCGCCAATGTCGGGTTACCAGTCCGCCAACTTCCTTGTATATATTATCCTTCTCTTCTAGTATAGCTCGGAGGAATGACGACGTTCGAACGGGCAAGCTTTGTTTGATGCGGGCACATGGAGAGTAGGATCTGGCACAACAACGAGTTAGCTTTCAACGTTCAAAATTCGATCCACGGCACGGGGTCGGTATGATATGAGAAGACGAAGCACACTCACTTGCCTTTGCTTCGCGTTTTCCACTGTCATCCCAAGTCCCAGTCCCAACGGGTATATAGGTCAGGTCCTTGGCACCCTTTTCCGTGGTCCGCTGGTGTAACTGGTAGTACGCCTGGTCTAGAGAATACGCTACTCGGCAAACTAGTCTGGGGGATCAGGAAACCGCCGGTTCGAATCCGGCGCGGACCACTTTTTTTTTTCCGTTACTTTACCCTTTTTTGTATTTTCCTCTCTATGTCTCAAACCAATATTCCAACGGAAACCATGTTGTATGCTCACCGTGTGTAAGTAAATGCGCCTTTTCGGGGTTGCCTGTGAGCGGGAGAACTGCCGAGGACTGCCGAGGAATCGAAGCTTCTGGCTGTCGTAGAGTCGTGGTAGTGTCGCGGTTGAGGCAGGTCGTGAGAACGGTAGCGCAGGTACCTACGCTTCAAGCGGCTTGTGTCTGGCGACGTCTTCTGACTGAGACTTGCCCAAGGAGTGGTGTTGTCATGCAGCAGGTCTGCGTGGCACCTTCTTGCCTTGATCTCGGAGTGAATGATCGGGGCAAGTTCCAACCCCCCACCACCCATATGCAGCTCTTCCTCGCATCCGGCCCATGCATGTCCCAGTGCCTTGGTACAAATACCGCGCCCTCCCTCCATCAGTAGCTACCAATCCTACTCCATCACACATCACTTCCAATATCTCCAAACCATATCTTCTTCCAATCCACCGACCACATGAAGTCTTCCACTCCCAACCAAAAGCAACATGCACCCCCAGACATCAACCTCTCCGCCCTTCTAGAGGAAGCCAAATCAAAACTTGAACAAGTCGAAAAGCTCCTCGACGTGTATAGCCGCCTCTCCAAGGAAAGCACGTCGTGTTTCGAGTCTCTAGTCGGTATGCTCCAAGGCTACGAAAGCAATTTGGACAAGGACATGTCCACACTGAAGAACCTGATCAAGATTGGCGGGAAGCTGAGCGTGTACGAAGCCTGGATTGGTCAGCAAGGCTTGAACTCACCCAACGTCGACCCGAAGGAGCTTGTCTGCCTTCAGAAGGCGAAGCAAGGCGTTTTCGAGAAAATCAGGAACCACAAGATTGCGCCACCGCCAAAGGATCAGGCTCAAAGGGCATATCATATGCTGAAGCTCGCGCTGGAGAGATGTCTTCAGACTTTTGATGGAACCGAGCTGTGTGACAAGGATAGGAGTCTTCCAATGGGCACCTCACCATCGCAGTCTCTGCTGTTTCCAATGACAGCGGCGGTCTTCCCATCCGCGGCCCCTCCAAGTTCATCCGTCTTTCCGGCACCACATCATCTGCTGGAAGCAAACCCTTCGACGTCCGGTAGCCAAGCAAAGCCAAGGGGTGCTTTTGGATCGTTCGACACTCAAATTTGCGAGACTCTTGATGGACCGGAGCTGTGTGGCAAGGACAGTGCCAGACAAAGGAGTTGATTGAAAAGACCGAGGCTGATATTCGCGAGGCTCAAAGACTCTTGGATGTTTTCAAATTGCAAATTGCCGGCAAGGAGCAGCACGAGGATCGGTCGGCGGGAGAGGAACATGAGGAGTAAGACAAGGTCAAGTCTAAGCAGCTGAAAAGTGTCATCAGCGAGAGATTGTTGTTTGTACAGTCCAATACTAGTTTGTTTGTTACCTCGAGACCTCGGATCAACTTCCCTAGGTGTTTTTATATCTAATTGATTCGTTTGGTTTCATGATTAAAGCGTAATCTTACCTTGAATATGCCATTTCCGAAGTTCAATATGTCATATTGAATCTTATTAATACCTTTTTGATCCGTGCTTAGCCATTCAATCTGTCCTTGTGAGGTTTGGGACAATTCGGGATGGATACGTCCAGTATACCAGGAGTACTAAGCTAACAAACAAACCAGCATTAGATTGTACGGTGGTAGCTGAGCATGGGGGCATTCTCGTGAAGTATTGGTATAGAGATCGAGGAAGAAATCGGGGAGCAGACCATGGTTGGGTACATGATAGCGGACATGGGGGAGAAGGAGGATGGAATACGTACAGAAACACAGTTACCCCAATAACATCTAGGTATAGCCCGTCTCCACCGAGCCTTTTGTCACGGTCGAGGGAGCAGCCCGCCAAACAAGTTCGATTACCTGCAAGGCATCCGATCGTTGTTCCCTTGCTGCTCCCAGAGACTGGACACACAAGTCATATACTGGAATCAGAGAGGGCAGGCATGCCGTCTGACTCCCTGGTGACTATACGTCCTCCCTTCTCTTCGAATGCACCGTATGAGTATGTTCGGCCGGAACTCGCGGTAGAATCTCGGGACGTCGTGCAGTTGCTATCGAAAGCTCGGGGCTCGAATACGTTAGGGTCGAGTAGACTCGGTTGTCGGGACTCTGGAGCGGAGAGTTCGGGGACGTAGGTATGCGAAGCTCGGAAGCCGTTGTCGGGGTGCGGGACTCGGGCAGGTACCAAAGGTCGTCTGGTGGAGGGAGTATCAGCACGGAGAAACACGGAAATCGGGGAGGAAACGGGAGTCGGTATTGATCATCTTCCAAAGTCTGTCCAATGGGGACGCTTTCGGTCTTTTTTCTCGCGCAGAGAGCTCCCGTGCTCCTTGCGTCGTAGATGGACACAGACGACCGTGGCCTGCTCCGGAAATTGGCAGCGACGGCTGATGGGCTTCAATCTGATCGGGCTTCCAAGGTAGAAGTTCCAATGTCGATCGGCTTGAAGTTGCGGCCAAAGGGTGATATCGAGTACAGCTGCCGGGAGATGGTAGATGGAGGAAGGATTGGTGTCGCGATTTGCGTGACTGCTGAAGGCCGGTACCAGAACCGACAAAAGGAATCGGCAGCCAGGAAGAGCTGGGTGAAACGCGTATCGGGCCCGACGCGAGTAGCTCCTTCCGATTTTTGGCGGACTTCTTCTCGCCAGGCCCACGGCAGCTTTCCAGCGGCAAGACCTTCCCGTCTAGTGAAAATATGACTTGGACACGGAGTGGAACTCGAGGAGTTGGTTGAGAGGGGATTTTATAAGGAGTTCACGGACGAAGACTAGTGATTGTCTTGACGGGACAGCCAACATGAAGACAGCATAGCATCTTTGGGGAGGTGAGGACGTCATGTTTCCTTATCGCACATCTCTATCTTATCACCACCCGATAAGACAGCCCCGCCAAGGACGCTAGGCTTGCCGACAGTAAGCGCGGAGAGCGGGGCACGACATGTCAGACGCCCACGAGGGGCCCCCTCTTTTTGTTAGTGAGAAGTCCACTGAAGCTGTCCGTAGATCCCGGCAGCTCTCCCCCGTCGCGAACCAGCAGTCTCTTCCCGCGCCCTCCTCCGCGACAATGCCCCGCACGCTTGGTTGGCGACCTTCCCAATTGATCCAGATCCGCCGTCCCATCACTCGTCCGACAAAATCATTCTTCTCTCCGACTTCTCTCTCCCCTTTCTCCCTCAACAAAACATACCTCACCGAGTCGATCCGCGCCCATCAAGCTCGCAAAATGGCCCCCCAACTCGACAGCTACTTCCAAAAGGTGGACTCCCTGTCCGACCACTTCATCGAGCGCCTGCGCCAGGCCGTTGCCATCCCCTCCATCTCGTCCGAGGCTGCCCGCCGCCCTGATGTCGTCCGCATGGGCCAGTGGCTCGCCGATGAGCTGACCAAGCTGGGCGCCACCGTCGAGCTCCGTCCTCTCGGCAAGCAGGAGGGCACCGATCTCGACCTCCCTCCCGTCGTCCTCGGCCGCTACGGCAACGACAAGAACAAGCGCACCATTCTCGTCTACGGTCACTACGACGTCCAGCCCGCCGAGAAGAGCGACGGCTGGGACACCGAGCCCTTTGAGCTTACCGTCAAGGAGGACGGGCGCATGTGCGGCCGTGGTGCTACCGATGACAAGGGCCCCGTCCTGGGCTGGCTCAACGCCATTGAGGCTCACAAGGCCGCCGGTGTCGACTTCCCCGTCAACCTCCTCATGTGCTTCGAGGGTATGGAGGAGTACGGCTCGGACGGTCTCGAGGAGCTCGTCATGGCTGAGGGCAAGAAGTACTTTGCCGATGCCGACGCCGTTTGCATCAGCGACAACTACTGGCTCGGCACTGAGCGTCCCTGCCTGACCTACGGTCTCCGTGGCTGCAACTACTACAGCGTCGAGGTTTCCGGCCCCGCCGCCGATCTTCACTCGGGTGTCTTTGGCGGTACTGCCCAGGAGCCCATGACCGACCTCGTCCGCATCCTCGCCTCGCTCGTCGACACCGACGGCAAGATCCAGATCAAGGGCATCGCCGAGCAGGTCGCCCCCGTGACCGCCGAGGAGGAGGGTCTGTACGACGACATTGCCTTCACCATGGAGACCCTCCACGAGTCGCTCGGCAGCAAGACCACCATCTTCGAGGACAAGAAGAAGACCCTCATGGCCCGCTGGCGCTTCCCTTCCCTGTCCATCCACGGTGTCGAGGGTGCCTTCTCTAACCCCGGAGCCAAGACCGTCATCCCCGCCAAGGTCATCGGCAAGTTCTCGATCCGCTCCGTCCCCGACATGGAGATTGAGAAGACCAACCAGTGCGTGTACGATCACGTCAACGAGGTGTTCAAGAAGCTCGGCTCCAAGAACACCATGAAGGTGTACGCCCAGCACTGCGGCAAGTGGTGGAAGGCTAGCCCCAACCACTGGAACTTTGCTGCTGCTGCCAAGGCTACCGAGCGTGTCTGGGGTATGAAGCCCGATTTCACTCGCGAGGGTGGTTCCATTCCTATCACCTTGACTTTCGAGGAGGCTACTGGCAAGAACGTCCTTCTGCTGCCCATGGGAAGCTCCACCGACGGTGCTCACTCCATCAACGAGAAGCTTGACAAGAGGAACTACATTGAGGGCATCAAGCTGTTGGGTGCCTACTTGCACTATGTTGCTGAGGAGCCCATGAACGCTTAAGCGGGAGTGAAGAGGTCAAACAGGGATCGTTGCGGTTGGGAGGAGTGTGCGGCGTCTTGCGACAATCATGTAGGACGATACCATCTCGTTGGTGGATGATGTTTGGAAAGTAGTCAATTAGCTCGAAATACCCATTTTGTGATACCAGTGCCACACCCGTTCATATATCTATGGCATCTCTTGTCCTGACGCTATTGAACCTGTTGAACATATTGCGCCTAACTTGATGCCAACGCTCGTTGCTAGGCTAAAACGCAATGGTCAAACGCGAGGATGAGCTAGTCATGGCAAAGAATGCTCACGTCTTCTAGGATGACATTAGACAAACGCTTCGTTCATTCAGTCTCCCCATGCTGTACTTTTAATTACCCGCCTCCTTGAAGGGAGACGTTTGGAGAGGTCGTTCGGTCGTTCAGAATACCCCAAGATGCGAAACAAACGCCATCACTCGTGAACCACCCATGTATCGTCGCCTGGTGGTATCAGCGCAGACAAAGGGAGCAGTTCTCCATTGACGCTTTCCATCAGCGCCCACGTAGCGTGATACAGACTATCTATGCCACCACATCGAGAAGACGAATGTTCCTACCTCTCAACTTTAGGTGCCTCCCTCGACTGTGTCCATTCCAACCTCTGAGTCCAGTAGCTCGAATTCCGGGACCATCATCCCATCTCTATACAACGGCTTCGCGGGCTCACATACTCAACAAGGCATCATCCCGAGGATTAGCGAGCAATCTAGATAGAGAAGGCAAGTAGCGAAGATTTGCTCGTCAACAGGCGAATAAGGGAATTTTGACGGTGACGGCGTCAGCAGGTGAATCGGAAACTGGATCATGGCTGGGTCGTCGCCATGGAGATGCTTGTTCGTGCCAGCTATGATCAGATGTTCGAACCCGGTGCCATCAAACGCGAGCAGGACCTAGCAAGATAGGACGTAGAAGTGATTGAGAGGTACCATTACCATGGGCTGCCTATACAGGTAACCCCAGAAGACACCTTGATGGAGGTGGGTGTGGTTGACAAGAACCGATCAAACAGAATTCGGCTGATGACGGGCTCTGCGCCACGTCGAGGCTCATTAGGTTCATGAGGTAACCACTCCGGACGGCCGTTGTCGAAGTGGTCTGAATCACAACTATCTCTCCAAGAGGCCCTCAGACGATGGATGCTCATGACCTCCAGATCAACAGGTGGCTGACATCAGGAGGCTGAGCTTGTGTTTCCCTTGGTGGAAGATGCCCCTGAGTTGAAGTGGTTCGATAGCTCTCAATCAGGGAAACGTCTTGTTCTATGTGTAAGTACGTGGCTGTGGTAAACAAAGCGAGAAGCCAAACCGCTGCAGGACCGCCAGTATGCCATACAAAGAGCACTCCTCCTACCGTGCTGTATCACCACTCGTGCCGTTGCCAAAAGGATATCCGACACCAGACCCTGACATAGAAGCCACCCACCAGGGAATGGAATAACCGAATCCCCCCAGGCTCCTGTCGACAAAAACTCTATCCATTGAGATGGTCTACAAAGCTCGTCCATCCGCCCGCCGCCCCTGCGCCATCCTTGCGCCAATGCCCATGTCCGATTATGCCCCATACCGTATGCCAAATATCCATAGAGGTATCCCAGCGCCATGATTAGAAGGAAGCAAGCCAGCAGCAAATGAACCAAGAAAACGGCAAAATGACCAAAAAACAAACCCCAATACCAACGTTCTAGGTGAAGTAAGCCCTATGCGGCTTCATGTTGGTCACCTTCCCCTTGCGCCGCTTAGCCACGGTCTCGGCGTCCCAGACTCCAGCAAAGATGTCATCGCATTCGGAGTCGTCGTCCGAGTCAAAGACCACCACTGATGGCGACACGGGTTCCTGTTCCTGACTTTCCCCCATCGCACTCTCCCCAGCTGGTTCCTTCTGCTTCCGTTTTCCACTCGCCCCCTTGACCATCCCCCGCTTTCCATTCTTCCCTGTGTCATCAGGAGTGCCGTCCAGGCCACAGGGTGAGTCCTCCCAACTCCTAAACGTCACAACCCTCGCGCACTCCAGTATGAATTTCCCCACTTTATACTTTTGCGAACTCTCCTTCGCATTCACGTACTTCCACCCCAGCTTGGTCCCGCACACGGCGCAGGTGATGTCGGCGACGGTGTGGTGGCCCGTTACCAGGCGGCGGGTTTCGGGGGCTTCTGTTAGGATGTTCGGCAGTTCAGTCGCCCCCTTGGCAGATGACTGGTGATGGGTGAAAGCAGAAAAGAACCCGGAGGACGGATCCGGGCCTGGGGCTTGGGGAGGTGTAGGTGAGACGAGATACGCCCGGCCGTGTCGACCGGTGAAGCCTTTGCTGATGATTTGGGAAGTGAACGCTATGTCGGATGCGCAGTGGGCGCAACGGAGGATGTCGGGCTGGATGGGGGAGAGGCGGGTAGATGTTGGCTGAATCGGGTTGTAATCGGATGAAAAGGCGGTGGTGAATGAATCGGGAGAACTGGAAAGTGATGGGACACTATCGGATTCAGTGTCGTCCAGGTGGTGATCGTATGTCTGAGAGAGTGTGGTGGATGGCCGGCGTCGACGAAAGGGCAAACTAAAACTCGGGAGGAGGTAGATCGGTTTGGTTGGGCCACTATCGGCCGAAGCCGGCGAGCTGCTGGTGGTGTACAAGTTGAAGACCATGGTGTCGTTGGCCGATGCTGTGATACGGGATTCGGGATCTCCGAAGGCGAGAAAGTGAACTTGAGGTTACCCGACAGCAGCGAGAAAGATGACCAAACCGAATAGCGAACGAATACTCGGAGAGACTTGAACAGACTTGAACAGACGTAAACAGACTTATAAGACTTGAACAAACGAAGAAAGACCCGGGAGGGATGGACATATACCTACCTTTTCAACCCAGGCCAGGTGTCAGGTTGAGGGGGGGAAGTGGTCATCCGGGCGTGTCATGCCTCGCACCTCCTTGACACTCTGACCTTGTCGACCCAATCCTCGGACCGTGTTGCGATTCATGGACCGTCATGTCAAGCCCCTCCAGCCTGGATCTCTTTGAGGTCCATGTTTGCTGGACGGACGGTTATGCACCAAGACCCAATGCAGTAATTCGGTTGAAGGAGTTGAATGGTCCAAGTGAAAGTGCCCAACATACTTGTGACCTGATGCGATGCCGGCACACAGTCCCCGCCCTTGCCCAGACAAGTCCTCCTTATCGATAGGCAGAGGATCTCCCAGAGGCCAGGGTTGATCCCTCGACTCCAGACCCGGGCAACCGAGGAGGGGGTCCAGAGTGTTTCAGGGGGGTCTGTCATTGTCTGTTCGTTCACTTGGCGCCGAGGACTCGTTTTACGTGATCAGATGGAGTGCATCGTTCGTCGTACGTTAAAACAATCAGATCCCGAGGCTTGGCCTCGTACAAAACGAAAACAAAAAGGCATTTTCAAATTGCCATGACACCGCAGGCGAGAAGTGCGGCCGTTTCGGGTGGGGAAACATGTTGGCGATGACAGGGAAATCAGCCAAGACTTGCAGTGAACCAAACCAAGGCGGCCAAACGACCACGTGATGGCACAAAAAGGCAGATCTGGGCAGATTACCCCATTGTTTCCTCACTTGTGAACTGGTGAATAAACGCAATTTGCCCCCTCGAAGCTCGTCACAATCTGGACACAGTCACTCGATCCATTTCTTCCCAATTCCACTCTTGACCACGACAACCAACCACACCGCCACGACAATCCATCCCTAAAAAAGTTCCCTGCAGCCCAATTCCTTATCTCCATCAATTGCCCAACCCCTGCTACGGTATATCTATCCGTCAATTACTCAAACCTAAATCGCGAACTGCTCCCTCGTCAACATCGACAACATCCCGACCTCACCTAGGACCATCGCCTACGACTTATCATCCATCGACATCGATTTCCATCAACGACACTCGTCGTCCATCGCCGCTCTCATCAAATCATCGCAAAACCGACAAGGTGGCATCTCTGTACAATGGCGCCAATGAAACAGGATAATCTCTTTAGTAGTAGTAGTAATTACTACGGCGAGGACGTCGCCTCTCCCTCTTCGCATCAGATGGAGGCCGTCGACATCCTCGCCAGCTGCTACCTTGTTTCCAACTACCCCGGGGCCCAGCTCAAGGGCCTCCACTACTGCGCTACGGGCGTCACAGGGGCCGAGTGGTATTCCTGAGGTCCCTTCGACGGGACTTCCATCGCCGCCATCAAGCCCCCCCCTCGCGGCCCTCGACACGTCGACCAACCAGCTGGCGGTGACTGCCAAGGCGAAGTCATCTGCTGGAAACAACAGCAGCTCAGCTGGTAGACGTGCCGGGAGTAATCACAGGGGACGAGGGGGGGCAACACTACGCATCAGGGAAGAATGTGAGAGGTTCTTTTGCGAGACATTGCGCGCCGTGCTTCTAGGTGAGGAGAACTCGGCGGTGCAGGGCTCGGGCCTGGCTAGTGTTTATTACGACAACGACAACCACAACTCCAACAACGGCAACACTCCTTTAACCCCGCCATACGACGACTATCCAATCGGGGATGAACACCTGATGAGTCGTCACGGATTCGATGCTCGCGGTGTCACCGGAAACGGATCGCACCGCGTCGACTCCTGGATCGAACTATGGGATTACGTGGGCGGCACCAGCTTCCGCGGGGTTGTCGCTGAGGATATGGAAACCGGGGACAAGACGTTGATGATCTTTTTCGACGAGCAGAGTGTGGAGGGGAGGGATTTGAAGAAGGCGTATGTAGTCCCCCTTTGTTGTTCCTTTCCTTCCCCCTTTCCCACTCCCCTTTCTGTCCAAACACCCACTAACAGACACACAGTCTCGTAGCCCTCATCGAACTCGCCGACGGCCCCCTCGCCTGCTCCCACATGGTCATCTGCCTCGACCGCTCCATCCCCGACCATGAAGCAGTGCCCTTGATGAAGGGGCTGCAATGGGCTGGGTTCTCCATGACGACTTTCGACTTTTGGTCTGGTGGAAAGACTTGTGACGTGGTCAGTGGGAGGTGGTTGTTTATGGGTATGGAAATGTAATCCACGTGGAGCACGATTGACGCGGAGTGACACGGCGGATGCATCGGGGGAGAGGGGAGGAGATAGGAGGAGGAGGGAAGATGTGTCGGCTGTGAAAAGCGGGATTTCTTTGCATCTGCTCCAAAAGTCTGCTTCCTTGTTTCTGTTTCTTCCTATGGTTGTGCGTTTTCTTTTCTTTCACTTCGTTGGCGGGCTTCAGGCATATGACAGATGGAGATGATCTTCTGGATTGTGTTGGTGGACGGTTTGTTGAAGATGAGAGTTTTACTTCACGGGTCGAGATAGGAATACACTGGACATTATATCCCGGCACTCCACGCTACCCAAAGCCCTTGCTCGTGACGTCTAAATCTTCATGTCTATATTCTATGCAAAATCTTCGTTTAGTCTAGAGATCACCCTCAAACTGCCTCACCACCAACCCCCTCGCCTTCAACTCCTCCTTCACCTGCTGCACCGTATACTCCCCACGGTGGAACATGCCCGCTCCCAGCGCCGCATCCGTCGTCGTCTCCCTAAACACCTCCTCAAAGTGTCCCGGGTTGCCCGCTCCCGAGCTGGCAATAACCGGTATCCTCACGGCCGCCTTGACCTGTCTGATCAGCTCCAAATCGAATCCGCTGTTGGTGCCGTCCTTGTCAATGCAGTTCAGCAGAATCTCGCCGCAGCCCATGGCTTCCACAGCCTGTGTGAGTTCCACGACGTCCAAGTCCCTAGTCTCGCGTCCGCCCTTGATCGTGCAGGCGTACCAGCAGTATTCCTCGCCCTTGGGGCCGGGGTAGGAGGTCTTGACGGTGTGGTGTCTTGTGGCGTCGGGCTTGGGGACGTAAACGCGCTTGGGGTCGACCGAGACGACGACGGCCTGGTTGCCGTAGGCTTTGCTGATCTGCTCGATTGCCGTGTTGCCGAAGAGCGTCTTGCCGGAGGCGTAGTACTCCTCGGCGGCGATGACGGCGTCGGAGCCGATGGACACCTTGTCGGCGCCGGACTGGAAGTACATGGTGGCGATTTCGAGGGCGGAGACCTTGGTGCCATCGGTGTCGACGGTGTCGCGGATGCCGCCGCCGACGGTCAGAGGGACGAAGACGGTCTTGGAGGTCAGGCGAAGGATCTCGAGCATGGGAAGGTCGGCAACGGGGCAGTCGCGGAAGGAGGTGATGTTGAGGAAGGTCACTTCGTCGGCGCCTTGCTCGTAGTACTTGCGAGCCATCTCGACGGGCTTGCCGAGGTTGCGGACGTTGCGGTCGTCGGACTTTTCGCGGACATCGTACTGGTCGCCCTTGGTCACCACCAAGTCACCCTGATCGTTGGTGCGCACGTCCAAGCAGGCAATGACACGGCGTGTGAGACCCTCCTTGCCGACAAGAGCGTCGTCGCCGGCGTTGGGGACCTCCTGGGGAGGGTTGGAAGCCAGAGCGGCGGCGCCGGAACCGTCAAGGAAAGCCCGGATGACGCGCAGACCGGCGACACCAGACTTCTCGGGGTGGAACTGTGTAGCCATCACGTTGCCCTTGGCGATGGCGCCAACAAAGGTCTCGCCGCCGTAGACAGCGGTAGCCACCGCCCACCCTTGAGACTCGAGCTGGCCCTTGGTGTAGGGCATCTTGTACGAGTGGACATAGTAGTATTTGGAGTCGGGGCTCAAGCTGAAGAGGTTCGGGTTGGTCGGGCACGAGGCGTCGTTCCAGCCAATATGGGGGACGGACTTGTCGGTGTCGTCGAAGCGGTCGAGCTTGGCGGGGATGACGCCCAGGCCGGGGCAGTTGGGCTCTTCGGACGAACCTTCGAAGAGGGCCTGGAGGCCGACGCAGATGCCCATGAAGGGCTTGCCGGATTCGATGTGGGCGCGGATGGCGGGCATGTAGCCGGCCGAGGCCAGCTGGGAGAGGCAGTGGCCAAAGTGGCCTACGCCAGGGAGGATGAGTTTCTATCACATGAAGAAGGTCTTGTTAGGAAGCTATTCAGATTGGCGCATAGAGTTGTAGACTTGTCCATACATCAGCATTGGCAACCTCCTCGGGCGACCGGACCCACTCGACGCTGTAGCCAACCCTCTCAATGGCATTGACCAAGCTGCGCACGTTGCCGGCGACGTAGTCTAGGAGGTGAACGGTCGGCATCTTATTTGTTGTCTGGTTCCCAGTTCTATTCACCCGGCAACGTGACGGTTTTTGTTCTGGTTCTGGTGAGTCAAGGACTGGCGCGTCAAAGACTCAGAGTCTCAATGGAGTCACTGCAAAAGTGGAATCTCCGAGGGGTCCCCGTAGCGAGCACTGTAGCAGTGGGGAAGGCACCCCGCTGTTCCCGTCCTGCAGGCACATGGTACTCGATTTTGCCAGTTTTGACCGCTAAATTTCCATGGGACAGGCGCGGCGTCATCCCGTTTGATCATCCCGAGCACAACATTTCCGTAAACATTCAATCTTCCCACATTCTACCTCTCTCTTAAATCTATCTGAGCTCGACCTGCGACAGCAGCATGGGCTCTACGGCACCCCCAGTCGAGGACGAGGACGAGTGGGAGTACGAGTACTCGACAGCGGAAACAGAAGTCCGTCACCATCTCCTCAGCTCCCTTTGAGTCTACTAACCAGACCAGACATACTACCTGACCCTGGACCTCTCAGTCCGCGACTTTCTCGAGAAACACCCAGATGACATTGTCAATGCCACCCGCAACGGCTACCGAGTGTGGTACAACCCGCTCTTCAACACATCCGAACCTCGTCCGATGAACCCAGACCTCATAGCCGAACTCCAAGGTCCCGACGACGAAGACGAGCCCGGAAAAGACATGCCAAACCTCGACAATGCTGTCGCCGAGAACACGAATGCCGAAAACGTTGCCCCCTCGACTGCCGTCCAAAACGCCGACCCTAAGACGTACGACGTTATCGACCCAGCACTACGAGGACCAGAGGAAGTCAACCAACAAAAGCCAGTCGACACCAACAAGCAACAACCAGTCAACACCGAGACCGAGAAAACACCACACCAAATCGAAACCATCCAGATCCTCGATCTCCACTCCAAAGAGCCCATGGTCTCGTATCGCAACCACATCTTCCAGGGCGCGTGGTCCGAAAACATCGGCACGGAAATGATCTTTACACCTCACGATCCAGACTCCCCTTTGCCTGCTCTTCGCAATCTTGGCGAAACTGGAAACCACGGAAAAGTCGACCTCCTAGCTGCTAGCGCGACACGAATCAATTTCAAAGAAGTCCGGTTAGAGTCGAAGCAGATGGCGGAACAAAACAGCAACAACCTCACCAAACAAATCAGTAGTATCACAGCTTGGGGCAACGACGATATCCCTGAGCGGTACAAGCGCCCAGACGGCGTCTACGTGCACATTGGCGGTGACAAGACGGGCCAGCGACAACCGCAGGCGCACTTCCTGGAGGATTTGATCATGCTAAAGCGCAAGCTGGGCGAAACCGACTCGGTCACCATTCGTCCGTTAGAGACTAGGCAGAACAAACTGATGATGGAGGACGAAGGCGAAGAGCGCAGAAGAAAGAGGTTGAAGAATGGACATGGGAGGTACGAGCGGTGGAGGCAGGGACTGCTCAGAAAGGACAGGGAGAGTAGGATGGCGATGGGAGAGGAGGGTTACATTCCGCGGACGGAGCCGGGACAGACGGGCAAGCACTTGGGGGTTATGGAGAAGAGAGTGAGAAGGCCGCGGGCTCGGAAAGCGGTGCTCAAGCCGTTGGAGTCGCAAGAGACGCTTCCAGCTCATCCCGTTGCACCACCTACTTCAGCTCTCCTCCAGGACAGCTCAACGAGCTTGTATCCGCCCGTGCCGCAAACCAGCTGGGCGCCGAACCCATCAGAGTATGCTGCTGGGCACGGGGACGGGAGCAGGCTGTCTGAACAGTAAATGCCATGCTCACCGGCCAAAAGACAATCCAAATTGTAGCATTTATTGTTCACACACCCTGGGGAGCAACGGGGCTGGAAGAGAAGCGTGAAGCATTGGTGGACATGCACGTGGCGTTGTTGATTTCAAGCATTGGCAGCATTGGGCATTTGTACTGCCGTACTATGTAGATAGGCCAAGTGGGGGACGCATGGTGATCTGCTCTTGTAAGCTGCATGAATGGAGTAATTATCACGTACATGTGCTGAAAATCAGGGTTTGTTACACACCTTACGCACGTAATTGCCTGGTACTAAAAGGTATCAGGCACGCAGGCACGTCTCGCTAAACCGCAATGGGACTGCCGGATGCGTGGATTGCCTTGGATTTGTTCTGGGCGCAGGGTCCGCGTTTCTTGGCTGACGTGACGCAAGGGCGCAAATCCACACGGAGATTTCCAAGTGGCCGTTCGCTCTTTCCAGTTCAGCTGTGTCAACCACTGACAACCAGTGCCGACGGCACCTGATGCCCTGAAAAAGCCACCCGACTGCGAGCGCTCGGGCTGTGACACTGACACACTGACACCCACCTTGATTGATTCTAGTCCCGTCTGTCCACTCACACCCGCAGCCTTAACCTTGTGGGGGACTTCCACTTCTTCCCTTTCCATGTTCTCCGGATTCCGAGAAAAAAAAGTGCCATCTTTTCCTCCGATTGTTTTCCGCTTTCCGTCTTTCCCGTCTCAATTCCCACTTCATCACTCATTCCTTGTTTGTGTGTCCCCAATTTCACCCACCACACCGTCACAGTCCGGTCCTTGGTTGGGCGGAGGATGCGGAGTTATTGATCCTGCTTTTTTCCTCTTTGATCCAAGCATTCGTGTTTTGCTCCTCGTCTCCCTTTCATCTTCAAAACACCCTGGTCTGGTCTCACCTTGTGGACTAGTTGCACCGCCGCTTAGTCCGGCACCCGGCATCCCTTGTTCCCTTGCAAGTCAAGTCTTGTCATCTGGCCGAGCCACCGTCTCTTCGACCAACACCTACAACATCGAATACGAATGCATTTCTCCTCGACATCTATGAATACGACACTTCGATAGAACAACATCTTTCCCACTTCAACACACCTCCGCACACCATCCGAAGGTTCCGACAGACATGATCTACACCCTCCGGCGGGCGACCATCTTCGTCACCGCCCTCACCATCTTCTCCGTCTTGGTGATAACCTACCTCCCGCGCTACCTAAATCCCACACCTCCCGACGCCGAAGAACGAAAGCGAGACAGACAATGGGTCAACTCCTCCCCTTACTGGTTCGATCGCCAGGTTTGCCGATACCTTGGTCTATGCGGTATCCAGCACATCCGATGGGATGCGCCCACTCTGCCCGGTTGGGGTCCCGGCTCTGACCTCCACATGACGGAAGAGATGGCCAAAGTGCTCGGCGTTGGCAACTGGGATCAAGACGGAGCAGCAGTCTTCGTCAACAAGCCCGGCACCGAAGCTTGGGAACATGCGCCAGGCCATGTCGACCTCAAGCGCAAGCGATCCGAGTCTTCCGACACCCTTCAAGAAGTCCCCCAGTACGTTATCGACTATGCGCCGCTCGTCCACCTCTACTCGGGCGAACACTTTTGGCCTTCCGACATGGCCGAGCACGTCAAGCACATGGGCCTCCTCGACGAGGAAGACGGGTCGGTGAACAGGACGGATGAACTTGATCTGGGGAATCTCGCCAGGCTCAACGCTAAAAACGGCACCGTCTTTCTGACGAGCATGGATGATGTGGAATCCAGGCCCGAGTGGCTCCACAACCGAGCCGGGATCCCTGTCGAGTATGAGGACGATGGTGATGATGAGCACGACGGAAACCCCGACAAAAAGATGCCCGGAAACAACCCGACTGTACCTACCGATGGCAACACCTGGTGGGACGCCGATAAACAGCACCCACCGAACCGAATCGCCGCTCCCCGGTATCGCAAGGGCGGGCCTTCATGGCGTCGCCAGACGCGTTCCTTGCAGGGCGACGATGAGCCGCAGCGTCCCATTGGCGGCACCCCCTCCGACGGAGACAAGAATAAGCCAAACCCTAGCGGTTATTCCAACGGCCCCGCTGTGCTCATCCTTGTCGACAAAGGGGCCGGCATTGTGGACGCCTTCTGGTTCTTCTTCTACTCGTACAACCTGGGGCAAACCGTGCTCGGCATCCGCTTTGGCAACCACGTTGGCGACTGGGAGCACTGCATGGTGCGCTTCGACAACGGGATCCCGAAAGCCATGTTTTTGTCGGAGCACGCCGGTGGAAAGGCCTACGCTTGGCCTGCTTTGGAGAAGAAGGCTCAACCCAACGGCAAACCACCCCGTCCGGTCATCTATTCGGCTGTGGGAAGTCACGCCATGTATGCCACGCCTGGCTTGCACCCCTACGTCCTGCCGTTCGAGCTGCTGAAGGACGTCACCGATCGCGGCCCTCTCTGGGACCCTGCTCTCAACCACTACAGCTATTGGTACGACTACGAGGCCGGGCTGAACGAAACCGAATCACCCTCATCCCCTCAGTCGCCCTACCTTGGCAACCCTTCCGAGCCTCCAAAGCAGTACACCTCCCTGGTCCCCGCGGCGGATAATCCCAAGGCTCCAACAAGCTGGTTCCACTTTGAAGGAGCCTGGGGCGACGATGTCTATAGTCTGGCGGATTATAGGCAGTGGAGGCTCTTTGGCGAGTATCACTACATTGTCGGACCGCTGGGGCCCAAGTTCAAGTACTTGGAGAGGAGTAAGGTGTGTCAGACGGACAAGTGCACGATGCTTTGGAGCATTGAGGATGGGGAGAAGAGCAGTTGGTACTGATTACTTGTTGCTCGTCTTTTGGATGTGCGCGCGGTAGAAAGGAGTTGGTTTTGCGTTGCTTTTTTTTGGTTATTGCGTTGCTGCTTTTTTTGCGAGATTATTGATACCTCTACGATACCCACTGCACACTGCATGGAAAGCATGGAAGAATTGTTTACACATACAGCATTGGTCTCATGGCCTATACAAGGAGTTGACGATGATGGCGATCTATGTTGGACACTGATCGGCACGGCATTGATGGCCCGTCCTGTGGGCACGAGGCGGGCAGGCACGGCATGACAGGATAGAGCATGATTTTGACTTTGACATTGACAGACGAGTATATACATTGAAATTACTGCACTTGTTTCGTTCGATCGCACTGCTTTGTTGGTTTGTTCGGCTGTTTCCGTCTCATCCCCATGTCCCTTCGCTTTGGGGACCCCCAGTGCCGTTTCCCTTCTAAGCCTTTCCGGTAATCTGTCAACCTGTCAACCTGTCATCTCAACGCCATGCTGGATGCGTGCCACCACACCTCGAGCCTTGAGCAAGACGTTTCCGGAGCAGTGATGAAGTCACCTCGCCCCGACTTGGTCCCGATTGAGCGGATGAGGAAGGACTTGTCGGGTACTTCTACGCCACTTGTTTCATACATGCTCTTTCTTCCAATCATACCGAAGCCATCACTCCTCTTTTCCTGATGTTGCTTGACAGCTTTCGAGCGGAAACTTGCTATTCGTCGTCCGTTGCGCGCCTCCCTGGGGAAGTCCGTATTTCGGGATGGTGGCAGGGCGGGTGGAGGGGGTCCTCCAATTCCGGTTACCGGCCAAGTTATCTCGCTATCAGCCAATCTGCGGTTTTTGCGGGAGATGTGTTATGTCAATATCTATTCCGACTTCGGCATGACAAGTTACTGATGGAGCAGACTACATTATTCCAATCTAGCGTCAACTCGCGTTTGTTCTCCCTTTCCCGCGACAATTTGGAAACAACAGATTCTTCAACTTCGACCAAGTCACCGAGCCAATTCGAATCGAAAACCATGAGCCAGACAAAAGCATACAAGGACTCAAAAAGCATTCGAGCAAAGGCAAGCACGCAGTCATCAACAAGATCACCAAGCAAAACAACCAGGTATTGTTTAACTCTTTTATTCATTCACTCCAAACCAATCCGAGCCAACAGTTCGAGTACACGGCCTGGCCAAGACCCTCGAACAAGATCATTTCCAAGCGGAAAGACCTAGCGAAAAAAGAGAGAGGAAACTATCTACATGCCCAATCCTTCAAATGTGCATCCAGAGATCATTTCTCCCATTTTGAGCGAGATTTGTGAACCAGAGCCTTCAAATCTGGTCACTCATCATCCATCCATCCATCCATCAATTTCCTTCATCCATCATCATTCCAATCATCAACATCATGCGCACCCTACCTAGACTGCGCCTTTTCTTTTGATTTGGGTAAAGGGAAGAAGAAGAAACCGCTTAAGAAGCGGAGGGGTTGCCGTTGAAAGCAAGCTTGTTGACGGTACCGGAGGGAATGCCGGAGATGATGCCAGAGTTGGCGGTGCTGGCAATGTAGGAGCAGAGAGCAGCGGGGGTCTTCTTGCCGAGGAGGGTGAGGAGGTAGGCACCGAGACCGGTGATGTGGGGGGTAGCCATGGAAGTACCGGAGATGGTGTTGGTGGCGGTGGTGGAGCCGATCCAGGCGGAGAGGATGGAAGAGCCGGGGGCGAAGATGTCGACGAGGGTACCGTAGTTGGAGTAAGAGGCAATGGCATCAGCCGAGGTGGTGGCACCGACAGTGCAGACGGTGGGCTCGGAAGCGGGGGAGTAGTTGGCGGCGTTGGCACCGTCGTTGCCGGCGGCGACGGCGAGGAAGACACCGGCCCTGACCAGGGAGGCGGCGGCGCTGTTGGTGGAAGCGGAGTAGCCGCCGCCGAGGGACATGTTGGCGACGGTGCCGTTGGGGCAGTTGCGGGTCTGGGAGTCGGAGGCGACAAAGTTCATGCCGGCAATGACACCGGAGTTGGAGCCGGAGCCGTTGGAGTCGAGGACCTTGACGGCGTAGAGGTTGGTCTTCTTGGCAACACCATAGGTGGTGCCACCGACGGTACCGGCGACGTGAGTGCCGTGGCCGTTGCCATCGGAGTTGAGGCCATCACCGGCGTAGTTGGCGAGCCAGGTAGCACGGCCACCGAAGTCGGTGTGGGCAGTGTTAATACCGGTGTCGATGATGTAGGCGCAAGTACCGGCACCAGCGGAGTTGTCGTAGGTGTAGGTGGTCTTGCCCTTGGTCTTCTGGGAGATACGAGCGATGCCCCAGGGAGCGGAGCTCTGGGAGACGTAGGTGTTGATGGTGAAGACGGCCTCCTGCTCAACGTACTCGACCTGTTGTGTGTTAGAGATGCTGGCTCATCGAAAGCGGAGGACCGAAAACTTACGTCAGGGAGGGAGCGGATCTCATCGAGGGTCTTGTCATCGATGCGGCCGGCGAAGCCACGGAAGGCGTGCTTGTAGACGTGGTCGGCCTTGCCGTTGCCGAGCTTCTTCACGGCCTTGTCGAGGACATCATCGGAAGCACCCTCGCGGAGCTTGACAATGTACTTGCCGGGGACAACCTTGGTGCCGGCGCGGGCCTCAAGGATGGGAGCGCGCTTGTCAATGGGCGCCGAGGGGGCGGCCATAGCCAGAGGCAGGAGAGCGAGGACAGCGGACAGCTTCATGGTTGCTGATGTTTAAAGGCCGGGAACCGTTGAGAGGATGGAAGACGAGAGAAGGATTGAAGGCTGGATGGTTGGAGTGATGATGAGATTGAATCGGAAACGGGGGATGACCTGGATGATATTTATCCTCGACTTTTGCCACCGGATGTCCTTCTCATCTTCTTCTTCCTCAAGTCTCCTCCAATGTGAGGCTCAAACGACCTTCCGAAACAAGAGAAGCCGCCATTGTTGATACTGGGCGTTGAATGGAAGTGCCAGCTGCATCCACAGAACACTGTCGATCCGCAGACGCAGGCCGGATCGTAGAGTCTCGGCGTCGCGGCGCGTAACTTCGATCTGGACAGGACGACAATCACCACCTTCCGCGTTGGGGTTCACAGCCGTCCAGAATGGATACCCTCTGCTCTCCAGCATGGCTAGAAGAAACCACACGTGAGAACGGGCCCTCCCGAGTTGTTCGTTTGTCGAGTTAGCGAAGTAAGAAATGCCGATCCGAACTCGACATGGACAACATGACTGGCCGAGAGCGGGAGAGGCGAGAGGTACCTGACATTTCGGGAATGGTGTTGGAGCGTCACATCAAGGGTTCATTAGTCTCTGGACCAACAGCAGCAGTCCATCACGGCCGGCGACTGTCATTGGACTTGGCGTGGAGGGCTAGTTCATCCGGGTCGATATTGGACTGTTTGTCTCGTTATCACCGACCAAGCCCAAACTATGGCATCAATGCACAGACGGGCAGGCTAAAAAGAGCAAGTGTCTCTGAGTCTCTGAAGCATGGACAAGAACACCGAACCGGAAGCTGGTTGAGATATCGTACTCTGGGAGGGTGGCATTCTCAAGAACCTGGTCATGCTTGGCTGCCGTATCTCGATGCCACCCTCGGCCAGGGTTCGACTGGGACTTGGCAATGGCCCACCCCCAGCCCGCTTCAGCAAATCGATAGCTCGCAAGATGCCGCCGGAGTTTTTGAACCCTGGAGTTCCTCTTCAACAAGCCTCGAGCAGGCCTTGCCCCAGTTCTTCAGGCCTCAAGTACCGGCAGTCCACGATCTCAGCGTCTCCGGGGAAGATGCCAAAAAGCAAAGTGAATGTTGGAGGTGTCGTTATCTGCATCCCAACATCGACAAAAGTCTCAAAGGAGGTGGTACAGAGAGGCTTTATCACAGACAAGGCAGAGAGAGAGCGCACAATGCACGCCTAGAAAACTGATTATGTGGCTAGGGTGAGACAACATCGAGAGTCTTCCTGTGGTGTTCCTGTTCCTAGGATGCCTCGGGTGTCACTTTTCACATTGTCTTCGGTCTTATGCCTTTCCCACTATGGTGCGCGCGGGCGGGATTCACTCCTTCCCGTTCACGACAACGCGGGGCCGCCGGCGTTCACGGCTCTTGCCAGGCTCGCCAGGCACTTTGACGCCCGCGCAGTTCGCCGTCCATCCTGCCCTGCTGCTGCACGCCTCTTTTGTGTTTCCTCAACTTGCATGCTCGGCGCTAGCTTGGTGGTGAAGGTCCCCGCTGTGGAGGGCTCCAGTGGCCTTTGGGAGCTGCCGAATCCGGTTCGACGACGGTTGCATTGGAGTCATGAAGCAACCCAAGGTCAACAAGCACCGCATTTTGATTGATTTCCAAAGTTGACGCTGTCATGATTGAGCTGATGCTGAAGGTTTGTGAACCAGGAAACGGGAAACGACTTATCGCGAATTAATTTACAGACAATACGAGGAAACCCGGCTGGTAGTGTCGATGCAATACCGGGACGGAATCCCATGATACGGACAGCTGTCGATGGGTGTCCGGTGGACATGTCCTCTCTCATCTTCTTCACCAAGTCCAGTCTTGGCCGTTTCGTGCGTGCTTCTTCACTCAAGTGAGCTAATTGCCTCAGCCATCGTCTCTTTCATCGCTGCCACTCGAGCGAGGATGAATGAGGCAAGTCCTTTTGCTCTTCCAACGCACACGGTATCGCGTGATCGGTGTTGCATATGGTCAAGATTCACGCGTTCAAGTCGACGATATCCAGCTTCTGTATACGGACAGAGTCACAGCCAGGAGGCTCAAAGTCATCAAGGTTCTTGTGCTTGAGGGGTAACCTCTAGGCATCCCGCGCTCGGTAGTGTCCAAGGGGGCCAGAACCTTGTGAGGGACTGGACCAAGAGATTGTCGCCACAGCAACAGACTGACAAGGAATCCCAAGCCCCAAACCCAGCTTCCCTTCCCAGTCCAGACTATCTCGCCCAGAGATGCATAGTTGCATCTACCACTATTGGCGACTAATAGGCTGGGCATGCTATAGCGCTGGCAGCGATTGCGTACCCCCTCATGTTGTTCCCTTGAAGACCTGGGGATACACCTGCACTGCGACTCAAGCATGCCTTGTTCAAGAAGCCACGAAGCCACGCTTCGACCATGTGATTCCTAGCTCCAGGCTACACATCTACCTTCCCTCTATGTGTTAGATCGTGTCTATACCTCAGGTTATCGCGAAGAATGACGTAAATGGCGCGATTGGAGGTAATTATAGGCCAATGTCTCTTGATGTCTCTCGCGGCCTGGCGAGGTTTGTGGATTATTGATGTGGCTTCGGTTCCTGAACTCCATTCCGGGAGGTGCCTGGATGGATTCACGGATTCAAGTGACACAGACGTTCAGCTAGAGTGGACAGCCACATGGCGACATGTTGGCCCCCACAGAGGAAGCGCGGTGGCGGGCGTGGTTTTACGGCACTCGGTCGAGTTACGCACGAACTGTTGCCGAGTGTGCGCCAAGTGGCTTGTCTGTGTGATCATGAGGCTTGAGGTTGTGGCGAGGCGTTGATATCGGCTTTAGGCGGCTCCCTTTGAAGTCCTGCAATAAGGTTCTGGCTCCGGATGTTGTCATCGCCGGACGCTGAACGAGCCACAACTTGATGTATTCCTGGGGCAATGCAGAGGCAGGATGAGGATGTATGAGACCTGTGAGTGTAAGCCTCTTTGAAGTGAACAACGGCTCTAGCATGTGAGGCGGTCCGATAGAGAAAACGAGTGTCCGATGTTCAGTCTTGCCTCCTCGTGAAGTGCATTCATGTCAGAAACCCAAGGGGCCCAGCACTTTCAGCTCATGAACTAGACAAAAGCGAGCTATACCATCTATGAGGACAGCTGGATACAGATTCCCTCTGGTGATGGTGGCTTACACTACCATTGATCTAATACACTCAGGTGAGCCTGACAGGTTCATCGGTGAGAGGAGGTTTGTGTTCTAGTCGAGTGTCAGCTTCATGCGAGGAAAGAGACTTTCACAACTCGTGAAAGTGTTTGAAAGCAACGAAGAGCCAACGTGGTCCGTCTGATATCAACCCTTTTCGGGCTATGTCATTGTCAGCTCACCCATGTCAACACCGAGATAGATTCGGACTATTCGAGAGTTTGTGTAGAAGGATCAAAGAAACCGTACATACATGACTGTTATGAGACCTGTTTCTTTTTGCCCAAAATCCGTAATGCCTTGTAGAGTTGTACCTTGCTGTGCATTCCATGGTAGTCTCTTGGTCGAAACAACATGAAGTTCAAGTTCAGGTCATGAAAAAGATGAGATGTCCGAACTTGATCAAGTTTCATTACAATCGCACCAGCATAGCATAGGTTGAACTGGGACTGCTAGGACTAGACTAGAAAGCGTGCCACGAAATTCCAAAGACAAGTTGTATGAAGTGGTCACTTGATCTTGATCCTTGGTAGAGGTAGACTTGAGTATGACACTTCAAGTTCATTTGAGTGATGAACGTGTGAGAAAACTATATGATACATCTATATCTGCTAGCACTTGCGTACACTGGATTGAACTTGGATACATCAATCTGCGGATCTCTGTTCATTATCTCATATGGATCTTCGTGGTTCGAAAACATGTTTAACGTTTCTCAAAGTTGTAAAAGCTGACGATCTACCACAACCACTGGATGAAGATGCAAAACCAGCACATGACATTCGACTATTTCAGGTTTACAAAAGAGATAAAACCTGCAAAAGAGGAAAAGAAAAAGAAGACGAGTTGCCGAACAACAGACGACATAGAAAAAAAGTCAAAAAAAGAAGTTATTGATGGTCATCGTGCGACGTGGGCCTGATTCGAACAGACGCTCCCGAAGGAACAAGATTTCTAGTCTTGCGCATTAGACCACTCTGCCACCACGCCTAGTGATTGTTGTTGAAAACCAGTGTGGATCTACGACTCATATGTGCCAATTTGGGCGCACTGACCACCTACAAGCCAAGACCGTCCCGTCGCTTCCTTTCCCTTCTCCAGACGGGACGAACCCTTCCGTTGACATCGCAACCACCAACGTCGCCACACAAACTGATCACGATATCACGAAAAAGGCGCGACCAGCATATCCGCTATGCCTCACTGCCGCGCCCGATATTGAACTGAGCCGCAATGCGATCCAAAGATTGCAAAGTACGTGACGGATTTACGGTCGCGATCAGGAATCCTTCCTGCGGGGAGACTGGACTGGATTCGGACTCGGGGATCGCGACGATGAATCCGACGAGCAAAACAAGACCAGTGCGCGACCGTGCCCCAGAATGAGGGCATTCCCAAATCCCATATCGCAACCCGCCTGCCTGGCGTTGATGCTTCAACTTCATAACACCCAAACAATCGGACTTGTACGCCGCCTGACCGTGCAAACACAATGAACATGAGACGTCCCACTGGGTCACTCGTCCGTCCCAATGACATCCCAGACAGATGGAAGGATCAATGTGCAACATCGTCGACCTGGTCTGTGCAACTCATTGATGCTGGAGCCTTGACAGCGACACGAGACACCAGACAGTCTTCACTCTTCAACGGGCAAGCGCAACGGTATTTTTGGCCATTGGTGCATGCGTCTAATCGGATATAAGTAGATTGGCCGCGTTAAGCGAGCTTACCTACTCATCTTTCTTTGACACCAGTCCGAGCTCCTTCGGGGATATTCTCATGTCTGCGTCGGGCACGTACACGTCCACATCAAGGCATGGAGTAATCAATATCGAGACTCGATCGCGAGTGTGGCACATTGCACTGCAACAGTTGCAAGGGCACAGCACTAGCGATCAAAGTATGACAGGCAGGCAGGCAGGCAGGCAGGTATCTGATCCGTCCATCTATCCATCCTTCGGCTCGACCAGACTTTGATCGGATTTAGGGGGCTGTGCACTAACATGAACTTTATCTCTTTCGATCCCGTCCCCAGATTTTCATCCTCGTAGGGCAGGCAGGACTGGGAGTCCCATGTCTTTGTGTCTTGGTGTCCTTTCTTGTACAAAGGGCGCACTGCCTCACGGGTACCTTTATATGAGGCATGTGCGGCGCAGCTTCCCGCGTGGCTGTCATCTAGTGGTGCATAGTTTATTTTGATGTTGTACACACGCCGCACAACGAACACTTCGGCCCTACGGCATGTCATGTCTGCTTCCGCCACTCACAATCTTTTCTGGTCTCTTTCTGGGTGTCTGGTGTCTCTTCGTACCGGCGGCTACGCGGCTAACTTGAGAGATCCGGTGCCGGGGGTTTGGGAGTAGACACGGCACGCTGTTGCCCAACTCAACGAGACCAACTAGACTGAAGGAGACAACACACCATCGCGCTTACCACCAGTCAACCGCAACCCCTACCCCCCATGTCCTTCTTGGGCCCTTGGGCTTCTACCCGTTGCTAAAACCATCGTCTCGTCATCACCTAAACAGTCACGATGCACGCAAGCGAGGAAGCAAAATGGGAGATGAGGCCCTTTACCATGATCGATGATCCCCATGGATGATCCCCAGATCCATCCATAGACGAAACACGGCACGAGCCAAATCCGATTTGGCATCTTCAGTGTCTGTCTGTCTGAAACATCGTTACTGTCACAAGCAAGGAGAGCATGAGAGGTTCGAAACATGACTGGGGAAAACATTCTTTGTTGCCAAACAGAAACCAGTTACCAGACTCCTCAAGCACTGGCAAAAATAGCCGCGTCCATGCATCTCCGTTGGACATTCGTTTCGCTTGAATGAACGAATAGCTGCAGACTACACTGAAGTCGTTGGTCAGCCAAGGTCGCAGTAGGAGCCAAGAAAGGGTGTTGAGGGCGTCAGTTCTGCCGTTGGAGTTGAAGGGTCATGGCTGCTGACTGCCCTGGCACTACGTCTTGGACCTCTTGGTTGCCGTCTTGGGATGTCTTGTCACGATTTGATGGCTTGGTCCCCAGAATATCTGGTGGTGCTGCACGATGCCACCGACCGATGGACTGGGGAGGGTTCTCGGCTGGGTTGTAGTAGGCTGCCTGCATGCCGATGGAATCCTACAACCACCAGAATTGGACTCTGCCTCTCTGCCCTAAAACATTGGAGTGAGCTGTTCCAGGTGTCCCGCCTCATTCAGCGCCAAGGCAGCAAGCATCCAGTCTTCCTCCTCTCAGCTTGACTCCCATGTTCGCTTCGGCAGTGCGGCACTGCCCTATCGTACTACTCTCATACCTACCTTACCTTACTCGGTCGAAGTGTCTGGTGTGTACATGGGATTGGTGGTTTTGTTCTGGAAAGGAGGCAAAGCTTTCTTCGGTTCATGACGGATATAACTACCCCAGATGAGAACGATCAGAGAGCAATACATTCACTACTACCTCACCATCACGATCTCTCATAAATTACTAGATTACTCAACAAGATATCTAATACATCCTCAACACACCTTACTCATCATCAACAGCTACCCTCATCGACAGAGCTACAAGTACAACATCATCATCAACCTCTTCTCTTCTCAGACTATCGCCAGACCCATCACATCCAACATGCCATCCCGGGTCCCATCTCCCTCGCTCTCCGAACAGTTCTACTGCAACGACAGCTCCTCTATCTCCTCCATGTCCTCCCGTCGTCACCGCTACGACCACTCCTCCATGTCCTCACGCTCCTCAACCTCACAAGACTGGTCCCGCCCGAGCTTCTCCTTCCCCCTTCCCCCTTCCCAGCCCCCTTCCAGCTCCCGGGGCCGCGGGCTCAGAAGCAAACCCTCCAAATCCACTCTCACCAAGACCCTCTCCCCGCCACAACCAACCATCCGCTCCCGAACGGCCAGCTTCGGCAAGCCCCGCCACCATGCCACCCCCGTGGTACCTGCCCACGACGAAATCGCCTTCCCGGTAGCCTACGAAGACGCATGGGGCTCCCGCTACGAATCGGCCGACGGGCGCACCGACCTCGACCGGGCGCGCATCTTCATCACGCGCTTTATTTCGATGTCGTCCAACCCGTGGGTGAACGCGGAGCTGCGGGACGTAATCACCAACCGCGAGCTGTGCCGGACGGTCGCGCACGTGGCGTGGGCGGTGATGCACCGCGTGTTTGGGAACAGACATGCCGATTTTGGGGTGACGCCGCTGGTGCAGGCTATGCGGTTCATCCTCATCAAGGCGAATATTCCGGCCGAGGTGGATGTGTGCGAGAAGGCGAGGCAGGTGGTGGATTTCTTTTTTGATCCGACGCTGCACAGGAACTTGGAGCCATTGCCTTGTGAGGAGTTGGTGGTTTACAAGTATCCTGTGGGCAGGTTGAGGGTTTGTATTGTCGGTGGAGGACCGACGGGGTTGGCCAGCGCTATTTCTCTGGCGGAGAAGGGAGGGGGGATGATTGAGGTGCATGTGTGGGAGAGGAGGTGGGTGAGGGATGAGAGGACTGGGGAGGTTGGATATCCCCCGAATGCCAGGAGGAGAGATCAGGTCGTGACACTGCAGGATTCGGTCACGGATCTGTTGACTCCCAAGTCCTTCCAGGCACTGTTTGCTGGACGGCCGGAGAGGGTCTGGCCTGGTTCGGCTAACATCCAGATTCGCAAGGTGGAGGATCGGTTCCTCAAGAGATGCCAGGATGGCGACTTGCGCGGTCTGATCCACCTCCATGCCGAGGGCGTCACAAGGGAAGAGCTCAAGAACGGCAAGTGCGGTGACTTTCACGTTCTTTTGGGCACTGATGGCGCCGCCTCTTGGGTCAGGCGTGACTACTTCCGCGGCTACGAGAAGGAGCGCGGTCGGTCTTATGCCCTCGGCCTAGCCTTCGATCGCGGCTCCGTCGGTGGTCTTCCCTGGTCTCAACCGCTCAACATGTTCCTCACCCTCGGCCAAACCCGCTACCTCCTCAACGCCTCGGACCACGACGGCAAGGGGTACCTGAACATGCAGCTGACGGAAGACGAATGGCACAAGATGGTCGGCGTGGACGGTGAACCTGTTCACTTCGGCTCCCCGGGTTGCTTCCGCCGCGAAGACGGATCCATCCCCGAGGGATTCACCGAGAACCGCGTCTTCAAGCCTTCGGAACACCGCGACTCCTCCCTGTGGAAGTCCATCGAAGACGGACTCAAGCTCTTCGGCTTCAAGGAGTCCGAAGTCATCAACGTCGTGCGCATCCCCATCGTCGTGCAAGCCGTGCGCGAAGGCGTGCAACAGCTTCCGCTCGAAGACTCCCGCTTCGTACGTCGTCCGCATGCCCTTGTCGCCGTGGCCGGAGACGCCGCCATGACGGTGCACTTCTGGCCTGGCCGCGGTCTGAACTCGGGTATCAAAGCCGGCATTGCCTTTGGCGACGAACTCGTGCACGCCCTCAACCGCGGGGAGTTCGCCGGTCTTCCGCTGTCCTCGATGAAGCACTACAACGATTTCATCCTCAAGCTGCAAGACCGCGAGCACGACAAGCGCAGCATCCCCATTCTCAACCAATCCGGCACCCCGGAGACTCTCGACTGGCTGCTGAAACAAGCTTCCTCGGTCCCGGACAACGTCGCGATCGACTGGCTCGTCGGCGCCATGACGCAGATCGCCGACCGTCTCGAACAGAGAGAAGATTGGTACTTCAAGCCGGAGATCAACGTCGAAGCGCAGATCCGCATCGTCCTCCGGCAGATGCACAGCTTGACCCTCCGAGAAATGGCGGTGTCCTTCCCCTGGCCCACACGTGAAATGGCCGGTGCCGAAGTCTTGCCCTGCCGCTCTGCGAAGTCGGAGCCTCCTGAGACGAGCAAGAAGGCGGAGCAGAAGTGGCTGCAGCAGCTGTGGGGGATCATCAGCAAGGAACCGAGCGCTGAAAGGAGGCCCAGACTCCCTGGCTCGGCGTCGGGAGGGAGCAGTGGCCGGTTTGAAGCGCCGCGGTTTACGGTGCCCACTTTGAGGAGCAAGTCGCCGTCGCCGAAGCTGAGGAATGGCGGTTTTGTTGATGAGAAGCAGAGGCCGCCGATGCCGATGGGTCATCCGTTGATGGCGCAGCAGGGAATGGGGCTGGGAAGTTCTTCTGGATCGCCGCCGGGGAGTTTGAGGAGGTGCAATGCCAGTAAGAGGGTGGGAAGCATTAGCAGTTTGCCGGTGCCGTCGGAGTTCGGTGCCGTTGAGGCAGGAGCGATGGGTGGACGGCAGAGAAGTGTTAGTGTCAACACGGGTGCACAGGGACAGGAAGCGCGCAGTGATGGGGGATTGACGAGATTGATGAGTGTCAAGAGGCAGCCGAACCAGACGATGTTGTGTGAGGCTATGGCTTTGGCACTGTTTGGTGTTGGCGAGTAGACGGATGACGAAAAGGATTTGCTTTTTGGACTGGAGTTTTGATGGAAAGGACAGGGCACTGACAAGGACTGGAGTCATGGTTTGCTTTTGTGCTTGGTGCTTTGGTTCGGCGTTGGGACGATGCAAGTGGTGATTGAGGGCATGAAGAGACGGAGTTCACTCCTTTAGAACAGTTTACCATCAGGGGCAGATTGATGACTTAATATGATAATCGCTTCTTCAATTTCTTCCGTCTTCAATCTGACAGCTTGGGTAACTTTGCTGACACCGGCTCGTCCCTTCCTCAACGGAAGACAGGAGTGGCGGCGCACATTCTCTGACCCGCCCTGAGCTCTTTCCTTCTTGAGTTCCGCTCAGGGCATGCCACTGCGCTCAACTTCCATTCCGTCCCAGTCCCTCGTAAGCTCACTTGGTGCTCTACCCGGGCAATAATCAACAGGTCCTACTCCAAACCTTCCATATTTCCTCCACCCTCACCCTCACCCTCACCCTCACAATCACTCCCCAGTCCCCAGTCCCCAGTCCACCCCCTAACAAGCAGCAGTCCTAACCGCATAAACAGTCGTACACCCAATCTTATTACACACATCCATCGCTCCACACGGGAAACTTACACTCTCCGTCGGCAGCGCCTGGCACCCACACGGCTTAGTGATGGTGCTCGTAGTCGTGCACTGCGGGACGAAGCAAGACTTGCATGCCGTTGCCGTGGCAGTGACTGTGGGGCATTGGGCGGCGGGGGAGGAGGAGCAGGCACCAGTCTTGGTGGTGATGGAGATGGAGGTGACGACGGCGGTGGCGGTGGTTGTGGTGGGCTTGATGACGGAGACGGTGTCGGTTGTGGTGACAGGGACGGATACGGTATAAGTGGAGATTACCGTGGTGGTGACTTGTTGGATGTAGGACTCGGTGGTGGTGCTGATGCTTGTGCTGATCTGGGTTGCGGTAGAGGTTTCGGTCTGGGTCTCGGTCTCGGTGATGGTGTCGTACTCTGTCTTGGTGACGGTACGGGTCACGGTGGGAGTGCCGCCTGGGTTGACGGTGGTGCGGCGGGTGGTGGTGATGGTGGAAGGTTGGAGGGTGATTTGGCCGAGGATGGAGCTGGGTTTGTGTTGGTGGGAATGATGAAGGAGGGTAAAGGGGGAACTTACCTGGCCGCCGCGAGGAACAGGACTGCAATCTTTTGGACCATCTTGACAAGGCTGGGAATAGACTGAGATGGAAGACGGGTTACTCAGTTAGTTCACTTTGGATGCCGTCATATTTCTTCTCTGCGAAGAGGACACGAGCTTTTATCTTCCTCATCAACAACTCCTCGTCCGATGCGGTCCGTCCAGCATCGTAAGCTGGAAATAGCACCCGTAGAGATCCCTTCGTGAAGTCCCTATATTGCCAGTTAATCACGGAGCCTGCCATCAAGAACCGAGGAACAAGAAAGCCAAGAGGTCTCGACATTCGACTTTTGTGTGGATTCCCTCCTTTGATGTTGTGGTCCTTGGTGTTGTGCAGTGGTGATGGAAGCTGAGTGTAAGGCAAGCCAATCAGCTCACACCTCCAAATTGCCTCATTATTGCCGAATAGATTGCCGTTGCAGTTCTCACTGCACTAGCTGTCAACGTTCCGTGGACGGGCGTCGATGCTACGACGGTTTGGGATCGCGGATCCAGGTTCCATGGACGGCACGCTATAAATAGCAGCTCCGAGTCCATTCACGGAGGAAGGAAGAGCATGTACTGATCTACCCAAACAGGACATCATGACCCGGCGACGAAGCTTGGCTTCCTGGACGATGGCCCGATATCTGGGGTATGTAGGATTGGTTGATGGGAAAACCCGGTTCTGTGTCTGTAAGCAACCGGTTCCACACCTCGACAACGCCATGGAAACGAGCTGATGTAAAGCTAGAAAAGTCACAAGTGGAACGTAGGCAAATGCTTGACGAACAAGAAGGCAGCAACTACTCAACCTCACAGACTAGGACGCTTCAATCCCTTCAGTTCCCATGGAACAGAGGAACCAAGTCAACAAACGTGCGGTATCTGGTATCCAGGCTTTCTCTTCGAAGGGCAACACCGAATACACAGGTCCTGATCTGGGTGTCAGTAGAACAGCAACGAGCAGTCCAGGGAGTAGAGGTAGTCAGGCCTTCAACTCACCTTGTTCTCAAACCTCCAGCCTCCAACCTCCCTTCTCGTCACGAGTGTTTCTCGACCTACAACTTGACCCTCCCACCTTGCAACTCCCTCCATTCCTTCTCCCCAAACTCCACATAGCTCCCCTCCTCCAACCAATACAGCCTATCCCCCTCCTTGCCCACCCGTCCCGGATCAACCCCCTGCTGCCTCAACACATGTTTCTGCTGCTTCATCGTCCCCGTCGTCTGTCCTCCCACCTCCTTCATGACCCTCAAGAACAGCGGCACCGCATACTTGGGCAATGTCTTCCTCGCATGCTTCGCCAGGCTTTCCAAGACTTCCTTATTCGGTTCCCCTCCTTCCAGCGATATCGCCGCGCATCCAGCTCGTCCATCATGATTAGGCAGCTGGACACCGTACACGTTGGCCTCTTGAACAGAAGGATGCAAGCCAATAGCCTGCGACACCTCCGCCGTCGAGACATTCTCGCTCTTCCACCGGAAGGTATCCCCGATCCGATCAGAAAAGTACAACTTCCTCTCCGCGTCCCAGCGGACGATATCACCCGTTCTGAACCAGATATCCCCCTTCTTGAACACGTCCCTCAGCATCTTGGAGTTGGTGGCCTTCTCGTTTCCAAAGTAGCCTTGGAAGCGGGACTTGACGTCTGCTGGCAAGAGAGCGAGGAGTTCGCCGGGCTCGTTGGTGCGGGTGCGCTTGCAGAAGCCCGTGACGGGGTCGCGCCAGGGTTGGTCGGTTTCGTAGTCGAGGCGGACGACGGCGGAGCGAAGGTTGGTAAGGAAGTGAGAGAGGAAACCGAAGCGGCCGATGGCGCCGAGGGAGAAGGAGTTGCGGGAGCGGTTCCAGGTGCCCATGGGGCCTTCGGTGGAGGCATAGAATTCCAGGATTGTCTGTCATGGCCCAGGTTAGTTTTACCTCTCGAACGTACTAGTCATCGATTTCCAGGAAAAAAGGGGGCAGCACTCACATCAATCCCAAACCGCCCCTTAAACTTCTCCCAAACATCGGGCCTCAACCCATTTCCACACGCCGCCCTCACCTTATGCTCCTTATCCAGATTCCTCCCCGTCTCCGGATCAATCTCCGGCTCCGCCACCGTCAAATACCTACACGTCTCACCGACATACTGAATGATCGTCGCATTACTCGCCCTCACATCCTCCCAAAACGTTTTCGTGCTAAACTTCCTCCCAATCGCCACCGTAGCTCCCCTAAACAGCGCCGCGCACACACCCAAGCAAGATGCCGAAGAGTGATACAACGGCATACAAGTGTACAAGACATCATCCGCGCGCATGGACGTCCCCTTGCCCGTGACCATAGCAGCCATGATGACTTTGGTCCAGCTGACGATCGCCGGCTTCGGCAACCCCGTCGTGCCTGACGTATAAATCAAGATCGCCATGCCGACGTAGCTGTCCACCTTCCTGACTTTATCCGCGTACCGTTTCGGCTCAAGCTGGAACCTCTCCGCTTCCGTCTCGGGGCCAAGGACGACATACTCCATCCCCTTTTCTCCTCCTCCCCCTTGCACTTGCCCTTTGGCCTCCTCTGTCAAGTAATCCACCACTTGCGGATCAACCAGCACCAGTCGCGCTTTACTCTCATTCAATGAATGCGCCAACGGCGTCCCTGTCAAGTTGTAGTTGATGAACGCCGGCGTTGCTCCGATACTCCACAGCCCAAACCACACAAAGACAAACTGATCCGAGTTCATGGCCATGAAAGCCACCACCTCCCCCTCCTTCACCTTCTTCACTTCCTTCAGCCAGGTCCCGTACCTGAGCACCTGCTGGTAGGTCTCATGGTAGGTGTATGACTTGCCCTCGAACCAGAGAAAGGGCTTGTTGGCGGTGGAGGGGGCGAGGGCGTGGGCTTCGAGTCGGTAGAAGACGTTGATTTGCCCGGCACGCATAGATTTGATGACGTTGAGGACGGTGCCGCCGGCTATTTGTAGCCAGAGAAGGTCGTGCTCGAGGGAGAGGGAGGCGGAGAGGTAGGATGCTGTGGCGGCCGTGGCGGCTGCTGCGCCGGCGAGGGCGAGGGGGCCGGGCATGGTGGTTGTTGTTGAACTCTGTGATGCTGGGAAGTGTGATCTGAAGGGGTGTTAGATGTGGTCTTGAAGATTCAACGGGCTCTGAAGTGACTTACCTACAAGTCAAAGAGATGACCTTGAACTCATAAGAACTCAAGACCGTAGAGATGAAACACTAGCATCAGACAACGAAGCTCGACGACAGCGAAGGGAGCCACTTTTACTTGCACTGTTGTCGTCCCCTTCTTACAACTGTAGCTAGCCCTTTCTGGGGATACTGAGGGGAAGCAGCGGAGTTACCGAGGCAAAGGAGGGGTTCAGGGGGATCAACACGGGCTAGTTGGGATTCTATGTAACCCTTGAGCCCTGTGAGTTCGAGAAGTGCTCCAAATGGACATCTTGATATAACCGCAAGCTTGTTGATGACTACGAAAGCTTATGTCAACTCATCGTGAAGTTATTTTGGTATAATCTGAATAGAACTCCAAAATCTGAGTGGTGAACTTTACGTGGTAATGGTTGCTTACTGAGAATCACCAAGTCTTTGCACGTGTAAGAGAACACCGGCCCAATCAACTTGACGATCTTCATCCCACCTCTTGCAGAAACGAATGCGATGAAAAGTGTGGGGAAATTCCCATCATCCCTCAATCTCTTCGTCTTCTTTTCCATGTGCCAGGAGTCAGAACAAAGGCTGGACACCCCGGGGGACGCCGGGACACGCACATGGCACGAGATGGGAAGAAAGGGCTGAAATGCGGGATAGCTTCAGAACTTGGTGGCTTGGAGTTTGCGGGGAAGTTTCTTGGCGAGCCGCCGAGGATACACTGGAGGTTGGGCAGGGCTGATCAGGGTCTATCATTTTGGCAAAGGGAGTTTGGGGAGATTTCCCAGAAGAAAGAAGTTGTCTTTGGAACCGCGCCTGGCGGCAAAGTTTGCGAAATCATAACTGGTAGCTGACTGAGCAGCGAGAAGAGAAACCCTACGATATGGGTTGTATACGTCCTACTTCCACCATTTTTCGAGACTGTGTTTTAACCGTCATAGTTTGGACAGTCAATTCCCATTACTCTGCTCGTCCAACACGCAAAAGGCCTTGAACGTCTCGAACTCGTTATCCTCGCTCTCGAGAACACACTCCGCCGTAGCGCCGACGAAGAAAACGTGACCCTTCTTGATCTCTTGTACCTTGGGGCCGACTGAAATCTTGCCCTGACCCTCGGTGCAGATGATGATGCTTGGGCCGTCAATGGGCTTAAAGGATGCCTTGGATCCCTGGCTCTTGAGCAACGAGCGGACAACGCTGAACTCCTCGATTGGTGGGTTGTACTCCGTGACCTCTGATTGGGAGTCGATCGCAGCCTGGTTCAATGTCGCGCCGGCTTCGCGCTTGTTCTTGACATCCTGTGTATAGTCGGTTGGCTCCATCTTCTGCTGTTCGATAGGCGCAAAGTCGTATGTAAGCATATTGACCAAATTGTCGACGTCCTTGAACTTGGGTGTGAAGCCAGCGCGCACGACATTGTCGCTGCTGGCCATGCACTCGATGATGTCGCCGCTGATGTAGGCATGGATGTCGTCTGCCCGGAGGTAGATCGCTTCGCCAGCCTTCATCTCGACAAAGTTGAGGAAGAAAAGAACGAAGAGGCCGTAGTCAGCACCAAACTGTCCGTAGAGACGGCCGACCAGCTCGGAGAGCTTGGCACCACCCGGCGAGGGCACAGCGGTGCCGGCGAAATCAGCACCAGCGCTCTTGGCCGACTCGACGAGCTTCTCGGCAGCAGCAGCCATATCCTCCTCCGATGAAGCCATGAGCGCGCCAAAGACGCTTTGTAGGACCTTCTTGTTCTCCGCCGTGGCCTCCTCCGATTCGTTCCCATCATTCTTGTTGACAGTCTCGACGAATGCCTTCGCCTTGTCCTCGCCTACCAGCTGTCGCAAAGCAGGCACATTGTCGAGAAAGTGGGCGATCTCCTTCAACGGACGGAACCCGCAAAGACCCTCAAAGTCGCTGATGGCAATGGCCATCTCGGGCTTGTGGTTGTCATCGGGGTAGTTCTTGGGGTCGCGAGCGTGCAGCTTCTCGGCGAGCTTCTTGTTGGGATGCGCCTGGATGGACAGGGCTTTCTGGATGGAGAGGACCTTGAAAAGGAAGGGCAGCTTGTTCTGGTAGCGCTCGGCGATGGCGGGGGAGAGGAGGGCTTGGTTATCTTGGACGAGCTCGAGGAGGGTACGGCCCGTGTGTTTGTCCTTGGATGGGTTGGAGGGGTGCGTGCCCATCCATAGCTGTTGGTGGTGTTGGTTAGCGGCGAAGTAGAAGTAGAAGGGTCCAGGACAGACCTACCTCTGCGTATGGCTTCTCGTCCTCAATCTTAAAGTCGTTCTCGGGTAGAGAGGCAGCAGCAAACTGGGCGGCGCGCGAGGAGTTGCCCTTCTTTCCCCATTCGTACGAGTTGACCCCGCACTGGAGCTGGATGAGAGGAACCGGGAGCATGGCTGCGGATGAATGTTTGGACCGAGTCAGGTACGGATGGGGCCGATATCCACGGGTTGAGACGACGGCGTTGGGTGGTGATATATACGTCCGATGACTGTTCTCGACGATGACAACGACGAGATGATGGTCAGGGGAAAATAAAGCTTGGGACGGAACCCCTCATTCTGTACGTCACTCCACGAAGACGGGACGAACAGCTGAAACGACTGTGGAGGCCCAAACTAAAGTCTAATTTAAGGTGTCACTAACAAACTTTACCGCTAGAGCTATGGGCACAGTGTTTGTTAGGGAACCCCCCTGTTCATGGGTACGGTTAGCCTCATGCACTAACAAGAGCAATGTGCCCGTTGACCAACAGGACCGAGGCGAGGCCTCCACGGAATGACCACCCGAGGTGAAAAGAGTCCTCAAAGTTGATGCCGAAATGTAGCAGGAAAAGCAGATGAGTAACGAGAACGTTCTTCAACCCATCCACGAAACGACGTCGTGAACCTCAGTGACTGTGTGTGTGTGTGTATTCTCATATGACTTCAAAAACGGATTTCACAAAAGACGACAGCCCAGACAAATGGTATCAGTCTATTCCTTTCAACCCCCGTTTTCCCATGGCCCCCTTTTCCCAATCAACATGATCAAAGATGGTGTCTATATGCACCACTGCAGTTGAAGGGGTTTTGCTATCAAATGTAGTATGTATCTCGTACAAAATCGTACAAAGAGAGAAAAGAAAACGCAAATGACAAGACACAAACAAGCCCGTAACTCCGACCCAAGAGAGAAACACATGAAATTATATGCCCACATTCACATCCACTGGCATCATCACCTATTCCACTTCCACAGGGTCTCCGTCTCGGCATCAACCTCAGTTTCCACGACAGGTCTCAGGCACTACCGAAACCCCGGACTCCTCGGCGTCCTCGGCGTCATCGGGCTACTTCTTTGACTGCTTCCCCTTTGTTGCTTAACCGGCGACGACCCCGAGCACGTCAACCCAGACCACACCTAATCATCCGGCGTAACATCTCCCTCCTTGCCCGTCACCTTTGCAAACACCGTCCTCTGTCCCGCATCCTCCTCTTCCTCCTCCTTGCCGAACTTGGTCATGCTGAACTCGGGCACTCTCCTGCTCATCGGTCTGAGGAGACCACCGGGGTTCTGCCTCGAGCGGCGCTTGCGCTCCAGCTCGCGCTCCTCCTTTTGCAGAGCACGCTCGTCTTCGTCGTTGAGGAATGTGCCTTCGAGCGAGAGGTAGCCGTAGTCGCCGGCGAGACCGACGTCAAAGTTCTTGATTCTGAAGCGCACCTTGCCCGAGACCTTCTTGCCGGAGGCATCGACCCAGTAGCCGGTGGTGTGCACTTGTTCGACAACCTGCAGCTCTTCGCCGTCCAGCTGGTCCTCTTCTTCCTCTCCTTGTTCCTCCTCCTCCTGCTCCTCCTCCTCTTGTTGGTTGTAGGACTTGTCGCCCTTGAGATCCACCCACTTCCAACCCTTTGGCAGCCTCTTCGCCTCGATACTGGCGTTGAACCTCCCCCAGCATTGCACGCCAATGTGGCCTTCGGACTGCAGCTGGACAACACCCTCCATCCACTTGCCGCGGGCGGGCTTAAACATGTGCGCGTCGAAGGTCAGGTAGGCGAAGCCGACGGCGTATTCGTCGACAGAACGCAAGAGGGCGGGGGTCTCGTCGGTGGGCGGGTTGATGACGGAGGCTTGGACGGGGCGCTCGGAGAGGTTCAGGTTGGTGTAGCGGAGGAGAACGCCGCGGAGGACGGGGGAGTAGTGGTTGAGCAGAGGTTCGAGGTGTTGGGCGGCGACGTTGGTCAGGGGCTTGTCGAAGCCGCAGGGGTAGAAGGGCACATAAAGGGAGTGGACCTGGGTGTAGAAGGGGAAGTCGACGTCGTCGGTGGGGAAGGAGGTAGTGGTGTCGACGTCCATTGCATCGTCGGCGGTTGTGGTTTCGAGCTCGGGGGTGGCGGATGCTTGTCGCTTCTTCTTGTCCTTCTTGTCCTTCTTCTCCTTCTTGTCCTTGCTCTTGCGCTTCTTCTTTTCCTCGGCCTCCGATTCTGATGCGACCGCTGCCTCCTCCTCCTCTTGCTCCTCCTCTACCATGGGCTCCTCCTTGCTCTTCTTGGACTTCTTCTTCTCCTTCTTGGCAGGAGCCTCCTCCTCGACATCCTCGTCATCCTTCTTTGACTTTTTCGACTTCTTCTTCTTCTCGGTCGTCTCGGTTTCTAGCGACTCGGACTTGGACTTCTTGTGCTTCTTGGGGGCATCTTCGACGGCGGGGACCTCTTCGGCCTCTTCTCTGGAGCGCTTCTTGTCCTTCTTGTGCTTCTTCTCGGACTTGGTGGGTGATGGCGAGTCGACGACTGATTGCGACATGGTGGGCGATTGTATCTGCGACCGCGTGGTTGACTGGCAATTGGCGGCGGCGCGTGGACGGCTTGGTAGTTGCGAATGGGCCTTCAAGTCGACCTCAGAATTCGCGATTATCGATGCGAAGCAAAAAAATTGTTGATGCTTTGCCTGCCGCTGGGCTGCAGCTTCGGAGAATCGGCCAATGAGGTGACTGGAATTGGGAGTAGTGGGGCCGTTTTCTGCATGGGAGGGCCCATTGCCTGCCCCAGTGCAAGGGTCTTGAAGATGCCTGTCATTGAATCGGCCCCTCTGTAAACACTCCAGCGCATGTTTTCAAGAGCTCCCGGAAGCTTGACACAACACTTTTGGTGATGCATTCATGGTGGTGGACATTCTCTCGGATGATCAATGCCTGATGTCAGAGCTTACTCTGGTCATGAGAGTATCAACGTGGCAAGAATGAGACGGATATATGGTCCGTTGCTGAAGTCTCGGGTACCTGTCAGGGCAGCTACAGCCAGGAGCCTTCAGCTATCATGCATGGCCGTGCCTGCGTACTTGCTCGAAGATGAATCGATGTATCAACCCAGAGCCAAGTCGTCCGGCATTGGTGAAAGAAATGTGCCTCCGGTCGTGATGCCGTGTCCATGTCCCGGTGCGGGCTCGGGAGTCGGGAGATCTCCGCTGGTGTCGCTGCTCCCGGTGCGGGGCAATGCGGGACACTCACTTGACTTACTCAACGTCACCCAATATCACTTCCTCTTAGTCAACTCATCTTTCAATTATTTGTAATGACGTGCTTTGACAACCTGAGCTTAGAAATACATACGTAGAGGTACGGATTGGAAATCGTGCAATGAACAATCCATATCTTCTCCGTTCCCGTAATCCCGTCTTAATTCCGTCACAGTCCCCAAAATCCTCAACGCCGTACACGACTTGCTGAGCTCCGTTCGACTGACACACCAACAGAAACCCTCACCACCACACCCAACTTCACACCTCACCTCACCACGAACCGAAACCCAAAATGTCCAACGACTTCAAACCAACCAACGTCCTCATCATAGGCGGCACCGGCGCCATCGGCGCCTACATCACCTCCTCCCTCCTCTCCGCCGCCAGTCCCAAGCCCTACACCACTCTCTCCCTCTTCACCCGTCCCGGCTGGGACTCCGACCCCTCCTCCAACAAGGCCAAGCTGATCCAACACTGGCAATCCCAAGGCCTCAAGGTCGTCACCGGCAACGTAGAGTCCCTCGATCAAGCGGGTTTCACCCAGGTCTTTGAGGAAGGCAAATTCGACACGGTCATCTCCTGCCTAGGCCGCGCTACGCTCAAGTATCAACCCAAAATAATCGACGCAGCTGAGCACTCGCAAAGCGTGCAGTGGTTTTTGCCGTCGGAGTATGGGACGGACGTTGCGTATAACGAGAAGAGCGCGAGTGAGCCGACGCATGTGGGGAAGCTGGCTTTGAGGAAACATATTAGGGAGAAGATTGAGAGGCTGAAGGTCACGTATGTGGTTACTGGGCCGTACTTTGATATGTGGCTTTATCCCATACCTGGGTATGAGCAGGCTGGTGGGTTTGTGCCGTCGGAGAAGAAGGCGTATGTCATTGATGATGGAGAGGGGAAGGTTGATGATGGAGAGGGGAAGGTTGGGTTTTGTACCATGTGGGAGTAAGTTTTTCCTGTCCCTTTTTTTCTTTTTCCTTTTGTTCCCCTATTCCACCATCCTTTATCCCCTCCTCCCCCATCTACCCTCACCCAGACTAACAAAACCACCCAGCGTCGGCAAATTCGTCACCGCCACCCTCCGCCACCCCACCCAATCCTTCGGCAAAGCCCTCAAAGTGCAATCCTTCATCGTAACCCCCAAGGAAGTCCTGGCCGAGTTCGAGAAGCAGACCGGCTCCACGTTCGACGTCACCGAGACCCCGCTCCCTGAGATCCAGGAGCTCGAGGAAGTCCTGTGGGACAAGAAGAGTGACAACCCGCAGCCCAACCCCCAGGCTACCTTCGTCACGCTGCGCAGGATCTGGGCTCAGGGCGGCACGCTGTATGAGAAGAATGATAATGAGGTGTTGGAGGTGAAGCAGGAGGATTTGGATACGTTGGAGGAAGGGGTGAGGAGGTATTTAGCCGGTGGGTACAAGGCGGAGACGTTTGGGGTGAGGGCGTGTTCGGCAAACCTGTAAAGGGCGCCAGTATAAATGGTTTTAGTAAATGGATTTACGGCGGGTGGCACAGGCCATTCGTAAATAGTCATATAAATTCATATACTGGTTGGCATTTCCAGAGTGTTAGAGAGGTCCAGAGATGTTTGTTAGTAAATTTGTGTAGAATGTTGTTTTGAAACCGGTGTTTGGGGTCCCCCGGTTTACTGGACCGGTTTTTGGGTGAAGTTACGCACAGGATATTTACTATCGACTCGAACAGCACTTGAAAATCTTGCTCATTACCATTTACTGGTTTGCACTTGTACAGGGCTCAGTAAATACGACCAGGAACAATTACTAAAACCATTTACTGGGTTGCCGAACTGTAAGATGCCTGGCACGACACGGAAGCGATGCACTGAAGTCTGACTTGATGTCAAGCCAATTGGGTCTCAACAATTTTGTCAGGGACGAGATTCCGTCGTCGTCGCTGCTCTGGAACCCGTCCGCTTGCGCTTTCCCAAATTCCATTTTTGAGGTGGTGTTGTTTGCAGCTCTTAAACCCATAGTCTCGGGCAGCTCCTGTAGCGCATGTTAGAGCCTGCACCTATCTTGTAGGAGATACTCTAACAGGCGCTTCCAAAAATAGCATCATCTCAATGATCCTTTCACGGTACTTCACCTACGGTAGCCATACCCCGAAGATCCAGCTGCGTAGACACTATCAGTTTCGTATAGGTTTTCCTGCAACTCCAGAATAGCTTGACACTTGTTTCTCCTACAATTACAGCCTGTCCAGTCTACAGCTTCAAAATCCCCTTTTCGGAGATGCTGCGAAGCAGTTTCTAGTATCGGGCTTTGCCTATGCGTTTAGGACAATCCCCGAAAACAGTTCCTGGAGAAGCGCCCAGGGGCAGGATCCCTGGCTTGTTCCCCGCTCACTTGGCAAGCCCAACCCACAGCGGACAGCAAGTCCCCTGTCATTTCCCATTCCAGGCTTTCCAGCGACCTTCCGTTATCGTCCACTGCTTCGACTTCCATCGTGAACCTCCAACATGACGGCAACACACATCGTCCCACCATCTCCTACATTGCACCAACCTACTAGACCTATCATCGTTTGATATGCCATGACACTTCTCTAGTTGAGATTCCTACTCAGATTTGGAACATTACCCTTCAAGATCGGCCTCAAAGTCTTTACCGCGTTCCTCGTCGTGCGGGCGATCCTCAAAGCCATGGCCGCCAACCTCCGCGACCTGACGCTGTACCTGGTGGTGCTGATAATCGTCAGCACCCTCGGTCCTCTTCAGTTTGGTTTCCATTTGGTATGCCTTCCCTTTCCAAGCCCGAGGTATCTCCACTAACATCTTCCCAGGCAGAGTTAAACGCCCCCGAAGACGTCATCACCTGCCGCAAAACCTCCATCTCCTCGACCATCTCCAACCTGCTTTCCTACGTCAAGAACTCCTCAAACGATGTCGATTGCATCCCCATGACCCGCCCCCAATTCGCTACCGTCTCGGCCATCTTCACCATCGGCGGTCTCTTCGGCGCCCTGATCGCCGGGCCCTTCACCTCCGCCCGAGGCCGTTGGCTCTCCATGCAGCTGACAGCCGCTTTCTACATCGTCGGCTCTCTAGTCGAGACTCTCTCCCACTCCGTCCCCGTGCTTTCGACAGGCCGTTTCCTCACCGGTGTCGGTGCCGGAGCCAGCACGGTCATCGTCCCCCTTTACATCAGCGAGATCGCGCCCCCCGCGCAGAGAGGGTTATTCGGTGCTTTTACCCAGATCAGCATCAACCTCGGTATCTTGATCTCGCAGACCCTAGGATATTTCTTGAGTCACGATTCAGCCTGGAGATGGATTCTGGGGTCCGGAGTGGTGGTGGCGGCTGCTCAGGGATTCGGACTGCTGTTGGCGCCCGAGAGCCCAAAGTGGACAGCGAGCGCTAAGGGCGACGTCGCGCAGGCGAGGAGGACACTCCAGCGCATTCGGGGCAAGAACGCCAACATCGACGAGGAAGTCGAGTCTTGGGGCCAAGGAAGTGGGAGACCTACTAGCGAGGAGGAATCCCTCCTCCACAGCGTCGAAGACCGCATGGAAGGCCTTTTGCGCAGAGACACCTCCTCTCGCTCTAACTCCCCATCCCCTTCCACGTCTTCCCGTCCCCACCCGCACAAGGCCAGCAAACCCCATCTCGGGTTCGTCCAGGTTTTGAAGGATTCCAATACCCGACCCGCCATCATCGCCGTGGTAGGCATCATGTTCGCCCAACAACTCTGCGGCATCAACTCCATCATCATGTACTCGGTCTCCCTCTTCCGGGACCTGCTCCCCCCTTCCTTTTCCTCGGGCCTCCTCACCATCTGCATCTCCATCATCAATCTAGGCACTACTACTGCCTGCTCGCCTCTCCCCGACAAGTTCGGCCGCAAGGCTTGTCTCTTGGCTTCTACCATCGGCCAGGGCCTGTCGTCTCTCGTCCTTGCTCTCTCCATCATGTTCGGCGTCAAGATCCTCTCAGCCATAGCGGCTCTTTTCTTCGTGGCCTTCTTCGCCGTCGGGTTGGGCCCGGTGCCGTTTATCTTGGCCAGCGAGCTCGTGGGTGAGGAGGCCGTGGGTGCTACGCAGAGTTGGGCGTTGGGGGCGAGTTATGTTGCTACTTTCTTGGTGGCATTTGGGTTCCCGGTGGTGAATGAGGCGTTAAACAGGGCTTTGGGAGGTGCTGGATGGGTTTACTTTATCTTTGCTGGGATGGCCGCATTCTGGGCCTTGTTTATTGTGAAGATTGTGCCGGAGACGAAGGGGAAGGCGAGCGTGGATGAGGTTTGGGGACGTACTAGGCGTGTGGACTGAGTGGTGGGTTGATGAGCTGGGCGTTTGTGTTGTGCGTTTGCGTGTTGTTTTGGACGGCAGAGTTTTGTGCATTGCTGAGAGTATACCTAGGCATTCGTCGTATAAGTGATGTGTTATTCCTCTTCTACGTCTCTTTGGTGCGGATTCTGGTCCTTTAACTGGTGAACCTCTACGCCACAACAAGCGAGGTTGCCGGAGAAAAACGGTAAGTCATGTTGTGTTCATTTATTCCTCATGTAGTTGGCACTACTTATGGTATCTAATCCTGACGCCAACGTTGATGTTGATGCTCATCATAAAACGAACTGTTGTAAATGCACCTCCTTTTCTCTACACTCTCCTCTCACACCCTCACCCTTCAGCTTCAAAACCCACCCCATTCCTGTCGAGGTCCTCTCCCTACTGGGTAAACATCCTCCTATTCTTCACCATCTCCGCCAACAGCCCAACTCCAGCCCTAACTCCATCAACAACCATCACCTTCTTCCCCCTTTCCTCGCCGTACTCCTCAATGGCAGTCCGTCGAATAATTTGCTCAAGTCCAGCCATGCCCGCACACCCCATCACCACACACTCCACATCCCCCGCCTGCAACAATTTCTTGGTTGCATCCACCAACTTAGCATCAATGACCTCCTTCGGAATATCCCCATGAAAATCCCCCGCATTCAACCCCGTCGTCTGCACCCCAGCAAACTTCTCATTATTCCCCTCATGACCCAGAAAATCCTTGACACCCAAGGTAAGGTGATCCTCCCAGTACTTCCCCGTCGTGACAATGCCCCATTTCTTCGTTGGGCCGGTGAGCAGCGACAAGGAGGTGAGGACGGAGGCTTCGAAGATGCCTGTCACGGAGAGGGGGAAGTCGTTGGATGAAGCGAGTTCGGAGAGGCGGGGGACGAGGGGGTGCACGGAGAAACAGCAGACTAGGACGGCGTCTAGGTAATCTTTTAGATCTTGGGGGTCGCTGCCGAGGTCGTTGAGGACGACGGAGGCGGAGGTTTGGACGTCGGTGCCGTCGTTGATGCTGGCTGGGCTATCTGACGGGGCTGTGTAATAGGAGATTTCGATGTTCTGGGGGTTGTTAGTGGAAGCTTGGTTGGGGAGGATGAGAGAACGGGAAACAAACGTCAGGTAGATTCAACGTAGAAATAGACTTTTCCATGCCACCGGTCATGGACTTGGAGGAGTTGGGGTTGAGGATGAGGATCCTGATCTTTTCTTGCTGGGAACTCATGTTGACGACTGGGGGTGAGTAGGAGAGGTGAATCGATAAGTCGTCCGAGTTGGAGATGGTCAGGTCTGAGTCCTGTCTGGGAGGTGGCATGAGGATCAGAGATTGGAGGATTCAAGGTTTAAATAATGACGAATAAAGAAAAATGACGGGAAGGACCAATATCAAACCCCACTCTCAAACGAACAGGAACGATCCCCTCCGTCTGATCTCTCGTGATGTCAAGGAAGGTGCGCTGTGCGCTTAGTAGGGAATTTATAAATACTTCGAATCTTGAGGCTTCCTTGGCTAACTGGGCTTACAATGTCAAGGAAGGTGCATGTACACAGTACAAGTGAGTCCAATGCGGGGTATCACGTGGGTACCCTAATGCCTGCCACTTGCAGTCCAGAATGCCAAGACCCGCCTGTTCATCGGCGCCCTGTTTGAAAGCTTGGCAGTTAGCGAATGACCCCACACACCCCCAGCTAGGGTACCGTGCTGGACTCCAGCTAATTACGGTGCCGTAGTCCACTCCGCTACCATGACCCAGACAGGGCACCGACACCACCGACCGACCGACCGATTGACAGCGTGCGACGGGACCACCGACACTTGTATATTGACTCGCGGGAGCTTCCATTCTAGCTCCGATATACTCGATATTCGAACCGACGAAGCTATTCGCATTCCATTGAGCATTCCCAAAACCACAGCTGCCCAGCATGGCCAACACCGACGCTCCCATTGGTACGTCAGCTCTCTCCGCCAACCCCCTTATCCATCAGTCTCGAGGTCAAGCTACCTTGACGACCACCACCCACCTATCTGCCTGATCGCGTCGTCACCGTCGTCATTGTAGCTGTCGCCGTCGGGTTCCGTCTTCGATCACTTCCCATTCACAACACAATGAGCACAACACCCAGCTAACACCTCCTCCCACGTCCACAGTCCTCGATGGCGGCACCGGCTTCCTCAAAGTCGGCTACGCCGCCCAAAACTTCCCCGAATTCCAATACCCCTCCATAGTCGGCCGCCCCATTCTCCGCGCCGAAGAAGCCAAATCGCTCTCCGACTCCCCCGATGTCGTGATCAAAGACATTATGTGCGGTGACGAGGCCGCGGCCGCCCGCACCATGCTCCAAATCAGCTACCCGATGGAGAACGGCATCGTCAAGAAGTGGGACGACATGCAGCACCTATGGGACTACACATTCTTCGAGAAGATGAAGGTCGATCCTCGGGGAAGGAAGATCTTGTTGACGGAGCCGCCTTTGAACCCGCTGAAGAACAGGGAGCAGATGACGGAGGTCATGTTTGAGCGGTATGGATTTGGGGGTGTTTACGTCGCTATTCAGGCGGTGCTGGCGTTGTATGCTCAGGGTATGTCACCGCTTCTTTACACGGGTTGGAGAAACAACTAGCTAACGGACAACGCGCAGGTCTCTCCTCCGGTGTCGTAGTCGACTCCGGTGACGGTGTCACGCATATCGTTCCCGTCTACGAATCCGTGGTCCTCAACCACCTTACCCGCCGCCTCGATGTGGCCGGCCGCGACGTCACTCGCAACCTGATCGCCCTCCTTCTCCGCCGCGGTTACGCTCTCAACCGTACTGCCGACTTTGAGACCGTCCGTCAGATCAAGGAGAAGCTCTGCTACGTCTCGTACGACCTCGAGCTCGACAAGCGCCTGTCCGAAGACACGACCGTCCTCGTCGAGAGCTACACCCTTCCCGACGGCCGCGTCATCCGCGTCGGTTCCGAGCGGTTCGAGGCCCCGGAGTGCTTGTTCCAGCCACACTTGGTTGATTGCGATCAGCCCGGTATCGCCGAATTCCTCTTCAACACCATCCAAGCCGCCGATGTCGACGTGCGCTCCTCGCTATTCAAGGCTATTGTCCTGTCTGGTGGTAGCAGCATGTACCCTGGCCTCCCAAGCAGACTGGAGAAGGAGCTGAAGCAGTTGTGGTTGACACGCGTGCTGGGAGGCAACCCGGAGAGGCTGAGCAAGTTCAAGGTCAGGATCGAGGACCCTCCGAGAAGAAGGCATATGGTCTTTCTGGGTGGTGCGGTGCTGGCGAATATCATGGCGGATAAGGAGAGTATGTGGATTACGAAGCAGGAGTGGGAAGAGCAGGGCGCGAGGGTGTTGGAGAAGCTGGGTCCTAGGTAAGGGATTGTGGGTGAAGCTGTTTAGACTATAATAGCAGGCGATATAATGTTTTCCGTTGGTAGGCAAATAAAGGATAATGCGAGAGTTTGTTAGAGTTGTTTGGGACGGGTGTGATGTTGGTTGTGACGGGGGACATCGAACAATGGCCTTGTATTGAAGGGTTAAGGAACAGTCATGTTCGTTCGGGACACCATGAAAGAAGTTCCATTACCACAACGGCGTCAACATCAAGGTATGGACAGCGGAACGGGACGGTCCCGGACAAGTACCCGGAGGACGGAAAGGACCGGTCCACCCCACTTTTTGAACATCGATACGGTACGCTAAGGCCAACGCATATACAGTGGCTAATTAGAACCACACACTAACAGGAGCAAACACAACTGACTTCTGATAACGCCGCAGGTCACTCCAGATGACAAGCGCTATCGAAGTTGTTGTTTCCCTCGTGTATCACTTGCTTGTTGCCTCAGCGACCACATATTCCAATCAGCTCTCTCGTTCGAAACATCAGACTTGTCGATATTCTCCCTCACCGGTCACCTTCATGTCGAATTATCCAAACTCAATTACCCGGCTTCTATCGCCCAGTTACCGTCGACGCTAATACACTGTCTCCGCTCATCCATTCCCGAGTCTCACAGTGTTCCCCTCGGGCCCGTGCAGATCGGGTACGGCTCATACGACATGCCTCCGAAACCTTTGAAATGTGAGTTGATGAACTTCGTCTGTTTTCTCTGATCAAAAACTCGTCCTGTCCTCCGAATATCATCCGTCTAAAGTATCCTTATACCCCGTTATATAATCATTTTCTTCCACATCCCGAGAGCATCCTCATAACACAAAACAGACGGGCGGAGACACCCCAACCTCTCACCTCCAACTCACTACACCAACCTCACTTTTATACACATATAATCACCCCCATCATGTACGGCACAAACAGAGCAAGAAACCAAAAAGCCGAAACCAGCTACCGCGGGTGTCAGTATCACCTTTTACTCATTCATCACCGATATTCTAGTCCAGCCAAGCACTAACCGCCTTCAGACTCAGACCAGCGTAGCAATGCCGGCCCTCTCAACTACCAAACCAAAGTCCGCATTACCGACCGCTACAAGGTAATCGGCTTCATCAGTTCCGGTACCTACGGCCGTGTATACAAAGCTACGGGCCGGCAAGGTCAAACCGGCGAATTTGCCATCAAGAAATTCAAGCCCGACAAGGAAGGTGAAGCGGTCGTCAACTACACGGGCATCTCTCAGTCGGCGGTGCGTGAGATGGCGTTATGCTCCGAGCTACGAAACCACGCGAATGTTATTCGGCTTATTGAGATCATCCTAGAGGACAAGTGTATCTTCATGGTATTCGAGTACGCAGAGCATGATTTGTTGCAGATCATTCATCATCATACGCAAACGCCACGGCATCCGATAGCGCCGGGAACGATCAAGTCGATAATGTACCAGCTGTTGCAAGGGGTGCAGTACTTACACACCAACTGGGTGTTACATCGAGATTTGAAGCCGGCGAATATCATGGTGACTTCTTCCGGAGAAGTGAAGATTGGCGATCTGGGACTGGCCAGGATTTTCAAGCAACCGATACACAACCTCTATATGGGCGATAAAGTGGTCGTGACGATATGGTATCGCGCGCCCGAGCTGCTGTTGGGGAGTAAGCATTACACGACGGCGATCGACCTGTGGGCGGTGGGATGCATCTTTGCGGAGCTGTTGAGTCTTCGGCCGATCTTTAAGGGGGAGGAGGCCAAGATGGACAGCAAGAAGACGGTGCCGTTCCAGAAGCATCAGATGCAGAAGATTGTGGATGTGATGGGCTTGCCGACGAGGGAGCGGTGGCCCTTGTTGGCCAGCATGCCCGAGTATAACCAGTTGTCAACTTTACAACAACCGCCTTTGCTGTCGAGCACCTCCCACGGCCACCACCCCTATGGCCATCGCTCCCAGCAACAACCCCCTGCTTCGCAGAACACCCACGGCAACCTCCAGAAATGGTATCACCAGACTACCGTCTCCACTCCTCTAACCTCCCTAGGAGCAGAAGGCTACAAACTCCTCGCCTCCCTCCTCGAGTACGACCCCGAGAAACGCCTGACAGCCGCCGACGCCCTCGTCCACCCCTTCTTCACCTCGCCCACTTCCACCCCGCTTGCTTCCCTCAACAGCAACACGGCTAATAGCACCTCCCAAGGATCAGGAGCAGCAGCAGTCAACTGGTCACCAACCAACTGCTTCGAGGGCTTGAAGAACGAGTCATACCCGTGTAGACGCGTGTCGCAGGATGACAACGACATCGGGTTCGGCACGTCCAATGGGAACGGAACGGGGAACCAGAGTGGTTCGCGCGTGAATACCGCTGCTGCCGGGACGGGGACTGGGCTGGTGATGGGGCAAGCGCAGTCTCAGGTTCAGGCCATGGGAGGTTCGTTGGGAAATATCGGCGGAGGGGGACAGATGGGCGGGATGGGCCATGGTATGGGAGGTATGGGTCAAGGAGGGATGGTGCCGCAGATGGCGGGGATGAAAAGGATGCAAGACGCTGCTGCTGCTGCGGCGCAGAATAATCCCAACAAGAGGATGAAAGGGTCGCAGGGACAGGGTTAGGAACTTGATGTTGAGATACGCGGACAGAATCCCACAGAACAGCTTGATGCGCAGCATGGCCATCAGGGCCAACAGGGTCAGCACGAGGGCCATGGGAAACCAAACATGCCGGAAATGAACGCGTGGCTGTGGGGAGAGCTGAACGGCGTCATGAGCGGCAAGCGGGATGGTTAGGAGCCGTTTGACCTGCTTGACCGTGAGCTTCTGAACTGTTGGCAAGCAGAGACTGGGACAGGACCAGCACCAAAAGAACTGAGTTTTACAGAGGAACAGGGAGAGAAAAAGGAAGAGGATCAAGAAGAGGATCAAGAAGAGGATCAAGAAGAGGATCAAGAAGAGGATCAAGAAGAGGATCAAGAAGAGGATCAAGAAGAGGATCAAGAAGAGGATCAAGAAGACGAACAAGAAGAGGAAGAGGAAGAGGATCAAGAAGAGGATCAAGAAGACGAACAAGAAGAGGAAGAGGAAGAGGAAGAGGAAGAGGAAGAGGAAGAGGAAGAGGAAGAGGAAGAGGAAGAGGAAGAGGAAGAGGAAGAGGAAGAGGAAGAGGAAGAGGAAGAGGAACAACAATACATATCTCAACTCAACCTTCTCATCGATTGTCTTGATTCTTATCAACGGCTAAATGCCCAGGAACGGGCCCAGCATCAACAACAGCTACGACAAACAGTGCAACGACAGCGACTTCACCATGAGTTCTTACAACTACAACAACAACAACAACAAACACACATGGAAGTACTGCGAATCACCAATGCCCTCCGCAAGATCCCTCTCACTGCGGCCCAGTACCACGTCCAAGCGCAGCATCTCCAGCACCTACAGCGACTTAGATGGGAGATAGATAAGCTAGCGTGGCTTCACGAGCTGCGGAAACCGTTCTGTTACGATCGAGGACAGCAGCATGTGAGACACCCGTTGGAACCACTGATGATGTTGGGTCTCTGGCCTTGGAAGGTGCTAGATTCGCCGCCGGAACTCGTCTGGGCGTGCTTGGAGTTATTGGGGTCACTGAGGGAGGAGGTCCTGGAGGGGGACAGCGGCGAGGACATGGACGGCGGCGGGGACATGGACGAGGACAGCGGCGGGGATAGTGGCGAGGACGTGGGCGAGTGAGGTATGCTGGGGGGGTTCGGTGAAGGGATCTGGAGTTGACCGTCTTGATGTTGATGGGGGGATGGAGCAAAATGGAGGTGGCATTGCTAGCTGGTGTTGGTTCAGTGGGTATGGTCAATGAGTCAGGTAATCATGAATCAAACGGGAGGAGACACAGGTGGGCAGGCAACAGGATGGAACAGGAGATAGCAAGGTCTGGTGTTGAGGAAGGTTGAAGGCGTGGCGTTTCTTTGCTCGGACTGGATTTGAGGCGCGAGCTAGGCATTTTAGGTCGGACCAGGATACAGGGAGATGGACACGGCATGAACTAGGACGGTATGGGTGGAATACGAGAATAGGAGTTACAGAAGAACCATCGGATATTTTCAAGGCCATGGCCATGAGTAGCATAACAGAGCGCAACACCTCTAGACATTCCACTTCACGGAATCACAATCAAATCAAAGACTCCCGGACAATGATACGTGCCAACAACTTCTCTCTTCATACAACTACCAACGAAGCTCGCTATAAAACAAAAAAGTTAGGTTAAAAACGAAGAAAAAAAGTTACCCGGGTATCCTATGATGCCTCCACCATCCACTTCCCCTCTTTTCTTTTCCTGTCTTCTTCTTTCAACGAACAAAAAGGATATCAAGAACAACCAAACAGTACTAGGTAATTACGGATTATGTCCCCTCCCCTCCCCTCCCCTCTCCGTTCTCCATGCAATCCATCCTCCCCAGCTTCTTCTTCCAACTCGAATCAAGTAGCCAAGTTTCCAGTCCCCTCTCGTTGCGTATCCCAAAAAAGCTGGGAAAGGTTTGTTGTTCATCTCTCTGTCTCGTAACAAACATCTTGTGTTGGGATGAGTCATTACCCTCTCTTTCTCTTGATCTGCTCGATTTCCCTTTCTTGGTTAACAGTTCACCGCACACCACAGTCCGGTGCGAGAGCCGTTATTGTTTGCCGAAACCGAATGTCGCCTTGACGGATCTGTTTTTGACGTCTGGAGTGTGTGTAGCTTGGAGCTCGACAAAGCCAGACAAGACAGCGAACATGATCCGTCATCGGCTACGGCTAACGGCCGGTGGGTGGCCCTGTTTATGTTTCTTGCTCGATCGAAAACCGTGTCGGGTTGGGTTCGATCACTGCTTCTGGGCAGCCCTCATGTTATCGGAAAGCCAGTTGAAGCCCTCCTGCAGACCGGCCTTGTCTACCGCGATGGTGGGTTGTACGGCGTAGATGCGGTCCTTGAGCTTGTTGAGCTGGAGCTTCTCGGTGACCTCTTGGGGAGTCATGGCTGTTTGTCACCCATCTGTCAGCACCTGTTCCCAAAATCGAGCGCAGCGTGGAAAGAAAAAAGAAAGCCGAGCGCAGCGGACACCCAATAAAGAAAGAAGAGAGTACTCACCACCAGCAATATCCTGCTTATTAGCAAACACCAACAACAAACAATCCTTCATCTCGCGATCATTGATAATCCGATGTAACTCCACCCTCGCCTCATCGATTCTGGCATGATCCGCGCTGTCCACCACGAAAATCAGACCCTGGGTTCCAGAATAGTAATGGCGCCAGAGCGGACGGATCTTGTCCTGGCCGCCGACGTCCCAAATGTTGAACTTGATGTTGCGCAGCGTCACCGTCTCGACGTTGAAGCCCACCGTGGGGATGGTGGTGACGTGGTCTTGCAGCTTGAGCTTGTACAGGATGGTGGTCTTGCCGGCGGCGTCGAGACCGAGCATTAGCACGCGGACTTCTTTGGTGCCGAAGAGCTTGGCCATGAAGCCGAGGGACATGACGTTGCCCATTTTGGTGGTGGTCTGGGAGTTGTGTATGTGTGGTGGTGGTGGTGGTGGTGGGTGGAAGGGGTGGTGGTCGTGAATTCGACCGGAGGGTTGGTTCAGTTAGGTGTCTATGGATGACACGAGAGTTCGATCGGTTCGCGACGAAGGAGTGTGTGGTCGTGGAAGGACTGATGAGTGGTCGGCTGACGATGGGCAAGAAGCGGAATTAAGGAGTGGACTGGAGAGAAACATGTGTTAGTACGGCGTTAGAGGTTGAGGCGTGGTAGCGCACGTTAGACCGGAGGTGGTAATGAGGTGGGCGAGACAGCTGAGGGAACATTGGGGAGACCGGATGGGTTTCAAGATGGCGACCGGCCATGTGGTAGCGACACCACCACCAGCCAGCCTAGCCTGGGGAAGAGAAGACAGACAACATACCTTGGGTATCGTGTTGATTACAATTGGATTAGGCGCAAAGGGGAGTGTAGTGTAGTCGCGCAGTCGAGTGGTGTAATTGTCGTGCTTCACGTGTTTCTGTCTGGGCGAGATATCGTCGTCGCAGCAGCGGGCTGTGTATCGCTCGGTAGGCTAGTGTTGGACAAGAGATTAATTATTCAGGAGCAGGTGCCGTGGGCCGTGGAGTGGTGAAACCTGGAAGAGGTGATCAGGCTGTTGATCCAATGTCAATGTCCAAGACAGAGACACAGCAACGAACAACAGAAGCGCAAAAGTTCAGGAGCTCAGGAGATTTGAAGGCTGTCAGAGATCAAGTCCTCTGTCACTCACTCACTGGGGTCGCCCACTGCGTGTTAGAAGGGAAACACGCCGAGGATATTCCCCATTTCCCCCATGGTTTGATGCCCCTGAAGAAAGAGCCAATCAGCGGCCAGATCTGGAATTGCCATTTCCTTCTGCAGCTGGTCCGTGCTTCCTCCGCAAGCCAGGCGTGGCACGACAAGGGAGGGGCCTGGTCTAGCGGGCACTGGCTGGATCCACTCGGAAATTCAAATGTGGATGAAGCGATGCTGAGAATTGCCGGGAAAGTCACCCACAGTCCGGCAATCAGACTTCCGAAAAGAACCCGGCAACTTCTCTCCGGCAATTGGCATTGTGGGAATCATCAGACTTCAGAGAATAAGACAAACACCATGGAATGGGAAAACATGTGATATTTGTAGGGATACCCATGAGAATACAATCCACTTGTTATACCTATCGTCCATTTGCTTGCACATGGAAAACCGCTGATATGCCTCCGGCGGCCTCTCCCGAGGAGGGAGACTGGACCTCGTTGCTCTCGATGGTGAGGTTTGCGGGACCAAAAGACAGCGCTCAGCACATTCGGCTCTCACTCACGCAGAATGGCATTACGCCGAGACTGGTCGTCCTGGTCATGAATAGGAAAACATTTAGATATGTACCCGTATATTATTTTGGTGCAGAAAACAATCTGCTAGGTGTACTACTGTTTGTATAAACTGCTGTTGTGGTTTGTCCTGCCCATAACCACCAAAATCAAGATCTCCAGCCCTGCCAAGGGCATATGAGCGACACATATGCATAAAGCCTTTGCCATTGCCTTATTGTCTCTCTGTTTTCTTCTTCCTCCAAGCCAGCGGCTGATCAGAATCCGAATCATCCACATCCTTCTCATCCTTCTCGCCATCATCGCTGAGTTTAAGATCGTCCAGAGCCGAAAGTTCAGACGTTGAAGGCATTTCACTCGTATCCCTATCCTCCCCCTCCTCATCATCATCGTCCTCACTCTCATTCTCCTCATCATCTATGTTCATCTTCCTCCAAGCCAGGCTCCAAGCGTGATCGTCCTCACCATCATCGCTGAGTTTAACATGGCTCAAAGGCGAAAGTTCAGAAAGAAAAGGCATTTTCTTCCTCCAAGCCAGCGGCAGATCAGAATCCGAGTCGTCCACATCCTTGTGATCGTCCTTACTCTTATTCTCCTCCTTATCCATTCTCTTCTTCCTGCTCCAAGCCAGCGGCAAATCAGAATCCGAGTCGTCCACATCCTTGTGATCGTCCTCACCACCATCGCTCTCAGCCTTCTAAGCCCTGTACTCCACCACAAACCGTCTCTCAACCAACTGCAGCGTCCCACTATTCTCCTCCCCCTCAAACCTCAACTTGACCCTTTCCTTGCCCTCCCCCTCTCCTTCAGCTTCGATTCCCATCACCTCCGCCTTGTAAAACGTCGTACTATCCGGATACAGGGCCAACACCACTTTGCCCTTTTCCAGCTTCGGTAGCTTCTTTTCTTCTTCGCCGGCGGCAGGAATGGGGATCATGCTCGAGGCAGAAGTGCGGTACTCGACGCGTTGGTCCGGATCCAGATCGGGATCGGCGTCCTGCACGCGGTAGCGACGGGATTTACCCTCGCCGAGAACTTGTTGCACGCGCCCGAGCATCCATTCGGTGGTTTCGTTGCCGGTGGCCGGAGAGGGTTTGGGCTTGAAGACTACGTCTTGGCCCTTGTGGAAGGTGACTTTGGCACGTTGGGTGGCGCCTGCTGTTGTAGGTGCTGAGGTGGTGCCGTTGGAAGTGGTACTGGTGTTGGGTTCCGGAGGGACGCTGTCTTTGGAGGGAGTGTCGCGGGGAGGCACGCTGTCACGGGCGGTGGAAGCCCGATCACTGCCGGCGGTAGTGTTGGCTCCGAGCTTTCTGGTGTGGCTTGAGAGAGGAGAGGGGACAGGTGAGTCGCCGGCGCCGTCAAAGTCGTACATGGAGGAGAGGTCGCGGTCGCTGTGTTTATCCCTCTCCTTGTCTCCCAACTTGTCACCCAGCCTCTCCGAGTTGCGGTCCCGATCTTTGCCCTCTTTATCCCCCTTCTCCCTATCCCCACCACGATCCTTGTCACCCCGATCACGGTCCCTGTCCCTCCCTTCACGATCTCCTCGATCCCCCTTTCCCCCATGCCCCCTGACCGAACTCGACCTCCCTCCACTCCCCAAAAGGCTGGAGCTGTTTCTATCCCGTCCCGCACTGCTTGAATGAGGTCCTGGCGTGCCTACGCTATGCACCACACCTTCGCTCTCCTCCCTCGCCTTGACCAGTGCTCGCAAGACCATGACATGCTCAATCACCTCTTGGAGTTTTTGTTTGCTGATGTCGGCACCGCCAACACCGGCCCGGATGAGTGTGTCGAGGGTTTGTTCTAGTGCTGCAATGTCGGTTTTCTCTCCTTCGGGGTTCTCTTTTGACGCTTCGCGTGACTTGGCAATGAGAGAGTCCTGAGCGAGAATTGCGCGTATCTGGTCGTTGGAGGTGTTGATGGTCTCGACCATCTCGCGGATCTCGTCTTTGATGAGGGACCAGAGCTGGGCTTCTTCGCCTTGAGTGCTGGACGAGGAGTTGCGGTTGGGGTTGCGGGATTGGCGGTTGCGAGACGACATTTTGGCTGTGGTGTTTGAGTGAGTGGTGTGAATGACAGGGGGTGATGCTTGGATATGGACGTTGAGGTTCTCACGAGGTGATGCACGGTGAGGAGGGCCTGGAGGGGTACCTCGGCGAGTAACTTGGACTTGGAGAACGTGTGATTGAATAAGAATGAATTATACGACGTGATTGAGTAAGAAGCTTCCGTCCAGCAGAGAAACTTTAAAAATGCCAAATACTTGGATATTTGTTTGGTGGAAGATGTCTGAAGTTGAAGACGGGAATGGGAAGTTGGGAGCTAGGGGGTTTTAAAGAACCTCCAAAGCACGAGCCACCAATTACATGCCCGACGTGATGTCCGCAAGCAGGTAAAGTAAAAAAACGGAAAGACGAAGCAGGTAAAGTAAAACCGGGCCTCAACTATGTGGGCTGCTGCTTCTGCATTGACTTGGAAGCAAAAGAAGGCAGGAAGGCGATGCGTGGTGTGGCAGTTGTGGTGTTGACATTTCCAAGTTATCGGCAGGCATCTCCAGTGCAGCCAGGCGCAGGTCCAGTACCTAGGTACCTACCCCACTTCTTCTCCCGGCCGGCGACTGCCGTACTGGGAGGAGGGGGGTGCAGCTTCCGGTCAATTGACAGATCGAGACCCCCGAACGTTCAAGGCGACTCTAATAATAACTTCCAAAAGCTTCTTTCTGTCATTTGACTGTCAGATATTAGTTAGGAAGGTTCAATATGTTGAAAACCCCTAACATTGGAAAGAACGAACGTTTATCAGTTGTAAACGATCCAAGTCCCGTCCGTGAAATGACGAACGGTCAATTGACGGCTCGCTGGACCCCCCTCCTCCCAGTACGGCAAGCGTAGCGCGTCGTTAGCGCTAACAATTTCCCCAGAGCATCAACTGCATTTGTTTTGTTTTCATCACCATTGAATGTTAATGTTGGTCATCACGTCTCAGCCTCGACGACCCGAGAACATGAGGCTTGAAAGAACAGCTGCGATACATCCACGGGAAACCATAACCTCGGCGTATTCCCCTCAGCAAGTGCTTATCACCAACACTGTCAGCCAAGCCCGCGTCTTATCCCAAAGCAGAACATATTCAACGCCCTTTCCGGCTATCATTCGCTTATCAAGCCTACCCCAACACCCATCACGAATAACCATCGATAAATTCACCAATGATACCAGAGTGGTATCTGAGTGGGATACTTTATCTGTCCCCAGCCCATCCAGCCTCTCAAAGCCAAGATAAGCTTAAACTAACCCACCACGGCGATGTTGGGGTCGAGTGTCCAAACGGTTCGAGGAGGGGTTGTGAGTGGCTGCTGATTCCATGTTTCAAGATAATATTCTTCCTTCTCCTCCCCTCCTTCCATCTTTCTCTCTGCTTTTGTCTTCCGAGTTCCAAGATCGCGGAATGTTCACGTGGAAGCCAGTGTTACACCGCCGATAGTGACTTGAAATTGGTTACATCACCTTTGCGCAGTGAACATTGAGGGTTCCATTGCATTGCTCTACCGGCATTGACTTCTACATCTCTACCGCACATCGTTCAAAGTACATTCTTCTGTCTTACTCATCTCTCACAATCACCTACCTACCTTGGGACCAATATAGGCTCGTCTACAACAGCCAAGATGGGCACTCAAGACCCGATATCCTCCGTCCAGCCCGACCTGGAGCAATCCTCCCACACCGGTGGCAATGGCAACGACGGCAACGACGAACTTGACGAGTCCCGCCTCGCCCAGTTCGGCTACAAGCAAGAACTCAACCGCGACTGGGGTCTAGCTCACAACTTTGGCGTTTCCTTTTCCATCATCGTCAGTCTCTTCTTCTCTTCCCCCTCACTCATCCTCCACTAACACCACACCACCACAGTCCGTCGTCACCGGCCTCACCACCCTCTTCTCCTACGGCCTCTCCACCGGCGGTCCCGCCGTCATGTCCATCTCCTGGATCGTCGTCTCCTTCTTCACCCTCCTCGTCGCCATCGCCATGGCCGAAATCGTCTCCGCCATCCCCACCTCCGGCGGCCCCTACTTCTGGTCCGCCATGCTCGCCCCTCCGCGATGGTCTCCCTTTCTGTCCTGGCTAACGGGATGGTTCAACTTACTCGGTCAAGTGGCAGTCACGACGGGCATCACGTTTGGACTGGCGGGACTAGTATCTACAGCCATTACTGTCAAGAGCCCGGACTACGAACCGACGGCTGCCAAGACTATTGGGATCTATGCGGCGCTGTTGGTTAGTCATGGCGTGCTGAATACGTTTGGGGTGAAGGCGTTGAGGATTTTGAATAATGTCAGCATTGTCCTGCATAGCGCGGGGATCACGGCGCTTTGTATTGCTGTTTTGGCCAAGGCGCCGAAGCTCCAGAGCGCCAAGTTTGTGTTTGGGAAGTATCACGACGGGACGGCAGCCGAGGAGGGGGTAGAGGGATGGGGCCAGCGCGCATCCCCAGGGTACGTGGTCCTTTGCGGAGCTTTGCTGTCTCAGTACACCCTCACCGGCTTCGACGCCAGCGCACATCTGAGCGAGGAGACGAAGAACGCGAGTTGGTCTGCGCCGATTGGTGTGGTGAGCTCCGTGGGATTCAGCTCGCTGTTTGGGTTCTTTGTGCTTCTGTCTTTCTTGTTTTCGATCCAGGACTTTGAAAGAGTTCTGGATAGCAGGTATGGACAGCCTGTGCTACAAATCTTTGTGGATGTCCTCAGTGAGGATGGCGCGCTGGTGTTGTTTAGCTTGATCATGGTTTGTGTATGGCATTGTGGGCTGTTCAGTATGACGAGTAATTCTCGAATGATGTTTTCGTTTGCCCGCGACAGAGGCATCGTGAGTTTCCTTTTCCCATTATCCCCCCTTCTTTTCTCAGCAAAGAACAAAAACTAACAGCAAACAGCCCTCCTTCTTCCACCAAGTCGACGCCCGCTTCAAATCTCCCATCCGCGCCGTCTGGCTCGCCGCCACCCTCTCATTCATCCTCGCCCTCCCCTCTTTAGGGAGCGAAGTCGCCTTCGGAGCCGCCACCTCCATCGCCACCATCGGTCTGTACCTCTCCTACGGCCTGCCCATTTTGATCGGGCTCTTCTGGCACAAGAACTTCACAGCCATAAAGGGCCCCTTCAACCTCGGCGCTCTCTCACGTCCCATCGCTGGCGCTGCATGCCTCTGGATTTGTTTCATCACTGTAGTGTTCTGCTTGCCTACTGCCAACCCCGTTACCAGCCAGACGCTGAACTATACCGTGGTGGCTGTGGGTATCATCGCGGTCGGTTCCATAGGATTGTGGGTCGTTTGGGCGAGACGGTGGTTTACGGGCCCGGCGGCGGAGGCGGCGGAGGCGATGAGGTTGGGGGTTGATATCACGGAGCCGGGGGCGCTGGAGAGGAAGGAGAAGGAGGCGTTGGAGGAGGCGAGGATGGAGGGGGAGAGGGAAAGGAGGGAGAGGGAGGAGAAGCAGGCGCCGGCTGATAGTGAGTGATCGTATGCGCTCAAGATATGCTATTTTATCAACACAACCCCTTTTAAAGGAAATATCACTCAATCCATTTTGACTATCAACATCAACAGTCCCACAAAGAAGATCACCAACGCCATTGCCCTCATTATCATCACCCTCCACCCTCCCACTTATTCCCACCTCAAAACTCCCCCCTAGCCAAATCAACAGTAGCACAATGAAACGATCCCCCCAAGCTATTCACATGTCTAAACGGCAACCTCACAACCTCCATCCCAAACTCCTCCTCCAACCACCTCGCAAACCTCTCCTGCCTCTCCTCCACCACAATAGTCTTCTCATTGACACTCATGGCATTAAGAACCAACCACTTGGAGCACATGTACCTCGGCGGTCCATCATCATCAGTATCATCCTCGTCTTCTTCCTCCTCGGGGTTCCACGGCAGCGGCCTCAGATCCCAGTCCCTAAAAACCTCGTGCCGTCGCAGTTCCTCCTCCGTGACGCGCGAGGGGCAGTAGACCAACGTTCCGTGGCGCAAAGGAAGGATGGTAGCGTCTATGTGCATCGCGTGGTCGTCGGTGGTGTTGAGGAGCTCGACCGTGTAGGGCTCGGGCAGCACGGCGCGGAGATAGTCGACGCCCTTGGGGTTGGTGACGTTGGAGAGCTGGCCGATGAGGACGGTGCCGAAGCGCATGAAGTCTGCGCAGTCGAAGGCGGGGCGGGTGTTGTTGATTGCCCATTTTATGCTTATGGGGGTGTTCTTCTTGCCGTTCTGGGTCTTTTCTTCCAGGGTCCCGTTCATGTTCTGTTTCACACCATTTTTCTCCGGCCTGGGCTCTTTAAGGGAACCCTCATCTTGATCCAAAAGCCCGTCATACAACGTATCTCCCCCCACAATCCTCGGCACTCTACAAATCCTCACACCCTCCTCCCCTTTCTTTTCCACCTCCCCCACAACCTCCTCCAAAATGTCACTAAACGCAGCCTCAACCTCCCCCCTCCTACACCCCCACCCAAAACACGCCTCCACCACCGTCCTCCCCATAACCATCAGTCCATCCCTCGGCATCGCACCGGTATACCCTCCCCTCCCCTCATTCGCCTTGGCCCAATCCACCTCCCTCGGTCTGTAAACCTTGATGCCGAACCTCTCCGTCATTACTTGAGCGAAATTGTCGAGTTCTTCGTCTGCCTTGGCGACGATGGAGGCGGGGGAAGGGGTGGTGAGGACGGAATTCGGGGTGGTGGAGGGAGGGCATAGCTGCGCGGATCATGTGCGGTGGCTCGGCCGATGATGAGAGTGTGGAGGGGGGAGTATTCGGTTGAGGCTGAGATGGCTGGGGTGGTTGTGGTGGGTTTGGTCTTTGGGGATGTGGCGTCCTCTTTCGGGGAGGACATGTTGGAGGTTGCACGTGTTGTTGTGTCTTTTTTGAGGACCATCTTGGAGAGCGTTGCGTGCGGGCTCTTGGTGTATGGGTTGAGTTCAAATGGTATGGGAGTGGTGTGAGAGGTGCCGTTTATTGAATCCCTTTTTGCAGTTTGAGGTCATGCCGCTGACTTATAAGTCGGAGAGGCCATGCCCAAAACAAACTGGCTTGATCTCGTGGTAAAGTCGAGGAATTCCGTGCTTCAGAGTTGCTCCATCCTTTCCGAACGTCATCTGTCGTCCAGGCCGCGCCGTCGCTTCATTCCTCGGTCCAACTTCTCATCCAGTCGGCTCCGTATATGCCCTTTCGGGTTCACCCCAGCTCGTCTTCTCGCAAGAACCGACCAAGCAACCAACCTATCAGTTCCCCCACACAGGGTTTACTCAACTTCCACATCCCAGGTCAGCGCAAGGGCGGAATGACACCCGGCGAAGCCTGACGTTGTACGGCGCCTCACCCACCGTCCCCAAACACTGAGTTCGGTAATGAAAACTCTGTAGGCCTGTCGCTGGGGGATACCATCTAGTAATATGTCTCACCGGGGGGCCTAGAGATCTGCATGCTCGGAATGACGGGAATACCCTGCATTTGCTTGCGTCGTCATCTTCGACCTTCTGGGGGGTGGCGATCCTCGGAAGTTTTTCCGATCTTGTCTCACCTCGCGGGTCGATCCGGTCCTGTCGGCTTTCGGATGCAAGGGAAGCCCGCTTACTGCTTCTTCGCGCCTCGTTCGGGAAGCAATTGAGCAGGTATTTGCGGGGAAGTAATGACAGAGAGTGCTTCTATGCCATCTGTTGTGGGACGTTGGCCTTTGAGTTCCTGCTCTTGGCTTCAGAAGACGGGAGCGGGAGCTTGAGAATCCCGCGACGCGCGCGCCTTCAACGCCTCTTGAGGCCAGGCATGACAGGCAAGAGCGTGAGGAAAGGGCGGGAGACATAAGCAAGAACGAATAGGACGAAAGACACTGAGCTGCTGCAATTGAAGTCAATAAACACGTGCAAATGCTTAACTTCCAACTCGGCCTGGTTGCAGGTTTGCAGGAAGGAGACAAAAAAAGAGTGACCGACCACTGTTCGAACGCACCACCTCTCCAGACAAGAGCAAAAATCAGCAAAAAAAACAACAACCGCTCGTTCAGAGCAATGGTGAATCGTTTGAACCCATTTGAATGCCTCTGTCGACTGGAGTGTTCCCAGATACCATATAGGTAGACCGGCTACTAGGTAGTGAAGACCCCTCTACGTGTCTTAGCACACACCGTTCCCGATCCGGACAGGCAATAGGTTTTTGAGTTTGGGGAGCCAAACGGTAGACCACTGTGCCATCTGACCAAGCGGTTGTTGTTGGGAAAAGCAACCAACCAGGTCCCTTATATGGTCATTAGGGGGTTTTGATATCGGATGAAGGAGGGGCACCTCTAGGGAAGGTACCCCTTTCTTTCTTTTCTTCTCCCCTCGTCCACTGCTCCCACCTGAGCTCTTGATTCCTTCTCCGTCATCATCTCCTCCGTCTCCCTCAAAAAACCGCAACGGACGCTCACCAAGGCCCCTCACTCCCTGTCGACCCTGGCTATGTCCGTCATCCTGTCCCCAGTGAAAGTCGAGATATGGGACGCGAAGTCAGAGAGCCATCAAACAAGATTTCCAACCCTGCCACAACATACTCGGGTTGGTGTATTGAGGGTACTGTCGAGACAAAGGGGCTGGAGATCGGGGAGGTTGATATCAACGAGGGATGGAACTTTGCGTTTGGCTGATGTGGGGGAAGTAAGGGGGGTATTTGGCAGCATGTTGCGATAGCGTGGGAGTGTTTCGTTCTTCTGGTGCACATGGGATGGATTCCTGCTAAGGTAACGAACATGTCGGCCAGCGATGAGTTTGCCTGTCGCCATGGTTTATCCTCGGTTTCATGACGGATGTTGTTCATGACAACGAGTACCCCGGCTCGGAAGCGTTCGTCGGCGATGATTGTAAGGAGAATTGGGCGCTTCGGTGTGTTGAAATTGTGCAAACGAAGATGTAATGTTGGGGACTTACCTCGTTCCATTTTCTGTTCTTCCGATCTCGTTAGAGGCAGTTGGTAGACCATGAAACCAAAAACACCAACAAAAGTCAGTGTCATCAAACGGCGACACCCTCATGAAGTGTCAATCTCCATCAAGGAACATGTCGTGTGTCTTCCTTCGTGCCAGGCTCGACAGCAGTTTCCAGTCGTCGTGAAGTTTATAAGGAGCCTCCGTACGCCCCTTCCCTGCTACTCTCGAACAACACAGCACATCGCATCGCAACCACTTCGACTTCGCACCAGTTTACAAAACCCACAACTTGACAATCAAAACCATCAACATCCATTAACCACCCAACACTCACCATCAAAATGATCTTCAACATCCCCCTCCCCACCACCTTTGGCGAACCCATTCCCACGGTTCCCAGCAAGCCCATCCCCACCGTGCCCAGCAAGCCCGTTCCCAGCAAGCCCGGCAACAAGCCTGAGCCCGAGGACGTCTTCGCCCCCTACACCTTCGGCGAGCCCATTCCCACGGTTCCCAGCAAGCCCATCCCCACCGTCCCTAGCAAGCCGGTTCCCAGCAAGCCCGGTAACAAGCCCGAGGAGTACGAGTTCGACGGTCTCGTCCCCTTCCATACCTTCGGCGAGCCCATCCCGACGGTTCCCAGCAAGCCCATTCCCACCGTTCCTAGCAAGCCCGTTCCCACCAAGCCCGGTAACAAGCCTACGGATGAGGACACGGATCTTGAGGATGAGTACTAAGTAGGGGGAGGTAGGAGCACCTAACCGATTAGAGGAGCAGAAGGGGTGGATGCCAAGGACATGAGGTTAAACTGAAGGAGAGAAGGAAAGAAGGAATAAGTAAGCAAAGGCGGGCATGAAATAATGAGGGATTGTATGCATCTGGAGAAGGTACAGGGAGTGTTGGCGAGTATGGAGGATCGATCACGGCATATACAACTGGACTGCCGATTTGAGCAGCGCCTGGCCGTCAGGACGATGGAATTCATGCGCATGGAATGTTTGGAGGAGAGCAAGAGTTGAAAGTGGTCTTGGTTTGGAGAACGATTGTGAAAGAGAAAAAAAAAACAAAGTAGATAAGCAATCATGATCGTCATCAATGGATACCTATAGTTCTTCTGTTGCCCATGTTCAACATGAGACAAAGCCCCGCGAACACCGACCATGTCCATGTACATCTCTACCGATGACCATCAGAGGTCAACCTGTGACCTGCAAGTCGTTCGTTAGTGGCGCTATCATCAGACATAACTGAATGCCTATGGCGGGACCATGAATGGCGAGTTTGCTTGCCTGAGATACCAACTTGAGGGAAAACGAACGCTCTTCTCTCACTCGAGAGAATTGTTCAGTGTTTCGCTCAAAAGCATCATCAAAACAATTTCCCACCAAGCACCATGACTTGGAAAAGCCCACCCGAGGCCTCAGACGAGGAGCGCCTCCTCCATCAAACAGACGAAGACAACTCGTCGTTCAGGGATCCACCAAGACGTAACGGTTCATCAATATGGCTCTGGCTTTCTCTAGCCTTGAACGCGACACTCGTCGGCGTGTTAGCAATCGGTTGATTCCATAAGGCTTCAACTCAATGCTCAGGGCGATGCATCCCCGACCCGGTGTACAGTCTGTCGCTTTTCCTCCCTCTCCCATCCCCATCTTCCTTGACTGACAACGTGCACTAGCACCCGCCGACGATGTAATCTCATGCGAGACTGTCGTCTTCCACAGCGGCCTACACCTAGACAGGACCGAATACCAAGGCCCTTCCGATGAGGTCAAGGCCAACTGGGAAGCCCTGTACAACAGTAAGAGGCTCCCCTTGCCCACCCCTCCCACAGTACTCCCATCTGATCGAGTTTGATGATGCTTGATACCTTTGAAGGGGGTCCAAGGGACGTGGGTATGTTGCCGTTGAGGGTAACAGGGTCAAGGAGTTTGACGTCTCATGCCGGCAGACGTCGTCACTGGCGGTGTCAAGGTGTGTGTGAATGAGGTAACAAGGTGTTGTGTGAGCTGCTTCCTGGTCTGCCGGTGTGCGTGGACGGCTCATTGGACGGTCAGCACCACTTGATCGCGCCGAGAATATTCAGGTTTCGAGAAGGCGCAGAATGACGTTGCCAGAAAAGAAAATACCGTTTGAACTGCGACTTCGCTCGGAGACAGTCCGCCGCACTCTGCAGGTACAAACACCAAAAACCCATCAAGGCTTCTTTGCGAATATGATCGACCTCGATATTTGCCTAATGTGGTAGGCGGGAGACGTGTACAAAAGTTAGATCGGCGATGGCGTGCTGCACTAACAGTTTCTGCGGGTGATTATGTGAGTAATTGTTAGTGTCAAGCACGTGGTGACTTGCCAGCTTTCGCACCTTTCGCCCGTGTTTTTGTGCGTTTTGTCACGTGTAGTGTATCTTTCCGTGCGGGAGAGGGTGATGGCCAGGAAAGACGGGTGATGAATGCTGCCATCCGAAAGCGCGAGAGGCCAGAGGGATGGAGGAAAAGGTGTCAGCCAAGAGCTGTCAAAGTCATTTCCACTCAAAGATTGGCGAGAAAGAAAACTTGAAGGCCAATCACCAAGACTCCAAAAAGGGACAAGTGCAGAACCGATAAGCTGATCGCAAAATCTAGACCAACTATGTGGACCGAGAAAAAGCGAATCGGCATTGCGAATGTCAGTGTCAGCATTCACGGCAAGAGTGCGGGCAGCCGCCTTCCCGACGTCATTCAAAGTTGTTCTTGCCTTCTTGTCCGTTGTTGCCCGTTTCATATCGATTTGAGAAAGAGGGGAAGTTGGACAAGAGAACAAAAAGTCCGTCCAACCCCGCCTGCTGAGATTTCTTGTCCTTCGGTTGATGCTCCGGGGGAAAGAAGTATCTTGAAGTACCTTTGTTGCCCGTTCGTCTTCTCAGCGCCAACGCGACAGCACTGCAAGATAACGAAAGCCCTGCCACAGCTGACATCAGAAACACCGAGTTGTTCTCAGCCTCAAGCGGATGGCTGATGGCTGATGGGAGCGAGATAGCAGTGCTGCAGTGATATCGAAAGCGCATGGCTTTGATCCTCCGTCATCGATAGTCTGCGCCTTTGATCCCAACTTGGCAAAGAGATGCGGACCAAACATATCATCCGGATGAAGCTGACGATAATTTCGTTATCACTGTAGTATCATCATCGAGAACGATCAGATGTGACAGCTTGTCGGTCCAGCTCAGCCACTCGATGTCCACGAACGTCGGCGCATTGATTGTTCAGGCACCGCCAAAGTAGCATTCGAAAGCCACACTGCGCCTGGAGTGCGCCAACCTGAAGATATTGTCGCGTTATTACTCGTCGGTTAGGTGCACGCATTGGCCACACTCTGGGGGCCAGCCATGTGGGGCCTCCCTTTGGGGGCCCGCTTATAACCAGCCAACCGACTCTCATTGTCCCTTTGAGAATTGGATTTTGTACGTAACGTGCAAGGTCTATAATAGTATAGAAACTACACTCAACTAGAATATTACTAATCTTTATTATATCGTACTATAAATAACTTTATTTTTCTCGTCTCATCATACTCTATCTTTTATATATACTTTCATTATACCTATATTTAACCCCGACATTATATTCTGTATAGAGAAGGCCGCCCAGCATTTTATTATAAGTTAAACTATAATTATAACCTGATCTACTACCTTACAATCTAAAGCTAATGCTAAAATTAGAAATAAAGGGACGGTTACATATAAGAATATAGGGGAATTATTTAACGTTAGTAAAGCTATCGTTAAGAAATATATAATATTTATTAGGGAGGGTAAGATTCTACCGACCGGTATAGAAGCTTATCGACCGCTAGCCTTAATTGTAGACGAAAATAAAATTTTCAATATCATAGTTTAAATTATTAACCGTACCTACTTCCCTTTGAATAATACTTCCCTCATTAAATTAGCGAACCAATTACGTACGTAATAATTATACCCCCCTTCAATGAACCTCTATAGGAATTGGCTTATCGAGTAGCGAAAGAAATATTTTAAATCCGAATTTAAAGTAGCTAATTTTAAAAACGTAAAAAGAATAAATACTAAGGTTTAATTAAACTCTCTTAAAGATTAGTTCAAGGAAGTAAAAGTTATTTATAATAGCTTCAACACTAAGGAGAAGAACGTCTAGAATATAGATAAATCTCCCTTTCAAGTAGGGGAAATTAAGGGAACTATAAAAGTATAGATTATATTACTTTATAATATCCCCCTATATTACTTTATTAAATAACCTTACACTAATTATTATAATAATAAGTATTATTTATAAAGAATAAAGCCCGTAGAAAAAGTATTATATTTAATCCTAATAATTATGAAAATTTAACTATTATTAATACTATATCGGCCGCGGCTAAGAATATCCCTTCCTTCCTAATATTTAAAATATAAATTATAGTAAAGCTCTAATTTCGTTATTTACAATTAAATTTGATCTCTCTTAAATCAATTTAATTATAAGTATAAAGTAATATATAGGCTAATCACAAAGTAGATCTAGACGTAGTTATTATAACTATATTAATTAAATATAATAATATATACTGGGCATTGTAATAAATCAAACATTTCAATAAGCACTCTTTTAAATTATCTCCCTTATTTAATAGGACTATAAAGGACTAGTTTAGTCTATTACATAATTACCTACCTCCTTTTAAAAGACTAGAGCCTTTTAAAGGTAGCGATAGTATAGCGGTAAACTTTTTAATAAAGCTAAAGGTATATAGGGTATTATTTATAGACGGATTTAAAATTTATAAGGACCTACATATTTTATAATATTATAAGGCCTTCGATATTATACTTTATACTCTACCCTTATATATTAACTATATACTTCAACTACTTAATATAGGAATTCATTAAGTAATTAAAAAGGTTTACTAGAAAGCTCTAATAAACGAAATTACTAGTAGGGCTATTAATATTAACCGTATAATCTTTTTAAATAATTGGAAGAAAGTTAAAGAGGCGGGCTTTATTCGAAGTAATATTTATAAGGGATAGGAAAAGATTGGTCTTTAGCCTTTCAAACCCGATGTCCTTCTTAATAAATTTCGTAAAGCCGTAAAAGTATAATAAGAACCCTTATTCTCTAAATGTTTTAAAAAGCTATTATACTACGTAAAATCCTTCGTACCTTTAGTTCACCAGCTATATAGGAACTGATTAAAGAAGCTAATTTACTATTTAAAACGTAGGCTAATAATATAAAAATTACTTTAATAGTTTCCATTAATATATAAAAATTAATATTTAATTAATAGGAGAATTAGAAGCGCTATATTAAAATAGAAGTTTAAAAATAGAACCTTTGTAAATATATTTCTATTAGCAATAGCGCTTATACGAAAAAAGTATTTAATATTAAAATTATAGTAAAAAAGGTAGTTAATATAAAGGAAGAACTAAAGGAAATATAGCGAACCAGCCTTACTTTTATTAAAAAGATTGCCTTCGAGGAAAATTCTAATCTTAAATAATAATTACTGCGAAAATTAAAGGCTAAGAAAGCTATACCAAAACTTAATAAGGATAATATTCTTAACGCTAATAACCTTATTAGTATTATTATAGATTATTTAGAATATAATTTAATATTTAAGTAAAAGGAAGGCTAGGACGAAGCTATTATTAATAATAACCGCTGTAGGTTTATAACTTGTATTTAAAATCCTATTTATTTATATTATATATTAGAAATAAAAGTATAGAAAGCTACCTAACTAATAGAATAGGACTTCAATACTTTCTTAACTAATTTTAAAAACGAAGAAAATAAATTCTATAAAGCTATAGGGAAAGCTACCCTTCCTAATTATAATCAAGATTTTATACCTCTCAAAATATATAGTAAGAAGCAGGCTAGAAAGATTCATAGAGGGAGCACCTTATCAGTTAAATTTATTCTAAATAATAGGGATATAAAGGATATACTTAATAAACTCCCTACTATATTATAATATATTTATTTAGTTAGGCTAAGGTTAAGATTCCCCTTAATGCTATACTCTCCTAAGAAGAAATCTAGGAAAGGGAAAGAAAAAGCTATCGATATAGATTCTAATAAAGAGGTTATAACAATTATAACGGTAGCTAATAAGAAGCTAGAGGTGACCGTACGCTGTACAAAGGTAATTATTATTATAAACGGTAATTCTAGTGATAATAGGAATTTACAAAGGGAGGAGGAGGAAGAGGAGGAATTGGATATTATATTATAAAAGTCTAGCGCACGAGCTACAAAGCCTTTACAATACTACAATAACATATTACGACATTTTAAAAATAATTCACTTATACTATTGAATGCACGCAATTAAGACGAACAATCTGAATCCTTAGCCATCTTTTTTACTTGTATTTTGGTAGAGAAACAGATTATTAAAGATTCTGGCCGTTACAGACCTTGCACGTTACATATAAAAAATCCGACTCTCAAAGGGACGATGAGAGTCGGTTGGCTAGCTGTAAGCGAGACCCCCAGAGGGTAGACTCCATACCTAACCGACGAGTACGGTCGTTTCCTGCGTTTATATCAACCCCGTTGCCCTTTGGGTTTGTCCAATTCGCCCAACCGACGGCTGTAATCTCCCCAAAGAGGTGACAATCTTAGCGCCCGAAATGCACCGAGTTGCAACCTCATATCACTGCGACCATGTGAAGATGCCGTGAAGAGAGATTTCTTAGGTTTTCATGTCCCGTCTCTGATATCGATTTGCCCCTGGGCATACTTGTATTGGTCGTTCGTTCCATGCTGTTGCTGTCGGGTCACCGCCAAGTACTGTGACCTACCACCTCGGTATCCCTTGGCTTGTCTCAAGTGTTGTTCACCACGACATCAATATCGTGTACGCGGCAAACCGTAGGCGACAGAGAGGACAAGGTCGACGTGGTGGTGAATCTTTGGCTGTCCGTGGACCGGATGCATGTTGATGCCTGGTGAAGAGCTGAAGATGCGGAAAAGACAACCAGGAAGAACCCTTCCCCATCCAAGCGTCAACCGCCCAAGCCGCATCCTCAGAAGGCGGACATCACCCCCAAAATAATTGTTAGGGTCCACTATCCATTTGACACTGGCCCCAGTCCTGTCCGGAGTATACAGTGCATTGGTCCATCTCCTTCACACATGTTCATTTCTTGCTGTCAACACCGAGAAATTGTTCACACTTTTCTTGGACTTTTTTCATTTCCATGCCATATAAAGCTTGTTTGGACGTTTCTCGTGTCCCCAGCTTTTTTACGTTTTCTGTTTTCACCTCAGCTTCTTATCAGGTCCCATAGAAACTCCGACTCGTGAGTGGATGTGAAACCGCACTTGTGCCTCTCACCTTCTTTTTGCAGTAGAGGCAAAAAATCGGTAAAATCGACACCGCAATGCCCTCTGGTTGGACTTTTGAGGTGAGCGGTGAGGTGAAAGTGGATGTTGGAAGAGCACTTGTGCAGGTACTATTTTGGACACTGTGGGGTCGACTTGCCAGGTGGGGTAGTGAAGCTCATTCGCGCCATTTTCCCTAACACCACCGCGAATGATCACCTCACTGTCTCTGGGGACGGTGATGTGCAATCTAAGAAAGGCATGTCGTCTAAGATATGCTCGTCATGTTTCTCTCTGCCCGTCCATTCATAGCTTCTCCCGACTCGCGACAGTTCTTCCACTTTGCACGGCATCAATTTCTCTCAAACCTCAAGCTGGGAATGGCTTCCAGTCCGCCACCAATTGTAGGCGACACCAATGTAGGTACCAGGAGGTACATTAGCCCATGTCCATCCCAAACGGCTGGCTATTGGCCAGAAAGGCCAAATCCAACGCTATTGATGGCTTGCCCGCGGGTCCAAGTCTTCGTCTCCTCATCAATGATCGAATCTCCCTCCCGTCCCCCGTTGTAGTTCGCCGTCTACCGTCTTCCGACCCGGTAAACTTTTGCACTAGAAAACAAGGTCAAGGGGCTGGCCTCTGGAGCTTTCCGTCTTTTTGTAGACTAAATCAAAACCGTGGATGTGATTCGTGCACGGCATTGGGACCACTGGGTGGCATGGAGAGTGCTCCGGTACCTCAACAAGTATTAATCCACACGGCTTCCCAGATTCCCATCACCTCATTGTTTCCCTCTCTTCATTCCTTCCAACGTAATCGTCAACTGACTCGAGATCAAATATACAAGTTGGGTAGAAACACAGACAGCCAAACGAAGCAACAGGCACCGTCGAGGTTACAGTCGCATTAAACCAACATCCACACATCCAACATCATAGGGCCCCACCACCAACCAGAACCAGGGCAACCAGGAATCTCTTTTACCGATATACATCCATTTCCAACGAAATCTCCAATTCGCTTCTGAGCCTCCAGACCTCCAAAAAGACCGTGGGTTCCAGAACAAGAAGGGTGACGGCGGCTTGACGGAATTTCCATTATAAACCGCGAAGCTCTCGTACCACCCAACCAAGCGAATCGAAGCGCATTGAAGTGGAGGTTCGAGTCGAAGCGAACCACACCGACCACACCATCAGCAACCACAACAAGCAGTCGCCATAGCATTCAGTTGCTCAGTCGCTGCCCGACGAATTGACAGTCGCTTTCGAAGCACAGAAGAAGAAGTGGTATAAACAGGCCCGTTCGCCGTTTCAACTCGGAGACTTTTAGATCCCCAAACTCGACATAAACTCGACACAGGTTTTCGTGCGCGCGTCCTTCCACCGGACCACATCAGTACCACCGCCGATCAGCAACACATCATCTCTGTCGATCATCCATCACTGCCCCTTATCTCTCCAGCTTTCTTGAACGGTTGGGGCGAAAGAAAACGCACGGAATCGGGCGAAACAACACGCACGACTCGTTACACGAACAACCACAACAACACCAAAACAGCTATCCCCAAGCTATCCCCAAATCTTGCCTCACCAATACGTCAGAACTACAACACTGTCGGGAAGAAAAAGGAACAAAACCACCGAGGCACCTCGTTCACCTCCGGTCGCAACAAGAATCCAATACACACGTCCGATGATCCGGCCATTTGCGGTTCTACCATCATCACCACACTACAACGCAGCAGCACCAGCAGCATCAGTAGTATCTCTGCAGACATCATCAGACCTGCAACAACAACCACAAGCACAACGTGCATACCTCTACCTACGATCACAACCACAACCACAACAACCATAACTTAACCACCACCACCACCACACAACCGCAAAAATGAACGCCTACCTATACCAATCCTCCCTCTCCTTCCACTCCATGCCCGAACCCCCCTCCTCCATGTCCTCCCGCTCTCCCTACTACCCCTACAACCAGTCCACCTACCACAACCGCGATCTGGCCTTGCAAACCTACCTGGCCTTGCACTCCCAACACGAATCCCTCGTCCAACACCTCGACGAACTCCGCCCCTCCAGCCCTTCCACCTCGCCCACGCGCTGCTCCGCGCCGCACGGCCGCTCCTCCCCCCTCCCTCGACAGCGCCAGCGCTCCAGAGGCGGGTTCGGTCCCGCCTCCGCCACCGCTTCTGCCTTCGGTAGTTCTTCCTCGCTTACCAGCTCGTTGGATGACCAGACGCTTGCCGAGGTGGCGCTCGAAGAGGCCAAGCTGTGCGATGTCAACGAGGGAATCAAGCGCACGCTGACGGAGCTGCTGAATTGCGAGGCGACGAGGGGAGAGGGGAACAGGCAGTTTCGGAGTTGGGTGCAGGGACGGTTGATGGAGGCGGAGAGGGAGTTGAGGAGGGGGAGGAGGAGGAGGAGTGCGGGATCTGCTTGCTCTGAGTAAAGGGCTATGATGGCAGATGAAGGACGGGCTGACAAAGTCTGCAAATTGGGGAGCAACCTTCTTCCCCTTTTCTTCCGGTTCGCCACTCAGTGTTGGCGGACCACATTGTGCCTTGCACGGCATTTTTACGACTTGCTTGCATCTTAGCTTGGAGTTTACGGATTGTTTTGTCTTTTTTTCTGTTATGCGCGGAGTTTTGTTTGGTCTTTTCCATTTTCTCTTTCGGAGTGGTTCTCTGAACATTGGGGGACGTCAAAGCTTGGAAGCCATTCCGACTCGTCGGGAAACACCGGCCAGCAATATCGAGCAATCTTGAGTGTGGCTCCGTCATTGCGATGACATCGACATTGCCAATTTCTATGGAACCCTGTTATGGAGCCCACCCAGCTGGAGCATCTCGCTTCGCCCGTGCGGATCCGGGTTCGAGCTCCCAAAAAAACCGGGTTCGGGAAGCATGGAATGATCGGGAAGTGGAATCCCAGAATGGGCTGTGTCGCGAGATGGCGGAAACATGGGACAACCATGTTCCAGCAAATGTGGTCGGGTAATTTCGCCCTTGGCAATCATCGCGACGCCAACAAGCATTCGAGATTCCACAATCTATTTTCGGGACTGTTCGGCGGCGGCGGCGGTTGGAGGGCAGAAGAATCGAAGCACCGGCGATCAGGGGAGGAATTGTCACTGGAGTGGAGGCATCTGGTAGCATCATTATCATCAGTTCGGAGGATTTTCAACCAACAGCATGTTATGGAAATTGGGAGGACGGACGGGAAGAAAGGGACAGACAAAAGCGGCATTACGAACCAGGACGGAGGAATCAGAAGAGTCGCATCACTTGTCTACTTACCTATGCATAGGGGCAAAAACTTATTCGTTATTGTAATTTTTAGTGTTTGGTTGCCTTTTCGATACGGTACTTGGCAATTGGTTTGGCATTTCTGGGAGGGCAGAAAGAAAGAAGACACAAGTTTCAGCCATTTGGATCCTGGGCTCCGGTGTTCGATGTGAATTGCTTCGTATATGCTGCCGCCATGTCGACGCTCAGGTCGGCGTTTTGAATATCGGTCGGCGTGCAGTGATGGTTTGAAGTGTATTGAGTAACCCGAGGGGTGCATTCAAGATTATCGCCATGTCGCAGTTTGAGTGTTGCAGTCCCGATCGCAGTCGCTGTTGTCGGGGTCATCGTAGTAGTACCAAGAGACCCAAGACTCCCAAGAGCCCAAGACCTGAAGGAAGCGAGCCGACCGCCCGGTAACGTGGTGGCATTCGTGATTGCGGAGTAGCTGGTCTAGACCATTTCCTTGGTGTTGTGAACTGGTGCAGCGAAAGTGGAATGGAAGTGGAATGCTCGGTGGAATGCTTCTTTTACTGAACCCTAACCCGGAAATGCAAGTTATCGGAGCATTTGAAGAGTGGACGGTCACGTGGTGGCGTGTGTGGGAGAAGAAGGGAGCTTGGGCCAAGTGAGTACTGGCTGGAGCTTGGATTTGGAGGTCTCGCGGCAGGCAGCTTTTCTTGATTGCAACGAACTGCCTGCCATCCAAAGTTCCAAACGTCACTGACATTGACGGGCGCGAACAGAACAGAGCAAGACAACGACAACCACATCCCATTTCCCGACCTTCGATCGACGGTCTACTTTGAAAACTACAGTAGACAGCTCCGGCTTGACACACGGCCCAACAGCGCCTACCTACCTATCTGTTCCCTCGCATGCGCACACGCTAAACTTCGACGCGACACCCACAACTGCCCACCATGTCGGTCCTCCTCGAGACCAGCGCCGGCGACATTGTGATTGACCTTTTGGTCGATTACGCGCCCAAGATGTGCGAAAAGTCAGTACACTCTGGTCTACCCTAACCAACAAGCCACATACTTACCGTGCCACCGACAGCTTCCTCAAACTCTGCAAGGTCAAATACTACAACTTCTCGCCCATCCACTCCGTACAAAAGTCCTTCTCCTTCCAGACCGGCGACCCCCTCGGTCCTTTGTCCTCCGAATCCGACGGCGGACAGTCCATCTGGGGCCTCCTCTCCGGCGACCTCTCCGGCGACCTCTCCGAAAAGACCTTCCCAGCCCTCTTCCACCCCAAACTCAAACACCTCGAACGTGGCACCGTCAGCATGGCCACGGTCCCCCACCCCTCCGATCCCGACACCCGCCTCGCCGGCTCCCAATTCATCGTCACTCTCGGCGACAACACAGACTACCTCGACGGGAAGGCCGCCATCTTCGGCAAAGTCGTCGAAGGCTTTGACGTCCTCGAAAAGATCAACGACGCCATCGTCGACGAGCGCGGCCACCCCTTGGTCGACATCCGCATCAAACACACCGTCATTCTCGACGACCCCTACCCCGACCCGGCCGGCATGCGCGAGTCCAGCGCTTCCCCACCACCCAGCAAGGCGCAACTAGCCACCGTCCGCATCGCCGAAGGCGAAGAACTACTAGACGTGGAAGCCAGCGAAGAAGCCGCCGCCGAAGCGGAACGAAAACGTCGAGAGCGCGAAGCGGCCGCGCAAGCACTTACCCTAGAAATGATGGGCGACCTACCCTTCGCCGAAGTCAAGCCTCCCGAGAACGTCTTGTTCGTGTGCAAGCTGAACCCGGTGACGACGGACGAAGATCTCGAGCTGATTTTCAGCCGGTTCGGCAAGATATTGAGCTGCGAGGTGATAAGGGATCAAAAGACGGGGGACAGTTTGCAGTATGCGTTTATCGAGTTCGAAGACAAGAAGAGCTGCGAGGAGGCGTACTACAAGATGGACTCGGTTCTTATTGATGACCGGAGAATCCACGTGGATTTCAGTCAGAGTGTTAGCAAGCTGAGTGATGTGTGGCGGTCGGAGACGAACTCGAAGAGGAAGACTGCTGCGAGGAGGGGAGGGGGTGGGTGGGGTGGTGTTGACGAGTTGGAGAAGTGGAGGAAGTATAGGGATGAGGATGTTGAGTGGCGGAATGACGATAGCTATCAGATGGTGCATGGAGTGGAGGACTTGAAGGGAAGACATGATGGTGATAAACCTCCTGCTAGGGAGCCTCGACCTGATGTTGGTGGCCATGACAGGTCCAGATCCAAGGATCGTGATCGCAGACGCAGTAGGAGTCCTCTTCGAAGGGACCGTCGGGACGACCGTGACAGACGGCCACGAGATGCTGACCGCCGCCGAGATGATCGAGACTCGGACCGCAGAGACAGACGCGACCGTAGTCGTGACCGACACCGCGACCGAGACTATGACAGGGACCACCGCAGAGACAATAGAGGTCGCGATGACTATAGGAGGAGGTAGGGCACACACAAACTGCATTAGGGAATATTCTATCTTTGTCGCCCCATATCCGCCAAAAACACAGACACCCGAAAAATGCACATCTCGGAACCGAGATCTGCCCTGGCTTGTTACAACCTGGCTGAATAGGGCTGACATTCTATGCAATAATGTCGGGCCACCACGACTACTCCATCGCTTACGAGCATCCAATTGTCTCGGACCTAAATGGTTGACACGACGGAGGCACGCCTTTTAGCGGACCACTCCATACATACATTTCGCCTCCTCTCTCCACGTTTCTTGTCGTCAATGTGGCACCCCCCGAAATACAGATACAGAAATGGTCGACAACCGCCGTCTTCCGACGATTTTATGGCATTTTCTGGCAAGCCGGGCAATATCTGCTGATGGATGGCCAAACTTTCGCCTTCTCAAAGCCATCAAGGTTGCACAAACACAACTGGGAGCTCGGTATGACTTGCCCTGCCTGGTTTGGTGAAGCATGTTCCACGTCGACCTGTGCGCGCCAAGGTTGCGTATCAGCTTGTCATCTCTCTTCCTTCTCGTGCGTAATGGGTGTGGGTGGTGGGTGGTGGGTGGTGCTTGCTTGCTCGGACACACACAATTTTCGATCCTTTGATCCTGTGCCCCATAGTGCTGTTGTGGTGCGAACAGCACTACACACCGGACTACGGAACCTCCACTCCGGCAACGGCAACTTTTGCTCCCAGTCCCATTGGGATATCACATATCTGCTGCACTTGCATAGGAAGGGCGAAAGGGGGTGATACTATGTGTTACTGCTCGAGGGTCGTCGTATACTCTAAAGGTCGTGAACTTTCACAGCTTCCACTACTCCCACTTGCCTCAGATGCACAACATCGGTCGATGGTTACGCGTGGCCGCCAACGTCAACGGCTGTCCACGAATTAGATGATAACTCCCCTCACACTGCGGCGACCTGAGCAGTCCAGCCCACGGCCAGGCGGCCGCCACGCCCCGCGGGTCGTGCGGGCGTTTCAACAGTCGACAGACAGTCAACGGAAAGCAAAGTCGTACGCGCACAATACGCGGCCACCCACATCCTACCGTTTACTGCAAGGCCCCCTCCTCCCCTCTTTTTCGCTTGTGTGCTGTGTCAGGTTAGGCCTACCCGCCGTGTTCCCGATGCCAGTTGGGGTTGGAGTAGATCGTCGGACCGAGTCCGGCAGACCTCTCTCGTTAACCTGGGTCTGATCCAATAGAGGTACCTTTGTTCTCCTGCTTGTAAGGTGAATAGCCATCATGTTGATATATACGCCCCAAAACCATCAATTTCGACGATGGAGGACGATGAGGATGTTGACAGTGCCAGCCAGTGCAAGGGGCTAGAGGTATCGAATAACTCATCTAGCATCCCCTGTTAGGTGTTGTTTGTCACAGTCTTCTAGGTCTGGGTGAATCTCGTCTCCCATGATTGCAGACAACTTGACGGCTAGCCATTGAGACCGCAGAAAATGATCGATTGGAGCGATTGCCAGATGGGGGAGATAACACACTGTGGTCTGAGGCCAATTAGGTACATCGAGATTGTGTCCCCTCGCTGGCCTCCGTCAATATCTTGCTCGACTGAGGAGCCGAGGGTCTAGCCTAAGTAGCGGTCGATCGGACCCTCGACTGCAGCCACCTGGTACCTTCGGAGAGAAAAGTCACTCCTTTTCCGATCCGAAGCTTATACGCTCGAATCAACGTGTTTCTGATGACGCTGTTTCATGGCTTGCAGAGGCTGGATTGCGGCGCAAAATCTCGTGTTATGCCAGGGGCTGTCCCTTGAAATCCCAATATCTGCAAGCCACGAGTTCGAGGGGTCTAGCTTCAAAACTCCTGGACAAGTGAAGAAGACGACGACGTTGTCAAGGGATTGGACACTGGATCTTCCACCATGTTTAGCATAACACATGAAGCTTGAAGGAAGTCCGTAATACGTGTGCTGTCTATTGGTGTATAAAATTGGATTCCTTCTCTTGATGGTACCTTGCGGTGGGTCACCTTGGCTCATTTTGCCAGCCCAATCGCTATTCGCTACATCATCTTTTGCAGTCGACGGATGTTTGCATCTGGAGAGGAGGACTTGACAGCGCGGTTTGCGGATACTGTACCATGGGCTACTGCAATTATCCGAACGCCTTCGAGCCCAGCCGTCCGTCCATGCCCAGTCCAGAAATCTTCCGTCGCAACGCGGCAAACCCCCCACACACCCACACCCACACCCACACGATTCCGCAGCCATTTGCCATTCGATGAGATGGGGAAGAAGATGAATGGAATGTTGGTCTCGTGCAGTGTGTTTTGTCCGAGGACATGAAGGGTCCTGCCACCGTTAGACTTCCCATGCCACACAGACGAGATGAGGCGGAACGGCGCTGTGGAGGATTGGATGGCATGACAGATTCCGTCAGGGCTCTCTGCAAATCTGAATGGCTGATGCAACGAGAGTATCGAAGGCCTTCCTAATTCGCCAATGGTATAGATCATTGGCCGAGGCTTCTTCCGACAAACATTATCTCGACGCTTCTGGGGGCTTGTTTGAGGCGCGCACACTCCGAGATCTTAGTAGCGTCAACTCGATACGAACTGCCCTATTCCCGTACGCAGTACACTAGCCTCTGTTGCTGTGGTTGACGGTTGCTGCGAGCTTGGGAGTGTATGTGTCTTCCGAACGTAACCCTACCTTACCTGACCTGCTACCTGAGGAGGCTTCAAACTCTAAACAACGGTGCTGTTGGTCCCGTGTTTGACTTTGAGCCATGACAGCTGGCACGGTGGCCTCTTGCCGAAGCTCTGGCTATCTCCGACAGGCGGACTGAACTGGACGCTGTCGATACTTGTGTTTGATGACTATGCTGGCCTGACGAGCAGATGGCTGCTGCAAGAGGAAACAAGGAGTCCCTCATTTCGGACCTACTTGCCTCACCTGCCTCACCTGTCTTCAATTCAACGACAGTGACTCCTTCCGAAAGTTCTCGCTAGCCGTCGGCAACGCCTATCGCGACTGCTGATGATATTTCGGACCGGACCGAGGAGTAGCAGCAACCAAGGAAAGAGCCGGCCGATCATTCAGTTCGGTTGTATCGTGTCAAACATGAAATGTCAATTATTACACCCTGCATTGGCGGAAACGAACGGACGAAAACACTCCCACAGCAGCCAGGGACTTTGTGTCGAGCGTACGACAGTCATTCAGTCATTCACAGCACTGTCTCTTCTTTCCTTCGTTTGATGCAAAACATAATGGCATGACGGCCCTGCCCGCTCTTCCACGTCCGCGATGGCCTGCCAACGGAGGGGGAGCTCTTTCCCGATGTAGTGGGTTGGCAAATCGGAATAGCAGGCACCTCGCGGCTGGTAGTGGACAGTGGACAGTAGGTAAGGTAGGCAAGGCAAGGCCAAGTGGGCAGGAAGAGATCGCTCACTTTTTGCGAGTGCCGGTGCGGGTTCAAGGCGATCCGATCAGACTCAACAAAAAGTGATAGAATCAGGGGTGCCTTCCTTGGGTGCCTTGGGTGCCTGGGGTCGTGTTTGGCATGCCAATGTTTCTGCAGGACCAACTGGCCCTATGGCTGTTTCCAGTAGCGCCGCACCGTTCGCTGTCGTCGCCGGCGTGCCGTTGTGTTTGCTGTCAAGGGGGCCGGGGCTCATACTGTTTCTTCTTCATGATCCTTCGACTCCAGCCATCCTCATCCCCCCCGCCGGCTGCGATAACTTCCTTCGGCGGCACTATGACGACAGATCAAGCACATGAAAGACTTGGCGAAGTCGCAGCGACAGCAATAGCGACAGGAGAGGAAGGAGAAGACCGTTAGCCGATATGTCCTCTCGAAACTGACTTTGCATGTCGCACTTGCCATCCAAGCCATCCAAGCCATCCCAGACCGGACCGATGACAGACGACGAGCACCTTCTCTGCCAGTACCATTTCGCTCCAAATCAGCAAAAACGAAACCGGTCACGCCTCAGAGACAATACGCTAATGATGTACGACAGGAAGCTACAGCATGGAAAAGCAAACAACAGCCCTCCGCAATACTGTGTACGAGGAAGGCACAGTGGGGATATGGGACACTCTTCTCATTTTTTATGTTCAGTGGCAGGAGGAGACGATGTCAGTCTTATGACTATTCCACCTTGGGCAGATGGCAACACCTTGGCTTACTCAAAGAGGAAGGGGTAACAGCTGAGCTCTGACTGCATCTGTAATGATCAGATGCCTCTTGTGCCTGCCAAACAACAGTCTGAGCAATCTGAGGGGGCACTGGTCGAGGGGAGGTGCGATCGGGGATCATGGATCAAACATTGCACCGACCTGGGCATCGTCAATCAATCTCTCCATGTCACCTAAACCCGTTGGCACCTGGGTTCTCTCTCCCAATTTCTGTCACTTATCACTTTTCGCGGAATCATCATTTATCTCCGTTTGAAGTGTCCTCTTATCAGCCTTGCAGAAGCGGAGCCAGATGCCGAACAGCCGGTGCAACATCGACAGACGACAGACGACAATTGACATCAGTTTCCAGCGAAAACGACGAACGAAAAGCAGTGAAAAAGAACGAAGCCTGCGAACAGAAAAGAACCGAGCACAACGCGCAAGACAAGCACCAACCGGACAGAAAACGCCAACCGAGGAAAAAACCGCCTAAAGCGTCCATCATTTTCACTGTGCCAGGGTTACACGAAGCTGCAAATGGGAGGGGTTCGACCTCAGGTCACGTACCATACAGACAGCTCGCAACACCATACAACAACATGGATGCATTACATACAATGAGTGCTGTGTTCGCCATACGGATGGAGGTCTGCGTCGCCAAGTGTCCTCCATCTTCCTTCGTTTCGTTCTTTACCTCTTTTTGCTTTGTCTTGTTCTCCCAGCCCTTGACCCTCCCTTTTTCCCCCACAGCTCTCGCTCAGGGCTGACATCTGTTCGCTTCACTCCAGGGCAGCAAGCCTCAATCAACAATGCCCAAGATGGAGAGAGAATTTCTTGTACCAACAGCTCACAGCCATGAGCTCTCTACGTGGTTGCCTTCCATGCTGCTGCAGCGCTCATTACGTGCTAGTCAAGTACTCATGTAGCACTGGGCTCTCATGTACTCATGTCACTCATGCCACTCATGTCTCACGCACGTCGTTTGTCTCCATGTTCCGAGTGGGACAGGGGTAATGGGGTAGTCAATGGGCTGGGAATATGAGGCTCGCTCCCTCTGCCCATGGCGCTCTCCACCCTCCTTCTAGCCATCCAGCAAACACGTGCTACAACTAGGACGACGACCTCAGATCCTGGCTGTCATTTATGTCAGTCTGAGGCTGGTTATCTGGGGTGCCTATGAAGATGAACATGGACCTGGAATTGCCTCTTTGAGAGAGTTTTTTTTGGAGATTTTCCCCGCTTTCTTCAGTTGGCATACCTTACCTTGAAGCCCTTTGCCATCATATATCGATCTTTCTTGGCTTTTACTTTCAGCCTTGGAGGTACTTCTCTGCAAAGGCTTTGTGCCATTTTCTGGCTGGGCTGCGACCAATGGCACACACACCTAAATCTTTTCGCACGTATGCTATACCTGATTTGGCACATCCTTTCTCCTCTTATTCCCACTGTGTCTTTGGTTTGTTTTTAGAGAAACGAATCAAGATGGCTGCTGGCGCTGGTTACTGAGTGTATCCATCCATGTCGAACGAAGGACGATGATGCTGTGTAAAACGCCATCAGTTCAGGTACATGCTATGTTTTCTTTTTCCTTGCATTCTTCTTCATAAAACGGGCAGACGTCTGGCTCTGGTAAAAGAGTATGCCAATCCATTGCCCAGTCAAAGCATGATGTTATGAGTGGGAGAGGATTCGTTTCCTTACACATCAGTCGAGGTTGACGCACTGTTTCTGCATTCTTTATTTCTCCATCCTATCAGGTTTCTACAAGCCCCCTCACCGTGGCCACGATCGAGACCTGTCTCTAATACTTACGGCGCACTTTGCCCCGGAGACCCAGGCCAGACCCCCACCCCTCCCATGACCCTCCTTCGCAAGGAGAGATCTACCTGCCAGCATCCGAACAGTGAGAGGCTTGAAAGGTATCTCGACTTCACGGCCCCTTCTTATCCCCTTGCTCTTTTGCCACTAATGTCCACGCTCAGGTACCTCTCCATGAGAGTTGGTGCAAGTGTCACAAGCGACGGCGGGAAGTAAATCCTCAACTACCACAACAGCCGTCGCCCTTCTTTGACAGCGGAGCCAAATCTCAAAACAAAATACGCCTTCACACTAAATGGTCCTTCATAAACTCGTGTGCGCACGCTTTGCTTGCTGTAAAAACCTAGTACCTAACTAGGTGGTCCAATCAGCCTCTCCGCATTTCTGTGCACTTGTACCACAGCTGGGATCCCGGATTCATGCAGATATGGACAGCGGTTGCATTTCCTTTTCCCCTTGCACTTCAGCATGGCAGTAAGGTGGGCTTCCGATGACTTCTTTTCCTAGAAGTACCCTAGCTTCGGTGCCAGTGCCAGGATGAGGCTGGGACTGGCCGCACTGGGGAGGCCAACAAAGAAACAAGAGTTGCCCTATGGGCTCTCTAGCAAGGTAACTACGCCCTATACGCCTGGCCATAGGGTAACCTAAGCCAGGGGGGGGGGGGGGGGCAAGCTGGGGTAAGGGTTTGGTATCATGTAAGTGTATGTGTGTTACGATACCGTCTTTCAGATCCTGTAAGAAACTAACCATTCCCTGACGAGATCATACTGTACAGAGATTGCCTGCTTCTTCTTCTATGAGAGTGAGGAGCTCGAACGGCCCTGGCTTAGTGGCTAGACTGCACGATGAATTGCCTACAAACAGAGTAAATGTTCGTGCTCAAGTCTGGGCACCCCAAAAAGGGGACAGGGGGGGCTTGTTGACTATCCTGTCATCAGAGCATGAAGAGAACTAGGTGAGACCGAGGACTTATAACACTATGGCATCTCCTGCAACACCTCGTCTCTGTTTTCTGTATCTGTCTTGTCTCTCGTTTCTTTCTCTTTGACTTTCAAGACTTTCAGGTCACTGCCTTTCTCAGTTCGGTTGGATTTCATATCAACTTGGCTTCCAGGTCACTCCCCCTTCATATCAACAGAGTAACCCTCGGCATAATCGATCAGTCTTTAATCACTTTCCGCCTGCGGCACGGCATCCTTTCGCTTTCTCGCATTACCATACGTCCAAGCCCTTCGTTCGAGGATTCCCCAGTCAGACAGACTTGTCCGAGAGACAGAGACACGGCCGCGGTCACCCGAGTTTTATAGATTCGAGACATTACTACAGCCATACAGACATACACGACGCACGCACGACTTAAACGTCCGAGTTCACAACCTCTTCACACCGAGGTCAAGTACGCGAGTAAGCGAGCTGTCAGGTTGGTCTTGTCCTTCCTTTTTTTCCCCAGTCCTTTCAAGTTGCTCTTCTTGGTTATCCGGGGGTTGTGCATCTAGAATAGGCTTTTCGTGCCTGAGTTCCGGGTTGGGGGTTACAAGATGCCCTCGGTGTGTGTCGGTGTGTACAAAATCAAATGAACGAAGTCCTGGGAGAGGGCATCACTCGAAGGGAGGCGAGAAAAATCCGAAGTGAGAGTGAAATGAACGGGGGGGTGGTGTGTGGGACAAAGCTTGACTGGCAGCTCTAGCATGAACACTCGCTCACAAAACGCACGTCAATCAGGTCCCGGGTCTCCTATCTAGTAGCTGGAGCGCAACACGAGACACGCATACCTTACGCATTGGGGTACCTAGACAACCATAGACAGCGCCTTCTCAGTCAGGCCACCGAGGGATTCTGAGTCTGTTCTCACACCAGCTCTTCTTATCGGGCTTAATCTACCTTGAACGATCGAGTCGAGTCCGGATCAAGAGCAATCAGACAGGAAGGATCCAGTTCAGAGTCTGCCCCGTCTGCATTTGGCGCTGCTGTGTCTGATCACCACCCACTCAGAACACATTCACCCCGCCTTCACAGCTCTTTTGGCAAACAGTTTCTTCGTACCTTTCCACAACATTGTCACCTCTCTAGCAACGATTCACATCCCTGTTACCAGCTGCAGCAGTTCGCAAAGCTCGCCCTGCAGCACCTCACCCCTACGAGCTACCACAGCCGAGCAAGTCTCTCAGGACCTGCACACCACTGCCTCTTGCAAGGATCAGTCCCTGATCGGTGTCTAACAACGGACGCCCAGGCGGAGTTTCAAGGCTTTTGATCGCCATCAGAAATCTGACACGGAGAAATCTTATCAGTTCAGGCCAAAAAGGCAAAGGGTTTCGAGCAAAATCCGATCAGGCAAAACAGAGAGATAGACCACGGTTTTGAGGTTTAGCTGAGGTGTGGCTGGACAGACATCGGACGAGACAACATAAGGAAATGGTGTCCCAGACCTGCTATACCCCTCCCCATCACGGTCACCACACACACGATCAAAGACGATATAGTAGTCGCGCCGGCCCTCCTTACTTTTGTCACGGCGGTCCATATTCTACCGAGCAACGTAGGAGTTACTCTTCTTCGGAGCACCACTCTGCCCACCCCCATCACGGACATCACTCGCAAGGGAGAATAGGCTCAGCATCTGCTGCACTTGGTGTTGGAGCTCTTAGCATGTCTGATCAAGGATCTTCGTCAGCAATGGATGCGGAGTCGCAGCCGCAGAGGAAGAGGATTGCTGTTGCTGTAGGTTTAACCTCTTGAGGACCTTCCGCCTCACTTCGACTTCACCTTTTTGTTGAGCAAAACTGACAGCCATCAGTGCGGACGTTGTCGCAAACGCAAGATCAGATGCAGCGGTGACCCGGGCCAAGGTCAACCCTGTACGAACTGCAAGAATGCAGGGGTAGAGCAGTGTCTGTTTCTTCGGGTTAGTACAGACCGTCCTTGCTTCTTCAGTTTTGTTTGCACCACCATCACTAACCCTTCTTTTTCTGCCACAGGTCTCCTCCCGCGACATTCCCTTGAAGCCCGATACATCCTCCGACTTTGGCTACTCCGTCGATGACGCCCGCCTCTATGCCAACAAACATACCATGAGCCCGGCCTCCCTCCACTACGGCCAACATCCCGGGGCCGTTGGCATCGGCAGCCTCCCTGGCACAGCGGAAGATCCTCTCATGGCTCAATACGGTCGTGGTTACGCATACGGTCACCATCAAGCTCCGCCGCCGACCAGTCATAAACAGTACTTCCCTGCCACAGCCTCATACGCCTCAGCCCCCAACCCCTACGGCGATCCTACCGCGGTTGGCGTGTCCGGTCAATTCGGTGATTATACTGCAGCGGGATATCCGCCAGTACATGTTATGGCTCATGAGACGGTCGGTATCGTACCTAGTTGGGGTTCTGCTGCCAGAAAGACCCCTTACGGTGGAGTGTACATGGACTCAGCTCCTGAGTCTTACGGGGGGTACGGAAGCTCGAGCCTCGTCCATCGCCCGGCACACCATGGTGCTCATCACGGCCACGGAACTGCTACAACGGAATCCCAATCCCCTAACTTCTCTTTCTCTGGCGTAGCTGCGTCTCTACCAACAACCAGCACCGGCGCCGATCGGTTGTTGCCGAACCCCACAGCCGGCGCCTCTCGCTCATCCCTCCCCTACCCCGGCGCAGCTATCAAGACGTCTCAACCTGGAGTATCAAGTACACTCGCCGATGTCGCTGCTTCCGCAACTGCGTACGGGGGTTTCGACGGTCTCCCTGCGTCTTACGGATCAGCTAGCACCGCCAGCGCTGGTCACTCTTCCTCTGTTCGCTCCCACTCTACCTCTACGGATACGTATCACTCGTCTGTCTCGGGAGCAAGCACAGGCGCCGGGGAACCTCAAAGCATCTTTGGCGAAGAGGGAAGAAGCTTGCAGAGCCAGGGGTCGGCATTTGACATGAACACTTATACCGCGGAACCGCTGCCTTCGGTTTCCACGAGTAACAGGAGGGACTCGGTTGATGGGTCCTCGGCAGCTGGTAGCGGAGCATTGGCCAACGGCCTGTCAAATGGGCAGGCGTACGTGCCTAGTGAGAGTGTGGTGCAGGTCGGCCCTGACCATCATGCTGGCCATCAGGGGGTTTACGAGCAGCAACGTCACCAGGCGCTTGCTGATGGACACAGGGCTTCTCTTGCGAGCCACCGCTGAGATCGTCCGGCCTCACTCTCTTACCACATTGATACCCCCCAATAACTGGGAGGAAGTGGTCTTGTTGAGAAGACCCTACAGTGTGTGGTTTGCTTTGAAAAGTATTATCAAGCCATGTCTCCGAGTGGACATCATAGGCTGGCGCGGCGGTAGCACAAGATACAGGAATACAGGCACGGTATTAGGGGTATTGAAGGCGTTCAGTTGGTACGCGGCGTTACACAGGCGGTTCGGGGGGGCAAAAAAAAGCACGAATGCGGCCAGGAACTCTCAGCTTGGTCGGGAAAGAGTAGAGCACAAAAGAGGCCCAAGCAAGCAAGGCCTCGGTCGGCAGGGTAAGGGACACGGGCAGGGGCATGGTCATGGGCTTGAAGGATGGGGATGGACATACCAGCCTCGAGGAGTCACGACATACCCCCCGCCGCCGTGCCTTGCATTACGCCCGAAAGAATCCTAGCAGAAAGTCAGGTATCATATCACTACCTCCATGAGGGGTACGTATCACTGCTGCATTTCATAATCACTTTGTCAGAAGAAGATTCGTTTACCTTGTTGTTTTACAAGCTACTCTATTACAGTCGGGATTTCCTACTTGTTTCGGAGAAACATCTTTTCACTTTCGGGGCGTCTTGTTTTCTCGTTGTTTTCTTTTATTTCCTTCTGGTTTTGGTTCTGGTTGCTCGAGTCTGCATGTGTTGTCATCGGTCAAGGTAGATACAGCATCATACCATACCTTAGTCTAGGTACCTTACCATTTCTCAACAGTTAGAGAGAGAGAAAAGTAATGCGAAGATTAGTCTGCCTATCAATATCTGCATTTTGAGTCTCTGCTATGAAGTTGTCTCGAGCAAAGATGTGATAACTGGAACAGCCAAACCGGCGATCCTTTCGACGAGTCCCACTGGAAAAAAACTAGTGGGCACAGGTTGGCCGTGGTTTATATCCGGACTTCCTCTTCTCCCGAACCTTCTCCCGCAACCGTTTCTCCCGTCCCTTTCCTCCCATACCTTTTTGTTCCGAGCCCCCTTCTCCCGTTCCCTTTTCCCCGTACAGGTACCGTTTTCGTCCACCAGCAAGGCCGGTACAGCAAGGCACACTTTCATCAACGCCATGACTTCATCTCGTGTAGTACACATGAAATTGCAAAGATGGGGGTGTTATGCGCCTGTAACTACCTCTACCTAGTGGTTAGCTGTGTAGAGGTAGCGGAGGAGGGTGCACAATCTATTTCTGAAACGCGGCAAGGTGCAGGAAGGTCCCAGGGAGGTGCAGCATGAGATATCGCTTTGCAGCATATGGGCTGCAGATACAGCCATGTTACGAGCTGTAGGTATTGTAGCGGTACTCCTTGAGAGGGTGGATGAGCACAAAGAGCAGATTTGGACGGGGCTAGCCGCTAGAGTAATAGAGAAGGGAGGCACTGGACTGGACTAGACTAGACTAGAGTAGACAGGTTAGTCTAGACTAGCGGACATGGCCCAGAAGCTGGGGGCCAGGAGGGGGCGAACTTTGTACTGTCACGAGACGAGATCATAATGGTGATCTAGACGGATCTATGAACCCGCCTTTGGTTGGTAGATCCCTATTCCAGGTTCTAGGACTTGGGTCCATCTGGGGTCCGGGTCCGGGGTCTCGGGAGGTTGAATGGCACGAGGATATAACGTCAATCAGTCATGTCAGTCAGGAGGAAATGGGTACTTGGCAGGCGACGAATCTATCCGTTTCTGATCTACCCGTCTACTTTCCTTACATGCCTTGAGATGGCACAGGTGATTGATGCCGTCACCCATTACCCGCCCTGCTTTGCCTACCTAACAAAATGTAGAGTACAACCTCCCCCCTAACAAGGTAGGTAGGTAATGAGAGAGGTAGAGTAGATGAAGATGGGAGGTATCAGTGCAGATCGCGAAAGACTTCCCCATCCAGGCAGGCCTACTACAAGCTCAATACTCTACGCGACTGACGCCACCACCCTCTCATGCTCGCCTCCAGTCCGCATCACAACCGGCGCAAGGTAGAGGTAGGGTAAGGCAGGAAGTACCAACCTATGAAAGGAAGCTACCTCTCAAGAAGAAGGCAACACCAGCCGCACACTGCATTTACGGCAGCGGCGCGGCCCTCTTTTCCTCGTGGAACTTGTGTAGCCGGCCCCTTTGGGCTGAACAAGGCAAGATAAAACCAAACCAACCCAATCCTGAAGGATGTGATGTGAGTAAAAACTCGTATTCATCAGTGGGCGTTAGTAGATATCATGCATATAGGGACATGGACGACCTATCAACGGCGAAGTTTATGTCATCAGGGTCGTCAATGTGAACTTTCGTCCGGGGCTTTTCTTGGTCTGGCCCTTTTACCTTGCCCGGGATTGTGTCAGTCCATTATCCGTCATTGCGCATTCTCGCGTTAGTAGAGGTAAGGTCTATTCCTTCCTATGTTTGTTTCAGCAGGGGCTTGGTAGAGTAAACTAAGGTACCTAGGCTTGACTGGAATAACGGGGAACCTTCGATGCGACCCGCATTCCACCATGTTCCTTACGAGGACAGGGTCAGATTGTAGTGTCCCGCTTCCGGCGCCCAAGACAGTCACCGTCAATGGATAGAGGAGAACAGTCCGACGGAAGAGGAAATTCCGGGCGGTGGTAGGGGATGAGATAGGGGATACACCAGGAGACAAGAAGCGAAGGCAGATAAGCGACACAGTGGAACGATGACTTCCAATGTAGTGTAGGTCAACAGGTCAAAGCCCCATGTCTACCTACGCTAATTGCCTGGGGGTGTACTTAAGGTACCCCTACTGTCCATATCAACCCCTACACAGACTATCGCTGTGTCGCCGGCTAACCACCTACACAAGTATGAATACTCGCTTGCTTCCTGCAGTTCCGGCACGCAATGTCATGGGATGTCGTGGCCTGTTGAGGGAGATGTCGTGGGATCTAGATGAGCCTCGCTTAGATGCTGTGTATCATCCATCCCATTGCTGTGTTCGACGAGGATTCAAGACTCAACCCATGTTGGGCGTGCCGGCTTCCACTCCGGGACTATTGACTCGGATGATCGATTCGGTATGCCGTCCTAGGGTACAGGTAGGTAGGTCCGTCCGTGAACCGGGGGACTCGACGGCCCGTGGTGGGGGTTCCGGTGCTGTCCAGGTGTTCAAAGGTCCCATGGGGTGGGCGTTTCCGCACGGTCATCGTCTATAGCATCGGTCTGTCGCATCTCTGTGAGAGCAAGGCTCGTGGCCCTAACGTCGATAGCCGGTACCAATCGACATTGGATTGCGGTTTGGTGCATTGGTTTCTTGCGTTTTTGTTAGTGGTGCGCCACTCTCTGTCACGGTGAAGAATGACAATGACGTCCGTTGAGTGAGAGACTTTCGGAATCATTCACTTTGGATTGGAAGGGTTGGTATGATTTTGTTGAAAGATGCCCAAGCGTTGTGTTTTTCTGAAATAAGCGAGTGTCGACGTTGGTCGTTAACTGCCAAGCCCGAAAGGAGGTGCGCCGAGGGCACACGTGACTGCGCCGAACGGAAAGAAATGTGGGTCTGCGATATCCAAACTTGGAACTTTCAAGTCGCTGAATGAACTTTTTGTCAACAACCGCTGCCGTCACCACCTCACCATTGCCTCACTGTGCTGCTGGCAAACGACATCAACAATGGCTCGAACGACCCAAATAAAGCGCAAGCATATGCAAATTGCTCGCTTTTGCCGGCAATACCTCCAACTCGCGCCGGTCGTGGACTTCCCCGACGGCGAGTACCTGTGCGATGCATCAGTCCAAGAGACACTGTACGAGCAGCTTTTTAGCGAGGACATGGAGAATCCCGCACCTCCACGGTACCAGCTGAGGATCCTGAAGGAGCTGGTGAAGAGGATCGAGGGAAGTATCGAGGATTGGGACAGATATGTAAGTTTCTGTAAGACGTGGCCGGAATCATAGTAGATTGAAAGGTCTCGGCTGGCTGCTGCTACTGCAAGTTACTTTGTTGCGAGTTTCCATCCTCACCAAGTATTTCTTTCGCCGTTTCTTACTAGGGCCTCTCGGACAATCTCTACACAAGATTATCCCATCTGCTCTCGCTGCGGTTACCCTCCGAGGCCGATGCCGCGCAGCAAAAGTGCTACGTCACTTACCACCTGTCTCTTCTCGGCGCCGGCAGTGCTCATGACCAGACACTGCCGGTTCTCGGAGACAAAGCCCCCCACATCACCCTCCTGGAATCCCGCAACCTCATCGCCGCCTCCGGCACCACCGGCCTCCGCACCTGGGAAGCCTCCCTCCACCTGGGGCAATACCTTCTCACGCACCCTTCACTCGTCCGCGACAAGCGCGTGCTCGAACTCGGCGCAGGGACAGGCTACGTCTCTATCCTCTGCGCCAAGTATCTCGGCTCCAAACACGTCATGGCCACCGACGGGTCAGATGAAGTCGTGGCCAACCTGCCTGACAGTCTTTTCCTCAACGGGCTCCAAGGCTCTGACAGTGTTCAGCCGATGGAGCTATGGTGGGGTCACGCGCTTGTCGGCACCGAGGAGGAGCAATGGAATGGAGGACGAGAAGTGGATGTGGTGCTGGGCGCAGATATCACGTATGATAAGAGCGTTATTCCGGCGTTGGTGGCCACGGTTGAGGAAGTGCTTGGGCTTTTCCCCAAGGCGGAGGTGGTGATTGCAGCGACGGAAAGGAATCGGGAGACTTATGAGAGCTTCCTGAGCGTGTGTGAGGGCAGGGGGTTGGAGGTGGTTCATGCAGAGTTTCCGGTGCCGCCCAGATCTGAGCAGACTGGGCCGTTCTATAATGACTTGATGCCGATACACATTTGTCAGTTGAGGCGGATGTAGGGTGCGGCTTGGATTTCGTAGGGGAGCTGGAGGGAGCTCGAGCTTGACGCCGGGGTGGTGTAATTGATACCCGCTTGTCACTTATCGTCAGAGCTTATCGGTCAACCTTGATGGGTGTCGTCGCATTGTCCGCTTCGATTCCTCTGAGGAGAGGCAGACAATCACTAGATAGAAATGTCTGACATAACCAGTACTCTTTAATACGATCCGCAAAAGGTCTCGAAAAAAAATAATGCACTGAAAGAAGCAGGTAGCATCTTGGTCGCGAATGTTGTTGGATGAGAGGATGTCCTCGGCCACATGTTTGTTGATTTGGACGATTGCAGTTGGGACGACAACCGTTCAAGACTCGCTGTCTTGGCAAGGCCCGTGCACTTTTGTGTTGAGCTGCAGCACGGTCCACCTCTCGCTCGCAAGCAGCGGCGCCAAGATTCGAACCTCATATCTCAGGCCACACTCCCACAAGATTAGGGCTTGCACCCAATTAAGCGACACGGGAGTGGAATTTCTGAGTGGCTCCACCGAACCTTGCGAGTGCCCCGTGCGCGGCGAGTGCCAAAAAACGACTTCAAAAAAAGCACAACGCTCCTCCATCGTTGCACGCACTTCTCGGTCTTGATCGTCAACTCGCCCGCAAGACACCAAGATGGCTGACTCCGACTCCCCCGTCACCCTGCGCACTCGCAAGTTCATCCGCAACCCTCTGCTTGGCCGCAAGCAGATGGTCGTGTACGTTGCCCTCTTTCTGCCAATCTGAGAGTAAACGCCGTGGCAGCAAGGCAGCAATGGATTCTTCTCAAGTCTTCACAGAGCATATCCGAGCAAAACTTCCATCGAAGTCCCACCAAGCAATGCGACAAAACCACCGACAGAACCCTCTTCCCGAGATGCGCGATCGATCGAGTCAATCATAACCCACACATCCATCCACATTTGTACCCTGCGAAATCAACAGCCTGATGCTCAAGAGGCCAGAAAGAGATGGGAAACAAACATGAAAGACTTGCTGAAAGACTTGCGGTTTCGCGGGCGATCATGATGCGGATTACGATGATGGGTTAGGGTTACAACATCTCGTGGAGAGTGGCGGTGGTTTGTCGCAGTCGCTTCGGTGATCGTGATACAAATCTGAGGGAGGCGGAGAAGGAGACACATCAAGTCCAATGCTGCTTTGCCATGCGCGGTTGTTGCTCCCTCAACAACTTAGGACAGTCTTGCTTACTCCTGCTTTTTAACACATACAGGGATATCCTCCACCCCAACCGTCCTAACATCTCCAAGGACGAGCTCCGCGAGAAGCTGGCCACCCTCTACAAGGCCACCAAGGACCAGGTCAACGTCTTCGGTCTCCGCACCCAGTTCGGTGGCGGCAAGACCACCGGCTTCGCCCTCGTCTATGACTCCCCCGAGGCCATGAAGAAGTTCGAGCCCCACTACCGTCTTGTCCGTGTCGGCCTTGCCTCCAAGATCGAGAAGGCTTCTCGCCAGCAGCGTATGTCTCATCTCTGTCTCTGTCTTTGTCACTCACTAACACCCCCAAAGGCAAGCAGCGCAAGAACCGCCAAAAGACCCTCCGCGGCACTGCCAAGGTCAAGGGTGCCAAGCCCAAGAAGGAGAAATAAGCGTATCGCTCTCCTTGGTGCTTTGTCGTCCTTCTCTATCTCACCGGGTGTTTGCGAGGGTGTGCATTCTTTCTTACAATGCATCTGGGGCTTCCTCCGGCAGTCGATCTGCCGCCTGCAAACCTAGTCAGCATTTGGAATCCATTTGGAGGCGTGACGGTCGGGCTTTCTGGGATTCTGGCGACATAGCATACAATTCAGGGGTGTTTTGCGTGGCACAAAAACAAGATGATCAACACCCTGTCTTCCTGTGATACTGACTTTGTCTCGACGTTTTTGTTGACTTGCAACTGAATGGTTCGATGATGGGAACTGGACGAGTGTCCTGTCTTTCCACCTTGACAGCCACGGAACATCGCGTTCATGCCTGCTCACGATGTGCCTCTGAAGCTTCTTCCAAGTGGTATGTTCTGTTTATTTTGATATGGCTTTTCCTGCCTTGCCTTCTTCCTCTTTTCTCCCCAAGTCATGGACATACGCCTCGCCACAGCCATGGGCGGTGGTATCGCCTCTCTATCCGCCTTCCATTCCATCGATTCCATTCACCTTCCGCATTTTCCCATCCTTCTCTTTCCTCCCTTTCATTCGACCCCCCTTTCGGGACCTTCTCTTTGTTTTTGTTTTTTGTTTTTTGCATCCAGCCATCCAGTCAACACCAAGGCAGTCCTGCTTCCCTTCACCTCCACCTCGCTATCACTCGCCAGCTGAACCGCTAGAGTCAATGCCCACGGCCGTGACATAAAGGCCCTTGGAAAAGATGGGAATTCCTCCCGTCCTCTCACCCTCAACTTCCGTCCTCCATCTCCTTCCCCCCTCCGTTGCCTCGCCAGTGGCGTCTCAGGGCTCACTCTCCGTCCGGGCTCTCCCTGGTGCTCGCGTTATTCTCGTCCGAAGTGACAGCGGGCAGCGCGGGCAGACGAGAAATATACCTATAAACCCAACTCCCCACCCTAACACTAATAATCACATGGCCATAAGGCGGCCAGTATCCCTCGCCCTCTTCTGTGAGGGTGTACCCCTGTAGGTCGCTGTCGGGGAAGAAGACGCCGCGGCCGTAGGGGGGGAAGTGCCCGTAGTTGGGGAGGGAGCCGATGGTTGTGTGGTTGGGGAAGTTGGGGATTGGGTTTGGAGTGTTGGGGTTGATTATATACATGTCTGTGTCTATGTCTGTGTCCAGCTGTGTTTGCACTTGTGGTCGTGGGTTGGGTGAGAGGGTAGGGGAGGGGATTGATGCAACTGGGTCTTCTGTCTCGGCGGTGGTGGCGGTGGTAGCAGCGGTGGGATGAGTGAGTGTATGCGTGGTTGTGGTTGCCGCTGTGGTTTCGGAGGTTTGATCTGGCTCTGGCTCTGGGTCTGGATCTGGGTGTGGGTCCACGTTGGGTACATTCACCATCGCACCCACCGGGACCGGGACAGGAACCGAGTGTGCCAAAACAGGCGAGCTGGGCGCCTCTGGAATCAAGGGCTCGTCTTCGGGCACTAAACGTGCTGGCGATCCCGGTCTAGTCGGACCGACGCCAATGGGAGAGCTACTACGCGTTGCATCTGCCGAGCTTGTCAGAGGCTCGGGGCGAGGGGAATAGATGGATGGACTGGGCTCCAAATCCGAACGGACAACGGGGCTGGTGGTTGTGGGGGTGGGGAATGAAGCGGGAGGTAGGCTTGACAGAGTTGGGGATGGGGATGGGGCTGATGACCTTTGGAAGCTGGAATCGGCGGACTCCATGTTTCCATCGTCGGTCTGAGTGGATGTGTCGGTTTGAACTTGGAGATTTGCTGGCGGTATTGAGGGTGCCGGCAAGCCTACTCTTGAGGAAGTGGAAGTCATCTTGGAGGCTTGGAAACCCGATCGACTGGTGGACTAGTGGACTGGTGGTCTGCTATATCAATCTTCGTGTCTGACCCTGGGTTTGCTCAAGTGGACTACAAAGGAGATGGCCGTCGTGCTTAGAGTTTACGAGAAGGCCTGGGAGGATGGCCTTTTATGGGGGGGAGCTCTCCTCTTTGCCACTGGCTCATGAAGACATTCGCGTTGCCCTCCTTCACACGACATGACACATCGGCAAGCGTCGTGGTTCAATGACACATTCATGTTGTTTTGGCTATTTGAGGGATTCACACAGTCCGCGGACGAGATCGAAGGCAGGGCCAGAGGGCAATCGACAGCAATGCTCGATGTTCACTACGCTAAGCAAAACAGGTCACGTTCAGAGAAGGCGAAATCCGGAGGTTCAGTGCGCAGAGGAGAGTGACAACGACGGAAAGCGGTCCACGGATGGTGTCAAAGCCCTGCGGGCCTGGTCAATGACTTGCCAGATTCTGTCGATTCGACCGGGACAATTTTACTACCCTCACAGCCGCGAACATCACGGATCATCGCGCATCTCACATACCTCGGGACATTTTTTGATGGCCTGGGGGCAGCCAGTTCACCTCAGCCTTATCACTGAACGGCCTGAGCAGGAACTTGAAGCAGACGCTTATATTTTCTCATGCTACGACGCCTTTGGTTCCTTCCCTGGCTTGCTTTATTCCTCTACTTACCTATCCCTACACCTCATATACCTTCCAGTCCTCTCGGATGCTAGATTCGGCTCGTTCTACCCATTTTCCCTTCTCTGCCTTCTTCCATCTGCGCCGGCGCCGACGACCCATCTCAAGTAGACCATGCCCGGGGCCGCGACCGATAACCCACCGGTGAATCGGCCCTCAAACCACCCGGTGCACCAACCGGGGGAGTGCCCCAAAAACCATCCGGATAATTGCTCCAACAACCAACAGTATAACCATTCTTCATCCCAACCGGCGGAGGCTCCGGCGTCCACCCCGAATGCGACCCGCGCGGGGTGTAAAGAGGCGTCAAGGGCTCCCAAGGCCACACAGGCTTCATCGACTCAATGATGAGGCTCCGCACTCTCTTGTCGTCATCATGAATCCATCGCCTGATTCTGTACCAAGGGCCGCCGCCATCGCTTTTGTCAATATTGCAGTAAGTGCCAGGCAGTTGGTTTCGATTCTCGTCACCGTCGTCGTCGTCCTCATCCCACTCGTCGTCCAGCCAAAGACTGATATTGAACGCCCGGGGACAATCAGCTAGGGGACCGGACCAAATACAAAATCCGTCATTCTGGCCCCGGCCGGAGAAGGGGTAGCCGTTCATGGCGCTACCGCAGAGGTAGAGGCCGACGGATGTGTTGTTGAGGTCCAGGCGGCTGGAAGGTCTCGATGGCTTGGGCTCTGGGTTGGGCAGGCTGGTGGAGATAATAGAACGGGGAGCACCTGTAATAGTTGAGAAGGGGTCTGTCGAGTAGGAAAGGTCTGCGTCGTTGGTCTGGGGTTGGGAAGAGTCCGTGTCTTCAGAATCCCGCACTTCAACGGGCCAACCGGACTTCGATTCAACCGGCGCCTCAATCGGCAACTCAGCGGGCGACCCCGGTGGGGTTTGATCGAGCGGCGAAGGTGTCGACGGTTGCCACGGAAAGACACTCCTAGTTGCATCTACGCGTAAATGCTGCAAGTGTCTCTCGCTGCGGCTGTCTCTTGATGCAATACAGTAGGGAATGGGCTGCCGCTGCTGGTAAGGTCGGTCCTCTTCACCCTTCCCGTCTTCTTGCTCCTCTCCTTGCTCCTCGGATTCCTCCCTCTCCCTCTCTTCCTCTTTCTCCTTCTCCTCCTCATTCTCCTCCTCCTCTTGCTTCTTTATCTTATCCCCGTGCATATCGCCAGTCAAATCGAGATAAATGATAAACGACCGAGGACATTCGGCCGCGTTTCCGGAGTAGATGACAAGTTCTTCATTGCCACCGTGGTCGGAGAAAGGGTGGCCGTTAATGAGGCTGCCGGAGAGACTGAGGGTTGCGGGGGTTGAGGAGAGGTTGAAGAATTTGGGGATTTTGACGGACACCGAAGGGATAGCGGAGGTAGGGGTGGGAGCGCTCGGAGTACTGGGGATGTCGGGGACGGACGAGCTTGCGTTGCTAGGCTGGGAGCTGTTCATCTCTTCCGGTTGAGAATCGGGACCGGGAGAGGGCATTTTGGAGGCGGGAAAAGCGAGTCTATCGGCAGAGTGCTATGGTGGTCTGTTGGGTGTTGATGTTCCTGGGTGCCTTGCGAAGTGTGTCCCTGCCGAATACGTTGAGAGGTGTCAGTACCGGTTCTCGGTCAAGAAAGGGATAGGGGAGGTGCGATAGCGAAGGGAAGTTCTCCTTAAATAGCAGTAGAGGCATATTCCTCGGGGCAGAAAGGTGAAGGGATGCCTATCGCTTCTCCTTCAATGAAAATGATGCCCCACCAAAGCATTGTTCGTCGATGACACTTGCTTCCGTTGGTGGGTGGCTAGCGGAAGAGGTGGACAAACTGGCCTGCAAACTGCCTTGAACGAGATCGAAGGAAAACATGGGGACAGCCAGGTGTGATACCAACATCATGGCACACGGGTATGATCGAGATCGAAGGTGAGGCTAATGTGAGGTCAAGTGATATTCGGTAGGCACAATGACTGCGGGAGCGAGAACCCAATATTTGATGTTGGAGAGGAGGAGAACAATGATGGATAGAGAAGCGCAACAATCCGAGCATGACGGAAAAGCTTGGTTCCGATCGATAAGATTACACTCTGTGCTAGAAAGCGGTTGAGAAGGAAAGTACGATTCACATTTACGACAAGCTCACATGCAATCAGGCAGCTACCTCTACCAACCGAAGCGGAAGAGTGCCCTTATCGTTATCTCTGCGCACAAGAACCTTGATGGCCAATTTTGACTACTTCACTTCCCGACGTCGCCAACTCAACACAACCTCCTGTTCTCAGAAAGCACTGGACGCCATTTACCCCGAGCCGGCTCCATTCATTGCGCGCCGCCTCTATTCCTCTCCATCGCTCCATCTAGGGCCAACACCGCCATCCGAGCAGAACCCCACCGTGTCGATTTCCTCCTCAAGTCTCATTAATTTTTCCCCTTCCTTGAACTGGTAGCCATCCGAGTCACCTCCTCAGAGATCCTTAGGCGAATTGAGCGGCGTAGGCGTAGGAGAGCTTTCGCCAACATATTCGAAGTGGGTGGTGAAATACGCCGGGACGTACACGACCTCATAATCCTCCTCGCGGTCCGAGTCCTCAGATCGGGTAGGCGGCTTGGGTTTAGGGAGAGTAGGAATCGGAGCGCTGGGCACGGTAGGGATAGGCTCACCGTCCTCGGCACGGGAGGGCGTCCTTGGCTTGGGAAGAGTCGGGATGGGAGCACTCGGTACAGTGGGGATAGGTTCGCCGTCCTCGCAGCGAGCAGGCGGCTTCGGCTTGGGGAGCGTAGGAATGGGAGCGCTGGGAACGGTAGGGACGGGCTCCCCGAAGGTGGTGGGGGTGATCATTTTGATGGTTGGTTGGATGTCCGCTGATTTTCGTTTTGTCGATATCCGGCAGTCGTTGTGGACTGCTGTTGTGTTCAATCTGTGCTTGGATGGTATTGATGTTTGGGTTTGGTCATGAGAGGGCCGGGAAGGATTTTTATGCCTCTTCCTCGCAGGAGCTACTTTCTAACCTCGGCAAGAAGTTGTAGGGATCTTGGTCAATCTTGGCTGGAGGTGATACCCTGACGCAGCGTCGCCGTTTGATGAGGCCACTTCCGTTAGTGTTTATCTTCGTGGTATGTTGGTTTGAAGGTATACCAGCAGTTCAGGGACGAGAATGGAAACAAAAGATGGCACAACGGATATGTCACTAGCATGACAGAGCGAGGCCGGAGCTGAGGTTGGGTAGTGGTCGCTGGAGGTGGCCAACAAGATTGCGTTTTGGGAAAGAAAAGCCAAGGTCGAGGCCAGAAACAAGAGGAAATGACTGACAGATATACTGACAACATGAAGGAAGGCTCGATACCCGCGTACGACATTTCGCCATCGGAAGCCACGAAATGATCCTTATCGGCGACGTACGATACTCCGATATCATACCTCAATGTCATACAGGCGAAACATGAGCGTCCAGTCAATAATCGGCCTGAATCCGCATGCAGGCACATTTCCTGACTCCGCATGTTGCACTCTGGCAACTTCTCTTGAGGTTATCTTCCACATGCCGCTTTTTCACCAAAACTGAACATCTAGACGCGTCATCAACGGCAACGGAAGAAACAGATGACACCGACAAGAAGATTTGTTCAACTCTCTCGATCTCGGCCCTTTTTGCTTCGAAACTGTCAGATATCTGAACTACCGAGTCCACGCTCACAACCCAATACTTTCTCTCGCCATCCCACGTTACCCAGCCGCAACCTTGCTGACATGATTCCTTGATCGAACACTAGATTGCGTCCTCTGCATCTTTATCTCTCGAGGGCACCAGCGGACCCAAACCCTTCAACTCCCTCCACCAGGGCTCAGTTCTCCAACTGATCTTCTTCTCCCAATCTTCCAGCGTTTGTGCACTGAACGTGTTCTTACAGATGGTCGACCAATAATAGTGACGCCCTTTGCAAGTGCAAGGCGGAGTCGTAGTTGTAGTGTCTCTATTGCTGCCACCACTGCTTGTGGTGGTTGTGGTCGTGATAGCGCTCGTGCTGGCGGGAGTATTTGAGCTCTTGATGGTCGAGGAACCGGAGCTGGTGGAGGAGGACTCGGTTGGGGAGTAGGGGCGGGACATTGTGGTGACGGCGAAGTTGCTAAGCACGATACCCAGTTTGGACGGTATTTTAAGCCTCGAAGATACTTTGAGTTCGTGGATGCGGTTCGGCTCCAGACTTGACAGATGTTGGAATGGGAGTTCGTTCGTGGGGATGCTGAGTGAGTTGGCAACACGAGGTTAGGAATCATGATCCTTTTGACCCTGTTGGACAAGGGCACCTCGTTGCAGGAGTGGGAGAAGCTGCCGTTGCCGAGCGTGCTTGATTCAAGGTACGTGATGCTTGGTCGGTGACTTACTGCCCAATGATTCAGCATTGCGTTGGTCCCATCCTTCTTCTAAACCATTCAGCTTCGAATTGGTTTTGTGCCAGTTTGGACACTCCCCGAACAAACACTGAGTGCCGACAAGAATGCCATCAAGGTCTGATCAACACCAACTGGGGGCCGCATCTGATTGAGGCCGGACACCTTGATGGGTAGTTCTCCTTTTCAGCAAGGTATGTCATTCCCATGGTCAAAAGTTACCATGAAGAAGACACTCTTTGAGAATGAGCTATAAGAATACCTCCTGTCCTTTCTTCCAGCCTCAAAGCCAATTGTTCAACATTGACAAACACTTCTCAGTTCTAACTTCTCGAACGCAGCGCAACTACAATCACCACACTTCAAGATGTCCTCCGGATCCTTCTCAGAGACCCGATCACAACCACCCTCACCACCCTCACCACCTTCACCACCTTCACCGTCTTCACTGTCTTCAGTACCCCTGCCACCCTTACCATCCATACCCTCGACACCCAGCACCGGAAGTCCCCAAGTCTTCACAGGCCCAGCCTCCTCTCACGCCTCTTCCCAACCCACTTCAGCCCCCAATTCCCATACCTCTTCCGCAGAAAGCTCCACATTTGACTTGTCGGTATTCTTTTCACTCGACCCCCGACCAGTGCCCCGTGACCCCACCTCGGGCATGCCTTCTCCAAGTCCACCCAGCTCGGAGGCAGAGCCTCAGTCGATTCCTCAGTCCCTGTCCAGCTCTCAAGCCAGCGAAAACTTCGCTGCACCCAGAGGTACTTGGACCATCTCAACGGAAGAATGTCCTCGACCAGCCATGAGCAATCTCCAGCCAAATTCGCAAACCAGCTCCGAAGAAAGCTTCATCTATTTCACCGGCACCATTCCCCCGAGTCCTCCCCTTTCATTCTCCCGGCCGAATCGAGGCATGTTCCTGATTGGTCCCTCGAGCTCTGAGACGAGTCCTGAGAGTTCGGTGTGTTTGACTGCTTCTACTTCACCAGTCCTGTCGCCAGAGGCCGCTCACGATGCTTCTCAGACAGGTTTCGTATCCCAGAGTGGATTGCGAACGTCGGTTTACTTCATTGCTCCTACATGTACCTCGCCCGTTGCTTCGAAGAATAACTCCCAAGCTGCTTTCCCTGATACTTCTCACCATACTTCCCAAGGCAGCTCTAACCCTTACCCCACTCCTATCCTCCAAGTCAGAATGCCCGGTTCATGGATTTCCTCGCGCAGCAACTCCCCCATCCCACCAAAGTCTTTGTCCAGCCCTCAGCAAAGTCCCCAGACCCGCACTCAAACCAGCTCCAACCCTTACCCAAGTCCTATCCTCCACGTAACCATCATGCCCGGCTCTTGGGTTTCTTCACCCAGTTCTCCCACTTCTCCATGTCCCATTCCCTCCACCCCGAGCTCGCCTGTTCTTGAGGCGGCTACCTCTAGTGATCCCATTCCTTCGAATAGTTCTACCACATCCACGACTTCCACCACTTCCACCACTTCCACCACTTCCACCACTTCCACCACTTCCACCACTCCCACCAGCAACGACACAGACAGACTCGACAGTAGTACCCCAGACATCACCATCACCATCGCCGGGCTTAACATTTGCAATCCCACCGACACTAGCACTAGCACTAACACGGACACAAGCACCAGCCAAGATACCAGGACCAGCACCAATTCGAGCAGTGACCCGGACCTGGGAAGTATACCTCTAGGCAGTGGGAGTAGCGGTAGTAGCATAAACACCACGGAGGCAACTAACAACCTATCACCACCTTCCCCACCAACGTGCAGCTCAAGTGGCTCAAATAACTCCACTGCTCCTCCTTCTCCTGCCAGTACTACGGGTAGCATTTCGCCGGCTTGTATTCAACAATGAGGTGAGGAAGGAGGGCGTAAGAACTGATGGGGTGGGAATGGGAATGGGAATGGAAGTCGGGAGGGGAGATGGCAGGTAGAAGTAGGAAGGGGAGATGGCAGGTAGAAGTAGGAAACTGGTAGGTAGGGAAAAGTAGTCGAAACGGAATGATCAAAGGGAATACATGGTTGCGATATAATCGATCGACAGCGAACATGGAGCGTAAGGCAATGAGCAAGATAATTCACAGCTATATCAAGCATACAAGTCTAATCAGGTCCCTATTACTATGGTCAACCATGCCCAACCAGTACCGGCACTAAGCGATGCATTCTTGCCCCAATTTCCCTATGCCATGGTCAACTTCGACTGTATCGCTTTTTTGGCCTCATACTCCGCCATAATGCTCTGCAAAACCGACTTTTCTCGCAAGAACTGAAAGAGAGAGACAGATCGACCCCCTTTTGCCATCGTCTTTCCACCAACCCTTTTCTCCCCATTCCCCTTCTCACCCTTCTCCTCTTTCACCTCAGCTATCCTCGGTACCTTCGACCCTCCCAAACTCTACTTGGAAGAAGAAGCCGAACCCCTGTTCTTCCTCAGCGACCCCGTAATGATACTCGGCTGACTCCTCCTCGGACTTTGCACCTGCGTGGAACTCAACCTCGTGCTGCTAAAAAGCTTCCTTCTCGGCGTCACAAACGACGCCGACGTTCCAGGGGCCGTCGATGGCGGCGCCCTATGTTGACTCTGACTGGTGGCCGGGCTACTTTCATGATAAGTCTCATCCAGATCGTCATCGGCATAATCTTCATTCATCTCAGGTTCAGGGCTGCTGGACACAAGGTTAACGACTTGAGATCCCTCAGGGATGGCGAAGGAACCGCTGAACCGAGTTGTTCTTGTTGACTTAGTGGTGGCGGTGGTTGTTTGGTTCAGCTTGGAAGGGGTGGAAGTTCGGCGAAAGGGCAACTTCCGAGCTGAAGGACGCTCGATGGGCGTTTTGGCTAGTTTCTGGGCGAGCTCGGATAATTGGCGACGCTTCTCTACTTTAATCTGGGTGTCGTCCATTGTGGTGGACTCTTGAGAGGACTCTTCCTCGTCCAATCGCTTCATGGCCTGCTCGTAGTCTAGGTTGGTAGCGTCCAATGATTTGCGAGTCTGGCTGGTGGTAGGGACGGCATCTCTAGGGATCGACTTGGGCGGTTGACTGGCTCTGCGTTGACTGGATTTTGTGGTGGTTTGACTCAGAGATGGGAAGAAATCGTCGTTAGAAGCTGAAAGGTCGGAGAGCGCGGGGCTAGCAGGCTCTTCGGATAGTGATGCTCGCTTCTGGGGTCTCTTAGGTGTAGTCTCTTGTGATTCCTCCTCCTCATTATCCTCCTGATCGTCCTCGTTGTTTTCCTCATGGTCGTCCTCGTTATCATCCTCTTCATCATCCTCCTGATCATCCTCGTTATTGTCCTCATGCTCCTCCTCGTCGTCATCCTCGTAGTCGGGACCCGGCATCGGAACGTCATCCTCGTCCGCAGGCTCAAACCGGTCGAGGATCTTGTTGTTTCCCAAATCGATGCTAAACTCCGGGTCCGGCTGCCTTCCGCTACGGACGCTACCCGTGTCGGAAGGGATAACATCCAACCTAGCATAGCTAAAATAGCTACCCCGATTGTCAGCTGCCTGTTCCAGTCCATCAGAGAATCCGTTGAACTGCTCAAGTGTAATGCGCTGGGATTCGAGGTAGGCGGAGGAACGAGAAGGGGGTCTTTGATCCTGGGACTCAGGCTCCTGGGAAGGAAGATCCGCGACGTCTGGCAGCTCGTCACCGAGAACGGAGCTGCGCGGAGGGGTGTTGCGACCTTCGGACGGGGGTGCGCTAGGACCATGCTGGGGAGATGACGGCGGTTCGGGTGCTTGTTCAGGCTGTGGCGAGGGATTGCTTACGTTTAGATGTTCGTCGCGAGACACGGAGGCATCCGCTTCCGGGCGTGAGCCGGTACCGAGAAGGCTGGTTTCCGGGCGGAGATCATCAATAATGGAGGCATTGCCAGCGGAAGTCACCTGTGCAGCTTGAGGTTCATAAGAGCTTCCGTGGTCCGTAGCAGGGATGAGACTTTCTTGGGCAGTTTGTGACTCGGGCTCCGAAGGCACCTTATGATCGAGAGTACGGGAGCTGGCCTTACTGGCCCCATCTTCATTCGCCGGCGAGATGTTGCCTTGGTGTTGGGTCTCCGGCACCAAGACTTCATCTTCGGACCGACGCAGCACCCGTGGCTCCATCATGTCGGCAAAGTTGATGGTTCGGTAACCCTTTTCGGCATCCCCGTCGGCGTCGTCTTCGTCCTCAGGAACCTCAAACTTGTCATATACTCGGTTTCCCTCATCATCATAGACCTTCTCGTTGACGTCCAGGTTTCTATCTCGCTTGGAAAGGAGAATTCGCAAATCGTTCTGTTCCCAGACCTCGACAACGGTTCCCGTCATGTTCATAACCTGAGGTTGCCAGTTGGTAGCCTTGGAGAGCAGGAACTGCTTCCAGGTGATGATCATACCGGCCTTGGCCTGTCCCGGTTGGAGGAGAGGCAGGGTGGTCAAATCACTGGGAAGAGGAGGCAAGTCTTCCTCTTCGTCTTCGTGCTCCTCGTCATCGTACTCCTCCTCCTCATCGTACTCTTCCTCATCTTGTTCCTCCTCATGGTGGCCCTGAGCCGCATAAGCATCGGGGTCCTCCTCGTCGTAGTTCAAGATGACATTCTCCTCTTCGTCCGACACCTTTCTCTTCTTGTTACCCGGCTCCTCCTCTTCGTATTCATCCTGGTTCTGCTGCTTCCGCTTCGAGGGTCCTCCACGACCACTGCCCCAGTAATTTTGCTGTTGAGGGTCCCAGCGTTGGTAGAATGGAAAGGGAGGTTCGCTGAGCTCAACGCCTTCCTCGGTGCACTCTACGGCAGTATAGTTGATCTTTTGGCGCCAAGCATCAGGATCTACTTCGGTTACGGTGACTTCGGCGTCCTTCTTCGCATCCTCCACACGGTGGTTGACCAGAGGCTTGACACCCTTCATCAAGCTAGCACGGATCTTTGCCTCGTCTTCTTGAGACTTGGGGTTCTTAAGACCAAGAGATCCGAACAGCATACGACGGCCAGCGTCCACGTCGAGCTTCGTCTTCCGCTTAGCCGGGGCAGAGGTTGTGTTGTCCGCAGAGGGCTCAAGCTTTTCAGTCTCGGCAACGGGAGCTGCAGGCTTCTCTACTTCAGCTGGTTTGCCGAGATACTCAAGATGACCGAGTGACTGGAGCAAGGCCATCCTCTTAGCCTCTAGGTCGGCCGGTGTCGAGGTCTCCGCATCTTGACCGGACGTAGAACCAATAATAGAAGTGTCTCTAGACGCGGTCTTTCTTATCTTAGCAGAAAGCCTCCGCCGTGCGTTCCTCATCCTTGTTTTGTTCTTGCCTTGGCCTGGAGGCACTGGACTTTGGTCCTGTTGGTCGTTGGATGCACTTGAAGCATCAAGGGTGGCCGTATCAAGGGTAGCTGACTGTTCGCTGATGGGCTGGAATACAGCTTTGGTAATATTTGCATGTTTGGAACTTGAAGTAACTGGTTCGTCATCCGAGTCGTCATCACTGCTGTCACTGGAATCGGACTCTGAATCGTTGCTAATATCATTGTCGGAATTTGCGTTGGCATTGTCGCGCGAAGAGATATCGGAATTACTGCTGTTGCTATCATCACTGCTGGAATCGTCCTCCTCATCCTCGGAGTCGCTCTCGTTGCTGGATGCGTCCTCCTCTGAGCTGCTGTCGTCGTCGCTACTACTGTCGCTATCGCTCTCGTCAGAACTTGAGGATTCGTCATTGGGCTGGGGGTTCTTGGGGGCGACCATATCCGCGGGGGGCTTTACTTTGGTGGTATAGACCTCGGGGCCACTTTCGCTGTCACTGGCAGCGGATCCTTCGTCAGAGGATTTGTTTGGGACCTCTTCGTCCAAGACCTCGTCCGCGTCATCAGAGAGTGAAACAGCATCCGAGTCGTTGGAAGAGTCAGAGTCCTTTTCAGATAAGTCCTCGTCGTCCTCGTCGAGGTCAAAGTCTGACTCCTCTTCTTCCTCATCTGAGTCGAGGGGAATCTCGTCAGACTGAGCAGCGACTTTAGCGGGCTGGACGGTGCCCTCATCGTCCTCGTCATCATCAAACTTCTTATGAATAGGAAGGTTCACATCCTGACCCGACATGCGAAGGGCCTCAACCATGTGACGGGAAGCTGAACCATCGAGGATGGAGCCAGCAGGGAAGCCATGCTCATCGTAATGCTTGATCAAGGAGCCGACGGATTCGGCATCGCTCTTTTCAGACGCTTCCGCCTCAAGTTCGTCCTCAATCGCACCTTCAGGCCCACGGACTTGAAGACGTCTCCTGTAGGCTAGCATCTGTTGCACGGTCATGTGGGGACGGTTCCTGCGTCGGAGCTTCCAGTAAACCTTCTTCTCGTTGCTATCGTGCTGAAGGAGGAGCTTCTCGCAGACGTCAACCGAGACTCTTGGGAAAGCAGCCCGGAGAGCAGCGATTCTATCGATGTCTGAGAGGTCGATGGACTTTTGGGACTTGGTGGGGCTGATGTCGGTGGGTTGCTCGATGTTGTCCTCGGCTGGGGTCTCTTCTCTTGACTCGACCTCCTGGAGGCCCTCGAGTTCATCCGCAAGTTCGTCTGGGTTGATCTCGTAGTCGTCATCTTCATCTTCGCCCTCTTCCTCTTCCTCATCGTCACCATATTGCTCTTGATCGACAAAGTCGTCGTCTTCTTCCTCGTCCTCATTGGCATCAAGGCCGGCGTTGTTGAAGCGGACTTGTCGAGTGCTCTCACGGTCTTCAGAACCTTCGCCATTGCGGGTGAGGAAGAGGGGTTCGGCTTGTTCATCATCACGCTCGATGGTATCGTACTCGATTCTCCTCCGCTTGAGAGGGGGGATGTCTACCGGGGGTCTGTCTCTGGGGGACCTGAGTCGAGGATGGCCAAAGGGAACGCCGTCAATCAGGTGTCTGCCATCGTTGGAGATCTGCTCACGGCCGGACAGCAGACGGCGCTTTCGGTCACCGGTGACGAGGGGTCGGACACTGCGGGGTTGGGAGTCAGCAGCTGCAGGGAGGGGTTGAATGACAGGACAGGTGAGAATGGGCTGAGATGCAACTCACAAGACTTCTTCCTCGTCCTTGAGGAGTTTGGAAACCTGCTGGAAGTGCAGGCATTCGAAAGCGTAGCCCTCCTTGTTGCGTAGCTCGACTACGTAGTCTTCAAGGCCCCATTCCGGGCTCTCGAGGGGAATGATCTCGTTGATTTGGTCGACGAGGTCGGCAATGGTTGGGTCATTCTCCAGAGGGACGTGGTGGATGATTCTGACCTCGGGGAGGGAGTGACGCCGGACGACGAGACGCAGACGAAGGCTATTGTCCTTCATGTTGGCGTCGATGTGTGATATGGATTAGGTGTGATTGATTGGTATGATATCGAAGCTAGAGGTTGGGTAAGTGGTTTAGATGGGTTGGGTATGATGATGTTCGTCGTCTTCGGATTCCTTTCCGGTGGACAGTGGTTGTGGGAATTTTGCAGTGTCCGGATCGAAGATGATGTCTGAGTCCAAGATGACGAAAAGAACGCGTAAAGTTGAAAGTTTGATTTGTTTGTGGGGAGAAAAGCAGAAGCAGTCGAGCAAATCCTGGTTCAGTCTCGTAAACTTTGCTTTTCGCTCCTGCCCTCAGTCCTCGCTCTTTCTGGCGTTCGTATTTCTCGTTTCTTCAGGGCATTTTGTGGTGGCAGTCGCGACCTTCTGAAGCTTCCATCCCGCTGGAGAACAAACATTCAATCGCCAGGAGCACCTTGCAAGCCTTATCGGTGGGGCCGAACGTTGATGCCAAGACTTGCTCGCTTCCTGTTGGATGAAACATTGCGGGGGCGTGCAGTTGGTGGGGCCAACACTTTTAAGACATCCAACTTCCAACACTTGCGCCAATGTCAGAGCACTACCTCATCCGTGAAGGATCTCTAGATGGTACCATTCAAGAACGCGTAGTCCCCCAACGAGGTTCGTACAGGGAGAAAGGTCCCAAGCCCAAGGTCAGTCTAGCTGTCTCTTCAGAGGTCCGATGTACTCCTGCACGTGAAAATGCGTGATGAGCTAAGCTCTAGTCTTTTCCCGGGAGTGTCTCCCACAGGAAGTAATTCCAAAGGGAGAGGGCATTCAGCTACAATGGCTCTAGAGGTCAGGGGAAAGCAAGATACCTTGGTAACTATCTCTATAACATAGTTGTCTAAAGCCTGCCTTCTAACTAATGTAAATCGAAGAAAGGGAGAACCCGCCAGAACGCCTTCAAATTTTGTGCCTCCAGAGATATGGTATAGGTATACACTATATGCATAGGTGATGTCGCGAAACAATGGACTGTAGTTGTGTTCTATCACTGAGGGAGCGCTCCCATATCCAGCATGTGGCCCATCTTTTCAATCTGCCGTCGACGCAAACACCCGTTAGCACTTTGTCACCAGCAGCAGTATCACCAACAGCGTCACACAAACACAAACGTACCTTGGTCTTCAAATACCCCTCCACTTCCGGCGCCCTGAACCCTCCCTTGCCCTTCCAACTCAACGGCACCATGGCCACCCTTTCCGTCACCACAATCTCCCGATTCGGGCCCTCCACCGCCCTGATCTTATCCGGGTTATTCGTCAACAGTCTAATCTCTTTCTGACCGAGGTCCCTCAACATGGCAGTCGCCAAACCATAGCTTCTCGCATCCGCAGGGTGGCGCAACAGCAAATTGGCCTCGACGGTATCCGATCCCAGGTCTTGCAAGTTGTAGGCTTTGAGCTTTTCGCCCAACCCGATACCTCGGCCTTCTTGGCGCAAATAGATAATGATCCCGCCAGCGGTGTTGGAAGGCAGCGACATCAGACGCGCGGCCTCGTCGAGCTGCTCTCCGCAGTCGCAGCGCGCAGACCAGACGGTTTCGCCCGTGTAGCATTCCGAGTGTATCCTGACCAACGGCGTCTGCTTCTTCTCCTCTGCCTCCTCCTTCTCTTCCTTCATCTCTCCTCCTCCAACACCAGGTTCCCGACTCGTCGTCCTACCGGGGTACAGCCGCCCCGTATAGGCACCCCTTACCAACCTGTCCATCTCCGTCTCGCCCTCCCGCACCCTGTCCAGACTTTCACTTCGGATGTTATTGCCGAACACAATGGCCAGGTGCTCCTTGTTGTCCACGTCGTTGGTGTACAAGTGCAGGAACATCTCGGCCCCGTTGGTGGTCGGGATGCGCGCCCGCACTATGCACTCCACATGCGGCAGGGACTCGAGGAGTTTGGGCTTCTTGGTGCCGCATCCTCCTGAAGGAATGGAGCTGTCGACGGGGATGCCGCGCGGCTCCGAGAGGGAGAGGGAGGTTATGGAGGTGGAGGGGGTTGCTGTGCCGGGGGTCTGGGGAGGCGTGAAGGAGGGCGAGAGGAGGGAGGGCGGTGGTGGTTGGGATAGGGGGGTCGAGGGGACCGAGGAGGGTGTTGAGAGGTTGTCGCTGGTGTCGAGGGTAATCGCGGGTGCCGAGGTAGAGAGGGAGGTGGAGGAGGCGGAGAGGTCTACGGATTCGACGTTGCCATTGTCTCGAGACTGGTGGTCTTGTTCGCTTCTCTTGGGAGAGTAGAAGGAGGGTAATTGGGTCGTAGTCGTGGCATCGGCTTGCGATTGCGCTGATGTTGATGTCGGGCACATGTTTGGTCTTTTAGCCGGAGAGGCGAATGGGCGCGCGCAGAGAGGTTCGGCTTTGGGATGGAAGTTGCTGGTCGTGTTTAGGACTGGAACATCAATGCAACTCTAGAGAACAAAAGGAACGCTGTCGCAAGGAAACGAGAAGCAATTCGAAAAAGTCGGTGGTGTCGTGAAAGAGAGACCTGAAAGAGAGAAAGTTCGGATGCGCTGGGTCAGATGGTTCTGTAACACAGGGACGGCGAATTAACACAGGTCTCACACAGCAATTGGGGAATCATTAGTCATGGACCCCGACTGCGGGGATTCTTCGCTGACACTCGCTGACTTTCTTAATCCCGGGCCCTAAATTGGAGAAAGGTCTCAGACAATTGGCCGCGTTTTGCGGGGTTCCTGCCGGGGTTCCTGCCGGAGACAAATCGGAGTGTCGCCAGAGGGACATGGTCTGTGCGCATGTGTCAAGAATTCCACTGATCTGTCGCTGACACTCTTCAGCCCGGGCGTCAACTACGAAATCGGGAACACAGCCCGGGATGAGATGCCTCACTCAACACCATGGGACAATATCAAAACTCTCATTTACTAACCCCAAAGCCAGCGCTATACAGAACACCTTTGGGCCGACTTGGGCGTACCAGGCTCATCAACTGAAGCCAACAACTCCCCCGTCGAACACGGTCGCAAAGATGGCACAAACCCCCATGACCGTCACCACAACGGCCGTGCCGTACAGAATCCACCTCAGGACTTTGCCGGAAAAGATGCTCAAGTACGACGTCAGGATAGACAGCTTGGTAAAGGCCCCAGCCGCCGCATAGAAAACGTGGGCGACGTACATGTGCTGCTCCTCTCCCCCACCGTCAGCCTCACTCCCTAATTTGAACCCTTTCAACCCCCGGCAGAAAAACTCACCTTCACACATCGTGTCAACATCTCCAACATGTTATCCACCGGCAATGGCAAGTTCCAGATATGTTCCCCCAGTCCATATCGTGTGGCCGCGAGAGCCATGGACGCCGAGACCAGCGTGAACAGGCCAGCCAAGATGATGAAAAAGTCATCGACGAACAGACGGCGGGTGATGTACGCACGGCAGACAATGCGGAGAGAGACAACCACACCCACGAGCACCATTAAAACCAGGTTGACCTGCCATATCGTCGGCTTTTGGGTGGACTTGTCGCTAAGGTCGTAGCCGGCTAATATATCAGGACTGAACGATGGCCTTTGTGCTTGGCGGGGCAATAGGGGGTGTAGGGGTGGCATTGGTGTTGGGAGTGTTTTGGGACTGGGCAGGTCAATTTTTGAGCATCATACTGCAGCTGGTGCGCTTCCCGGAGACGGGATCGCAAGGCGATATGGGAAGAGGATGATAAAGCGGGTTTATGATCTTCGCGATCTCGGAACTTCGATCCTCGAGCCTCGAGCCTCGATCCTCGACACCCCCACCCCTCGGACGACCCGCCCTAGAGCGTATAAGTCCTTAGCCGCAACTGGCGGCCATGTGCGTGAAATCATGGCGCTGGTTTCCGTTTCCGCTCCGCTACACCTTCAAAACATGCAAGCGCTCATGGCTTGTGGCTCACGGTACGTAGGAAACGAGGGAGCAAGACATGCATTGACACTTTGCTCAACGCCCGTTGTGGAACCCCTTCGAGATACCAGTACCATGGCAAGATGGTGAAAAGAGACACCCAGAGGGCTGGAAGGCTGGACAGTTGGCGGCCATGTATTGACGCCATGGCTATGTCACCAAGTGAAGATTTGCGCGGAGCCGGGAGTGACCCGGAGTGATTTCAGCTGCGAATACCCGCGGCTGGGTCCAAGAGAGGCCCGTATTTTCCATCGGGATACGCAGAATTGGGTCAATCGTGCAATCTGATGCTAGCATGCACAATCCGATTCCTTACGTACTACCAGGGAGCCAGGCTATCAACCCTCGACAAAAGACCCTTGGCCTGGGGAAACGGGTATCCGCATGAGCTAGTAGTATACCTCTACCGGACAGATGCAGCAAACTGGGTGATGGCTGACAATCATTGTTCACATGAGTTCCCCAGCACTCCGGTCTCGATCGCAACACCCCAACTGAGCCAGTTTCCTGGGTTGAGTAGATCGTCTTCAAGTGCGCGATCTTCCCGCTGGTAAAAGTTCCGCAACCGCAAATAAAGATTTGGAAAAAGCAAGTTACCTCGGAAGAGGATACGGAGTCGGGAGCGCTGCCAGCCTGTCGCGTGCTGTTGACGAGCTCAACCAATCGGACATCTGATGACCTTCCTCAGCGGTTCAGCCTGGCACACGACCCGTCCCGACAGCTTGTCTGTCAACGCTGGATGGACAAGCCATACAAGTTATTCTCAAAACTCAGCCACCACCCCTCTCACATCTATCCAGGCCTTGACATCCAGACTTGTCTTTGACAAGCTGTGGCAGTTGTGGCAAAACCTGTGGCTTAACCAACCGCTGCCGGCGCTCGGGATATGGAGCAAAGTCATTCCATACCGTCCGGCTGGACGATAACACTCGAGGAGGCTTGCCTACCTATAACGGACCAAAAGGCTAGCATCTCCGTGGTCTTGGCTTTTCCTCTCCATATAAGACGAGCTGAGAGGCAGTCATCGGTGTCGCGCAGAGAGAACATGGCAGAAAAAGCAATGGTCGCGATAACAAGACGCATGGCATAACACGAGAGGCAGTGAGGCCTTCGTATATCTTGCCACTGGCAGTTTGGCCGGAGGTGCGATCGATCGAAAATCGGCCAAGTTTACGATTATCTCGATTGGGATACTGGGTCCTAAGTGGATGATGCTCCCGATGTTGAACGTGGAGAGCGCGGTTTGCGCTACCTTGAGAGTAGTATGCGATTTATCATCGAGTCAAGTTACCTCGATGGCCATTGCGTGAAGCCACAATCTTGTTGCGAGGTTGTCGTTATACGTGCGCATGTTCTTAACATGAGAGGCATGTGGTGTCACTCATTGGGGTCCATGTCCAATCTATGTTGCCCGAACGGCCCGTCAGTTTCGCCGAGTGGCAGCCGGGAAACCGTTGATCTTCGCGCAAGCGCACGAATCATCACAGCTTGAGTCCCTTCCGGAGCGCGGTGCCGTTTGGTATACACCATCCTCACTTCGGTCGCTTATGCACGCACCTCGTCTCTTCAAGATCGGTAAGAGATCTGTCAAATATTCCCCAGATCGGCAATCAAGGTCATATTACCACCGCTTCTGAATCTGGGGAACTGCCCGCTCACCCCGTCTTTTCCATCGCTTTTCGGCACCTGACCCGGTTCCGGTTCCTGGAATTTCCTCTTTCGGCCAAGGAACCTGCGCTTCGGAAGGTGAGCTTCCGTGAATCCGGAGAAACGCTACCGCGACGCTACGCTACGGGAGGCCGAGGCCTTGGCCCGCTTACCCCGACATTGTTCCTTTCCTCACGGGTCCGGCACTTACACCTAGTAGCCACTTCTGGGAAGTCTCGGTCGGACCTGGGCCGAGCAAGGTGAAACAAGCCGAGCATGAACAAGCTAGTACCAGCAAGATGATCATGGACAAGCCGACGGATGTATGGCTTCCAGGTCCGTCTGGGTCTGTCTGGGGTATGGGGGTTGTTGTCCCGCAGGCGATGATCTCGGATCTGGATCTGGACAGGCGAGACGGGGAGAATGACGTGCTACCTTGATGACCGACTACCTAGCCATATAAGACCTGACCTCCATCTTCACCATCATCAACCGCCAGCCACTCCATCACCTCTCCCCATCCCCCTTCACACACCCCATCACACATCAAAATGCGCGCCCTCACTCTCCTCGCCGCCCTCTCGGCCGCCGGCGCCTCCGTCACCGCCTCCCCCCTCGGTCCTCCCAAGTCCCCAAGGTCCTCCGCCTCCGACATCAACCCCTTCGTCGGCAAGAAGCTCTTCGCGAACCCCAAGTGGGCCGCCAAGCTCGAGGACACGTACAAGTCCTTCACCCAAAAGGGCGACAAGGCCAACGCGGCCGTGGTCCGCAAGGTCGAAAAAATCGGCACCTTCGTCTGGGTGACTTCTCGCTCCGGGCTCTCCGAGATCGACGACGCCATCAAGGCTGCTCGTGATGAGCAGAGTCGGACTGGACAGAAACAGGTGGTTGGGTTGGTGCTGTACAACCTCCCCGATCGTGATTGCTCAGCGGGTGAAAGCGCCGGAGAGCTAAGCAGCAAGAATGATGGGTTGAGGATTTATAAGGAGCAGTTCGTCAAGCCTTATGCTGCGAAGTTGGCTGCGGCCAAGGACTTGCAGTTTGCTGTGGTGTTGGAGCCGGATTCGTTGGGTAACGCTGTTACCAACACGGGCGTGGAGTTTTGCAAGCAGGCTGTTCCTACTTATCGGGAAGGCATCGCTTTTGCGATCAAGAACTTGCAGTTGGATAATGTGGCGTTGTATCTTGATGCTGCGAATGGTGGATGGCTGGGGTGGGGTGATAGTTTGCCGCTTGGTAAGACCCGACTTTCGTTGTCCCTTCCCTCCTCTTTTCACTCCCCCGTTTCTTCCGTCTTCTTTCCCGCCTCCGCCTTCCTCACTTCTCCCGCCCTTCCCATCATCATCAAAACCCAAAACTAACAACCCCCTCCCCAAACAAGCCGCAAAGGAATTCGCCACCGTCCTCTCCCTCGCCAAACCCGCGACAATCCGCGGTTTCTCCACAAACGTATCCAACTACAACCCCTACCTAACCTCCAACACCACCCGTCCCCGCGACTCTTACACCGCAGGGTCGCCCTCCTACGACGAATCGCACTACGCCTCTTCGCTCTCCCCCTATCTCATCCAACAAGGCCTGCCGTCGCACTTCATCATCGACCAGGGTCGCGTCGCCCTGCCGGGCGCTAGGAAGGAGTGGGGTGAGTGGTGCAATGTTGGGCCGGCGGGCTTCGGACACGTGCCCACCACGGATCAGACGGTTCTGCAGAATGGGAATGTGGATGCGATTGTTTGGGTTAAGCCGGGCGGGGAAAGTGATGGGCAGTGTGGACTTGCGGGGGCGCCGAGGGCGGGAGCGTGGTTTGGGGGGTATGTGGAGATGTTGGTGAAGAATGCTGATGCTTCTGTAAAGAACTAGTTGTAGGGGGTTTGTGGGATGAGAGTGTAAGACATGGAGGCAAGGCTCACTTCTATTGGGTCTTGCCTGTGATTGTGGGCTTGGAGGTGGTGCCCGCAACTTTGTATATATGCCATATGGGCTTTCTCTTCGTTTGATCATACTACTTGAGTTATATAGTGCATAAAACTTTTGTTCTCGTGGGTCACTAAGGTATGAGCATGCTCACAAGCATTGGGGCTGTAAGAGAGTTTGAAAGTGAAGAACGAAGGGGAAAGGGAAGAGGAAAAAAAGAGAGGCTATCACCACCCCTCGCACGGACCCAATCCAGATACTCGACGGAAGGAACAAAAAACTGCACCTGCCAAAACTAATACCAATATCAAAATTGGTAGAGTGAACAAGAAGTTAAAGGCAAAAAAAAATCGACGTAGGCCTGGTTCGAACAGACGCTCCCGAAGGAACCAGATTTCAAGTCTGGCGCGTTAGACCACTCCGCCACTACGCCTTCGATATTATGAGAGTTGGGTTGTACATGTTATATGTGACACCTGGGGAGGAAGCTAGCCACGTGTCACTAATTGTTGGCGCTTATTGCCTGGCTTCGATCTTCAATCCCGTCGCCGATATCAGTTGCAAACATTGGGTTTGTGTTCAGGGCCAGAGAAGGGCAGAATATGTTCCCGATCATTTCCCGGTGTTGAAATGCATCGCCAACGAGCCAACAAGATGAGGAGAAATCGGCGGGGAGAGTCGAAAAGAGTAAAAGTTTCATATTTTTCATTACGTAACAGGGTAAATACCGATACGAAACTTACCGGACTTTGTACGCCGGCACGCCGGACGGCAGCGGTGAACCACGGCACTCAATTCCACATCCGTCCTCCTCCCATCTTTCCAACTTCCATTTTCCGATCTTCTTGTCCATTCTTCGGCACGCCTCCTCAAACTGAACGTATTGAACTACGCACTATCACAAAACAATGAGAATCGCGAAGCAACTGGATGTCACGACTTTACTCCTCAACCGTCTGCCACCCTCGGCATCATCAACACCGAGTCTCCGTCGTTTCCGCTTGCAATCATGAACTTTCCAACCACCACTTGTAAAGCTCGGATATATCATCGGCGATACTAGCACCATCGCACCGTGACCGCGTCATCTTCAAGGTGTTGAAACGCACAAAATCCACCTCGTCCACCAGCGGGCTGCGTCGGCGCCGTCGGTGCTTCAGTTTCCGTGGTGGAGCTTCCACAAGGTACATGGATGTCGTTTGGTCTTCTGGTTAATCGATACCGAATTTGGAGTCTATACCGCCATACCGATACCAGGCCTTCCGATAGACCACCACTCATGGCGATCCACCGCCGAACCGGGACCTTGACCTTCTCATCGGCTCGTCGTCGGCGTTACGGGCGGGTTGTGGGAAAGGTCACTTCCCTGGTGTCGGGACTAGCAAGGCTAGAGGGCCGGAGATAGGTAGCCACCAAGGTTCTTCCTCATATGTATACATATATATATATCACTCTTCTTCCGTTTGAGATATCCTTCCAAAAGCGAGCCATATCCCATTCACCGGTTTACCTGCCTTCACTTGAACCTGCGCCAAGTGGTAGTGTACAAAAACAACTTTCCGATCTTCAACTTTCCTTTTTCGCCAATTTTCCCGTCTACGTTCTTCCGGCCTGATACCATCACTAGAACAACTCATCTACAGATACCTCTTAGTATCAACAGCAGAAATGGCAGCGCCAAAAGACTCCAACCCCTCCCCAACAGTCGTCATCATCGGCGCCGGCCTCACCGGCCTTCTCACAGCTCAAGCCCTCAAAAAGGCATGTTTCTTCCGCACCCCTCTCCTTCTCCAACGGATCACTAACTTTCTCGCAGCACGGCTTCCAAGTCTTCATCTACGACTCGGAACCGCACCTCAACTTCCGCCCCCGTGACTGGACCATCCTCCTGCACTGGGCCCTGCCCATCTTCTCCTCGCTCCTTCCCTCCTCCATCCTCTCCCAATTTGACAAGGCTATTTGCAACCCTCATCTCAACTTTGACGAGTGGGCGGAGACGCTGCCTATGTATAATGGCGAAACAGGCGATATGCTCTTCAAGAGCGCGGTACCGGGAAGCAGAAGGATTACGAGGCGGGGACTTAGGGAGGTGTTGAGTGAGGGGTTGGACATCGTCTGGGGGAGGAAGGTGACTAGACTGGATACTGAGACAGAGCCGGAAAAGGTGAAAGTTACCTTGGAAGGAGAAGAAGGGGTGGAGGAGGAGGAGATGTGGGCGGATTATGTCCTCGGCACAGACGGGGCGGGGAGTAAAGTTCGGGAGATCCTATTTGCGGATCAAGAAAATGGAGAAGAGAAGGCGAAAGTGAAGAGGAGCGGGTTCATGATTGGTACTTGTATCGTTGACTACCAAGATGAGGAGATGGTGCAGAAGGTGCTGGAGAAGCATCCGGTTTTCGCTATGGCTATGAGTCGAGGGGCTGTTGGGGGGTTTGGAGGTACGTTTTCTTTCTTTCTTGGTCATGTCATGGCACAGCACCAGAACGTCACTAAACCAAACAAGCAAATGGCTAACAAGCACAACAAACAGTCCAGTACACCAACGAAATCGCCCCCGGTAACATCCAGCACACAGTCTTCTGGTCCAAAATCTGGAAAGGCTGTTTCTCCACCACGCCCGACATCCCACGCAAGGGTCCCGAAGCCGTCCGCTACCTCAAACAATCCTGGCAAGGCCTCTCACCCGATTTCCAAGTCGTCGTCGACTCCACGCCCGAAGACGACACTCACACCAAGGCTTTTGTCGACGAGATGGGCACCTGGATTGCCCAGCCGTTTGGTAATAGGGACGGGAGGGTGACGCTGGCGGGGGATGCGGGACATCCCATGCTGATTTTGAGAGGGCAGGGGTTTCAGCATGCTGTTACTGATGTGCACAACTATGTGCAGGCTCTGCTGGCGATCAGAGACAGTGGAGCGGATAGGAAAGAAGTGTTTGCGGCGTACGACAAAGATATGGTGGAAAGAGGTTCGAAGGCAGCGCTACAGGCGCTGGAAGAGGCCGAGTTGGCGATGGATGCGACGAATGTGGAGAAGATGTTGATGGTTAGGAAGGGGCATGGGAGGAGTGTTTGAGCCTCCTGGACTCTCCCTGGGTTGAAGCCGAGGTTTGGTGGTCGTGACGGGACATGACTGGATTCGAATTGTTAATGGCTCGCAAGGTATGGGTGAGATATGGACATGGCATATGATGGGGAGATGACAGGATTCAGATATGCAAGCGAAAGCGAGCAAAAGGGAAGAGAGGGAAGAGAGGGAAGAGGAAGTTAGTACACCCACAGAGAATAAGACACATTAGAAATGATGAAACAGATGTCGTCCTTGGTGTTGCACTCTCGCACTTGGCTTATACCTTTCGAGAAAGGGAAGATGGGAAAATGGGAAAGGTCGTCATACGATACGATGCATACAGCGATACAGGTACCCGTACGGATCCATACGCAAAACCCTAACCCGTCTGGTAAATTCGTGTATGTATCCCCTGAAGCCTGGAGTGTAACGGTATTTTTGCTGCTTCAGTGCCCGAAATCGAAGTCTTCAACCGAGTATCCTCCACTTCCCGTATTGTCTGTCGAATCTATCGAGTTTGCGCAACATCGAGGGACGAAGAATATCCCAACTTTTGCATCCGGAGTTCTTCGAGGAATGACGTAGGATCGAGGATCGTATGTAAGGGATCTGCGGATTTTCGGTTCGCTTGGCGGTTCAAGCGGCACCGGTCAGTTTTGGGGATGGCCGATGTTACATTACCACGCGATGTTGCAGATTACACTACAACGTGGTGAAACTTTTCAACGTTTGGTAAGATTGGATGCTCTGTAATGGTTGTCCATCAACCAACAATGTTGTGTAATTCCCAAAATAATCCATTGGAAGGAAATGGAAGAGAAATACTCAAGCATCTAATAGGACAAAACGACACGAGATGAACTAACAAGGAAGGTGAAGCCGGGGACGGGCCGCTTTTCGTCGTTGGATTTTGGCGAGACATGGGAGAGGGTTCCCTTGATTAGTGATGATGGTGATCCTTTGATATTGACGTTATTAACTTGAGGATATGTACATGCATTTCTTTTGTTTCGGTCTGTTCATCGAAAAAGGTATTTAACAAGTTCAAGGTGTTACAGAAACTGAAATACAAAAAGAGGGAAGATACCGGAACTAACAGACCGAGACGACTTCTTAATCAATATCAATTTCGAGTCGCAATTGCCAATTCGACAACGTCAAGGAAGCCCCTTCCTGCCCATCTCCCGATTGATCCTCCTGCCTTGCTCCAACCATTTTGTTCCTCTGAACAACTAAATGAAATCGTTACGATCCAAATTCTTTCACACCAAAATGACGGGTTCCAGCGACCGATCAACTGCGAACGATGCGACTGCAACTCTAACTGCGACCTCGAATGCGCCTAACACAACTTCTGCGCAAAGACCAAGTGCAGTTCGAGACCCCGCTGCAGAGGACAGTGTCGAGACGTCAACGTCAGCTCCCGCCGCAGCCGCTCCCGCTGATGAAGTAGCAAACACCACTTCAAACACTGTGCCAGACGCACCTCAGCAACAAGCTTCCCAAGCTCAGCAAGCTCAAGAAGCTCACGAAGCTCCCCTCCTAGCTCCAACCACCACCCACGAGCAACAAGCGACGACAGCTCCATCATCATCATCGTACAATGGCTCCCACAACGACGGCCACCACGGCCGCCACCATGGCCACCACCACGACAACATAGAAGCCGCCGGCCACGACGACGCCTCCGACTCGGACGAGTTCTCCCTCACCGAAGGCTACGAAACCCGTTCTACCGGCAGCACCTCCGCCACCTCCTCCATCTACGCACATACCTACGAGCACGGGCGTCGCTACCAATCCTACAAAAACTCTCGCTATCCGATCCCCAACGACGATGCCGAGCTGTCGCGCGAAGACATGAAGCACGCCATGCTTCTCGAGCTGCTGGACGGCCAGCTGGCGTTTGCGCCCCTCGGGAAGAATCCGCAGAATATACTGGATATTGGAACGGGAACGGGTATTTGGGCGATTGATGCCGGTGATCGATGGCCGATGGCTAGGGTCAGGGGAATGGATATCTCTCCTGTTCAGCCAATTTGGGTACCCCCTAATGTGGACTTTTTGGTGGATGATTGTGAGCAGGAGTGGTTGATGAGGGGGGAGGTGGATTATGCGCATTTTAGGTTTATGGCGACGGTGTTGAAGAATTTGCCGGTGGTTTTGGGGCATGCTATGGAGTAGGTCCTTTTGTCTCATCCCTACAAGATGGTGTCTTTCGCTAACAGTGATGTCGACAGAGCCCTCAAACCAGGCGGTTGGATCGAATTCCAAGAACTAAACTGCGAAGTCTTCTGCGACGACGAGACCATGCCCGCCGACGACCCAGTCAAAGTCCTCTACGACCTGACCCAACAAGCCTTTGCCAAGTTCAACATGAACATCACCATGCCCAAGATCCTCAAGCAATACCTTGCCGACGCCGGGTTCGTCAACATCCAGTGTGTGGTCAAGAAGGTGCCCATTGGCGTCTGGGCAAAGGATAAGACGCTCAGGCTGGTCGGCATGTATCAGAAGATGGCCATTCTGGAGATCATGCAGGCCCTGGCGGGCAGACCGTTTGATGCCCTGGGACTGGATCAGGTGCAGAAGGAGATGATTATGATGGAGGCTAGGAAGGGGTTGGATAATCCGAGGGTGCATCGGTATTTCAACTACTACTTCTGGTTTGCGCAGAAGCCACAGTAGACGGCATGCGGAAGCTGGGGGGTTATGAGACATGATGCTGTCATCGTCGGGATGTCGAGTCAAGCTTCTCGGCCAAGCCTCAGGAGACCTGGGCCTGACACCACATTGGCAACAGCATTGTGTCAGATACGTCATCCGTCGGGAATGTTCGTCGCGGCGCATCAGCTCGAAGGTTTGGTCGGTATACAGGAATTCAAGGGAGGTGGGATTTGTTTGGATTTGCTGTTGTTTTGTTTTGCATAGCATGTTTGGGAGGCACTGTCGTTAATATGAAATAGCATATATAGGGAAAAGTCTGAAGGACATACCGCGTTAGCAAAGCAGAGGATTGGTGGTGTATATAGCTGGAAGTGTGTCGTCCAAGGAGTGGGGCCGAGTTGTATATATGGGCAGTACTTGGATGTTAATGGAGGTTGGGAGCGTTGCTGACTTTATACTCGCATCTTGCTATTCCCGACACTTGTCAGCCTTCCTTAATCAGTCTTGGCCTGGTACTAACATCTTCATCCTAGGACCTGGGCTCGACGCTGCCATCACCTATCATCTCCACCATGTCAACAACTCTACCAACCGCACTCATACGCGCTTATTCCAATCACAAGATGATGATGGCTAGCTTAACTCCCCCAAGGAAATGGAGCCGAGGACCGTTAGTAGGGCACCGGGAACTTGTGCCTTGCCCTAACATGCCTTGGCCCGTCCGCCGCAGATCAAAGGGCCCCCAAATGTGGCCGGCTCTGGATAGGTTCCCGAGTCGGTAAGCGCGACGAGGTGGATCGTGAAGGTTGCTCGCTGGTCACGACGTTGGTTTCTGACCAGAGCTGACATCCACACGCCAAAGGGCTATGGAGTATTTAATCCGACGAAGAACAGAAAAGTTCAACGGTTTTTATCAGGTGAGATATAGCCCTCGCTTATCCTAAGCTGAAACAAAACCTGCTATCTAGACCCTCACTTCCCACGCTTTGGTTCACCGCAAGATGGATGTCTCGATGACCCTCCAAACGGACCAGTTTCATCTCCAGATCGGCGCATGTTTTTGGATTCCTACCACACCCACTACCATACAGGATGGCTGATTCCAGGCCAGATCAGGCACAAGGGCTGGTTCGATTCTTTGCTTCTGGTGTTGTTGCGCGTCCAGGAACGAGATGACATGCGAGTCTGGAAGACTATTGGACATACTCCACCTGCGCTTCGCTCTGGTCTACTGTGATCTGGGAAGGGTATGCCCATAGGCGTATGATATTGGCACTATTGGCTAACCGCCCAGCAGCCCAGGCGATCGACTGGGTTGGTCATGATGTGATCCGGATGGAGTGGCCTGCATTAAGGCGAAAGCAGTTGAAGCCGTACGGGGTAAGGCTCGAGAAGGGCAAGTGAGAGCAAGACATTTGCAGATGGTTTCCCGAGTGAGTGGTAAAGCCGCTGGAAGAAACTGATCGACAAGGGCACCATAGGAGGGGTCAAGCCCTTCTGCCCACTAAGAGCACGCTGAGAGCCCGCTGAGGTCCTCACGGCCATGCTGGGCATGCTTCCTACACAGTCTGCCTGATGTGAAGAGTGCCAATGGAAGTGGTGTTGACACTGCGGGAGCCAATGGCGTTGAGGAATAAGCGCCGGACAGGGGGGTGGGTGAGCTTGCGAGCCAGTCCGCGCTATCCCCCGGTAGAAGCCCCTGCAACCCCATGTTGACCGGGCCGCTTTCTTCTATTGTTATCACAAAAAGCTGACTGACACCAGAAAGTATGTAAGCCTGGGCTCGCTCACGGCGAGCACGCTCTCGAAGTTGTTCTTGTTTTCAGCTTCAACTTCACACTTGAAGTCAGCATTGTGAGAGCTTCGCGCCGAGACTCATCATTGTTCTGTATCATCACACCTATCTAGCTTGGTGCAGGATCGCCGAACCACGGCAACAAGACCATCATCGTATCTGTTTCTCACTATACCCCATTTTTAACTATTGTTTTATTACCACATATCATGATGGCCTCTGCGACCCCCATTGTCACGGCTTTGCCGCAGGCTCAGTCCGCTGCCTCCCCCACCGCACAACTACCGGCAAACTCGCCAATCATGAGAAGCCCAAGAAGTCCAAATTCACCCTTGAGAGGTCCCAAGTTGACCTTGGTGGTGACAAACTCCCCTTTGAGCAGTGCCCCCAACTCGGCAAAGGTGGCAACCCCCAACATTTCCGCACTTCCTCTGTCTCCCGGATCGCCTGGCATTGTCACGGCAATCCCATTGTCTCCGGCTGTTGGCAATCCCCGCACTCAATTCCCGTTGACTCCCGCTCCCAACGGCCCGTTGACGCCGGCACCCGCCCCCAAACCCAATGCTCACACGCTTACTCCCCACCCCAATGCGATTCCGCTCACTCCTGCGACACCGGCTACACCAGCTACTCCGGCCTACCTCCACCCACTTACTCCTGCTCCCAACTCGGCATATCCCATCAGCCCAGCCATCGAGACGCCCAGCTCGACCATCGTCGAATATGGAGAGCACCCTACCCTTCAGGGCACGGCGGCAGAGCGAGCAGATCACATCTTCAAGCTATGGACTGCCCGTAACAAGCACGGCCATGCAAAGAACAACAACACCACCAAAGATGAGGTGGATCCCATCGCCGCCGATGAGATCATCTCGCCAGTCACACCCATCACACCAAAGCAGAATGGAGGGCTTGCTCGCAAGCTCGGCAACAAGGGCATCAATGACCGAGTCAGCCGCTTCTTAGCATCCATCAGCAACACAACAAACGGCGACCCAGACAAAGAGCTCGCCATTGAGAACCGCAGTCTTCACCAGCAACTCGCCTCCCTCAGGCGTGCTGAGGAAAACCTCCTGGCCGAAAACCAAAGCATCAGCAATGAGCTCACTGCAACCAGGAAGGAATTTGCCCAAGCCAAGAAAGACCGGTCCCTCTTGGAACGCGCGTGGGAGGAGATGCTTAAAGACAAAGAAGCCAAACACGAAGCCCGCGTCAAGGAGCTCGAAGCCAAGCTTGCCGAGCAAGAAAAGAAGTTCACCAAGCAAGACCAGTACATCGCTCAGCTCGAGCACAAGATCAACGTGCATGAGGACAACCTCTCCGAGCAGGAGGAGACCATCTCCCGGCTTGAGGTCAAGGTCTCCGAACAAGAAAAGCAACTCACCGAGCGCGACGTTCGCATTGCTGAGCTTGAGAAGATCAGCCCCAAGAAGGCCCTCAAGCCCGAACCAGAACAAGGCCTCGTCCTCTCCGATGCCGACATCGCCACCTGGTTCGAAACCCGCACCGCAGTCTGGACTTCCTGGGTCGAGGACTTTGCCCACCGCAACCTCAACCGCATCGCCGAGCTTCACCCCGTTCAACAGAAAGAACTCCTCCGCTCCGTCAGGAAGTTCATCCGCCTGACCCAAGACGGGCAACTACCCCCCGAACTCCTCGACTCCGCTAACAATGGCGGCAAAAACACCACCCACCTCATTCTTTACGCCATGCTCGCCAACTTCATCACCTCCGAAGCCCTGTCTCCTCCCTTCTGGGCATTCAACGCCCTCCAGCGTAACGACCTCGCAGAGCTGACCAGCCCTACTCTCACCCGCCCGGGCAGCTTGTCCCCAGTGGGATTCAGGATGGATCTTGCATCCTGGGAGTGCATTCCCCCTTTGCCAGCGGCTTCGTACGTTCCCGTCGGCGTAGCAGAGGTGTATCATAACCAGCCGGCAACAGCGCGGTCTGTCGCTACGCTGAGCCCAAGACAAGCACCGCCGGCGGTAATGAGTTTGCAGTCGGCAGGACTGGAGCTCGAAACACCCGGACTACCGGTGGGAGTGCTCCCAGCTGGACTGCCTAGCGAGGGAGATCTTCACAGCATGCATAACTTCCTTTCCAAAAGTACGTTTCCCTTTCCCCTTTGTCCCCTCAATGTTCCCAACTAACTCACCACCCAAACAGTCCAAACCACCCCCCTAGCCACACCAACCCTCCGCTCCCATCTAATCTCTATCCTCGCCACCGGCGGCTTGGTCCACGACCCCACGCACCCTTCCCTTCTCAAGTCCGAAGAGCGTCGGCTGCTCGCCGAAGCCCGCAGGGAATACGCAGTCAAGCTCACCGAGCGCTTCCTCGGCGGTCCTGCTCGCTTCCTGCTGCAAGACCAGGTAGACGCCAAGGGCATTGCCAAGTTGGAGGGCGTGTTGACGGCGGAAATCGATTTGGCGCTGAGGTTCAGTGCGAGGTTGTGGAGTCGGGAGTGGGAGGTTGAGTTTTTGGGACTGGAGGCGCTTGAGGAGAGGGAGAATGGTGAGAAGATGACGGTGGAGAATGCCTCTGTGGAGGGTAAGGAGGGAGATGAGGGAGATGAGAAAGAGAAGGAGGAGAAGGAGGTGGTGATGGTTGTGCAGCCTGCTATTGTTCGAAGGGCACAAGAGGATGGTGACAAAGAGAGAGTGTGGTCTAAAGCGAGGGTGTGGATGGGGAAGAAGATTGAGAGGAAGGTGGTGGAAGCTGTACCGGCGCTGGCACAAGGATCACCGACGAGGCGAGTGGCGACGCCGGGAGTGGTGTCACCGGGGACGGGGAAGAAGACGTTGACGGTTGAGATTCTTCCGTGATGACCTAGGCACGATGCACTAGGGGTATCAAAATGGGTTTTCAGGGTTTTTCTTGTTCATGTTGGACTTGGGTTCATGGCTGGGTCATTTACGGGTAGTTTTTCTTCTGCGTTTGTTCACTTCTACTTTCTTCTTAACATACTGCATCGCTCGTGTCCTAAGTTGGATATCGACTGCATTTTAGCAACTTGGCAAAAGGGCGTTGTGAGGCAAATGACAAAGCATCTTTATCTTCCCATCTACGAACGGCGTCTGTGATTTTTCCGACCAAGACTAAAAGTTGGAACATCAAGAATTAACATGAAATACCGGCAGCTTTTCGCATCGAATTTGGAACTGCCATATTGTGGAAAAGATGAACATTTGGGCATCAACACCACTCAACCAAAACAAATCTTTTCCATTCCTGATTCCAACAGTCGCAGTTTCTCACTCACCGCCCAGTGTCCGTACCTCAAAATTCCAGATTCCATGTGAGCCATCCCGTCCAACCCGTCTTCTGTCCTGAATCAAGGCGTGATCCCAGTGACCCCCTCATGCCCTCCCACTGCCTCCCACCTTCCTCACGCTTTTCCATCCAGGCCACCTGAGGCCCCTGGCACACAGTACAAAACCCCCGGCCTGTGCCCGTGGCTTTTTAATGTCTCGAACCAACCGCATTTTCGCATACACCAATCAGAAGCCTCAAAGCCCCAGAGCACGGCGCTCGAAGGCGCTGGTGGTGGTGATACGTTTACCGGGTTCTCATAGGCTCATTCAGAGCCATGCTGCCAGGTGCGATTGGGTGTGGTATGAGTCGAAGGATGTACTTGCAATATGCTCCAGGTAAGGTAGTCCAAGGGAGCCGTGGGAGCCAGGCAGTCCTTGCCTGTCAGTTCCAGATGAATGTGGTTCAGTTTTGTACGACCTGCCAAAGCCTGCCCGCCGGGACCACTGTCAGTCAATCGGTTTCTGGGTGTGTTGTACAGGTCAAAACGAGCACCATGTCAGAGGAATGATGAAAATGGTCAGATGAGCGAACATCTTACATCGATTCTTGCTTATTACTGTCGAAAATGCAGCAATTGTGTCCAATTGTTGTTTACTACCTAGCTACAACATGCGGGCATCCGGTTGACATCGCACGACTGGAGGGCCCGTGGAATTGGGATAAATGTTGTGGTACAGTGGCTACAGCTGGAAATTTGTGGGATTGAATCCGTTTATAATGTGGTAGATGCGAATGGCATTCTTCACCGGGGATTTCCTAAGATTTTTGCCCGAGTTTTCCACTCGATATGTATGTTGTCCGTCATAGCCGTGACTCGAGACACTCGAATCCCCAAGCTTCTTGGGTTCTTTCGTTGGGCGTGTTCCGAGTTCATTGAATGCAGTTCATCACCAATCTTCTCGCCTTGACATTCCAATTTTTCCCCAGCAGGTTCAGCCAGCTTTTCTCGTGGTTGGATGCCACCTCGCTTCCAGTCATTGTACCTGCTGTGGTCGATCGGAGCGGTCTTCGCTCTGTCACTTCCTTCACCTTCAGCATCCGGTACAGTGAACAACTCAGCTTCAGTTCACTGTGAGCGTAGGAGCCTGCAGTGACTCCTACGTGGCTCGGTATTGCGTTCCCGTTGACAGTGGACAAATGCCAACCAAATGTTCCTTAAATTTTCCAGGGAAATAAGAAAAAAAGACGGAATCATGTGCAAAATTCCTCAATTCGAATTTCCAGCCGCTTAAACTCCACGTCCATAGATGTAGGTTAGGCAGGTAGCGTACAATTAATTCCAGCCATCCAACGCCCACACCATCCTTCCGACTCGTGCCCATCCCGGTCCCCGCGTCTTGCGCCTCAGCCAGCGAAGTGCAGCCAGTGCCCAGTACAGTTTTCCATCCATTCAAATGTCTTTCCCACCCTGTGCCGTCGTTGCACTGCCCGTTTCATGTTCTTCCTATCTGGGGGAGAACGAGGACACGTGACATTCGACATTCATCCGGCCATCCGAGTCCTCGACTCGCTTCGAAGTTCGAACTTAAAGTTGTGATTACAATGTTCTCTCTTGATGCCATCCGTCGTAATTTTCCGGATTATGATCCAACAAAAAGAAATAGCTGGGAAAGAAGTATCGTAGCAAGGTTTGGATTTTTGTTTTGTCGAAGGAATAAAACGCTCGCTTGCTGCTCGCTGCTCATCAGATATAACAAGAGGTAGTTAGGTAGTAAAAACAAAAAAAACCAAAAAAAGGCGGCAACGCCGTATAGTATAGCTTACATGCCTTTAGAGAAGAGGAAGTAAAAATGCATAGATAAAACCGGTAGAGATAAATCGATCAAGTCATCGCATACATGTTCCGCCTATTGCCCTCCAAAACTCCGTTGCCCATCACACAGAAAGATCATCAAGCTATAGGCAAATCCATTTGCCTATCAATCTTATTCCCGTCCACCCCGAACATCTTACTTGGCGACACCGATTGCCTCAGAAATGGTGACACAATCTGCTGACTGGCAAATGGCATCGATACCGTCTGTGAACTGGTCTTCGTCGACCCGGGCGGCGTATAGGAATTTTCTTCCAGCGATGACGAAGACGAATGTGGCGGTGACGAGTGTTTCCGGGTGAACTGGGTAGCTGGTAGTGTACCCACACCCGCCGGCGACCCAGATCCTGTTTTATCTAGTGTCGTGGTCGCGGTGGTAGTAGGGGCGGAGTTGTGTCTTGTGACTTGTGGTGGTGAAGCCATTTTGATGGGACCGAGGGATTTCAATGCCGCAGCGCGCGCTGGAGAGGAAACAAGCACCCGAGCGCGAACCCAAACTTTGGGAATCTCATCCATTGCTGGCGTGCCCTTTCTGTTGTCCTTGCTGCTGTCTACAATGGACTCGATAGCGGGGGAGAGAACCATGATCACGGGTCGTCCGTCATGATACCCCGGCGGGGACTTCTCCCTCTCGCTGGAGTCCGTCTTCTTCGGCTGCTGCGGCTGCTCTTCCATGCCGCGGGGGGCTTGCACATGGCAAAGGCGCATGTAAGGATGAGAAGAAGTGAATTTCTGGTCCTTGAGGTCGCCGAGGTCGTGAAGCCGGAGAGGAGTAGGGCGTGACCAGATTCGGCAGGAGAAGCGGAGGGTCTCGTCGATAAGGTCATGCAAACGCCGCTCAAGCTTTCCGATGCCGGCAGCATCTTGCTCACCGAGGAGGAAGCGGGCGGGACCGCCGAGGAACTTTTCCTTGAGCTTGCGGGCGTAGTTGAGTCTGGACTCGATGAGGATGCGCCTGGCCTCGTTCTTGGCCGCGTCCAAGGGGTCCTTCATGCTCATACCACTCTCGGCGAGGAGCCTCATAAGCTGCGCTCGCCAATCGTGAACGGTCACATCCGCGTATTGCTTTTGAGCTGTTGAATTGTTAGCATGGCTCGATTAGGATTGAGGAGCAAGATATACCACTCAGAAGCATGTGATAGAGATTCTCCATCTGGGTCTGCGTCGGCAAGCCCAAAGCAGACGCGGCGTTTCCGAGTGCTTGGGGCAACATGGAAGTGATCAAAGGTGGAGGAAAGTGCGGGCTGCCAGGAGTAGGGGCGTAGATGGGTCGCATAGGAGCAATGTCGTTGAATAAGCTCAAGTCCATGCGGAAACTTGTCGCAATCGGTTCCGTGCCGGGGTGAGGGACGCTGGGGCTCTCGAGTGTCCCAGCGGAGATGGCAGTAAACACCCAGAATGGGGAAGCCAGGATCTCGGTGGAGATAAAGTCTGCCAGCAACCCTTGGAGAAGGAGTTGCGTCGTCTCGCTGCTGTTTGTGGGAAGCTCTTCAGGGAGAGTCTTGTCCTCATTGAGCTTCACAAACTCCTTGACGCCTTCGCATAGCTCGGCCAGTTGGAGTGGGTGAAGGCCTTCGCAGAGACGATTGTGACCGCGATGCGCATAGTCTTGTATCCAAACGCGTCGGGCATGTTCTTGTTCAGCAAACCAATGAATAATATCTTTGTCGGTCTGAACGGGTGCCACTCTCGTTGGGTTGGCAATGGCAAGCTGCAACATGTGGTCCTCCAGCTCATGGATGCGAGCTTCGTATTCCCTCTCTCTTTGGCGAAGTTGATCCCTCCATTGCTTTCGGCGCACGTCGTGGTGTTGTTTCAGCTGGTTGAATTGACGCAGCAGCTCTTGGTTCTCCGCCAGCAGATCCCGCTCTATGCGCTGCAGCGCGGCAACTCTTTGATACAAGCCGCGGTTCTCCAGCAGGAGTTCCTTATCAGGGTCTGAAGGTGTTTGCTGCATTGGGGTTTGGACAATGGGCTCTGGGCTTTGGGGCGACTGCTGTTGGGTCAAATACATGTTGACCCTGCTCTTGGCCAGTTCCCGCTCAGTGGCCGCACTTCTCTCGGTCGGTAGCCCCCTCAAGCTAGGGCTTGCCGCTTTGCTGTGAGTTGATTCGGACCTGTCTCTCGCTGAGCCAGTCGGAGTCCCGCTGCGCTGAACGCTCGCGCTACGTTCTTGCTTGAGATCCCGGATACTGCCATGCTCAGGTCGTGTCCGCGATTGCGACCGACTTTTCCGGACGCGATGCTGTGTGCGAAAAACAGTGTCGGCCAACTCTGCGGCCGACGGAAAGTGATTCCTGTCTGTATCGCCGAACTCAACAATGGTCGAACTTGGCGTGTCAGGAACATCATCCCTCTGGGGCGCGAGAAGATTGGTTACGAGTGGTAGGTTGAGCCTCGCATCAATACTCGAAAGGGCCTGTGCTGATCCATTTGAAGATCCTGAATCCCGTCTTAAGGCAGCAATCCGGTCATTTCTCTCGTTTCTCTCGTTCCTCTCGTTGAGGTTGCTTGCCGTCAGCGTCGCTGTCGATGAATTTGGTGATGAAAAAGTCCTGGACGAGAGAGCCTCGGGAGAGCCCTTGCCGCTGCTCATTGTTCCCCGTTCCACAAAGGTTGCGTGTTGGAAGTGTCGTCTCTGCCGTGTGAGGTGAGAACAAAGAAAAGGTCTGCTGTATGCACGGAGCGGGGTAACAATGGTCACCACGTCGGCTTCCTTAAAACACGTTCGCGCGTCGACTTCCTAGGGCTCCCTGCAACTCCAGAAATATTAAGAATATGATGATACAAAGCGAAGAAACTGGAATCACTCGAACACAAGGAGTCTTCTGGAAAGGAGTCGTTGAAACTGCAAATGCATCTGGAGGTGTCGCCAGCACGTTGGAGCAGGCTCGGGGTAGGGCTGGAGATAACGGACGTTGGAGGAGAGAAGAGAGACTGACAGACGGACACGGTCCACCACGAAGCGGGAGGGGGCCCAACTGAAGAGAACAAATCAGCCCGGTTAATTTGAGAGCCCCGGCCTTGCGTCGCTGGCGCCGCGAAAGAAAAGAGCGAGCCCCCAGCATGTGAGGCAGTGAGTGATGGGGCCATTGGGGAGCTCGAGTGCCCAATCCATAGGGTCGCGCCGCCAGCGCTAAGCAGGGGTTGGTCAGGTTTTGACTGGTTGGCCGCCCAAGCAAATGTTCCCTCCACATGCATAATTCCCAAGTTTGTTGACGAGGGGTGACGAGGGGTGACGAGGGACTCTGGGGAAATTTGAACCTCGACCCTTGGCTTGACCGACCTCGTTGGCCAGAGACACGGCTGTTCACCGTACCCGAACTCAGGATGTGCCGTTCGCACCGAAGGCCTCTGCTGAATCTCGAGCCGTGTCTGTCCGGGGCCTCATCGGCTCTGTCCTATCGCCAGGCTGGAACGCATTGCCATCTCTCTTCAGCGAACAAGAGCCCCGCGTGGACTAGGGTCACCACGCAGACGACACCGTAAGAAAATCCCTTGCTCCACTAACGACGTCCTGCAGAAGGTCGATCAACCAACAAACAGAAAAAGAATGTCAGCCAGACCACACATTGACCAGGCTGCCGATGTCCTCTGGGCTTCACAACACCACTGTGAGAGCGTGGGACAGCTTCGAGAATAAGAGCACCCAGTTCCCCTTGGCATGTCAAAGGGAACAGCCGCTGTTAGTCCCGCTCCAGGCCAGGCCCCGAATCACCCTCATTGGGATTCAATGCAGGACGAGGCCATCGTCACCTGCAAATCTTGCCATGTTGGAACCCTACAGTAGTCCCAAGTGGGATATCCTCAAGCGCGGGTGGAAGGGGAGTCCCTGGTCTGAATAGCTTCCCCGGAATCTCGTGTCCCACAGTGCATTCCAGCGAGCTGGCGGATAGTGGACGAACAGCGCCCCGGCATGCCCGGGCAGTGGGTTGTAGAGCAGCACAGCGTTGACAGTCAGACACTGGAGCAAGCGAGAGTCAGTGACATTGTACACGACAGACAACTGGATGCTAGCTCAATCCCGAGGGCTTGGGTGGGTGGTTAACAGAGTGTTGTGGTTGGTTGGCCAACCGCGATGCTACGCCGGATAACCAATCAAAACAAAGAAAAGTCGCGATGGCCCACCGTGGCGGTGCATCGTCCTCGTCCATACTGTGTACAGCGACAGCTGTGCCTGCGGGTAGTTGCAACGAGCTGAACTGCTGTGTTCTCGAGCAATTTCATGTCAACGGTCGCGTCTCGATAATAAAGCGCCTGCTATATGAGCAACGAGAAAAGGTGACGATGGGAGTTGAGTTTGTGAGAAGATGGTTGTTGGATGGTGCCAAGAGAAGAAATTCCATGTGCGGGGGAAGTCCAGCGCTGTTGGCGGCACCTTGTTCTGTTGCCTGCCGCCTGCGACAGTGCTCAGCAGCAACCTCATCGTCATCGATGTTTTCCTTCATTCAAAAGGTCGTGATCTTGAACACAACAGAGACCTCTGGTTCCGACATCAACTTCTCAACACCAAGCACCCACAGCGTGAACTCCCCTCACGCACACTATCCTTTCTGCAGTTAAGCACCCTTGGCACACCATCTCTTCACAGTGGCTACGACGCCAAATCCTCACCTCTCAGCACCATTGGCCCATCACACACCACCCCTGGCATGCATCACCACTGACACACTGTGATGAGCCATATCATTGGCAGATCTCTCTCCTCACAGAGCCGTCACAGTATGAAGGCACACGTTCCGTCGATAGTTCGCTGTCGTGATAATGAACCCGCCACACCTGGGCCCGACTGGAAGCGCACCCGCGCAAGATGGGATTGCGAAGTTGAGATCTCATCACATGAGCGGTGATGGATGGTCGTCCTCAACCCAAGTTTCGACAAGCTCGAGGAAGGAATGAAAACCAAAACGTGCAATTAAGCGCCCACCGCGGCAAATGAGACAAACCACCAACTGCCAACGTCAACCAACAGCCGCGGCTCTAGCCGCAGGCGCGGGCAAGACCGTAGGTCACCGTTGAAGTGACCTTGTCTGTTGAACATCTCCCGAAGGGCCCATGTGGAAAGGTCGATGTGGAAACCTCAATGGCATGGCATGGCATGGCATGGCATGGCATGCGACGGAAGCCTTTGCCGTTGCTTAGCTCGGGGCAAAAGGCCTTTGCGGTCGGAGGACCAGGACCGGACTAAGAAGCTTGTTTTGACGTCTGTTGCCGCGGTGGGTTTGAGCCTCTTGTTGCCGACGGGCTTTGCTGAGCTTGCTCGCGCGGTATCTGGTGGTTCGTTACTGGTGTATAACTGATCGTCGGACAACATAGAGCTTCTCTCGATTCTCATTTGTCTATATCTCCGGGAGAGCCAGGTTGCTCCCTTTTTTCCAGAGCGTCTTGTACATCGTAACCTCATCTAACAGATTTCAGATGCGCCGTCAGACAGGAACAAGAGTTATTACTGTTCGTTACAAGGTGACGGCACAGGCTATCTTCTTTGGGCAGAATCCCTCCACATACCTTGCTCCGTGCTTGCCCCCACGGGCAGTGATGCCGTGGTGAGCGGTTCGGTGATTTCAGTCGGATGGCATGTCAATGGGAGGACGAAGGATGATGGACAGCGAGAAAAGTTTCGGGACCAATGGGTGCCCGGCCGCCATCTACCTGCCAGTACGGTTGCTTGCACCTGCCCGCAGATTCCAGGATGCATCCGAGGCAGGAAGGCCTAGAAGAAAGGCCCAGGAAATAAACGGGAAGGCACCCCCCGTTGCGAGGAAGAGGCCATCACCAGTACAGGGAACAAATCGCCAGTCCAGGAAAGAGGGAATCACCAGACAGTAGACTGATGACAGGAAGGAAGGCCATGGCCAGGCACAAGACCGATGGCTGATCAAGAGCTGGGAGGGGCACGAGAACATGTTCAAAACCCGGGCGATTCAAGCCCTGGCGAGTAACAGGTTGTACATCATATTCGAAGTGAACATTGTCTTCGCTCGTCCATGACTCTCACATGCATGTTTTCGAAGACTTTTGTGGATGTACCGAGCGTCAGCCAGAAAAATGTTCTATCGCCGGACGACAAGACTGCAAACTGTTTGGTGAACTTCAATACAAGGTGATAAGACGATGAAAGAGGGATCTGGGGAAAGAGTGATAGAAGTGCAATCCCTGTACCAGGCCACTTGAGAGCTGCTTGCTCACCACAGTAACGGCCAATCTGTTCCAAGAATATAATCACCCTTCGCTTCCAATCACTTGTAACCCGATACTCGCTCTCCCGTGATTGTCAAGTTGCTGATCTCCAGAAGCTCTCCAAAATGTGAAGTCAAGACAAAGCCGGATTGACGCAGCGGGGCTCAGACGACACCAACACCCGCCAGCTGTCCCAGAGCTGTCCCAGGGACATTGCATCGACATGCTTCCCGTTCCGAATACCGAGCTACACGACACCGCATGGCGCGTCTCGCGTGCGACAGAAGCGGGTACCGGCAGGAACGCAGCAGACGGTCCGACACGTAGTCCGATATACAGTCCGTTACGGGCTCGTTTTCGGGGTTGTCCGGTGTCCGAGTAGTCCCGAGGAGGGTTCTTTGTAAGCCAGCATTCCTCTACCGGTAGGTATCCCTCTCCGTTTCTTTCTTGGGTACCTATATCATCTTCCCAATCCCTTAGTTGCCTTGCCTTCCAACTGGTTCATCGTAACACTCCAAACTCTCGCAAACCCCATCGCAAACCGCCAGACTTATCACAACCCACTCACTCGATCACAGCTCGCATCCCGACCGACAAGTCCCCCATCACCACCAAGCTGCCTCAAACATGTCCCCTTCCAACTCCAAGATCTCGCTCACCAACCCCTCCATCCCCCTCGACTCCCTCATCCTCGTAACCGGCTGCAACGGCCTCATAGCCTCGCACGTCGCCGACCAATTCTTATCAGCAGGTTACCGCGTCCGCGGCACCGTCCGCTCCGCCTCCAAAACCTCCTACCTCACCACCCTTTACTCCCACCGCCACCAAGGCCCCGGGAGATTCGAGCTCTTCGAGATCCCCGACGTCACGGCCCCCAACGCCTGGGATGACGCCGTCAGGGGAGTGGCGGGGATCGTGCACTGCGTGGGAGCCACGGACCTGACTACGCAGGAGCCGGATAAAGCTGCTAAGAAGGAGTTGGAGTGGCAGGTTGGTTTGCTGGAGGCTGCTAAGCGGGAGGGGAGCGTCAAAAGTTTTGTGTTTACTTCTTCGGCGTGGGCTGTTTGGACGCCTGATGCTAGTAAGAAGGTGACCCTAACAGAGGAGAGTTGGAATGAGGAGGCTATCGCCCTGGCAAGGGATAAGGATGTTGATCCGAAGAAGAAGGGTATGGCGGGGTTCATGGCGCTTAAGACTCTTGTTGAGCAGGGTGTTTGGGATTGGGTAAAGCGCGAGAAGCCTGGTTTTGCGTTCAATACCGTGCTGCTTGATACTGTTCTTGGAGAGTGTCTTGATCCGAAGAACCAGGGAATCCCGAGCACGCCGGGCATGGTCCATTGGATCTGGGAGAACAAGCACATGGCTATTATCGACCTGATGGAGCCGCAGTGGTTTGTGGATTGTGTGGATATGGCCAAGGTGTACGTCGCTGCGCTGGCGTCGAGTCCGAAGGTGGATAGGGAGAGGTTGTTTGCTTTTGGGGGACGGTATAGCTTTGAGGAGGTGGCGCGGTTGCTGGGGGAGATGTTTCCTGAAAGGAAGGAGAAGTTGGGAAAGCCGAAGAGGAAAGGGTGGGATCAGACGGAGGTGCCGAACCAGAGGGCGGAGGAGTTGCTGAAGAGGGTGGGACAGAAGGAGGGCTGGACGAGGTTGGAGGAGAGTGTGAGGGCGAATGCGGAGAGTATTCTGGTGTTGGAGAGGGCGGGTGTTAAGAATGTGCCGCAGAGTGCGTATGCGAACTAGACTGGGGAGGAGATGGTGTTAATGATGAGATCGAATGTTGGGTATATAGAGGAATACATACGATAGCTTGGTTCAATGTCTGAACACCTTGGGTATGCACTACACTCGCGCGATCGTTTGCGCGGCCGCCACGCGCGGCACATTTTGATATCTCTTGTCCTGGAGAGCAGTCATGGCCAAGATGGCGGGCTTTTCCAAGTGCGACCACCTCCGTCTTCAGGACGCCGTCGGCTGCGGATTATTTCCCACCGTCTTGTACAGATCTCTCAGCTCGAACGCCTCGATTCCTCCCTCGGGAATCTCGCCAATGATACGCGCCGGCTGACCAGCAACGATGCTGAAGCTGGGAATGACCATATTCGGAGGGACAACCGAGCCGTCGAGGACTTTAACATAATCCTTGATGATGGCAAACTCGCCAACGACGACCTTACCACCGATATGGACGTGGTTGCCGATCTGAGCAGCTTGGACGACGGTACCGGGGCCGACGAAGACATGGTCGCCGAGGCGGAGGGGCATGAAGGTGAAGACGCTGGTAACCCGAGAGTTAGTAAACAGTAGAGCTGTTGGAGAAGGAGAGAAAAGCAGACATACCCCTTGTACATCCTCCCCGGCGGACGAAGAATGCAACCTTTGCTCAGGAAACAATAACGGCCTATTGCAACGGCAGTGTTGTTGGCTGGACCGCCGGACGCGGACTGGGCTGGTGGAATCGTCCTGGCGAGGTCGCCTCTGATCATGACGTCGGGCTGGATGACTGTCTTGCCGCCGAGCATGATGTTTTGGGTGCCGACCAAAGTGGCCTTGCGAGCGACCTTGTTGCCGGTGTCGGTCTCGATGTATTCTCCTCTGGGCGGTCGTCGCGACATGATGGCGGTTTGTCTGTGTGGTTCGTTTGGTGTTGTGTCTGTTTGTTGGTGTTGTTGTTTGGTCTTTTCGTTGACAATTTCTTTATCAGGCAGAGGGCACCTTGACGGTTTGGCGTTGACAGCGACGGAACAAAGTGCCGATTGACAGACAGGGATTAAGCAAATCTCAGCCTTTGATTGGTCGATCATGCAAGGCCAGCTGGAGGAGCTTGGGCCACTCATTGCGGACCGCACGGCGGACACAGGCGGGGTCCCCTGAAGACCGCTGTCGATTCGCTATCGTCAGTTCCGCGTCTTCCACTCGTTGCTCCTCTTCACCAAGTCGAGACCATGTTGAAACCCTGAAGCCCAACAGGTGTGATCAGGATGTGATGGATCTCGACAAGACCTGCGGTGAGCGAATGGAGTCGGAGAACTCCAAAATCGCCTCATCATCCCATGTCCTTGTCTCTTGATGGCATTTGGGATTTATATCTGTGTTGATTCCCTCTTCCTTGATGATGACCTTCATGTTGCTGTAAACACGACCCCTGAATCCTGAATGCCCTCATCCCCATCGTCAACAATCACCATGTCTGCCACCCAACAGTCCCCTCAGCCAAGCACGGGTAACGTCCCAACAAGCTCCTCCGCGTCCCTCTACCTCTTCAACATCTCCCACATCTCCCACCCCTCTCGACCATCAACAACGGCCACCACCACCGCCATCGACGAACCACCCCCGGCCGTAATCCACCAATCCCGCCTCCGTGTCCTTCACTGGCTCTTCAGCCTCTCCCAAACCGACGCATCGTACCCCTCCATCCACTCGACGTACTCGGGCCCTGCGTTCGCCCAGCCCTTGATCCCCTCGAACAGAGCCAAGCTTTGAATAGACTCGTCGCCTACTTTGAGGAGGTAATCGGACAACCAGCGGGCGCCGCGGCTGCCGCGGCCGGTTGACGAGCCGCAGTAGAAGATCACCTTCTTCAACCCCGCCGCCTTGAACATGGCATAAACAGTCGGAAGAGTCGGATACAGCGACTGGGCGGGGAGATTGATCGAGCCGCGGATTGTGCCGCCCTATAAAAAGGTCTTGGCGTTAGCGAGCTGAACGCTGGGAGAGGGGTGGACGCCATCACGAACCTCGAAATCATTCCGCCGCAAATCGACTAGCACAAAGTCCTTCCCGACAACCTCACCCGTCGAGCCCTTGAGCATCTCCAGCACCTCTGCGCGCGAGATGTTCATCAGGTCGGATTGAGGCTCGGGGAAGGCGGCGTACCATGGCGCCGGCTTGGTTTCGGTCTCTGGCGCTGTGGACATTTTCTCGACGATACCTTGACGACTTCAGAAGTGAATGTGTCGAACGGACGAGAATCGATGTTACACGCGAGGAGTTACACCACCGTGGAAGATTAGAAGCTGTTGAACAACAAACACATCACTCACGCAACGAGGATCCCCATCCTTGGCGGTTAGTCACCAGAAAGGCCTCTGATTGGTCAATTGAGGGGCATGCCGAGGATGCCCGATGTTTGTCCGGAATCATCCTGGCTGTCAAACATCACGACTCTTGGGACACTACGAGTTCAATGTTGACGATATCAACACATCACCATCGAGTTCCGCAGCGACTTTTGGTTAGAAAGGATTTGTCGAATACAATGATGAAGCATCATTCCCATGCAGGATTTGCCTGTTGGAACTCTCGCTACGTACCTAGGTAGCTGCTCAAGTGTCTCCGCCAGGAACCCTTCGGTAGCTCGCCCTTTCCAGATCAACTTTCCCGTCAAGCGTTTTGAACATGATAGGATGCCTGCCGTCTGCCAGTGGCTCCCAGTCAAGAACTGAAATGACGAGGTCCGAAAGACGTGGAGGAGTATTGGATGGAGGAGTTGAAGGTCTGGAGTGGAGCGCTTGGGAAGAAGGGAAAGGGCAGCAAGGGGGGGTCAGCGATGTAGGCTGGTGACAGTATGTCTGTCCCCTTGGCTGTTCAGCCTGCTGCTGCGTGGGCGTCCGACGCCAACTTGTCAATCTTGCGCGTGGCAAGCGGGAACGGTAATGTCGTCCCGGACGAGCGGCGTGGTGTCGATTTGTGTGACCAGTCACTGCGAACTCTTTCTCGCCTACTGGATCAGCTCTTGTACGATATACTGCACTCTGGGCGGGGAATAAACACCGCTAGCCGCGAGATCCAACAAGTACAGCCTTTTATCCGTCTCTCTTTGTGCCTGTCCGCTCGCCGTTGCGATTGTTCGGCTTGATATAAGCCTCTACTACTTCCATATGAAGATGCCTACGGGTCCGGATTGCTGGGACGCTGGGAGTCTCATGAGTCGAGCCAGGAAGGTTTAATAGAATGTTGGCTGCACCTGCTTCTTGGAACTTGTCGGCATCGCTGGCTTGCTCTTCCAGGACTCCATCGCCACAACGCTGGCAGATAGACGTCGGTGTTCATGGCCATCAACGGCCATCTAAGTGGTCTCCGGTCAAAAGGCAGGACTAGAGCTATAAGAAGGGGGAACCGTACTATCTCTTCCTTACCAACTCACAAGCCCTTTCTCCACACCAAGTCTCTGATATCCTCAATCACGTAACGACCAATCAACCATGAAGTCCGCCTTGATCTTTTCCCTCTTCGCCACTGCGATACTCGCAGCTCCCGCTCCCGTCTTCGATCCGCATTCCATGGACCCAAAAGCCTTGGCCGCTCTCAAGACGTGCGGCGGCGGCACCGGGTATTGCAGCAGTGGGCAATGCTATTGCTCCAACTACTGCGAAACCGGATACTGTCCTTGGAGTCCTTGCGGAAAGTGTTAGATGGGGATCTCAAGTGAGTGAGTGGCCATGGATTCCATGAATGGCTTCATGTGGTTGACACCAATACCAGACAATGGTACCTCTATGGAAGGATGCTGGTGTTTCCAAGAGAACTCGTGACCAGGGGAACAAAAGGCTGGAACTGGGGAAGGAGTAGCACAGAGCAGGTGGACACCTGACATGCGAGGATGGAAGGAGTGAACCGTGGTGGAATTTCGTAACCCCGAGAAAATTTTATTTCACGAGATCTGGAAGGAGCGATATTGGAGCTTGATACGCAAAATTTTCCAATCCAGAAATTGCTTTTTCACCCCAACATCTCTGGAGTTGCTTGACGAATCGAATAGGACATCGGTTGAAGCTCACCCCACGGCTTTAGAGCTTTGTTTTCCCTCCAACAACATCGGGCATACTGATTTACTGCTACTCCTCTTACAAAAGCGCCCCTCTGTTAGCATGGTAATGTGCTTCCTCAATTCTCGCCTCTCCCACCCCATACCTCTGCTGTTCAAATTCTCGCCCCAGATCAACAACCGTCCCGTCCCTCAACCTCAGCTGCAATGAGCACAAGGGAGAGTCTCTGCCGATCAGACATTGGACTTTGAGTGCATGGCGGGCTGGATATTGCATGCGATATCCGCGACAGGAGTGGTCGTCTGCGGAAGTTCGGCAAGTCCATCCATCTTCGTTGGTCAGATATGTTGCACGGCTGGTGGAAGGTTACTGGCGCGGCTCAAAGCACGATTGCTGACGATACAGAATGGTACAAAGACTTGATAATCTTCCCATTCGAACCGTCGAGCTACGAAAAAGTCCATCATATCAACCAACACATGTCGTCGACTCCCAACACTTCAAGAAGCACCACGCCATCTCCCAAACTTCTTCGTTCCTTTCTCCCCGTCGAACTCGGACAATACATACCAACCTTACACCATTACCGGAACTCATCCCGTCTCACGCATGCAGATAGCACTATGGGTTGCTATGGGAAAGACTAAATAACGCCGAGCGGTATTATTTGCTCTGCAGATTGGTCGGCAGGGTGGCATTTTGGTGTTGAACCGCGCATGCCACACATGCCGTGCCGTTCACCAGCGGCGGTTGGGTAAGGTACATTAGGCTGATATTCACATGGTATTTGGACGTAAGGGGGCTAGGGTGGGTGGTGGGCCTCTTCCCTCTACACCATGCATGCCGGATCTCTTGTCCTTCTGGGCGATGGGCTTCAGCCTAACTGGACCTTACTGTACTCGATCAATCACTGACTTCAATGTCACAGGCTAAACCATCATTTCACGCACTCCTTCTTTCCGGCTGCAAGTCATTGCCTGTCTGGCGGCTGACAGCTCAAACGAGAGGCGACTGTCAGGGATAGACACCACGGGGCCACCATCAGACCCCGGATCTGCGTCCAGCCATTCTCTTGTGTTCACGTTGCAATATGGAGAATCCGTCCGGTTCTAGGTCCGGCTTGCCTAGGCCTACCCAGAACTGAACGAAAACCCCCTAGGACTTGCTTCCACTGGAAGAATTCGCCTGCCGCGAGATGAACATCGTGGGAATCGAACCAAGAGCAAACCATCACTCCACCTTTCCGATCCATCGGGCCGTCCCAGCCAGTTATGTTTCCCATTCTCCATATTGTTTACTATCCGAAGAGGCAACATACAGCCTGGCACAAGTCACTTGTTCACGGGTTCCACCAGACGCCAGACACGAGCTGAGGAGAGATCAACCTGACGGGAAGCATTGCCAGTCCATATATGCACGGCTCGGTCCCTGACATCTCCCCTTCCCTTAAGGCTTCCTTCTCTCCCTATGCCCGGTCTCTACACCGTGCCATCACCTTCGCCTGCATCAATTACCACTTACACCAACACTAGCTAATCACCACCACAGACCGTCAAGATGGTCGGCGGCGGCCCCCAATCTGACAATGTCATCCACCGGATGGCAATGGATGATCCCATTCCATGGTGGAAGAAGCCCCATCTGCGAAACATGTACCTGTTGCTTTTCCCCTGTGTCATCGGTATCGAGATGACATCCGGGTTCGATTCGCAAATTATCAACTCGGCGCAGTTGCTGCCTGCTTGGAAAGAATGTCAGTCCTTCATCTTAATAACAGAAGGAGTTGAGGGGAAAAGAGTTCTAACGAGAGTAAACAGACTTCGGTCACCCAACCGGCGCCTACAGCGGCATTCTCGCTTCTGCTCTCCCTCTAGGTTCCGTCATCGGCCTGCCCTTCATCCCGCTGATTAACGATAATTTTGGTCGGAGATGGTGCATCATGTTCGGTTCCTGCATCATGATCATTGGCACTTTTATCCAAGGTTTCTCGAAGAACGGTATGTCCACCACTGCTGAAGCCAACTACAGTGGTCACCACCCCTTCTCTCAACGATACTAACGTCCTCCAGCCCCCATGTACATCATTGCCCGCGCCATCATCGGTTTTGGTCTCCCCTACGCCATTGTAGCCGGTTCCTGCCTAATCGGCGAACTCGCCTACCCCAAGGAACGTCCCATTCTAACCTCCCTCTTCAACGCCTGCTACTTCATCGGCGCCATCGTAGCCGCCGGCTGCACGTATGGTACTCAACGGATCAAGAACGATTGGTCATGGCGAATTCCCTCCCTTCTTCAAATGGCTCCTTCCCTCCTCCAAGTTATCTTTGTCTTTTTACTTCCGGAATCTCCGAGATATTTGATGAGTAAAGACCGCCTCGAGGAAGCGAAGAACATGCTGATCCACTACCACGCCGAAGGAAACGCGGATAGTGAGTTCGTCAAAGCGGAAATTGCCGAGATCAAAGTTACTCTCGAGATCGAGTTGGAGCATTCGAAGCAGTCGTGGGCGGATATGATCCGGACCGCCGGTATGCGCCGCCGCGTGCTCATCGGTTCTTTGCTCGGCCTTTTCACTCAACTCTCCGGCAATGTCGTTATTTCCTACTTCCTCGGAGACGTTCTGAAGTTGATCGGCTACACGGACCCCAGCTTCCAGACCAAGTATAACTTGGGTAATCAGTGCTGGAGCTTGGTATGCGGTGTTAGTGCCGCGTTGGTGGTCATGAGGTTCCGGCGCAGGACCATGTACCTGACGGGCATCTTTTCCATTTTGGCCGTCTATGTCGGCTGGACGGTTTGTACTGCGGTGTTCATTGCGCACAAGAATCCCGTGGCGGCCAAGTTCAGCTTGTTCTGGATTTACGCATATAGCCCGGCTTATAACTTGTGTTTCAACGCTCTTACCTACAGTCAGTCATCCTACTTCCCCTCTTCCTTGTGTTATAGATGCTAACAAATGGCAGCCTACCTCATCGAAATCTTCCCCTACGCCCAACGCGCCCGCGGCATCGCCATCTTCCAGTTCTGGGGCAAGGCCGCGCAGTTCTTCGGTACCAACGTCAACCCCATCGGCACCCAGGCCATTGGGTGGAAGTACCTGCTGGTGTACTGCTGCTGGATCTTTGTGGAGGCGGCGCTCATTTGGTTCTTGTGGCCTGAGACGTCGAATCGCAGTTTGGAGGAGTTGGCTTTCTGTGAGTGCACCTGGGCCCCCATTATAAGGATTGAGAGAAACTGGATTGGTGAGCTGTTATTGCTAACGAAGGCTGTGATGCAGTGTTTGAGAATAAGGAAGACTTGGCTCAGTTGCAGCAGAAGAGGGTGGAGACTGAACATGGGGTTGGAGAATTGGATGATGAGAAGCACGCTGTTGTTCATGAGAAGCAGGTTTGATCGATTAGTGGAGGGTAAATGGGTGGGGAGGAAGGGATGGTCTCTTGGTAGGTAAATCTTGACTGCCCTGCCTTTTTCAGGGACCAAATGGAGAAGTCAAAGGGTGGTGTCTTCTATAGCAGACAATTGCCAAGAATGATGAATGGTGAATTTTTGTCTCGATTCCCCGATCATCTTCTCTGGTGATGTTTCGTGATGACGAAACCCTTTGGTGCCGTTCTGGTGTCGCGAATATCAGATGAACTTGTGGATATCTAGCCCAGATTCATGCATGCGTTCATCACTTCTTTCATACCTCCCCACCCATAAGACGAACTGCGCATCTGCCTTCAGCGAGAGAAAATGTAGCAATCACGATGCCTTTGTACCTGATCTTTGGGCAAGAAGACGACAAAAATATGATACCACCGATTTCGATCCGTCTCGCGTAACATCAACCCAGATTCCGTGAATCCCCTTCCGAACTCAAGCAAGAAAAAAAAACCAAAGTCAAAAAGAAAACATAAAAATGAAATGAAAAAGCTTCAAACAACATATCCAACCAAAAAAGAAGGAAGAAAAAAGTAGCAAAAAAGATGCGCCAAGAGGGAATCGAACCCCCACCTCATCCTTGGAAGGGATGAATCCTAGCCGTTAGACCATTGGCGCTTTTTGTTGGAAATAGGTGCACAGCAGAGTGCTTACATACACCAAATCAAGCCATCCCGCACACAGCGCAAAGGTGGTGCAGACGGGGTTGAACCCCTCTTTTTCCTGCATCAATTCGTTTGCTCGGCTCCTGCACCGGATCTTCTGTTCATCACTGTTCATCATCAACGTTGCAGCAACGTCGCAAATGCAGGGTCGGATCTTCAACTTTTATTTACCAGCGACTGTCCATCGGGGATAAAGCAAGTGCGACAAGAGAATTTCGGCGCGATCGATCACGACAAGTCGATTGAGGGGCGCGCTGCGCATGTTGACGCCAAGTACGTCCGCGTCACACCCCTAACATGAGGTTATTCCCACATGGTGCTTGGCAGCTGTCATCTTTGCATGCTTTTCGCATGCTCTGCGTGGAGTTGCTTATTCCGATTTTCAACTTCGACTTCATTTTTCTTCGGCAACGAAGCCTGTCGCCAATTCTCAATATCGGCGGGAACTCAGCGAGTCACGACTGCCGGCATCGATGCATCAACAGAAGGACGGAGAATTACGAGCCATCCGGCTGGGAGAACCGGAACAGGAGTCTGACAACGGACGGAAGCACGATCACGATCACGATCACGGTCAACAAGAACAGGTAAGAAAGTTCATCAGAAGACGATTTATTTTCATTTTGGTTTGGTATCTCTCCTCTCCATCCTCCAGGCAGGTATCATCCATCTCTCATCATCTCATCGTTATAGACATCCATCATCCATCGTTGCAGATCAGGAACATATGGTAAGGTCACTATATACAACCGCGAACCGTCGTGGGGGATTGATCACAAAAGTCAAGCCATGACTGCTGCAGAGTCGACGACTATCCTACGATCACTTAGACGGAAGCGTTGGCGCGGTACTGGTTGAAGTAAGAGGTCATGCGGGTCCTCTGGCCGGCGGTGAACTCAATGTAGCAGGTACTGTTTTTCATCATGTCAGTTATCGTCCTCAAATCACGTTGGTGGAAAAAGGGAATACATACTCGTAAGAGTAATCCATGTAGTTGTGAATAGGATCCAAACCAGCCTGGCTCGGGCAAGAGTCACGTCCAGTAGGGCACCCGCTGCTCGCCGACGCCTGGGCGGGGGTATCCGACACATAATCGCCGTTACCCGTGCATCCGCCCTGGAAGGTGTGGTACAGACCGAACCAGTGACCGATCTCGTGGGTGGAGGTGTGGCCGAGGTTGTAGTTGGTGAGGGAACCGCCGGGGAGGGTCGAATACAAAATCGAGCAGCCGTCGTAGTACCAGTCGTTGGACTTGGAGGTGACCGAGGTGGGGAAGTAGCAGTACCCCAAGGCGTCGCCGAGGTCCTTGAGGATGTACAGGTTCAGGTCCTTGTAGGTGCCCTTGCGGAGCGCCTTCTTCATGGCCAGCTCGGAGCCGTCCGAGGCCCAGTTGCTGTTAACGGTGTAGTCGGTGCCCTTGAGGGTGAACTGGATGTTGTGGGGGGCGTAGGCGGTGTTGAGGGTGGAGACCTGGTTGTTGATCATGGTGGACTGGATTCATTGTGTTAGTGGGCGGTCTGAAGAATCCGGGGAAGAAGGTGACATACGGTAACGTAGCCATCGCTGAGCGAGGTGGAGGCGGCAACGACGTGGAAGTAGACGTTGACGTTGATGGTGGCCTGGGCGGACATGCCACCGGCGGCAGCGAAAGCAGCCTCCTTCTCAGCGAGCTCCTTGGTCATCTGGATGTGCTGGCGCGAGGGAGAATCGGTACCGCAGTTGAAGGGCTTGATGGTGTTGACGGCAGCGCCGAGGGCGGCGGGGGCAGCAGCGGCCGCGAGGAGGAGAGACTTGATCTGCATGATGGGCTAGAGAGAAGGAGGAAGTGATCCTGAGGGATACAACTGATGGATTGTCTGGATGGATGATGGAGAGGATGACCTGAGGAGGGAAGGGAATATCTCATCTTGATCGGGGTCATTGTCGAGTCTTTATACAAGATGGTTCCTTCGTTGTCCTCAGCCTCTCCAAAGTGAGTCCAGGCGAGTCAAAGACAGACGCCATGCATCTCGAGCCGTCGATAACATTGAGATGGACATGTTTCGGTGCAGTTGACAGGTTCTGGAAGGTCGAATCCGACAACCTTCCCAATCGGATCCTAGTGTAGGTCGCTTTGAGTTCGGCTATCTGGGGTGACATTGCAGGCCGCATCTCACATGAGGCTGGCCAAGTCAAGAACTGGTGAAGGCAGGTAGTAGGTAACATTGAGCGCTCTGCCGATCCAGGGGAGTGAGTGGATGACTTGTGGTTGAGGCCGTGTGGGTGGCCGTGTGAAATAACCCGAGGACACACAAAAGTGCACAGCATGGTTCGCGCCACACCTGTCGTGAGGCACCACGTCCCCTGCCTCGAGCCCTGCCACTCGCCTGTCACAGGCTACTGTCATGGGTGGCATGTTTGTGTGTTTGTTTGGTGAGAACAATAGGTATGTACAAGCTATATGCAGAGCTGATGCTAGTGTCAGCAAGATATTACCTCTATCCATTAATATCTGGACAGGCAGTGTTTTCTCACCATGACCATTCCTAGGTAGGTATTTCCTGCACATTTCGTGTCAGTTCCCTTATCATCTCTGCCGTCCGACTTATCGTTTTACCTCCCGTCACGTTACTGTACAAACCGCAACAAAAGCATCACAAGCCTCAACCCCTCGGACTGTGAAATCCCCATCCACCATCTCCGTCCCTTTCCCTGTCTTCATCTCCCCTGGTTGAACAATACGAGGACCACATCCCGAGGTCGGCCAAGCGCGGACGAGTTGACCAGATCGAACCTCGCCTCCATTCCCCGTGCAACCAATGAGTGGCCCTCGGGCGGCAGTTGGCAGGAACAAGCACTACGCTAACCCAGAAGTCTCCGATGCCGATCTGGAAGAAGCGAAACTTTGACTGATGGTCTTCTGTAAGTCGCTGATGGTTCCAGCATGGTTAACGACCGATGGTTGGGTAACACAGGCATCTCAATGAAACCTCCCTAATCGGGCAGTTGCCAAGCTCGAGCCAAGCCGATCAGCGTATGCGATTGCGCTCAATAAGGGAGCTGGCAAGGCTGGGCATCTCCATCCCCCTCCCGGGGCAGGGGCAGGTGGCCGACGCTGGGCGCTATTGGCACTTCACAGTTCACTGTGTGGCGTCCCCCTCTGAAGACCCCCTGTGTTCGCCGCAGAGTCATCAGAGACAAGAGACAAAAGAGGGTTGCATTTCCCCTCGAAGACCAGACTTCAAGAACCAACAAGCTTCTCACCAACCGTCGACGGGTTTCCCCGTTGCTTGGTGGCTTGATGGTTTTCTGCGCTGTCGTGCCTGACATTCCACTTTTGGCATCACGGCCCGTGTGGTGGGTGGGTGACGGTGGTGGTGAGTCGGGAGGATGAGCGAGAGGGAGGGTGTTGGCTTGCCCATTTTCATCAAGCCATTGACGGGAACTGGCGCGGTCCGCGGGGGTTCGTCCGGGCAAGAAGTTGGCCAACCTGGATTCGTCAAAACCGTACCATGGTGCACGAATGCAAGTGAGAGCGTTGAGGCGACTATCAGAATCCTATCAGCAATTGGTTCATCAACTCGGTTCGCAACCAGCGATATCTCCAGTCACCTACCTTACTTTACCTGTCAGTTTCCCAAATGGTCGACGTCCAGCTACGAGTCAAATTGCCTTGTCAATGCTCTGTGCCCCGGCTTCGATATCGTATTCGATAGGTAACAGAGTAGATTAAAGGACTCCTGGTGCAAAAGTTGTGAAACGAGCAAAGGCGAATATTGGAAAACAAGCAGCCAATAGTCCTCCCGCAAAGGCACGTGGACAGGTTGGACACATGGACGGGATGGGACCACATGTTTGGAAGGAAGTTGGGAAATGAAGAATGACGCGGCTGCTACTCCAGACCTTTGGCAACTTCCTTCTTTCCATCCTCTATCAAAAACGCTACTGCAGAGAAAGTGACAATACATGATGCATTCGCAGAGCAGTCAGGGCATCTTCCTTGGTCTTCAACAACCAACACTCCAGTCAAGACACCACGCCACAACACCAAGGAACTTCCTAACACGCTCTAGAGACGACGCCCACGACTTGCTTCCCTCAAGAAAAGCCTTGGTACAACCCCTTCCTATCTTTTGTGTTACCCCGCGTTTATTCCCCTGTCACGCTGCACCCACGACGCTTCATGCACATGTACGTCGTCGTTCCGTGCGGCGGTGCTTCCCAAAGTAACCTACAGACGATAGTCCCCTCATGCTACCTTCACCTTCCCAAACGGATCGACTTCCAGGAACGAGCAGTGTGAGACGCAATTTGACTGGATACAGTACTGAAGGGGAATCAGATTAGATCAGATAAGGTGGGATTGATGGGATGACTAAAGAAGGAAACTGCAATTCAAATGGTATCGGAAAAGGCCAGACGACGACAACCTCATATCCCCGTGTTCCTCCAAAAAGACAGGCAGCTATCGTACAGAGATGCTCTCACGACGACCTCTACCTATGACAAGTTTATACAACGAAAGAAACGAATCTCCTTCCCACCTCACTTTGTGTACATTCTTCTCCATCAAGCTTCAAACCTCTTCACTGCCCTCTCATCCCTCTTACTCATCTCCCACTCCTCCAGCTTCAGCACATCCACATCCCCACCAACTTCATTCTCCTCAACCTCCCTCTCCTCTACCACCCCCTTCACCTCCTTCTCCTTCAAATCCATAACCCCGGTCCCATCATCCACCAACTCCCACTCCCTCTCCTCCACCACACCGTCCCTCTTCCTCTTCGTCACCACATCCCCATTCGTCGGGCTAGGACTCAACCCATAAAACTCCGTAAAACACTGCAAATTCGGTCCCCACGGATTATCCTCCGGGCCCATCTGCGGTCTATACTCCATCTCGCCCTTATTACAATTCGCATACGCCACAATCACATTGAACCCCGTGCCAGTGAACTTCTGGCCACTCATGCCATGACCGGCTTTCTTGGTCGGGTTCTCGGGCGGGCCCTGGTGGCAGCAATTGTCGCTGGGGATTTTGCCTAAGGAATAAATGCGCTCGCCCGTGACGCGGACGGTTTGTGTCGTGTCGTTGCAGATGTAGATGCCGGACGTGTTCTTGCAGGCGACGCGGCGACACTCGCGCCAGCCGACGATGTAGTGGATGATGTTTTTTTGCGTGTGGAAGTCCCAGAGGAGGGAGGAGATGTCTTCGCGGTAGCCGGTGGCGAAGATGCCGCAGTAGAGGGCTGTTTTCCGTTGGCGTTAGTCTCTTGGGTGAACTATGTTGTGAGAAGGGAAAGGGGGAGGGGGATACATACCAGAATCATACTTCGGCACAGTCCTCTTTCTGTGAGCCATTCCCACCAGCGACGACCGCCCATGCACAGAAGATTGGTTCCGATTTGCCCAGTAGTTGTCCAGGTAGTTGTCGTAGAACTTGTTGGCTGGCATCAACCAGGGGTCGTCATCTTCCGGCTTCTTAGCCGCGATGATGACAGGTTTGTCGACATCTCCAACACCGTGGTGGCTCTTGGCCTCCAGCTTGTTGGCCACCACAGCGTCGAGGCTGACACCAGGAGCTGCATCGACCCAGACCCCCGGCGCTGCCATCAACAGTCCCAAGAGGGCAGTCTTGGTGCTGGTGGCGCGGTGTTTGGTCGTCGGTTTGAACGAGCGTTGATGCATGGTGTATGGTGCGATGTAGTATGTGATCTGTCAGTTGAAACGAAGGTACTAGTAGTTGGTAGGAAGTTAAATTGGTTAAGGACTGGGGAAAGCGAATGTCCTGCTGCAGCGAGCGATGTTGTTTGTGAGTTAGGACCAGACTATCGAGGGACTAATGACATATTCCTTGTTGTGATGGCGCTGCAAGTTATATGCGTCTCAGGGGTAAAGGGGGTGAAAGGATGTAAACAACAATAGTAAGCGGGTGCCGTTTCTCGAGATTGTGTGAGTGCAGTCAGGAGGGCAGTTCCGCCAAGGTGGGTGGCTGGAAGTCGCGAGGGAGTGGTATTGGCTCGTGAGCATTTTGAGTGGTGCCAAGTTGGGGAAGACAAAAAGATTGATAGTGAGCGGGATCCTTGGGAATGGAGTGTCCATGTTGATGAAGGTGGTGGTGATGTTTTGGGATCTTGGATGATGATGCAGGTGTCGTGATGGTAATGCGGCAAGACTGCCAACGAGCCTGTAAAGATTGTTAGCGTTGGTGTGATGATAAACGAAGATCAAAGAATATAGCTCAAACTATCTTGCAAGCCGGCAAAACTTGACTACCTCAGGTATTGCCCATCAACTCCAAGCATGGCTGGCGTGATGCCATCACCACGGCCCTCCTCCACTTTACATCGCGAATCATCAAGTCCCGCAGCAAGACCTCCCATCACGTCTAATACCAGCCGATAACGGCTTTCCTGGCAGTTCAAACTCAAAGACCGAACATCCGAGAGCCCTGCGTCTTCCAAATTTCCCAAAACCGCCCCCTTTGTCCTCTTCCCGTCCCCCTTTGTCTCACCCTCTACACCAAACAAAGACACGGCTGTCTCGGGAACAATCAAGGAACAAAGTGCGCCACAATCCAGGCACAACACATGCCAGAAGAGCACATGCACTCAATGTCGATGTCAGTCTCAATTATAGTGTAGCAGGTAGCCAAAAATAATAACGCAACATCTCTACCTCTAGCCACGAGTGGCGGACTTCGGTCTTCGGACTTGCAGTTTCCGACGGACGTGGTACAACTTACGTCAAGCCTCCAAATTTCCGACTGGTGATGCCAGGCTGCCAATGGAAGTGTCGCTTGTTGAGGCACTTTCATCACCGCTTACCAGCAGCAAAGTGCTTTGTCCTCTAGCCAGTCCTGCCCAGTGTCCTTCCCGTTCCATCCTTCTCGGCCTCCTGCGCCGCTCACCTCAACAGCCCGACCCCCTCCGAATTTCCCCGAATCTCAACTCCCGACCTTCGGCCATTCACAACCACTCAAACCCCGACATCCCCGACCCCGACCCGGACCCCGAGCCCCAAGGTCCCACCGACACCGACGTCACCGGCGGTGACACATCAAGCACCATCCCGCCGCCATCCCGCTGCCTATCCCGCCGCCCATACCGGCGCCCATCCCGCCCACCGCGCCCATAGCTTCCCACCCCAATCCCACCGCCGCCGCCTCCCTAGTGGTAACCATCCCCTGACCGAATCCCGGCTCCGAATTCAAATCCAAATCCAACGGCCCCATCCCCGACCCCTCCAATTCCCCTCTCCACACTGCCGCGTTCGAGTATCCCACTCCGGACCCCCAAGGCCCCGCCCCCGGTCCCGACCACCACCCCCTTGTACTGCCAAACCCACCATATTCCCCTTCCCTTCTACTCGGTGCATGCTGCTCACCCCATGCTATAACCCAGGTGCCAGAGCGGCCGTTTCCCCACTCTCCTCCTACTCGTTGTGCTTCGCGGGCGTTTCGACGAATGTTTTGGGGTGGTGGGTTTAGGTCTTTCACGCGGAAGAAGCGGATCTTGGCGAGGTCTGAGGGAGTAAGTGTCATGGTGCGGAGTTCGCGGGCTAGAACCGTGCGGGGAGTTTGGATTTGAGTTTGGGTTTGGGTTGTTGACGTTGACCCTGTGCTAGCTCCCTGCTGGCCGTCCGCCTGCTGGGATTCCTCCTCGAGAAGATCGCCTAAGGCAGCGCCCAACCTGCCTAACTCCGCCATCCCCAGTTCATGGAGCACTTTGTGCTCATCCACCCATGCTGGACTGGGGCCAGCGGGGCGGTTGGCGGGGTCATTGTCATTGAGGATGGAGTCGTCGATGATGGTTATGTTGGTGACGCGGAGGATTTTGCAAAGCATGAGGAGGGGGTTGGAGGATCCGTATGCGACAGGGTTGAGGTGGGTGAAGGTGGGAGCGAGGCTGATGTGTCGTTGGCAAAGGGCTTGGGCGTGGGAGTGGGGGATGTAGATCTCGCCGTGGGCTCTGGGGTCCAGGTCTCGATCTGGGTCTGGGTCAGGGACAGGGACTGATGCGATGGCGTCGGCGGGAGGGACGTAAAACGCCGAGGGCCGTGATGGATCGCGGCTTTCATCGGGGTCCGACTCCGAGTCAGGCTCGACATCACCAAACGGCTCATACCCTGCCTCATTAACCCACACCGGCGGCGCAGGTAAGTCGCTCCCCCTAGGCATCTCCTCCATCACCCCCATCCTCCTCCTCTCCACATCATCCCAACTCAGATGCACCACCTCCAAACAAAGCCTCTCCGTCCTTCTATTCCACGGAATCTTATACACCTTCTCCCCCATCCTCGACTTCGCATTCTTAGAAGCATACTTACCTCTAGTAACCCCCTCCCTCAAATAGGGCGGGTCCCAATCGACCGTTACGTAAATCCGATCCGGCAGGATATAGTCCATAATGTCTTTATAAGCCTCCCTGGAAACCTGCATCAGATTGCGCACGTGTCTCGTGGCTTCTTTGAGCTGGGGGGTACAGCCCACTTTTACGTTCCAGGGCGGGCCGTAACGAGAGGAACCTAAGAATTGGGTGATGGGTGGGAAGTCCTGTTGGTATAGGGTTATGCGCAGGACGCGGTAGGGATCGACGGCGTGTTTCCAGATGAGGGTTCGGAGCTCGCCGGGTAGGAGGGGGAAGAGGGAGAAGGACTCGGGGGTGGAAGTGGTGGTGGACATGTTGAAGAGCTTAGAGAGGCGTTTTAACATGGCGTTTGACTATGTAAGGGCAGAACTGAAGATGTGATGCCTGGGAATTACATTGAGTGATGATAGGTATTTATTAGCGACTGAAGGGTTGTGCAGAGGTTGGTGATACTTCCATGCCAAAACTCATTGGACTGCAATTGCAAAGTCCGCTGATGTTTTCTGAACCCGGCCGCCTTCCCACAAATGGAAGAAGAACACGCAAACTTTGTGTGTCCCTAGCCATGAGCCTCACTCATACCTTCCCCAAGCATGATCTCCTCATCACAGCCGAGCGGACAGTCCAACCTCCCTCTCCCAAGCGGAACTATCCGCAACAGTGATCGTATGGATATATCTCAGCTTGCCCCCTTCCAACCTGAACTCATGACTATCCGCTGCATTCCCCAGGTGCTCAAAGTTGCAAAGCACGCTCACAGTCCCCATGCTCTCATCAATGACATAGCGCCGGTCAGAGTTGGGCGGCTGTGTGTTGTTGCTCGGGATGCCCACTTTGCACGAATCATCCGGTGCCCCTTTTCCGGTATACACACTCCCCTCTAGCCGTGCACATGGCGTCCCCCATGGGACCGCGTCAATAGCACTCTTGTTGCTCCACATGTCCAAATAGGCATCAGCTGCTGCTTGGAGCGTCTGTCGGGTGTCTCGCTGAGCAGATGGAATGACAGGCCAGTTTTCTTGCCGAGCGTATTGAAGGGTTCGACTGGCGTTGAAGAGCCATGAGCCCGTGGTGGAGACGATGGTGTCAATCTTGTAGACGCTGTTGTCGCTGGGGGAGTGACGTATCTGAGCGCCGAGCACAAAGGGCTTGAAGGAGATGGCGGAAACGACTTCAGTGAAGGTTGAGCAGGTGGTCATGTCGATGATGGTGCGGTTGAAGTCGATCTTGAGGATGTTGTTGAAGATTCCCGAGACGATTACGGTGGGTTTGTTGTTTTCGACGTATTGGAAGTCGTCGGCGATGTTTTCCAAGGGGCCAGCTTGGCCCATGGTCAGTCCCAGCAGGAACTGGCCGACTGTGAGGAGGAGTTCATCTCGACTGCAGGCCGCGATAACGGCTGGGATAAGGCTCGATGCGAGGATGGCGAGGAATGCCCAGGGTGATGATAACGGGACGAACATGGTTGTGGTGCTGGAAAAGTCTCTCGACTGACTTGGTTGGCACTCAACTAGTAAGGTCGTGGGAACCAACGTACTTGTCCAGTTTGAACATAAAATACGGCCTCGGCGATTTAACATTTGCCGTGTGATGAGTAAACAACCCCCAAGACGGCAAAATCCACAAACGGGTTTCCCCGCCCGCGACGGATGCATGATATCTTCATCCATATTGGCTTGACGATTCAGAAAGGGGCCTACTTTGACCAGGAAGAATCAGACCGGTGTGCCTCGACGACGGGTCTGCCTTCAGGACCCCAAACTTCAGCTGCCCATGTTCTCTGTGTATGTCCACTTGGTTTCTGCACCAGTATTCAAGATACCGTCCGGCAGCGTTGTCTGTCTCCCTTAGACCCCCATCCATGTTCGGTACGCAACCTCTTTCCAAGGAGAATCCACCATGCCGGCATAGCAACTCTGTCGAATCACAAGAGGCGTGGAGTGACTCGGTAGGCTTCCCCCGAGTGGAAGATGGCCGTATCAAGGTTTTCGACGATCGCGAAAACTGGGGTATCGTGACGTCTAACGCCTATTGTATCGTGGTCGGTGCCAGTTCGGAGAACGTTACGGCTGCCGAGGCGACTGTAATTGAATCTGCCTGGCTACCAGAAGAGAGTCTCAACGTCGCCACAACAACACAATCTTGTCGAGGGAAGCGTCGTCGATATTCCCAGGTCGGACACTCGCTCTTGTGTATCCGCTCCATTGTGAAATTGCCTTGATTGCGGACTACCGGTGACAGGAAGACTCGCCAGGTATCAGCGATCCCAAGTGTTGCTACCAGCGTGCCGTCCCCAGCAAGCAGGGCTGGACCTGGACTGTGAATGCGACGCCAATCATTATCGCGGGCGTATTTTTTCGTGTGAAAGCTGGAAACGCTCGCGGTCGACGACGTTAAATTAAAGTTTGGGCTTCGTCCCGAAGGTATGATGTGTGTCGATCAAGGTTCCAGGGGCGTAAGCATCGTGGTCTTGTTCGCTCGTGGGTTACGCGTCTGGGCCGCCGGCAGCGACCGGGCAGCAATCAGAAGGCCATCGCTTCGGTTGGCTCGTAGTCGGGCAAAGCACTCGGCATCGAGTCGGGTGTCGTGAACAACGGATGGTTGTGAGCCAGCAAGGTCATGGTTCGTCCGATGGTCGTGCTTGGACGAACGGGAGAAAACACGACCGGGCTAGAGCGACGCTCGGATGACGCAGCTGGACCGGGCTCGTCAGCCTCGGGTACCGTAGCACTGTGGAGCCCATAATTACAGGGGTTTTCAGCGCATCACCCCCTGAAGCACATGGCGAAGTGAGACAGCCCTGCTTCTTGGCATCTGAGGCTGAACTTTCCCAAGACATCATTCACGATCAACCACGCGAATGGCGCCGTACGACATGGTAACATTGAAACAGTTGACGCTATCAGGTTAGGAACTGGGTCGAACAATAACAAGGACGAGTCAACCGTACTTTGGCCACAAACCACCTCCGAGATCCCAACCCCCCGGTTGAAGAGGCATCTAGGCAGTAGGCACGAGCTATCTGCGTCGATGTTGAACAGGCCAATTATTTGGAATGGCCAGATACGGCCAGGAGAGCAGCTGATCACGAAGCCCGGTAATTACCTTACACTACAATGTCACGGAAAGCCACGGCGGAAGACAACAATGGAGGTTGGCTCTTCGACAAAGAGCTCGAACCGCAAGACATGACCGGACAAAGGCATGGTATTAAAAAAATCTCAAAGAGCAAAAAAAGCTGATTGTATTATCCAAATTCCAGGGTACCTTAACTCTCTTCGATCCTCTTCGATCCAGCCCAGTCTAGTCGTTGGTTACAACTAGGTACCTTGGACAAGACATCCGCCAAGACCAGACACAACTTTCACGCCAATCTGCCCATCACTCCATCATCATCAATACCAACCGGAGGGCGGAGGCAGATATCCCATCCCAACAACATCTCTCTCTCTCTCAGCCAGACCCCCGCCCTAAACATTAGTCCCCCTAACCCTCGGCCCCCTCGGTCTCACCGTCCACTTCACCACCCTCTCCTCTCCCCACCCCTCATGTACCTCCTCCCCCTTCAAATTTACATTCCTCACAACCGCCTTCTCCCCCTTTGTCTTCAACTCCCGCCCCAACTTCTCTCCCATCTCCCTATCCCCTTCTTTGGCAAGCGTGATATCGTACTTTTTCCTGCTCTCAGAGTCAGACAACGTGTCGTAAGCCTCCTTGAGATCTTTGAAGCGTTGAGAGAAAGGTGAAATTGGGGATGTGGTTGGGCCCGGGTTGTCGGGCGAGTTTGCAGAAGTGGTGGAAGGCGGTGCGGATGTCGGACCCAGAGCAAGTGGGTGGGAGGTTGAGGGTTTTGTAGTGGGAGGGGATGATGGTTTTGATGGGGATGGCGTTGGGAGTGGGAGTGGTGGTGGTGGTGGTGTTGGTAGCGGACATGTTGGGCAGGAGGGTGTGATGAGTGTTGGCGTTGGATTTATAAGATGGAGCTGGTGTTAGTGGTTGGCGATGATGATTCTGGTGGACTGGAGAAACAAGAGGAATGGGTTGGATGGTTGTGTGGTGAGGTGAGTACTTATATGTCTCTTTTCGTCGTTTGAGTGATCTCCTTGATCCATTTTGAACTCTGGATGATGGATCTGTTCAGTGTTCACAATGACTGACATAGCTGGGCGGACGGGACGGGAAGATGATGAACTCGGTAGGTAGGAATGCGTCGACAAAGGCCTTCCTCAGCGGTCCCGGCATCAGAAACGGGTGAGCTTGTGTTGTTCATTGACGGTGGGACATACGCCCTAGACAACCTCATTGTTTTGAGAGCGGCACGGTGGCTTTACGATATACATATCCGGTGGTAACCAAGGGCAGACAAAGAACTTCTATCTCGGCCCCGATGAAAAGAGAATAGAGTGTGTCGTTCCAGAGGTAGTCGGGAATATTCTGGCTGCTTATTTGCAAATCGGCAATGCTGCTTACAACCCCATCACCACACTACCACTCGAAGCCGATGCCTGGTGGTCGCACGGGTCAGGCATGGAAGAAAGACGGAAGACATGAGGCTAAAGCGTTACAGTGCTTGGTCAAGGCTTGTCATCGTCAACCATCCGCTGCTTCATGGCACGCTCGATTTGCTAAAGCTCGCTTCTGTCATTGCACAGCTTTGGTGCTTGAGTACCTCTATCCAAAGAAAGCCATGGCGTCGGTTGAACAACACCTTGCAACTAACTTTTCGCCTCACCAAAAGCCAAAACACCACCAAAACACAACGCCAAAGGTATCATCAGTCATGAATCATCATCACCCTCGTTCCTTCCAACCTTTTCCATCTTCCACTCTCAACACCAGTCCATCACCACAACCACCTCCTCCTCCTCCCCCCTTCCCTCCTTATGCTCCCCATCCCCGGCACCGGCCTAACCCCCAACCCCCCAACCCCCACCACCAAATTAACCACCCCCAAAATCCAAATCGCCTTCTCATACCCGCCCTTCCCTCCGTGTCCCCCCACAAACCTAAAAACCAACGCAAACAGCACCCCACCCAAATTCCCCCCCGCCCCCGTCACCCCACTCACCACCCCGTTTCGTTCCGGCCAAACGAAGGGGATCAGACCAAAATTGGCGCCGTTGCCTGCTTCGATGAAGATGGCGGCCAGAATCACTAGGCCGATGACGGTGCCTAGTGAGGTGGGAGCCAAAAGGCCGAGGAGGAGCAGGAAAGTGCCGGAGAGGAGGGTGGAGAGGGAGATTAGGAGTTTGCGGGCCCATAACGGTTTTGCTTTTGGAGGAGAGGGGGAAGGGGAGGTGGTAGAAGAGGTGGAAGATGCCCCGCCAAAGGATTTGTAAAGCAAGTCCGAAACGAGACCGCCGAGAGGACGGGTGAAAAAGTTGAGAAAGCCAAAGATTGCGGCATAGTTGGATGCGGAAGTTTGGGTGAGGGAGGAAGGGGAGATGGAGAGGAAGTAAGAGGAGAGAACGGAGTTGATGGCTAGTTCGGAGCCGAAGGAGCAGAAGTAGGTGAGGATGTGGAAGATGGTTTGGGGGGAGAGGAGGATTGTGAGGGCTGGGGTGGTTGTGCCTTCGAGGTTTTGGGTAGAGGCAGGTACGACGACCTCCCCCCTCTCAACGTCCGGACGGGTACGGGTAGTGGATTCGGTATCAGACATGGTCTTAGCAGATCCCTTTTCTTCTTCGTCCATCGTCGCCGTTGCCGTTGCCGTTGCCGTGGGAGTCTCTGCACCGGATGCGGACTTGGGATCAACACCTTCAATAACCGTCTCCTCATCCCCCTCTGCCCTCCCCTCGGCGGCCCCCAGGTTCAAACCCCGATCCCTCTCCCTCCACCTCCCCCCCGGCGTATCCTCACACAACAACATCAGTCCCAATCCACACACCAACAAACACACAAGCGGCACAACAAAAGTCACCCTCCACGCCTTCCCCTCACTCATCCCCCACCTCCCCACAAGACTATCAAAAACAGCCGGCATAACAAAATACGTCACCCCGCCACCTGCATTTCCCCATCCTCCCGCTACCGCATTCGCCGTGCCGACTACATTCTTATCGAACCAAGCTGTGCACCACACCTGGCAGGGGACGAAGGAGCCTCCCAGGATGCCGATGAAGAAGCGGATTATGTAGAGCCCCGTTACGTTGGTGATGAGCGGGGCTAGGCCGATGGGGATGCTGCCTAAAAGTAAGATGGAGGCGAAGACGAGGCGGGGACCGTAGCGGTCGCAGGCCCAGCCGGAGATGAGGCGGACTAAAAGGGTGGCGACGAGGGAGAGGATGTTTGAGTTGGAGATTTGGGTTGGGGTGAGGTGGAGGGAGTGTTTGATTGTGTGGGTGAGCTGTAGTGATGGTGTTAGTGTAAGTGATGAGTGATGATAATCTGGGGGTGAAAGAACGGGAAGAGTGAAAGGCGTCAAGACAGGGGGAGACTTAGTTGGAGAAGAAAGGGAAGACATACCAAAGGAGGAAAAGTATACCAGGCCCAAAAGGCTACCATGAACCCCATCCACGAAAAGAAGAAGACGCGGCCATGGCGGTCGATAGGGTTGAAGACTGGGATACGTTGAGCCTTCTTGGTGAGAGGGTTGAGGGGTGGTGGTTGGAATGAGAACTGGAAACCGAGGACCATGGTGAGGATAATAGGATGTAGGTGGTGATGGTAAGGTAGAATTGTAGGATGGTGATGAAGATGACAGCCAATAGGAAGCGTCAGAAACGGGTGTAAGCAGCCCTATTGCCGTAGGTGATGGGCGACGTTCGGCTGGTACCCTAGGTGGCGACTTCCGGTGACCCGGGCGATGACGGTGTAAGTGATAAGCGCAGTAGGGCGGCTGATAAGGGGTAGGAGTGCCTGAGCAGCAAGAACAGGAAGTGGTGATCTGGAATCTCTCGGGTTGAGCTTCACTCTTCACTTCGAGAAACTCAAACAGCTTGAAGTCAGCTGAACGAGAACTGTTGCTGGGCGCGGGGGCTGACAAGCTCTTGTTGTAAAGCCTGATCCGATACCGCGATGTAGTACAGCGTGAGTCTACTGATCCAGTCCATTCTTCCGACATCGTCAAAGGCATTCATTCTCTTTTATGTTTGACGTCGTCGACATCATCCAAGTCCATCATCTCCAAGTTGAAGACAATATTGAATGTGTGAATTGAACATCTCCGTTGATGCCAGTCATCCCACGCTTGTGGCTTGACGGCCCAGACTTTTCCTTATCGGTCGCATCTCATGCATCCCATCGACTTCTTCGGGAGTTCCATCATGGCTGAGAGATTTGCCAAGGCCCAGCGATAAGGGGCCAGGCTCGCAGCCAGGGTTATGTGAGGGTGCTGACAGAGGCCCAGGGTTATGTATGGGTATGGACAGTGACTCCCGTCCACAACCTCTTTCTCCGCGGAAGGGGGATCGAGATAACCACATGCATGGCTGTTGATAGGAGCCGCCTGTCGCTATCGCCGCGACCTTGGAACGACACCCATTGGCACTACCAAAAGCTTGTTCGCCGCCGGCTATACTGTACGGTACTTGTGATGCTGCAACCGAAGATCTAGATAGCACGGTATAGCACCCCACGCCGGTGGTTCTGACAGTTCTGAAGGATAGCACTCGCTGAGAGATGTACATCTCCGGTAGATCTGAGCGGCGATGGTGGTTTTCCGAAAAGACTCGGAATTGATAAGGGCATGGCTGCGCTCCAAGCCTTCATGACAAGCTTTTGCCACTCTTGAAGCTATCAGCGCTGTTATCGCTCTTTTGAAATGGGTGTATGACATCTCGGGTACAAGCTCTTTGTCCCTTTTCGATGCTGTATGACACAGGACCCTAAGGAGGAGAAAGTGATCAGATAAGGACTGTAAGGGTGAGAGGAGGTCTGGAATTACATTACCCGGTAATCCATTGGCCAGAAACGGGATGCGCATGTTGTCGGAGATGGTTGATCTTGGTGTTGTCTTGAACCTTGGATCTCCATCCGCTCCGGTGTCGGTGCTGGGACTGTACAGTATCGGCGACTCGTCAAACAATCTGTGGTTACTGCTCCGGTCAACGTTTTTCGTTCCAAAATCCCCGGCCATTACGAATACCCATTGACACCCAGGCAATCCTTTTCTTGCACCACCACTCGCAATTGATCTTTTGTTCCAGTCAGCTGTTCCAGTTCGTGAAAGTGCGCACTGACTTCAGCCCTACAGCCCTGCAATCCACAGTCATGACTCGAGCTGGTGGAGTTGGAGGGCCCTGTTGCATGGATGTGGTCATGGACTTGCGAACTTGTAGTAGACCCGAGGAACATGCCTCCAGTGCTCATTGTTCCATAACCGTCTCATTATCGCCCGTCTCTAAGATATGTACAGGGCGGGGTGTGGACTCGCGATCCTGTTTTCCTCGCGCTGTGCTGTGTGTCCGTCTTGCGTCCTGTGTTCCGTGCTCTCGCTCGTGCTCGTACCGTTTCCCGATGTTTATCGAACTCAGTTGCTCCGCGCTCCACCCTTGGCCGCCCTCAACTCGTCCATCTTGGCGACGCGCTTCTTGAACTCGACGTACTGGCACTTTTCGTATGTGTGTCGCTCGTCCTGCGGGTGTTGTCAGTTCGTCGTTCGCTTGTGTGTGTTCCGCTCGATGTATTTTGGCAAAGGCAACAGCCGTCGTACCTCGCACTTCCACGGGAGGTAGTAGGTATCGTAGCGACACCGGTTTAGCGGAATAAGAAGGTGGGCACAGCTGTCGCGGTAAGCCAGGGGAAGTTTGGCATCGCGCATCTCTTCGCGAGTGGCCTCTGTTTCGTTTCCAAGTCGCAAAGCGCAACCCCTCCGTTAGCAAGCGCATTCTTCTTGGGTTCGGGGATGGTATCGGGTGGGAGCATTACGCCTAGCAGTGGTGATTGAAGAATCGGACGCCATCTTGGATCAGCAATTGGAGGGGCGACCGTCTCGTGGGAATGGTGGTGGTCTTTGTAAACTGAGTCCAGGATGTTGTCGCTTTCGTCTCGACGTCCATGTCCAAACTGTGGAGCTTCCCCAGCTTCCAATGATTGCGTGGTCCGAGCGTCATGAATGTCGAAGTAGCCACACGTGTAGAGTCACATGATAACTGCCAAGCCTGAACAGGGCGCGGCAGGCAGTGCACGTTCATTCTCTCAAGTGTTGTCCCCAAACGATTCACCACTTTACCATACAAAGCTTCTTTCAACGTCAACTCTTTCATCTTACAACCCGCTGATCGCCGTGGCACCAAATCAACCCTTTCTTAACGACACACTCTAATTATCGACTTTCTAGGTTCTCATTACAACACGACCTGTTATGGACAAGTTCCTTTCTCTCAGCGCATCTATCAAGTACGAACATGTTCAGGCTTGAGCAGCCTCTACCAACAGCCTCCATGCATCCACCGATACCTCTCAACCGTATGGCCTCTCTGGCTCATACGCTCATTTCTTGAAAATGGATTAATGATACTACCAAAGTGGAATGTTAACCAAGCCCTCATCCGACACTGATGATCCCCCGTTCTGGTTCACTCCAAAGCGGCTCCAATCCTTCAGCGTGGGACTTTCATCTCCATCCCCTCGTCCCTCCCTGTCCCACTGCAGCACCCAAGAATTCCACGGCCCCGGCGGTCCAAACATTGTCCTCTCTATCCCCTCCACCTCACCAGGACTCGGCGGCGGGGTAAACGGTGTCTGTTCGCGCCTGAGGTCTCCCTTGAGATCGGATTCGACTTTGATGTCTCGGGGTTTGCGGTACCGGATCCTTTCCAACCGATAGGTCTTGCTCACCCAGAGCTTGTCCTTGTCAACACGGTGAGCCGGCTCTGGCGGGTGACGGAAGAAGGCCCCGGTAACAGGCCGCCGGAGCTTGCGGGTGTAGATGGTCCTTGCTTTGCTGCGCAGTGTCTCTCTACCGTCCAGCGGAACAGCGACCTGTCGATCCTCAGGTCTTTCGGCGTTGGGACGCGTTATCTTTCTGCTATACTTGGTCCTATTCGGGACCTGATACGGCATCGTGCTCATGCGCTGCCCCGTCGCCCACCTCACGCTCTCGACGCCATCCCGGAACCTGCGCCGCTCGTCCACCTCTTTATCCGCCAGATCGATCATCGTGTGGTGGAACCATTCATTACAAGGCCCCAGAAGGAGAGGAAACCCGTCTTTCCACCTTTGGTAATCCCTCTCCATCAGCCTCGCGAAAGAAACAATCCCTACCAGTCGGTTTTGGTCGCACAAGTGCGCCACGTGACTGAACCGCTTGACCACATCAATCAGCGTCTTCGAGTAGTTAGCATCCAGCCACTCAGCCCATTTCTCCGCCCAGTCCTCGGGAATTGCCTGCATCGTGAACCGAAGCAGATCCCGGCGGCCGGCCAGGAGCATATGATGCAGCGTCAGGCCAAACTCGGCCTTATCCTTCCAGCTTTCCCTATCCGGCAAATCAGGACACTCCTCAGCCATCAAACAAAAGCTATTATTACTCTCCCGATCCACCGCCAGCCCAAAGTCACCCAGAATGACCTGCGGAAAATAATCGTCAAAGTGCTCGAGACAGTTCTCCCGATCATGCTCCCTCTCATACTGCGTCACAAAATGCAGCCAAATATTCGCCGAATGCCCATCACAATGGGCCGTGGGCACCCAATCCGCAGCTCTTTCCTCCTCCCTCGCCTTCCACTCCTGCTCCTCCCTCCCCCGGCGCGGCGGTCCCCTCACCCAGCCTCTCTCCTGCGTCTTATCCGGCATCGTCCGTCCCGTATGAACAAACTTGTACGCCCTCCCCACCTGCGCAATAACATGCCAAATCATCGCCTCCGGAATCGGCTTGCCCTGCTTCTTATACCTCTCAATCAGGTCCTCCACCTGTCCGCCATTATAAAACTTGCCAAAGTGCGTCACGTTCTCCTCCGGCCAGTTGTTCAACTGGAACGCGTGCGTCTGCGGCAAGCAAGTCAGGTGCGGATGGTACAAGAAGCTAAACTTGAGCGTGCGACCCGTCGGATCGGGAAGATTGTTGTATGCAATCTCCCCCGGTACTTCTCCCGCATTCGGAATCCGCTGCTGGTACCCGTCTGGACGCCACCGGCCTTTCCAGCCTTTGATGCGTTTGACGACTACCAGTAGCGGGTCGGGACCGACGGTCCGCCATAGACCGACGGAGACGCCGGTTGTGGCGTTGAGGTCGTATTTCTTGAGCCAGTTGACGAAGATCAGACGCAAACCGTCGGGGAAGTCTTGACTGGACCCAGGGCGGAGGAACGCGTTGCTAGTTGGGTTGAGCACGTTCCGCCGGAGTGCGTCGGGCGCACGCATGGGGTAGCAGGTGTAGGTGAGGTGGTGGTGGGGGAATTCGGCGTTGACGGCGGGGTTGTCGTCTTCGGGCCGGTCTTGGAATTCGTGGTCACCCTGGTTGAAGCCTTCCGGCAGCATGGGGAAGTACTCGGCTGCTTGGGGGGAGGCGGGTTCGAGGTAGTATTCTTGTTGGTCCTGCATTATCTCGTCCATGGATTCGTTGAATTCGCTGTCGTCGGATTGGACGTTGCCCTCGTGGATGTCCCCATCACTACCAATGGGTGATGAGAAGGATATTCGCGGCATGGTGGAGGATTGATGTGATGGTAGTGTCTATGGGTTGTTGGTGGTAAGTGAAAGTGAAAGTGAATAGATGAATTGAAGGGAGGGGTAATAAACAGCAGTTCTGATCATGGTTGTATCTGGCTGTTTATGAAGACTCGGGTGCACAAAGGGGCTTGTCCCGGACTCCGGCTGTGAACAATGGCCTTGCAACTTGAGCCATGCACAAAGAGAGGAATTCCCGCCCGGCCTTTGTTTGGACTAAGTTAATTATGGCACGGTCTATTGTTTGTTGGCACAAAGACAGCCTACATAGGCCGAGTTGCTCATAATGACAAGTCCTCGCGAAGGCTTTGGTGGGAAATAGGTACCTTAACCTCCTCAGCTGCATGACTGCCATAAAATGCCTCGGTGGCCAGAGCCAGGCTTTGCGTTCTACTTTGTTTTGGAAATGGACATGTATGAAACGAGTGAGTATCGACGTCGCTCGGGAGTGGTGGTCCCTCCCTCGAATGAAGTTTCACCACTGAAAGACCCAAAAAAAAAATCACCAAACCATCCAAGCAGTCGTAGAACTTGAAAGTTCCAGCCCAACCAAAAAAAGGAAAAGAAAAAAAAATGCAAAAAGAGATGCCTACTACAGGAATCGAACCTGTGATCTTTGCATGTCGTCGTTACCCAATCCCCGAAGGAACCAGGTAGTTATACAAGTGCAACGCATTAGCCACTATGCTAAGCAGGCACTAGTTGTTTTGTTTTGTTGAAGGAACCTTGCTGATAGTGGGGTTATGTACCACAAATACTGCACCCCGGCGGAAGTGTGTGTGGGTCATGGAAGGGAGGACCGCGAGGGAGATGTTGGACACTCGGTGTTATTGATAGATTGGCATTCAGTGGAGCAGATGTAACATCGTAGATTTCCTTTATGATGGTTGGTTAAGCTGTTATGTCCTACTGCATCTCCATGGTGTCCTTGATTGCAGAGGTTTCTTGCGCGACGAAGTCGGAGATGTCGGTTGGATGCGCTGTTACGACCGGCGGAAGGCGCATAGACCCCAAGACATGCAGCAAATAGCCCACTACTTCCCACTTTTAAAACCTACCTCTACCATCGCAAAAAAAGAAGCTTCCATTGCTGACAAGGTTATCGCCATCCCACTACTACACTTTCTTTCGCTTTATCCACCCCAGCGTCTTCATCTGCCTCCCGCTTCCTGGTATCAACCCGCGATCGAGATGCCCAAGACTATATCAGATAAGAAAGCGGCCGAGCTGATGGCATACTTTCTTCGTCCCAGGGGCGACAGTCTCTACTTGGAACGCTGGGAACAGACACTGAAGGCAATCATCCAAGTCTTCGCTGTCAAATACCACGAGCTCTCGCCGGAGGCTGCGGGTACTTTTAGTACCAAGAGATACCCCAGCAGACTATTGCATGAGTTCTTCGTCAAGTCGCTCCGCAATATCATGGACGACTTGCCGTCTGATGTCGACAAATTGAGGGAGGCAGTCGATGCGCTTGATGGCAAGCATACATCCCGCAAGAGGCATCGCACGGAGAATGACGAGGCCGATGGCAAGCAGGCATCCCGCAAGAGACGTCGCATGGATAACGACGAGGCCGTCGAAGTTGATATTCCGAAAGGAAAGCGCGCCAAGGTCCAATATGTCTCCAAATTCAAAGTTTTCACCAACGGCCAGACTGAGGTCATTGAGTTCACTCTCGACGACCCTTCGATAATCGACGTCAAGTTTCACTCTGCCCCAGGAAGGGTTTCAACTATAACCGACAATCACATTGAACTTCTGAACGACAACTAAGCGCAGAGCCAGCAGGCACAGCCTAGCTATCCCCTAGTGCTGGAAGGAGCACTTTCCCTCGTGAGTTACTCCTCCTAAAACTGCATTAGCAACATCTTCTTGGCCACCTCCCTCCGCAGCGTATCCATAACACCAACTAACATCGATCTTCTTTGAGAACATGCAGGAACGCAAACGATCTTCGGCACCGGAGGATACATAGGCCAGCGAGGGCCAAAGGCAATAATACCAGGAGAGATTGCTGGCTACTTTGCGAGAAAACAAGGAGGGGCAAGAACCCACTATCCATGTGTTGAAGATTTACCATGCTGTCGAGCTCGTGAGGTTTTGAGGGGGAGGTCAGGGGAGGATCATGGACATTACATGGAACGAGTTACGAACTTGGAAGAAATATTTTCGCAGGCATACAGTCAAAGACAACGTGGATTACTACCTGTCGCCTGGGCCGTGGGACCTTGACTCCCAGCCTTCTTTGAAGCGCGTTACAGTACCTGTCAGTTGACCAGTTGAAAGGGAAGCCCGTTGACAATCTCTCGTTCTCCGTCTTTCTTGACCTCAGCGCGTTAACAACCTTTCAAGGGTCTGCTCACTACAACACTCGCTGCCACAAAGCTGCGCCATTCAAAGGCGTTCTTCCTTTTCTGCCCCATCAAACAACCTCCCCGGTAGTCAACATGTCGCGACCCCGACAAGGCGTGGCCTCACGGACACAGGCCGTAGCCAACCTACGGGAAATCATCAACAAAGACACCTGGCCGGCCGACGACCCCGACTGGAAGTGGGAGCTCTCCGACGTTCTCAAAGATTTTGCCGCCAAATACTTCGAACTCTCACTCAAGGACAGTAGTGGGGAGACGGTCGACGAGCCAAGTAGACTGTGGCACAACCACTTTGTTGAGTCGCTTTACAAGCTTTTGAAGGAGTTGCCGGCCACCACTAATGATCTGCGCAAAGCGGTTCCCCATGTTGTCGATGGCGATGAAGCGAAAGGGAGTCCAGCGTCACCGGTGTCGCCCGCCTCACCGGTTGATGTCAGAGATGGGAGCAACAAGAAGAAGCGCCCTGCGCCTGCCGATGCTCAAGACGATATAAAAACCCCGAATAAGAACAAGCGCGTCAAAACCGAAGCACAGACAACGAGCTTCACGGTTTACGCCAGAAGCCCTTACACCGTTCGCGTCTTCGAGGGCGACATCCCCAGCGCCGAGTTCAGCTCCAGCACCCCTGCGACGGTCCGGGTCGAGATGGCTGCTGCTGCTGCCGTTGTCAAGTCCGACGACAGTGACAATTGACGAGCGCGGTCTGCTGTCCAACTTCAAAGAAGGGAAGGAGCGTCTGGTTATCCCTCTGGAAAATTCTACTCCCTTCCACCTTCCATACGTTCGTTTCAGACGCTGAAACCAATCTTCTTCGGCGTCCAGGCGAGCAGGAAGGAACGTCTGGTGAGTAACTCCTCTGGAACTTTCGATTCCCTACCACGCACCTTCTCCGCCACTTCCCAGCCTAGGGATCAGCCATGTCAATTGGAACACCAGGGCACTGACATCGGTCTTTCTCGGCGGCATCTAGGCAAGCCTTTTGAAGGGGGCGGGAAACGACGTTGCTTCCGTCGCAGCTGATGGATCATTCGTGGGATAGATGGAGGGACTGCAGATGATCGAAAGTACTTCGTGCCATTCTCCTTCATGCTGACCGTTGACCGCTTTGACGGCGAATGGGATTTGCTTCTCCTGTGCATGAACGTGTACTTGATGTCCCGATCTGTTTCTTTCTTCATTCTTGCCCAAACGAATCAACAGACAATGTCCCGGAAGATTCTAAGGGGCCTACTAGATCACTGGAGAAGTCTAAGGTACCTCGGCGCTTTCCTTGGATGGCGGTGAGAGGATATGAAAGGCGCTTTGCAGGCAAGGCTTTTGAGCATACCCATGCTCTCGCGGACGTTCCATGGCTTCATGTGAGAGGCAGCCAGAATAGAGCAACAGGACGCTTGCATATAGGTCTTGACAAGAAAAGAAAGGAATAACTTGTATGTACCATCCCGTTGAGTAAAGACTACAAACAGTGCCATGGGACAGCTTCTCTTTACTCCCCTCCGTTGTCTTCCATACAGCAACAACTCCACCGGCACTCCTGTCCAGTATATAGGCTGCCCTGGTTCTCTTCCGTTTCTCCTCTTGTATTACTTCTACAACACCAAGCTTTCTTCGTCGTTGACTCCCCTCTCTACCTCCAATAACCAGTGGTCGCACCTCCGTCTAGTATCTCCGCATAACCATCTGCAACAATTACCAGCTCAACCAGCGTCACAGGCAATCATCATGATGTCCCAAAATACCTATACGGATAAGAGAAGACAAGCGGCGGCCCAAAGATGGTCGAGATGTCTTATGGACAACTCTACCGAGATATCCCCAGACGGTAAATTGAGGGAGGTCCTTAAAGACCTTGCCGAAGAGTACGACAAGCGAATCCCTTCCCCCTGGGATAACAATATCTACAGTATGGCGTGGCGTGATTACTTCGCCGCAGCTCTCAAAAGGGTTCTGAGGGAGTTACCTGACTACCAAGCTATTTATAGCATCGAAGAGTTACGCAAAGCGATTGCAAGACTTGAGGGGATCAACCCGCCAGCCGAAGCCACCGCACCCCTCAACGCCAACGCTGCCGATGCCAACACTCCGACAGCCAGCAAGCCTGTCGATACCTGTACCACCGACACTACCTTCAAAGTCGATACCCAAGGCGACTACAAAGCTCGCATCGTTGAAGATGGAACACTCGAGTTCCTGCTGAGCGGCCCGGCTACAGTCTTGGTCCAGACTGCAACTACATGTACTGCCGCCTGCACTCCCGCCCTCACTCCCGCCCTCGCTCACGCTCACGCCCACGCCCACGCCCACGCTCAGGCTCTCGTTTTGGCCGCTCGGCCCGCCGCGCCTGGTGCTGATATCCCAGCCAATGGGCCCGATAGTGCTGGTAATGCGATGCCAGCTGCTCAAGCCTAGGTAGATACCTCTAGGGTATAACCGGGCACTCTTCACCTTTGGAGGGAATATCTGCCCCTGGTGAGTTCTTCTTGAAGAGCATACCACTACACTTAACCGACTATCAACGCCTTCAGCTTGGAATGTTCCAGTATAACGTCAACTGACAATGACCTTCCTGGAAATCTAGTGGACGTAGACGCGCAAACTAGGGGTATCTTCGGCGAAAATCCCCCGAGGCAGCATTGCTGGATAGGGGTGATGGTGAATAGGGGTATCAAAGGGCCAAGGCTGGTGGACACTCGGCAAAACTGAGTTGTTGGTAGCGTGTATGCATGTTCTTTTGTCGGGAAGCAATAGAGAATTGAAAGATCCGACGGCTTTGCTGCGTTCGTGCTGGGTGTTCCCCGTCATTCACTGAAATTCTGTTCATATCGACAAGATGCTATATATGTAGGCTTCCAGGTCCCTCCTCCTTATCTTCCTCTGCTAATGCTCAACAGGAGGCCGGCGGAACCTTCCACGTGGCTTTTGACGAGTTAAGGGCTGTTGTACACCGCCTGACTGCCTTGTTGCTCGACTTCACACGATGCGTCTCCCGGTCGTGCTGGGGATGAAGGCGTTTTTTTGGGTTTGATTGGCCTACCAACATGGGATGACAGGAAGAGGTTTTCTCGAGTGCAAGGCCTTGTGGCGAAAGTCATATCTGTGCCCTCTCGAGCCAAACCTCCACGCAATCTTCACTAGGACATTTCCCCACGTAACCTGTAGCGTCGAATATTCTACAGCCGATACAAAAAGCCCAAGATGAACTTCTTCCTGCTTTCATTCTGGGCCCAGAGTACACAGCCTCGTCAACACCACTTCTGGGTCTACCGTCGACACTCTCTTAGAAGCCAAACCATCTGTCGGTATCATCACGCAAGCAAGATGCCCGGACTCGGTACCAGAAACAACGTCAGGTCGGCCAGAAGCTTCGCGGCGAAGCTTGTGGCAGATTGTGAGCCTAAAACCCGCAAAAAGCGAGAGGCCGAGCTGACCACCGCCTTGAACAACTTTGCCACGATGTACCAGAAACTCACGAACAGTGTCAATGGTGCAGATTGGCATGTTCACTTCGTCAAGGTACTCGAGGACAACAAGAGCCCCGCCAACGCCAACAACGCCAACAACGCTGTCAACGCCGCCAATGTCAACAGCACTGCCTTGGTCAACAGCAACGCCATGGTCAAGGGTAACGCTGCCATCGTCAACAATGCCGTCAATACCGTCAACGCCGCCAACGCCAACACCAACAACACCAAACGCCCCGCCGATGCCATGAACCAGGATGGCAATAACGGTGATGCTTCGAACGCCAGCAAGCGCGTCAAGGCCGAGGATGCCCATGAGACCACCTTCAAAGTCGTCAGCTACTTGGCTAACACAGGCTACACAGCCACAGTCTACAATCATGAAGGCAACAAGAGCCATGAGTTCGCGCTCAACGGTCCGGCTGTTGTCCACGTGCATACTGGAGCCGGAACTCCCACTTTCGCTCAGCCTGCCGTTCCCGCGACCAGCACTAGTGCCAATGCCCAGGCCGACGGTAATGGCAGCCACAGTGCGAGGCCAGTTTCCTTGGACATGCGCTAATAACCGGTAACTATTAAAAAAAATTTTTATTACGCTTTTTTAAAGTATTATATTATTAACGGTATTACGAAATAGTGGAATAAAATTATTATCGACCCTAACAATAAAGAACTATAGTTCTAATTAATCAATTACTAATATAATTCTCCAAACGCGGGCCACCCTAGCCGCAACGCTATTTATGAATTCCTATAATAAAAGTTCTATTAGGAAGGTATATATAATAATATAAGGATTTTTTATAAAGGCTATCTCCCGTATATAAAGATTAAATTAGTAAATTAGGGTTCCGCTAATTATTTTAAAGCCGTAACTATATTTTTAATACTATAGGAGGCTATTACAATCGATTGTGTTACTCCGCTATTAAAAAATATTTACTTTAGCCAAACTTTTAAATATATTACGATTATCGTCGACTATTTAATCAAAATATTATATTATATCCTAACTATACCTTTAGAAGCGGAGGAATTTGCAAACCGTTTCATTAACTATATTTATTCGATTTATAATCTATTAGATAGCGTCCTATCCAATAGGGGTACCCAATTCGTATTACACTTCTAATCTACCCTTTATAAGAAATTATTTATTATTTATAAATTAATTTCTATTTTCTACCCTTAGACTAACGCTTAAATTGAAAGGATTAACGTAGAAATAGAATAATTCCTATCGCTTTATATCGATTAGGTATAAACAGACTAGGCGAAATAATTAATAATTATAGAATTCGTTAATAATAATACTATATTGTTATTAATAAGCGTCTCTCCCTTCTTCGCTAATTATAATTATTACCTTTGTATAAATATAGAACGCCGTACGCTACCTCCCCCTAATCTATTACCGGTCTAATTAAAAAAATATTATAAGGCTTCTAAATTAATGGACCGTTTCTATAAAATTTAGGATTTCGTAATCTAGTAAATTCACCATACCTAAGAGCGATATAAAGATAATATTAATAAAAAATATATCGACTCCCCTAAATACCGACCCAGTAATATAGTTTTACTAAATATAATAAACTTCGCTAACGGCCGCCCCTACGTAAAACTTTTACCTTAATAGGAAAGTCTATTCAAAATTATTTAAATTAAATTTTATATTATTTAATTCGCTTTACCAATTAATATAAAATATTTACTAATTTTCTACATCTATATAATACAATTATAGTCCGGTAAAGGCTTGCTAGGATAAAATACGTTATTAATTATCTAAATAAATAATAGTCGGGTTATAATCCGTACAGATAATTAGGAGGAATATAAAGAATAGGCGTTCGAAAGGTTTATTAATTACATTTAATTAGGTAGTAATTTATCTTAATATTATTATATTAAGTAAAAAACTAGGAAATTAACTTAGGAGCCTATAAGTAATATTATCGATTATAAACATTACTTGCAATAATTCTACCGTAAGAACCCGGAAAAATTAATCCTTCTAAAAGTTTAAAACTTCTTCTACCGCCTCGTATCTAATTTTCTAACCGTTCCCGACCCCTTAGTTCCCGCCTCCGCTTCCAGGCTTACCCCAGAACCTTTGCGGCGCCGTTCTGCCCGCCTCTAATAAGAAACCGCCTCGGTTATCGATATAACAAAGCTACTCCCGGATTCGGTTTAGTAATCGAAATAGATATAATAATTAGTAAAGAGGTAGAAGACAAATTATATTTAGTATTCGGAAGAATTGTACGACGTTTAATAAATATATAGTTAGGAAAATTACCCCCGACGTAGTTTGTAGATTATAATAGAATAATATAAAGGGATAAGTCTATTATTACGCATATATATAGATTTTTCAATTCTATAAGCTTCTTTTAAGAGAGGATAGTATTATAGGGCTAGCTTATAATGTAGCTGTACTGTATTAATTATATATATACTATACTAAAGCTAGTACTATAGCCCAAAACTATATATTTACTTACTAATTATATATTCTAATTACGTACAGCCTTATATACGTACGTACGGACTAGCCTACTTGGGCTCTCGCCTACATAGCTAATCCTCCACGTACACTTCCCTTTCTCTCCTTTGTATAATAACGCATATCTTACCCCACCCCCAACGGTGCCCTCTCGCCCCATGATACTCCGCATCTATATTTTATATTATCGACTTATTAATTAAAAGGCGTTTGATAATATAATCTTTTTATCGTCCTCCCAATTAATATAATAACACGCAATAGTTTCGTGGTTTTTTAATATCCTTACAAATACCTATATATCCTAATATCCCGTTCGAAATAACTACTTAAATCGTAATCGTATATTATCGAAGTCTTTACACGTAATAAAAAAGTACAGGTACCGGTCTTTAATTAAAAAGTAGATAGATCGGATAATTAACTCGCTTCTTTCGAATAGAATATTAACCTAATTAGCCGCCTCTAAATCTAGAAAAAATACTTTCTCCCGTAAAAAAAAATAAGCATTAAAGTATTTAAATAGCGAGTAACTATTATAAGTACTATTAACTACAATTAGAATTTATCGCCAATCGGTCGCCGCAATCGCGAATATTATAGTATAAAATAAATAATTTAGAATAATCTTTTTAAATATTTATTATTATTTACTCTAAAGATTCGTACGAGGTTGCGGTCGATACGAGGTATATTTATATTAGTAAAAATAACGAATAGTCGTATTATATATTGGATAATCGGGGTTCTTAATCTTATATTTGTAAGAATGTTAAATTATAATACCAAAGCGATTTTTAAAGTAGAGGGCTATCAAATTACAATAAACGTCGGTAACGGTATCCCTAGGAGGGAACGCGGCGTATAATATAACTACCTCCTATAAATTATAGTAAAAGGAGGAACGAGATACGAAAGTAGCGATACTATCTGCAGGTAACGGCGCGTACAATACTATCTATAAATAATTTAATTAGCTAAATATAAAGAGAAATAATTGAGGTATGTACAATTAAAATATATATTATTAGTATTACAGTAGATCAATATCGTGGGTACAAAAGTCGCTAAGTCTGCATGACCTCAGAAATCGAGAAATTTTAACGAAATATTACGTATATTAAAAATACGAAATTTAGCGGGTAAAATAAGTCTTTTCAATACAAATATTATAGGCTAGCACGAGCTATTAGGGTAAGGGTTATGTATAGAGGGTGTATACATGTAGGTTTCGAGGTGTGTGTGGGTAGGTTTTCTCTACAATTAAGCCACGTTAATAAACCCATATCGATTATTACCAATAATATTACAGCAGCACGCGGCACGTATATAGGCACTGCAATGCACTACGATAGCGATCAGCCATTGTAATATCGCTTTAACGGAACCAAGGTATATAACTGAGAGCTTGCGATAGTGCATTAACTATACCGATGTTCCCAAGATTCATCTTCCCAACCGGGCAGTGCATGTATGTTATCTGACTCTTTACGTCCAAAGGCGCATGTCCGAGACCCGAATGGTGATACAATCCAGAACTCGGTCGATGGAAATGATGCTTGAAAACTCACGCGGTGCATGCGGCGTGAACGATTTCTTGGAAAGACAAGTATCGGACATCTTTTTTCCTCTCCAGGTAAGGTATATAAGCACCTATATCCGTCCATCTCTCGATATCCCTTTCTTCCTTCATCATCCAAAGCAACTTCGATTCTCTCTGAACATCGATCGCTAGTGTATCTGTACAACTTTCATACCTACTACGAACTCAAATTTCTCTCACCTCGCTTCTCAACCATGTCGTATCCCACCCCTACAAGGCGCCTAACAGCCACCGGTGCTTTCTCAACACAGCCGAATGCCCAGAGGTTCGCCGCGACGGGGAAAATATATCACAACCAAACACCTCTACACAATTTGCACCCCTATTCCGGCGGCAACTTCTACCTCAACCTCCCCCGCAACCTTCAACAATATCCCGCGGAATCCCAGACAATCAACGAAGCATGGAACACCAACGGCCAGGCCCTCATTCCGAATTCCAATGTCCCTCCTGGTTTCATCGACCATGCCCAGCTGAACCAATCTCATCTTCAACAGCAGCATCAGTGGCAGCAGATCCCTCCGGTGCCGGTAATGCCTCAACCGGGCCCTGCGGTTTACTCAGCGCCTTCAGTCGGACTGAGTCAGTTCCAGACTCAGGCACAGCCTCAACAACCGAATTGGTTCTTTATCAACGAACCCAAGCCAGACCCCTACGACTTTAGTCTTCTCAGTGACTTCGGCCCAAACACTTACGCTTCTCCCGAGTTCGTCGATCTCTTGACCCCGCAACGAGCACAGGTGCCAGAGGAGGAGAAGTGCCATACCGGTCACTCAGTCGAGTTCCTGTAGACCTGACGAGCTCCCCTCCGCCGACATATACAGCTTTACCTTCCTCTAGCTCTACCGAGGAAGTAGGGCTCGTCTACCAAGCCCCTCCGCGTTCTATCCCAGAGTTTCGGCCACAATACGATGCTTCTTGTGGTCTCATCAACCAACTCGACCCAAACATCTACGCTTCTCCTAAGTTCGTCAATCCTGCGAATACGAAACCGGAACAGGAGCCGGAGGTTACGAAGACCCATACTCGTCATTCGGTCAATTTTGTAGACTTTACGAGCTCCCCTCCCCCGGCATATACAGCTACAGCTTCTGTTCACCATCCAAGACCCCGGAACTATGCTGCTTGGGGCATCATCGATCAACCCGAGGAAGACTTGAGTGCTTTTTCCGATTTCCTGAACCATTCGAACATGAAGCCGGAGCCGGAGTCGGAGGAGGACGAAGAGGAGGAGAATGAAGAGGATGAGGATGAAGAGGAGCAGGAGGAGGAGCAGGAGGAGGAGCAGGAGGAGGAGCAGGAGGAGGAGCAGGAGTACGAAGAGGAGGAGGAGTACCCCACCGCTACTGCACCACCCCCTACATATACCACTACAGCCAGCACTCCCAAGCGACCCGAGCAAGAAGAACCGGAGCTCTTCGACCAAGGCCTTCTCGACAACATCCTCGGAGCGTGTGAGGATACCTGGCAGAAAAAGACAAAGCCGGCCATTACCGCCATGCTCTACAAGTACAAGCGAACCCGGATTGATCGGGTAAGGTATATCATGGCCTGCCTTAAGGAGATGACGAAGGTAAACTCGGACGAGTTTCAACCGCCGACATGGAACAAGAAGAGGAGAAGGGATTCTAGTTCTTTGTTCAGCTCTGATTCTGAATCTGAATCTGAAGAACAGGACGAACGCCAATCTGAATGTAGCAGCAGCAGCAGCAGCAGCAGCAGCAAGAGACGTCGTCTGGACAACAGCGCAAGCACAATTGGCTTGGACGAAACAGTGGCGAGATCGGGGAAGAGCATAACGACGACGCCGGCCTTGGTGAAACCGCAGGAACCGAGAGAACAGCAAAACCCCAAGAAGTACATGACGGGCTTCCCTCACGAGTCAACGACCAGCTTCGTTTATCGTTTCGACATTCACAACCATGGGATGGTGAAAAGGGATAAGCAACGCCGTCCATATTTTCTGCCTTCCTAATTTCCTCCGCGATCTGGACTTGACTTCCTTTTCTGGGTTGTCTCTCCGATCGGTTTCTTCATTCTTGCCGGCCGCCTTCCTGCGTTCCTTCCAACTCGTTGTCATGTGCAGAGACCGCGCTACTGTCGTGGTTGTGGCTGGAAGTACGAAATGCGATGAGAAGTTCGACGTCGAAATCCGAGAAGTAAGCAGCCTTAACCCGGGGGGAGGAAGTGTTTAGTTGGGAAACGGTTGCGGGTGAGGCAGGCTTGGAACTTGATCTGCAGTCGTGGAGGATGCGACATGGAATAGAAGGTCAAGGTTCGACAGTGTCCGAACTTCCGAATTTGAAGGAGGAGGAGGAGGAGAAATGGCCGGGAATGTACTTGTAGGTGCGTCTGTAAAGTTGCTGGGAGGGAAGGTTACGGTCAATTATTGGGGATATTTGTGTCACTTGCGGCTTTGCCCTGTTGACGGCACGCAAGAGAATGTGAGAAAGTGAAGTTGGGATATTCAAGGGAAAGAGGGGCGTTATGGCTTTGTTCGGATACATGAGTTGGCGTCAACTGGTCTAATGGTTCTCTGGTTGGATGGTTCCCTGGTTGGATGGTTTTCTGGTGGCATGGTTCTCTGGCTGAATGGCTGTCTGTTTGCATGCTTTTATGGTTGCATTGTTCCCTCTTTGGATGGTTGTTTCATGGTTTTCCTCGGGTATTCACGAATATTGGATGGCATTGGATAGTACAAGTAGTACACAATGAATGCTCAGTGACTTCCTTACGATTCTGGACCTCCTTCCGTTGGTGGTCTCTCATTTCGTTGCCTCGTTCTTGCCAATCTCTTTATTTCCTTCCTTCCAAAGAGTTCAGTGCAGGAAATGAAAGACTTTCCGCCCCCAAATCCGCGGTTGTTGCTCCATACACTTGAACACTTCCACCCAAAGCACCCCTCCTGACTTTCAAGAACATTGAGCCATTGACCACCAGCCCAAAAACCTCAACCAACCGCTTTTGCATCACCACCACAAGCTCCCACCCCATATTCAACGCTGGCGATCCCAATACCGAGACGCGAAAAACAAGGGAAGAAAAAGAGAGAAGAAGCCAGTCTCAACATGAACCAACGCAGCGCCACGAAAGCCAACGGCAACAAGGTCTCCTGCCCCAACCAGCTACCACTATTGGCTGGCTCCGTTAGCCTTCCATCAGACATGTAATGGGATATATGAAGGTGACTGGGATGTGGAGTGTACCAACCTCTCAAGCACTCGGCGGGGTATAATCGTCGGCCTCCGCTTCGGCCATGTTGGACTCGGGAAAAGAGAGCTTCTTAACGACTTGGGAAAAAATGTCAGCTTGAAGGTGTAAGGAAAGCGGAAAGAAGCAACAAAGAGACACTCACCTGGTACTTCACAAACACCGACGTCAAGGGCATGTTCAATCCAGACGGTAGCACCACCCGGGGCCACAAGCAAAGTAGGCTTCGGAACACCGTTTTCAGTACCGTCTGTCTTGACCCGGAACTCAGCAGGGCCGTTGAAGGAGTAAGTGGCGCCTGCTGCCGACTTCAAAGCCTTGCTAACATTCCTGCTAGCGTCGGAGGTCTCACCGTCATCGACGCGACGGCGCTTGACGGCCTCGGTGTTAGAGGTCTCGCCGTCATCGACACGGCCGCGCTTGACGGCCTGGGCTTCGCCGCCAGAACTGCCAGCCACAGAAGGCTTGGGAGGCGGTCCCTGCTCCATGCTGTCGAGACACTCGAGGAAGTGTTTGTGCCATGCTTCAGGGTCCGGGTGGTTGGCCCACTTCTCGGCCAAACCATTTACATGGTTCCACCAGGTCTTGTGGATTTCATTCATCGCTTTGTCGATGTTTTCCTTGACCGGGTCCATATTTGGGGCTAGGTGAGGGTGATCAGAATGTGAGACTAATGGAACTTTGGAGGAGATGAGTGCGCTGAGAGTTACCTGTACGGAAGGAGATTGACTGTTGATCTTGGGTTGGAGGAGTGAGCTGACAATACGGTATGGTAGTAGCAGCGAGAGAAAGGAGTGTTGATGTTGAGTGAAAGAAGTCGATGTGATTTAGACGCGACGAGGGGTTAGGTACAAGAAAGTGTATCTTATCGGAACCGCAACCGCGTGTCGATATAACCAAGTTGACCTCCCCTCTCTTATTGGCTGTAGAGGTAATGTTAAAGTACCCTACTTCTCCTGTTTCAGATCTTGGGAGCCCACAGGAATCAAAACACGCCTTCTTATCACGAGGTCAGTCGTCCGAACTTTCTGGTTCCGCACCTGAGATAAAGCAGGACCGTCACCAAGTTCGACAATTGCTCGAGTACTTCACATTCTGGCCTGAATTGGAGTGTGGGAAGCCTGCTTAATTTATTATCCCGCAAAGATTTGGGTATTGGGATATATGAATCTATTTCTCTAGTTCCTAGTACCTACCTAATATTCCTTCTCTTCTTCCAATAAGCTCCTTATCTATAAGAGTATTCTTCGAGAGTATTTGCCAAAGCGTTATATATAATAAGGTCTAGACTCGTGTGGTATTAAGCTAATAGTTTGGAACTAAAAGATTCTAAGTAGTAAACTCGTTATTGAATAAAGATATTAAACTCTAAAATTCAGTTTGAAGGCCTATTGGGAAGTAGAAATAGCCTACTAGGGAAAAGGACTGGCATATTGGAGGGTAGAAATAGCCTATTGGGGGATAGAAAAGGCCTATTGGAGGAAGGAAATGGCCTATTGGGGAATAGTAACTAAATAGAATAAGTAAAAATAAGTATTAAATGTAATATAGTAGAAGATACCTAATATTTAATGTACCTTATATAAAGGGGGGTGCGTAGAGTTGAAGAAAGGTACCCGTAGCCAAACGAGAGGGTGCGAGGAGTTCGCTGCCTACGTTTAAGACCGACGTGTTTTTGTCCTCAGCTTTAGGTAGAAAGAGCCCTACGTATTATACGTCGAAGCAATCATTGACCGATTCTCGAACCCCCGGCACTATGTGTGTCTGATACGGAGAGGAGAGGGACTGGATTTCATCCCATCGCCAAATAGAACCCGCTGGAATCTCGTGCCGCACCCACTCACCGGTTTTGCCCCTCACCGGCACTCCCTTCTTTTTCTTCGAGGCTGCCTTAGTTTCTTGTTTCTTTCTTCCGTTCTCACTATAGAGTCAGGCTCTTCTTCTGTTTCGCGTTTCCACGTCCAACCGAACACCGTCTTACATCTCATCAACCACAGCACAGACTCCATCTCCTTGATTTGAACCATCATCACCTCTCCACCGAAGTCACTTTCTCGTCACCACAGTAAGTCAGTGGATAGTACCCTCGAATGTGATGACCATGAATCCACAAAGCTCAGGATATGTACAAGATCAACAAGCTGACACGCTGTAGACAGAGATGCCCTTCTTCGCGATCTTCATGCACGAGGCACCCAACCTTTCCTGGCTGAGAACAACTGGCGGAAGTTTCGGGGGCATTATCTTCACTTATGGTAGCGCCAAAATCGACACCCAGGGCGTGTTCTCTTGTGTCCTGTACAGACAAGAGTCTGGGACAGCCAGGTTTGTCGAGAGGTGCGAGACCGCCATGATTGAAGAGGCAGAGCCCATTATCATGCTCTTCGAGACGGAGGGCAGGACCGAGATCAGAGTCGAATCCGAGAATGAGGAGGCTTAACAGGCCCAGCAGCCTCATCAGCCTCAGACCTAGGACCTTCCACCGAATGACCGAGAACTCTCCATCCGAGAAGGAACAAACTAGCACACTATGTATGAGAAGCCGCGCAAATTTCTCGATTTACATGTCAAGATATCAGAACATTCAACATTTTCCCACCATGGCCGATGCTGGGTCATTACATCAACGGACAACAGAGATCAAAGCCTTCGTCGTTTGCGCAATACACCATTCCCCTTGACAGCTAGGAAGGGTTTGAGCTGAGAATAGAGAGAGGATCATGTCAAAGCCTGCGCTCAAGAGATGAGAGGGTACCTCTACATATTTCGAAGGGATATGACAAAGGTTGACAGCAGAGTTTTATTTGAGTCACAGGCAGACAGGGCAGCCCATAATATGAATCAAAACAATCACCCCCTTCACTGAAACTGCGCGCGTGGCGTATTTGCTTGGTGGAGTGACTGCATCTCACGCCAACGCCAAACAGAGCCCGCTCTTATATCATCGCCGGAGGCGCAACCCGTAGCGTTCAAGCATAAAAGGGCGTTGAGTCTTCTTCTTCTCTGCCTCTACATTCTTATACATTAACTATCCACTTCGCCCTAGGGCTTACTTTCACGTCACCTCACTGGAAATCACCCTTGGAAGATCGAAAGGATTACAAGATTGACAAGCTACATATCCCACAACCAAAAATGTCTTCCGTTTCTGATGATGGTTTCATCGCAACGTGGTTAAACGAAACGAACTTCAACCGAAGCACGCTTCATACCAATGGCGCCGGCATGGGCGCTATCGTAACTGATAATAGCGCGCAATTCGTCATCCGAGGTGCTTGCATGCTTACAATATCCAACCTTGACGCCAGTGAGAGTAGGCAAGTCCGCGTTCACACTACTAGGACGATTCAAGAGGCAGCACCGGTGTATGTGATGTTTAGAGCAGCGGGTCCGGTCAATATTCAAGTCACTTCTGAAGGCAGGTCCACTATGACAGCCACTAAACTTCCTAGTGGCACAGAGGGCTACGCTGTTAGTGACGACGAGGATGTGCAGATGCGCTGCCTGCAAATTATGGAGGGGTTTGTACCTTTCACGTTCCTACTGCATATTTGATAGAAGGCTGACGGAGATTTTCCACAGACTACGCCGTGCCGGCTATAATATCTAGTTTAGGCACCTTGCTAGAGCTTAGCCAGCATGTTCGCAGGAAAGACGGTCATGCCCGGACATTCATCACTGGAAAGGCAGGAGCGGAGAGAACCAGGATTTATAACAGGGCAAAATAAATAAAACAAAAGATAAAATAAAATAAAACCATAAAACAAAACAGCGGTAAAAACGGGTAAAACGGGTAGACTGCTTTTTGCAAAAACCATAAAAGATCGACCCAAGGTTCTTAACATTAGAAGGGGTAGATTCTAGCTGTTAAAACCAATCTTTCTCATATCGTAGTCCTCGTGTTGATCCGTTCAAACGCGTTGTGAAAAGTCTATTCCCGACGGGTTAGTAAGATATTTGGTAGCGTTATAGGGGGTTTATCGTATTAGCCTTCCTATTTCCTGATTTGTATAAGATTAGGTTACTAGTAATAACCTCTTATAGTATTATAAATTTGTAAACTACCCTGCAAGTCGCTCTCCCCTTTTATACTCTATAGAAATACTTTACCTTCTTTCTTTCTTTTTCTTTTAATCGGTATGGCTAAGTCTATTACCTCTTCCCTTATTAGTAATACTAGGAGCCCGCCTAATAACGACGGTAGTAATAGCTCCAACTCCCTAATTAATGCGTTTAACGTTCTTAAAAACCCTACTAATATTTTTACTTATATTAGAGAGCTAGTTCTCCTACCTAGTAACTAAGTATATAATAGAGAAAACCGCTATCGTAATATACTTATATTAACTAATATTTAATTAGTTACCGCTTTAAATTAGTAAATTTCCTTACGTTATATATAAAGGATGTAAATATATATTTAATAATTGGATTAAACGTTATAACCCTCGTACTTCTTCTATTAGTAAATATAGGATTTAGTTCGTTAAGTAGAAGGTTGAAATTGTTAACAATATTTTAATTATTAAAATTATTAGCTAAACTTAATATTATAATTACTATAATACTATCTATGTTAGTAATTATATTAGCGGCGCTATTAATTACTTTAAAAATACCTACTAAATCGATAATAAAATAGAAAGTTTGCTAACTAAACGATATAAAATAACTTTATAGAGTATATTAGAATAGATTATTAAAATTTATAAATTTAATTATATTTCTATAACTAAATTACTTACTAATATATTTAGGAAATTATTAATTAATTAAATTATTAATCATAACGTTCCCTTTAATACTATCGCTAACCCGGCTTGCTGCCAACTTTTATCCTTTTTTAACGCTAAGTTAGTAATTAGGTTATTACTACAAACTAATATAATAATTAAATTATAAATCGACCGTAGTTATTTAATTTATTTTTCTAATATTAAAGTAACGTCATTAGTAACCCCCTTTAAAAAGTACATTTCTTTCGATCTCTAGACTTCTAATAATAACTTTATTCTATTAAGTATTTATATTTACTACGTTGATAAGGATCGGGTTTTACATAATTATATATTAAGTTTATATTACATAAAGGGGGAGTACGGCGGTATAAATATCGTATTAATAATTTTCGACGTTATACACTAATAAGGGTTATTTAAAAAGAATTATAGTTAAATTTAAATTTAAAGTTAAATTAACTATTTCTAGAGCGATAACGTTAATTTTAATAATATTTATATGATTTACTTAATAGAATCCCTATATTCTAACGAAGATTTCCCAACGGACGAAGTTAAATTTAATAAATTTAAGAATCGATTGCAGCTATATTGCTTTAGCTATATTATTAATTTCGTTATGAAGGCTTTGTTTAAAAGGGGATTCTTGTAGTTTTATTTAATTTGCATTAATAGATACAGGCGTACGCTAAATTTAAAAAGAGGACGAAGAGTTGTTAAAATAATAGAAGAAGCGGGGTCCTATTAGTAAATTTCGAAATATAGTTATATTTGTGGGCCGTTCTCCCTAGTATAGGGAAAAATTTATTAATTTTGTAAAAGGGAAATTAATAGAATAAGAGAGGAATTAATACGGTAATAATTTTTTAATGCTAAAGTTAAATCGATTATTTTTACTACTAATAACGATATTAAATAGAATTCTATTTATTATATAATGTAGCGCGCGTTCAATTTTAAAAATATTATTAATACTTTTTATAAATAGAACCGCCGTTAAAATAATTCTAATAAATATATTGCGGCCGAAGATATTCTAATTAAGGAAGATTAGAATACATTTATTTTTATTCTCTACTTTTTTAAACTATTTATGAGGACGATCAAAATATTTGAATAATATAAATTATATTTCCCTATAGTAATAGCCACCCTTTACCGGACTTTCAAAGATTTTAAATAATAGCAAGACCGCTACTATAAGAAGATTGCGTTCGAGCCGTTCTAAAGATTAGATATTCTAAAAGTATATAATAAGGGGTAAAATAATAATAGCGATAATAATAATAATAGTAACTACGTTTCCTTTTTATAAGAGATTACTAATAATATCTAAAGTTGACCCTGTTATATTATTAATCAACTTTATCGTTTAAATAATTTTGAATTAAATTTATTTAATATTTAACGTCGTAATTATTAATTAATAGTCTCTTTTCGTCTTATTAATAATCAACCCCTTACTACTAGTAATTAACTTTCCGGTAATTAATTTAGTACTTAATTTCGTACTACCTAACTTCGCCCTCTTCTTAAATTAAATAATACTAACTATATATTTATCCGGTAGAATATCGACTATACAATCATTAAATTCGAAAAATATAGGGATTTTATAGGCAGATCCTCGTCGTATTAAATTATTATAATCCTTTACCCCGGTTATAAAAAGAAGTGGATTAATTTTACATTAAATAAATTGGAAGTTAACTGGGTATTTAATAATCTTAGGACTATTTACCGCTAAGAATACTAATATCGTAAAATACGTAACAATATTAACTAGGGTCTTACTAATTCGAGTTTAGCCGCCTTATTAACTTCTACGTTTTAAAGGGATAATAGCAATATATATAATTAATTAATACTACCTAATTATTATAATATTAAACTTCAATAGCCTTCCTTCGACGATGAAATTTTAATATATTTTAAGGAATCCCCTCAACCTATATCTAACTCCCTACTCTAGTAGACTTAGAATGAAAGCAAATATCTTCGTTTAACTATAATAATATATAATTATTTATTAATCCCTTCTATATTTAACGAATATAAAAACGTATTCAATTTGGGTAAGTTAATATTATTATTACAGCGGTATAGAATATATTATAATACTATTAATAGATTATTAAACTTGAAGGTATAGAACCGTTTTGATATCGAGGGTGGGGAGGAAGGTTTGTAATAGCCTTAATTGGTTGTAATCTCCTTTATTTTATTACTTGTCTTATTTAGTATATTTTTCTCTACGTTTTTATTATGTAATGGTGCTGATACGGCTGATAGAAGTGTGTAATTACTGTATCCCGGGACCGGAATATGTGTAATCCGATAGCAAAAACGATAAAACAAAACAAAACGGCTGGAAAATAAGGCAAAATCTCGATTCTAAGGCAAAATAAAACAAAACGGTCAAATCTGGGTTTTGTTTTGTTTTGTTATGAACCCTGGAGAGAACAGGCAATCCCTTGAATGCTGCATCGGTACCTTGGAGATAAAGGGAATAAAGAAGTGATTGTGCTCGCAACCTCCTCCGTTGTACCTCCTGTGAGCTTCTATGACCGACAGTCCGACAGTCCGACATGGACCTTGATTGTGCACTCGGCTTCCCTTTCTAAACTGGACCTGCTTCCCCCTATCCACCCATCACTTCCACTTCCATCAAACCACCATCAATTTCCCGGCATAGCATTTCTCCCGTCATGAATCCCATTACCAACCCCTTACCCTACCATCGGCGTCAACTCCAAGTATTATATAAACGTCGACCATGTCGTTATCGACCACCCCGGAAACCCTCAAACCCCTCTTGCTTCGCACAGAATCCGAGCAGTTGCTTTCCGAATACAACATAGCAAAGTCTATACGGATGAAGGACATAAGGAACAAGCTCAAGTCCCTCCGTAGCTCGGATCCTGGGTTTTGGAGCACTGCGGCCAAGCTCGCGGGCTGCAAGATCAAGACTCTCGAAGCGGAGACCAAGTACTTGGAGGTACGACAATTGCACGATCCAGATGATGATCCGGACGAGTACGACCTGATACGATGGGCCGATAGCATGAAGTGGAAGGTGAAGGCGGCTATGCTTGAGAAGCAGCTATACACAACAATAGCCGACAGGCCCGCACGAGTGGGCGTCGTTTCGATATCTTTTGCCTGCTTGTTGAGGACCTACCAGGGCACTGCGGGAATGGGGCGGCCGAGCCGAGCAGAACATGTCAAGTTCAGACAGTCCCTCCTCACAGCATACGATGCCGGCATGTACAGGGTCGTGCAAAGTGGAAACCATCGCCACCTCGACCTCATCTTCGATCCCGCCACCGGCACCCATCGAGATGCTAGCTCCATGGTTGCGGCACACATTTTCCCATATAAACTAGGCAGTGACACCATGTACGCGCTGTTTCCCTGGTTGTGGCCCTCTGACGCCGAAGTAGATCTCTTCTCGCCCTACAACGGCCTTCTCCTCCCATATGCCGTCGCCCGTGCCCTCGACCACGGGGCCCTAGCAATTGTCCCCAACCTCGACGATAAAGCGCTTGAGAGCACCCAGGTGTTGGCGGAATGGGAACTTGAAAATCATCACCCCAAAGAATACAAGTGGATGGTCATCGACGAAAAGGCCAAATATCTTCTGGATGCGCTCTTCATGGGGCCCGGGTCCCAGCCTGACGATCCACGGACATGGATGACAGTTCGAGAACTGGGCGGGAAGCCATTGCACTTCCGGCCGGGTGCTAACGGCCACCGCCCAAGGACGCGGTTGCTGTACTTTGCTTTTGTACTTTCCGTACTCAAGACGGTGTGGCGGTGTAACAGCCGGGCTGAGCGTCAGGTCATTCTCAAGAAGCTTGTTGACAAGACCTGGTGGACTTGGGAGGGCCGGTACCTTAATCAGGCACTACTGTTTGCCTTAGAAGAAGAGGGCAACATGCCTCCTCGACCGGTTAGCGACATGATCGAAGCCCAGGAAAAGGCTGAGATTGCTCTGCTGGCGGTTACTAGAGCGTTTGATATCCGGAAGACAAGATTGGAAGAACAAGCCGCGAAAAAGTTGGGAGATGAAGAAGATGAGTTCGATGATAATGGTTATCGTTTGCCCTACTGGGAGTTAAGTAAGGAAGAGGCGGAGAAGGTAGCGGAGGGAGAAGATGAAGTACATGATGATGATGATGATGATGACGAGGAGGAGGAAGAGTGGAGCGATGATAATAACAGTTATGGGGATAGTGACTGGGACTTCTGTGCGGAGCACGTTTGAAGCTGTGGTAGTGCAGGGAGTGACGGAGGTTGGCGAGTAGATCAGGTGCGGTGCTTTTAGCTTTTAGTTTCGTATACGATTATGCGCCATCATGCTCACGTTCTGGGTTCAAGTTCTCCTTCCCCTGTATTCCCGCTACGTAGAGCTATTAAATGCTTTCCCAATCCGAAATTTGCCTCTTATCGTACCTCTACGAATTACGCCTTCCCTCCTTCGTCGCTGCCTTTATCTGGTTGCTTCTACTTCTACTGCTCCTGCGGCCTCATTTTCCATTGGACCTAATCCTCGGTCCAAACGCCTTTGCCCACTCATTCGGCAAAAACTCCCCCTTCTCCTTCCAGTCCTGGACAATGACCCGGGTATGAGATACCTCAAGAGTAACTTCGACTCCGGCGCCGCGGCCGCGGCCTTCAAATTTTCATCCAGATATATCTCTTGGCGTTGTAGGACTATGTTCCGCATCATTGAATAAGATGGTCCTTTATCAGAAACAATGCCAAAGTCTGTGTGATAGCAATAGCGCGTTAACATTCATCAGCCGTGACCTTGCTACCGCTTGAGTGGGGCTAAACGCCGCCCATTTGCGCGCACCTCTCGGCGGGTACTAACAAGACGTTAGGCATCTCTAGACAGAGTCACAGAGGTTGTGGACTGGTTCAAGCACAACCAGAAAAGCCCTCCTTGTGGATGTTCAGGATTTATCTCCAATTTGAGAGAAGTAGGTAGCTCAATATGTTGGAAGAAACCGACGGGAAAGAAAGGAAAGTGAAGCAGGTGAAGGAAGAATGACCTCAAAGTGGACCAAACAGCTAGGACACAGGTTCTAATCAGCGCTGCCAGCTAGTGCATTCCAGGGGCTTTTGGGCGCCGTAGCAGGCGGGGAAAGAACGTTTCTTCATCGACATATGGGCGATGTTGATTTCGGGTTCGTTTCATCCCATGCTTCTTTTCACCACCTGCAACAACATCAAAGACTTACGTAGAACGGATGTTTCACAAACACGTTTTAATAGTGAGAAAGAAATATCAATGAGGAGTTCTTGTATACATAGCAAACAGAAGACAAAACAAATGCAATGTCAACACCATAGTAAACTCCAAGCCAAACAACTTCTCGCGGCCAAAAATATGACATTGTGTTCACGCCATCCTCCGTCTCTTCGTCTCCCTCACAACCTCAACATAGTCACCTCCATCGGAAACACTCTCCTCCGGTTCTATCTTGATCTGATGAACGAACGTCGACGGCCAAAACTCGAACAGCAACATCTCTCCCTCCAATCCAGCCACCTCCGGCAAGTTTTCCAACAACTTCAAGTGTTCGCTATAAGGGCGATATGGCTGAGGCTTCATACCCCGCGCTTTGGTCCTGGCAGTCTTAGAACGTGTAGTGGGGTACCGACGTTTCGGTTTGGTCTCCGTCTTCACCTCAACGCCGCGCTCCAACCACTACTCACACTCCTCATTGATAATCTCCGGCATGAGTGAAGTGTGCTCAAACAGAGAGGCCTTCAGGAGCGTCGCCACGCGGTCCCGTAAGAATCTTGGATTCTGGGCCCTCATCTCATCGGCAATGTGACTATGCAGTTGGTCGTGCTGGACAAGTGAATTAGCCCTTTGCCCATCGTCGTTATCCAGTAAATGCCGTCCCGCCAAGGTGTTCTCCAGAAACAGCACCAGGTTACTATGCAGAAGCATAACCTTTGATCCCGCCGCGCGGACCAGACCTTTCCAATTTTGTACCAAGTTCTCATCCACATATTGCGGCTTCTCTTCATGTTCCATTTCACGGAGAACAATAAAGGGATAGAGTTCCTTTCTGATCTTATGCGCTATGTTGTCACAGGCTCTTGCAAGGAATTCTATCTGAAAGTCCGTGAGCGGCCCGGAGGGGAGGGTGTCCCGGTATGATTCGACGGCCAGCGTAAACTGTAGGAGGGATAAAGGTCGTTGGTTACGGGCCTGGGACATGTTGTTTTCGATGTGGGTGATAATGAAGTTTAGATAGGTTGAGAGGGTTTCGAGGCGGTTCTCCTGTACGAAGTCGTAGTTGGGTAACTTGAATGTTAATGGCATCCTTTCGATCTCGTGTAGTAATGAGTTGAAGAGAATCTGGGAGTAGGTGATAGCCTCTTCATCGTTCGACTGTTCATATGCTCGAAGGGCAGCCTCGCACCCATCCTTGGCTAGGATAAACGATCCTTCAGAAGCGTTTGCAATACTTGCGGCGAGAGGTATGCGGAGCGGAAGAAGCACACTCTCTAGCCGGTTGCTACTAAACTTCTGGATATCCTCCCGCGTATAATCCTGAATACGGAGGGTATGGAATTTGTACCCCCTTTCCTCCCGACCGTGGAATGAACGATCCCAATCATGGAACACGCCCCCAGGTCTACTGGCAACACACACTTTGACACCCCTAATTCCCTTCAGCTTGTGGATAAGCGGGGCTTCTTCCACTTCGTCGATGTTGAAGAAAGCAGATTTCTGTCGCGAAAATCCACTCGGCCCGTCCAAAAAGATGAAGACCCGCGGTCTTACTAGCCCAGTGTCTGCCAGGAAGAAGAACAGAGTGTTCTCAAGAGTCTTGAACTTCAAAGTCGATAAGCCTGCCTTGATGTAATCCGGTTTCCGCTGGCTAAGCATCATGTTGTAGGTGTAGGCAAAAGCCCGGTCGATCTCACCGGGGAATTGCTTGAAAAGCTGGAACAGGATGTTTTGGATCATGGTAAGTTCTTCGAACTGCATGGAAACGGGGTTCCCAGCCCGAGCAAAGCAGTGCCAAATGACGATGGGCTTCTCCCGGTCCGTATCCTTGTTTCTCTCTGCGCCTCTTGTATATGGTTCGAAAATCGAGGGGTCTGATCTTGCTTGGCTTACTATGTGTTTCATCAAAACACTCTTGCCAGAGCCAGGGTCCCCACAGATCCAGCATATGTTGTTGTTGTAGTCGCAATCTTGGAGCCAAGCGATGAGTGTTTGGCCTGACATAAGCACCGATCGAGCATCTTTCTTCGTTGTTTCAAGAGCCCGATCCAATGTGCCGGGACAAGGCTCCGAAATCCCGCAAAGACTTCCTCTCGACCGAATGGATTGTAGGTTTCCATGTTTCTCCGACGAAGGGCTCTCGTTGTCGTGTCAGTTTTACTCGAGTCGTGGTAACGATCCATAACATCCGTCGGCAGAAGATCTGGAAACTTTGTTTCGTTTGTGTAGTCACTGATAAGCGTGGAGAACAGACCATCAATAGTTGTCAACTCCTTCAACTTGGTTGAAATCCCCGGAATCGATGACCGTGCAAAATTATTTCTCGCAAGCCTTTGATTATTATTAGAATCCTCATACATAGTGATTTGAACACAATGCATACCACAGTGAAAGCAGAAATCGGGTATCGAGTAGATTTCTGCCGGGAGCAACACATAAGGGTGTTTCTGCACGGGGCAAACGGTAAAGCTCAGTAATGTAGGTCCAGGAAGAACGTAAACATTCCTCGGCCAACTTGCAGATGTGCTTCCCATCGCCATATGATTTGAAAATTGTCGAGGATTTGTCAAGGTGGCATTCGAGTAGTACGGAGAGAACCCTCAGTTGTTTCCAGAAATCGCCGTTGTCGACTGTTAATCGCGTGTCGGAGATGGCTCCGCAAGCCAGCTGCAGAGCCATAAATGTGCCCAATTCGGTTTTGAGCCAATCCATCCTGGCTAAAATGTCGCTGCAAATTCTATGGGGTCGAGTGAAGTCAGGGAGGGTCGAGTATAGGCTGAGCTAGGATCCGAAGTGGTCGTGAGGATTTTGGCAAGGTCAAATATATCCTTCATGGTGTCATCAATTACCTTAGATCAGGAGAAGGACGACAAGCACGGCGAAATGGAGAAACTAGAAGGCAGAAATCGAACGGATGACCAGAGCGGGCACATAACGGTATCCATTCAAGTCCTAACCATCGGCGTATCGCTCTCCCTTGGACTGGTATCTTTCCTTGTCTTGCCTGTGTATCTTGTATCTTTCCCGACTCGCTGGGTGAGTGGACGGAGGTATGGCAAACAACCACGATCTTTGTCTCGATGTGCGCACGAAATCCCAGTTGGTTCACGCCGAGCGGCACGGCGGCCAACGGGTAAAGCGGCAGCGTTGGGGAGCTGTTCATGTGGAAGGCGTTTGTTGGAGGGCGCCCGGAGACAACTAACGTAATGACAGGAAGTATAATCGCGTGGAATGATCTCACGGTCGTGAAATACATCGCGCGTGTTGACGATGATGTTGGCGAGGAAGTTCGGATGGATGGTCGTTTGCAGTGGTAGTGGTCCAAAGAACGGCTGATGCGTGGAGCTAGAAACTGAGATGGAATCTTATCAGCAAGACTGTTTCATTTGCGGTGTGAGAGATAGTGGGATAGCACTAACACGCTGCTCAATCACGGTGTCGTCTGATGTGCTGTGCGAGACGCCTGGTGCTCCCAACAGGGCGACACCATTCTTTCTCGTTGGCGCCATATCGATAATGTGCAAAAGTGCGGACAGCGAGATCATACGGATTCCGTTGGTTGAAAGATTGGAGGGAACAAGCTATTTCGTAATGTCGAGCACTAAAAAGTGTTGGCGAGAAGAGTGGTTGGTTGTCTACTGTGTACATGGAACGTCGTGTTGTCGATCATCGAGTTCGGACGAAACAAGTCGAGCGGTCTCAGATGCGCCGCTATCTGGATTGGCGTAGCAGCCCGCGCACTAGGGCTAGTGCAGTAGCAAGCAACGCTGCGTAGGTCCAGGAGACGGAGGTATTACCAACAGCCGCCATCCTTTGTCGGTACCATTTCGTTCGCGAAGGGGGGGTGCCGTCCGCGCGCCAGCTGTACGAGACAGCCGTAAGTGCAAGAATGGATTGAACGCATGGGGAATTGATGATATGCGCCGACCCGAAGCTCAGGGCAACAGACATGGAGGGAAAATGGGTGGATTGATTCTTTGCCTGCCCGAGTGTAGAAGGCGTAGTTTTTGGTTGCGAGAAAGATGTCAAGGCAAGAGATGGCGACAGGAAAACCCAAGGCAGGTAAGAAGGGTAGAGGTAGGGTTTTTCCCCGTTCCCGTGTGCATATCAAACGCAGGTGCATGAAATAAGATGTGCCCTTAACACAGAAGCCGCGGACATGCCACAAACGGCTGTTAGTGTTCTAACATAGAGATGACATCACACCTTCGTCCGCGTGCAGCACAACATTTGCGCATACTTTTGTCCGCGGGCAACCATTCCTCTTCACAACATCACGGCGACAAGATACACGGCACCAAAAAGTAATTCAACATCTGTTATTTGCACCGCCCGCGCTATCGCAAGCATCAGACAACTATATACAAGAATGCGAGTCGATCCGAGAACCAACACGCGCCAACGAGCCGCTTCCCAATCCGTCCGCAAGAGCCAACAGACCGGTCACGGCGCCAACAAACGCAAACAGCCGACCGAGCACATTCAGGCCTCAGAATTGCACTCAAGCTATCCCTTAACCTTCAAGCTAACCATTGCGTCCCTCCAGTCCCGCCTCAAGACTGAGTAACCCGATCCCTCGACAAGACACCCATCGCTCGCTCACGGACTCGAAGCCCGCTTACAAGCACTGCGAGTACCACTGGTTTGAAGCCTGGCAAGTCGAGCCAGACTGGCAGCAATTCGCACCACTCCATCCCTGGCCACCGCACTGTCCCCACTTAGCCGCACAGTTACCAGATCCGTTTCCGGGGTTGGCGGGCGCGGTAGTAGTGCTAGGGTCAGAGGGGGTAGTGCCGCTGCCGCCGCCGCTGCTGGCGCCGACATTGATGGTGCTGCTGCCGGAGGAGAAGTAGCCCTCGGTAGCGACGATCTGGTAGTTGTGGGTTCCGAGCTGGAGACCGGACCTGGTCCAGGCGTCGAAGTGGTTCTTCATGTTGACGGAGCCGCCGGTGCGCTTCTGCTGGCGGACGGACCAGTACTGGTAGAAGGTGGCGGTGCCGTCGATGGAGGGCTGGTTGACGCGCTGGGTGCGGTAGATGTCGTAGACGCTGCCGTCGGTGGTGACGGACCCGAGACGGGTGGCGCCCGTGCTGGGGTTGTAGGTGCCGAAGTTCTCGACGACGTAGTACTCGACGAGCGGGTTGCGGGTCCAGCCGTAGACGGAGAGGTAGGAGTTGCCGTTGGGGGAGTAGTTGCCGGTGTAGTTGATGGTGCTTGACAGGGGGAGAGAGTGTTAGTTGAGCGAAGCGAGGAAAGGGAAATGGAGGAAGAGACATACCGATCAGTACCGGGCATCCATCCCTTACCACCGACCCAGTTGCCGTTGCCGGACCACTTGGCACTGTACTGGCCGCCAGCCTCGTTGGTGTACTGGATGCTGCCCTGACCATCGGTCCAGAAGGAGAAGTAGTAGCCGTTGTGAGTACCAGTGGCAGACTGGGTGTAGGTCTGGCGCTTGAAGAGGCTGCCCTGGCCGGGGAGCTCGCCGGGGAGGGCGAAGACGGCAGAGATGGCCGTCGAGGCGGCGAGGAGGATGGAGGAGAAAGCAACCATTTTGATGTCTTGACCTTCGACTGGAGAGGAGTGCTGAGGATGAGGACCAGATTTCGAGTGGTGATCCCGGGGAGGTTACCCAGGGGTTATATACTTTTTGTCACCGCTGTTGAGTCCAAGGATATGATGGATCGCCTCATGGTGGTTCCACGGTAAAAGCTTCCGTTACATGGACACAGTCGCATTGTTTCCTGGAAATGAGCGAGGTTTGAAGGTTCGTGCCCCCTTGGGCTTGGCTCGCTTGGCTGAGGTTCGGTGGTGTGGTGTTGCAACCCCCTGTTCTTGGATTTCATGGGGAAGCCGATTTTAGCACACCGCGATGTAACCATCCGGAGACCTCGAAGCGCCATGCGATCTTGCTTTGATAGAGACCGCGTGGATTCTTGACATTGAGTGATCGGACAGAGGTCGCCAAGATTTTCCTTTTTTTTGCGGAGTGGTTGACTCGTCTTGCCAGTAGCAAGCCCAACCGGTTTAACCATCTCCATCTCCTGGCCCATTTGTCCCCCCGGCATGCGGAGATGCTGGCCGATGAGTTGCTGTTGACATCGTCTTCTCTTTTACCCCATAGGTGAACTAGCAGAATCTGGGGTAGCCAAGCCCAGAAGCCAGATCCGTCTGTCAGACTTTCCCTCCTACCCGATGGCCCTAATCTATGCCCAACAGGCTTAGCATGTCCTGATGTGTCATGACAGGACGGCGAGGCCGGACATGATCTTCAACTCAGCGAACAGAGTATCAACGCTGTGGTTATGCTCCTCCTCAGTCTTTGCCCCTTGCACTGTGATCTCCGAGACCATGGGCCCTGGAGATATTGTTTCCTTCACCAAAAACCCGGTTACCTACCTCATCACCACAACGCATCATCAGCCCTGCTCAAACAAAGTGACCACAACACAACAATTGCCGTCTTCGTCAGCCGGGCTAGAGCCTCCAAGCACCCGCAAGGTTCAGGAAAGACAGCACCACAAATGCCGATTAACCCGGCGGCTAAATACCTCTAGTTTTCAATGCGACTCAACACCGTTCTTGTGCCTTTACAGCTTCCATTTCTCTTAAGGGGTTCTTGGCAGAGCGGTCCTAGGCACTGTGGTAGGGGAGCTAGCAGGGACCGGTTGAGTTTGTGACTTGCTGAACTGGCCGGAATAGGAAATTCGCGGTAGAGGAAGACCGAAAACTTCTGGAACGGGACAGCTGGCACAAAAGCTGGAGGCCTGACCGCAGTGGCCTGACCCGGACTGGAGTCTGACTGGAGCCTGGGCTGGACTTGGTGTTCCGGTTTTAGGAAAGAGCATTGGACTCTGGGAGTCTGGGGAGAAGGAACGATGTCCGTTATGGATCTCGGAATGTTCTTTGACGCTCTATCGACATGGAGCGAAGGGCCCTTTGCCCTGAATGCTTCCCGGCGGGTAAAGTGGTCTTGGGTAACATTTCGAACTAACATCAGGAAACCGTCAAACCCAGAACCGTGATCTTGAGAAGTTGTCAGTGCGAGCAACCTGAAGATACAAAGCATGAGGTTGAGAGCTCCTGCCATCTTGGCGTTGACCCAGTGTCTGATTTGCTCGCAAGCTTGTCCAGAAAAGAAAGAACGACGGCGACAACCCGACTGTAAGCGCCTACCATCGGATAGGTGCATGAACTCCTTCCCTTCATCATCAACCGTTGTCGCCACGACCGGATCTGCCTGTATCACCACTCCTCCAATCTTTCAAATCTCATGAAACCGCCACCTTTAACTTGATCAGCCATTTCTCTCGCCTAACCTTCCTTCTCGAGTCCTCGTCAAAACTTGCCTTCGTCAAATCTTTCCCTCGGCAAAACATTCCTTCTCATGACCTCTCCCCCAGCGCCAGAGATAACTCAACTCGCCAAGCCAACTTTGGCAACTAACTCAACTCAACTCAACTAACTCGAACCCCTGAGTTGAGTTAACCAACTAACTCGAGACCCTCGAGTTAGTTGGCCGAGTTGGCCGCCTTCGGCAGAATTCTTTTGGTGGTAAAATCGCCCGGGGAGGGGATTCCCAAGGGGGTGCCCGGGTGGGGGTTAGGGTTATAGGTGGCTCAAATGTCTCGGCAACTTTGGCAACTAAACTCAACTCAACTCAACTCGGGATTTTGAGTTGACCCACTCAACTGACTCGAACCCTCGAGTTGAGTTGAGTTGAGTTATCTCTGCCGCTGCTCTCCCCTCATAGTCGTTCCCATTCAGTTCTCTTCCCTCCGACCATGTGGTTAAAGCATCTTTGGACTGCGGTAAAACCTTTCATGATCACCATTGCCCCCAAGGTCTCTCGCCGTTCGCAACCTTCCGTCTACCTATGACCGAGATGAAGGGAAAACAACAACGCCACCCACGCCACCCTCCTCATCCTCAGCCACAGCCTCTCAGGAATCATGCCTACCTGACACATCCTGTAGAACTCCAAACCTTGGTCTTAAGACGTTGAGGTTGACAGCAAACGCCCTTGGTCCCTTCATCATCGCCATCGCCTTAGAATCTGCCAAACAACTGTCGGTCAGCTTCTCCTCACCACCAAAACACCCATCCTCTCTCCAACTCATTACCACGCCATCACTCCCTCACAACTTTACCTTCCCGCTCTTCCCATCCAACTCCACCACATTCCTCCCCTTTTCCTCCTTCTCCTCATCCTGCAATTCCTTGACGATACTAGGCCACCGCCCATACGCATCCCCCTCAGCATCAAACCCCAACAACCACTCCTCCCTCATTAACCAAATCCTCTCCGGATTATTCCACACTCCGTCCGGTCCGTCCCAGTTGGCCTTATGCCATTGTTCCCTCGTCTTTGGGCCCATGGCTTGGGCTCTGTGCACCCTTTCGTACCTCAGCTTCTCGTAAGCTTTGAGGGCTGTGGGGGCTACATTCTCCTTTGCCATCTCCCCCTTTCCACTGCTCCGGCAGGAAAGTTCCAGGCACGCAGCGACTACCGTACCGTCTTCAATGCTCTGGCTAGCGCCCTGAATGGAAGTAGGCAAAAAAGGATGCGCCGCGTCGCCTATAAGCGCTGTCCTTCCTTTGGGACTGACGAAGGTCGGCAACGGCTCGCGATAGACCAATTTGTGGTCGATCAGCCTCCCCGGCGGCGTAGCCTTCACCAGTTCCCTAACCACAGGACACCATCCCTCGAGGTAAGTCAGAGCCTCTTCGGGCTTTCCCGGGAACTGCCACGATTCTTCGATGTTGCCGTCATCGATGTGGGTGAACACCCAGTTGATCTCGCTGCCGCCCTTGATCGAGGAAACGAGGAAGTGAATATCGGGACCGATGAACCCTTCATGCTGATCTCCCTTTTCTACCAGGTGCTTGGTGACAGGGTTCTTTGCGATAACGGGAGCAGAGGGGAACCAAGCTCTGTACACCGCGTACCCCGAGCTTTTGGGCTGTTCGTCTTCCTCTAGCCCAAGTACCAACTTCCTCCCCCTTGAACGGACGCCCTCAGCAGCTAGTACGGCGTCAGCCTTGACCTTCTCCGTCTTCCCATCCGGTCCCATAATCACCACCCCCGCATGCGGCCCTTCTCCCTTTGCCTCATCCCCATCACTCTCAAAATAATCCGTAACCCTCACCCCCCATCTCATCTCCACCCCCTTCCTGGTCTTCACAAACTCATAAATCAACCGATGCAACTCCCCCCGATGTCCATTAATCCTCCTCCCCCACCCGTCCTCCTCCACAAAACTCTGTCTCGTAACAAACTCCCCCTGGTAATGAAACAGGTCCAACCAGGTAGTCTGTCGGGAAATGGCTTCCATCTTCTGCGCGACGGACTCGCCATCGGGAAAAACCCATTTCTCAAAGGCGCGCGACCCGTTGGGGTCGAAGGAGATGATATCCCCGTAGCGAGTGATTTCGTCGATGGAGGAGACTTTCTCGAAGAGTGTCACGCGGTGGCCCTTGCGATTGCATTCGATGGCGGCGGAGAGGCCGGCGAAGCCGGCGCCTACTATTAGGATGTGCAGGCCGGAGGGGGTCTTGGTGTTGTTTGCCATGATGGGAGTTTATCGTGTGTTTGGGGTGTTGTGGTTGCGATGCGTGACGTCGTGGCCTGGTTATGCCCGGTTACGGTAGAGGTTAGAGGTTGTGTAGCTGTAGCAGGTTGAGTAGTAGGGTAATAAGAGCGCTGCTGGATAGATGAAGGATGAAACTCATGAAAGCTGGGAGAGCGACACGATATCGGCCGGCTGTTATTCTGGGTGCCGATGTTGTTTGTGGTGGCTGATGACGACGGATGTATGTGATGAGAAGTCACCAATGGGATACAGGCTGAACTGCCGACCCCGCTCGTAACCCGCGATATTGGCGATGTTGGGGTTGCGATCTGAAAGCATTGAGAATTCGTGGAAATTGATTGGCCAACCAGATATTCTACATTCCTTTCTGTAGTCGGTCGGCCGCTGTCCCGTGTCAACGTCGGAAGCTCTGCGGGGAACGGCATCGGGGTGACCATCAAAGAACGTCCTCGGTGCCATATACACGATTCCAGACCTGACCAAGCTCAACGGTTGTACTTTGCTGATCCTACCGTACCTTCGTCTCTCCCAAGTGAGCTGGCGATACAAAGCCGTTGCCGAGCCCATGACCGGGCCCGCCGATGCGACGAGGATCGTCCGGAGCAAGTGATGTAAGCAGGAGATCTCGGAGATTTCGTGCTCTGCCGGCGACGCAACAGGAGTGGAAGCAGACGCCGATCAGCTGTGAAACATACCTTCAGGTAGCCATGCTCTGATCGACAGAGCGGACGGGTGCCATATGGACGGCGGGTAGGCGACGACGATCGCTTTTCCAGATATGGCAACGAGCTGCTCGGCCCTGGGATAAACATCATTATCACAACAGCTATAACTATAGCTTGCAATTTGGCTGAAGACTTGATGCCAAGGTGACAATCGGGAATGGCTGAAGTGAGTGCCGTGTATAAATGAGACGGACGTCCCCGCACACGGTAATATCCAGTTGCTACTGGCAATTGGCAAATATCCCACGAGCCCGGCAGTTTGGATACTCATCCAAAATGCTGGGTATAAAATGGAGCGGGATGCTGGGGGCGAACAGCGTGATGGTTCCACTTGAAACCGCAGTCAAGTAAAGCCTTAGCATCTCCCCACCTCAACACCAGACCACCGGCATCATGATGCTCCTCCTCTCCACCCTTTTCACGCTCGGCTCCCTGAGCTCAGTCGCCCTCGGGGCACCCACAGCTCCCGCAGCCACCTGCGACCGCGACTTCCTCAAGGCCCAAGCGGCCTCCTACGTCGCTGCGCAGAAAGCCGGCACCCCCTCCCTCACCAACTCCTCCTCCGGTTCAACCATCACCTACACCCAAAACTTCAAGACCGCCACCCTCTCCTCCTCCATCCTCTCCATCCCGCTCCGCATCGACCACAACCGCAGCACCTACGACACCACCCAATGCGCCACCTACACCGAACTCATCAGCACCGAAACCAACAAACAACACGTCATCGGCACGCAAATGCGTTTCTCCCCCGCGGGCGACACCCTCTCCCTCTCCAAAGTCGAAACCATCGTCACCTCCACCGGCGACTGGCTCTTCAACCCGTCTCAAACACTCAAGTACTCCTCCCAAGAATCCTCCCAGGGGCTCTGGGACGAGATCCCCCTCGCCAAGCGCGACACCCGCGCAGTCATCCAAGCGGCTGGTGACGCGTATCTGGATCTGTTCAATAACAAGAGCGTTAAAGTGCCGTGGGGAACGCCGTGCGCGAGACTGGAGGGCGGGAGTTATATCCAGCCCAGTTGCAATGTGGGCGTGCCGAGCGGGATTAGGAATGTGAATAGACGGTATGTGGTGGATGAGGTGTTGGGGACGGTGGATGTGTTCTTTGACTTTGCGGGGGCGGAGCCGGATAGTCATGAGTTTAGGGTTGAGGGGGGCAAGTTGAGGTTGGTGCATACTATGACTGTTATGAAGTAGGGAGGTGGGTGCTGTTTGGTGTTTGGTGTAGTTGGAGGCTTGGGACGGGACGGGAGGGTTGGCAGAGGAACCGAAGCTAGGAAGTTGGCTTGGGCACGGCAGGAAATCGGACGAAATCGATGACTGTGAACTGGCAAAGCTTCAGATAGGGATTGTAATTAGCGTGAGTTCTAGCGATTGGAAAGGATTTGAACCTGGTAGATGTGCTGTTGCATTGTTAGCTGGCGCATTGTCAACAACAAACACGAAGACACCACGACACCACGAATGAATGGAAGCGCCAACAGAAGCGTGGCATCGTGGAGGAGGTTTGTGTCGCGTTGGGCGTGACCGCTACCGCGAACAACCAGCCAAGGTGGTTGGTGCGGTGAATACGAAGGCAAAGGAGGCCACGTCTGCAATTTGGGAATAGCTTCATGTTTTGGGATTCGTGGGGGGGAAGCGACGAATGGAAAATAGGTGGAATCTGAGAGAATGAGACCATCATCTTTCTGGTCTAGTCGAATTGCGCGATAGGAAAAGATTCGAGGAACTAGCGAATGACTAGGCCCAGATAGGCTGAGCTAAAGGAGCGACGCATCCGAAGCGCGGCGGAGTGAGAGGGGGCGTGAAAGCGGTCAGGGACTGCAGATGCACTCAAAATGTGACACTGATGAGGAATATGACGTCATTGCGACATGACCCCACCTGCTAACATTGGGTTGGGGAAGAGAGCTGACACACAAATGAGCAGCTGCAGGACATCGCCGATTCCCCAGGGCAAGAGGGGGTCGTTTTCCGTTGGCTTTTTCAATTTTTTGTGCTCTTCCCCTTTTCAAACATTGTCAGGCAGTTTTGAAGGATTGAAATTTCTTCGATAAAGGTATGGACAGCCTTCCCCATCCCTCCTCCGTCTTTTTTTTTTTTCCACACACATCCCTCGCTTTTGGCGGCCAACAAAATCAGTCACCACAACCAGAATACCAAATCTTGATGCATTAAACCATTGGAAATGCGCAGCGACGATCGCCCTTAGATTCGGCTAAGATCCGGAGGACTAGTCCAAATGTGTAGCAGATCCATGCGGCAGCAGCCATGTCAATGGCAAATGCCGTTGACAGGAATGCGAAATACTGTAACATTGGACATCCGATGGCATTTTGACAGATTGACAGCACTTTGACAGAGTGATATTTGACAGATGAACTGAGTCTAGAAGGGTCCATGTCTGTACAAGGTACCAGCGGTATGGGCGTTGCCCGAGGTTAATCCGAGTGTTGCGGCAGTGATTGTTGGCAAACAAAGGACAAGAAGAACTGTCATCATGACTGTCACAGTCTGTCACAGTCTGTCACAGTCACTGAATTAGACAGTCAGTTTGCGGTGTTCGGGCCCCTGATGATCCCCTCTCCCCTCTTGCCGGTCTCTTCTGCTCTTCCAATTTGCCACGACTGTCAAAAACTGGTAATATCGAGGTATAATACCATGTTTAGTACTACTCTTCCGGTATTTGTGTGTCACTGTTACTGACTTTCAAGTTTACCATTCCATCGGTACCAGCCGTTGCCCGTGACAGCGAGTTGACAGTGACAATCAGCGGGGGATAATCACAGTGGCAGCCATGGCAGCCGAGCACTGACCATTCATAGCTCGCACCCAGAGTCCCGCAATCACGTTCATCGAGATCTCTTTTTTCGTTTTCGCTTACCCTTTTGAGTTCTCCGGTCTGCCGCCATAGAGGTACCTGCCCTACCTCGTCTCTCGAGTGTCTCTTCCATACCTCTTACCTTTACCACAAGCGGTCACAAGCGACACAAGACCAGTCTCTCGTTTTCACTTTCCGTTTTCCGAGACTCCTCCTCCGCTCCGGCCGAGTCCTCTTGTTTCCATTTTCTTCTCTTCCGAGACCTGACCCACCCCAACTTTATTTTCCCCTCTGACACTATTGACCAGTAGCCTGCACTTGCCTGTACCTGCCTGGGAACGCCGCTGCAAAAGTCAGGCCATCTCTGCCTTGCGCCCACCCGACTACGGTTAATAGACCGCCAGCGGGAGTCAAACAGCCGCCTACTGCACAAATCAGACCATTTTCGAGGTCCCTGATTGCTTGCAGCAAAGCACCTGTCGCGGGTTGGCACCTTGGATCTCGAGATCGGCCTAGCATCGACTCTTAACACCATGGCCGAGATGGCAAACAGTCTGTTGAACATGGTCATTGACGGCCATGAGGATGGAAAAGATGAAGAATCCCATTCTGACCCCAAGGCTGGCGCTGACGGCGCTGTCTCCGCCCCCGGACCCGACAATTCGGACAGTCTCCAGTCCCTGACTCGCGAACACTCCAACGACAACGACTCCCACACCACCCAGGCCATCGAGGATGACGCCGCCTGGAGTGTTGCGACCACGACAACAACACAGTCGTCCATCGACGACACCGTCACCCTCCAAAATCATGTCCCGCCTACCCACCCCTTCGCCGCTCCCGACATGAGCCTCATCTTCGACTTCTCTCCCGTCCCATTACTCCTCCTGTCCTCGTCGTGCTGCATCACCCGAGTCTCGAAACGCTTCTGCCAAGACTGGCACGTCACCGAAGAGGACTGCATCGGCAAGTTCCTCTTACCCTTTCTCGAGAGCCACGTCCGCGAAACCGGCGCCAGCAAATCGAAACATATTGCCGAAGCCGTCGATGATGCCGTCGCCTCTCGAGCCGAGCGCACCTCCAAGGCTATCACCGTCAAGAGCGCCTTCACCTGTCGCGCTCGCGTCATCCCCATCTTTCGAGATGCCGAGCTGGTCTCCATCTACCTCGAATGGCACGAGCGTCCATCCTCCGATGTCCTCGACAACGAGCTAGTCCAACCGGGCCTATCCACCGATGAAGCCTTTCGCATTCTCGTACAAGCTCTTAAGGACTATGCCATCTTCCTCCTCGATACGAAAGGTCACATCGCGACATGGAATACAGGAGCTCAGTTGCTCAAGGGCTATACTAGGGAGGAAATCATAGGCAAACACTTCTCCATTTTTTACGGCAAAGAAGATTTGGACATCAAGAAGCCAGACATGGAACTTGACATCTGTCTTCGCGAAGGTCGTGTCGAAGATGAAGGCTGGCGCTACAAGAAGGACGGAACGCGCTTCTGGGCCAACGTCGTCATCACGGCGGTATACAAGAATGGTGTCCATGTCGGCTTTGGCAAGGTCACGCGCGACTTAACGGAGCGTAAGGCGTCCGAGTCCCGCCTGATTGCTGCCTACGAGGAGAGCGAGAAGCTCAAATCCGACTTCCTCGCCAACATGAGCCACGAGATCCGTACCCCAATGCATGGTATGCTGTCGGCTTGCGCGTTGCTCCTCGACTCGCCTCTTACCGAGAGGCAGCGAGATATTGTCAACATCATGGATGAGTCGGGTCAGATATTGTTGCAGGTCATCAACGACATCCTCGACTATTCCAAGCTGGCATCGGGCAGTTTCTCAGTCAGCTCCGATGTTGTCGGTGTCGCCAGTATCATCACGTCAGTGGTTCGCGGTGTCCAGACGACGTTACCGCCAGCAGTCCACTTCGAGCTCTTCCTCGCCCCCAACCTCCCCAAGTCCGTCCAAGGCGACCCCCTCCGTTACCGCCAAATCGTCCAAAACATCGTCGGCAACGCGGCCAAGTTCACCGACAAAGGGTACATCCGCGTCAAAGCCTCAGTCCACTCCGAGGACAGCGACAGCTACACCCTCTTAACCGAAGTCATCGACACGGGTATCGGCATCCGCGAAGCCGCCTCCGCCTCGCTCTTCACCCCCTTCAGCCAATTCGACCTAACCACCACCAAGCGTTACAAGGGCACTGGTCTCGGCCTCTCCATCGCCAAATCCCTCGCCGAGCTCATGGGCGGCCGCATCGGCTACCGCCCCAACCCCGAACGTCACGGCTCCATCTTCTGGTTCACCGCACGCTTCAAGAAGATTAAGAGTCTCGAACAGATCCAAGACTGGAAGCACCAAATGGCCGCTAAAGACGGCTCGCCCATCTCGCCTGTTCAACCCGATGTCACGGTCCTTCAACAACGTCTCGCCGCCGTCGCCAGAAGCAAGACCATCTTGCTCGTCGAAGACAACATTATTAACCAAAAAGTTATGCTTGGCATGCTGCGCTCTCTTGGCTTTAAGAGCATCGACCTGGCAGCCGATGGCGCCGCGGCCGTGAAGATGGTCACCGGGAAACCAGTCGGGTATGATATCGTGCTGATGGATATTAACATGCCTATCCTTGATGGACATGAAGCCTCGCAGAGAATCCGTGACGCTGGGGTGAGGGTGCCTATTATTGCTATGACTGCTTACGCCCTTAAAGGGGACCGTGAGAAGTGCTTGGAATACGGCATGAACGACTATGTCCCCAAGCCTGTCGACAGGAAGTACCTGATCAAGGTATTGGCTACCTGGATCCTCGAAAAGGTCGACTACCGCAAGGCATATGACGAAAGGTTGCAGCAGTTGAAGACTTTTGATGAGAAGCTGCATCGGCTGAGTGTGAGTGAGAGCGCGGCAGTGGCCGTAGCTAGGAGGGAGAGTGTAGATGGGGGGATAAAGCCCGGGATGGCGTTGGGAGGAGACGAGGGGGGTGTGAAGGGGTGGGCTACCCCATTCAGGGAGGGAGAGAAGGTACATAATGCAGGCGTGGTGCAGGGGACATTTGAAGAGCCGGCGTGTGTGAGGATCCGGGAGCTGGTGGAAAGGACGGAAAGGCCCAAGGAGGGGCCACTGCCCAGTGGTGATCAAGAAGGACGACAAGAGCTACCCAATGGTGGTGGTGCGGAACCTATCCCTGCCGAGGAGGAGAAAAGGGATGTGAACGGCGGCGAGGTGAACCAACCGCCGCCGGTCAGCGATGGTAAGATCAGTCCCAGGACTGCCGGTGTAGCGACCGATCAACCACCGGAAGGTGAAGGGGCCGATTGGTGAAGCCATGGAACCCGGAACGATCCGGTGAGACGATTAAGGGTCGTCGGAGGAGGACATGATGGAACGCATACATGGTACACAACGAATGCATATAGTAGGCGCAAGGGGAAGCGAGCGGGACTCGGGTGTTGCACAGGCCTGGCGTATCCAGGCGTATTCGAAGAACATGGGGTTTTATTTGTTTATATTTTCAGGGATGGCGTTGATTTGGGATCTGTTGTTTAATTTGGTATGTCAGTTATTGATGGTGGAACAAATGAAGCCTCGGAAGGTTGAAATAGGAACAAATGGCTTAGCGCAAGCTTGTTTTATAGCTCTACTTTTATGTGTCATTGGTAACAAGCAAAGGGGAGAATGACCTGAATGGTTGAATGGCAGAGAAAAGAGAAAATCAAAGTGTTTAATGAGCGATGTCAATGATTTGACATGTGAATTGATGGGTATAACTCCTAGATAACAAACACAATACCCAAATGAATGACAAACTTGATCATTTCTCCATGTCTTGATTGCCATCGCCGTATATTGAACGTCGCTCCAAACTTTTGACCTCTCCGGACGGGATTCCGGAGATCCATCCGTCCGATTCCCCACCCCGCCTCGGGCCGCTCGGGGTACAGCGGGACCGAAACTAGGCCGATCCGTAGTTGACAGGTTAAGTGGGGCCCGGGAATAGTGGGGCCGTAACCGGAACGGGCGCGGATGTGGAGATTCATCGCGGGCAAAGCGCCGGAGGTCGGAGATAGGTACCTACTCAGCAACGAGGCGGATGAAGTCACTGTATAATCCGATAAAGTCACAGCATCGAACCCAAAGGGGCCGCAAACTTCAATGTCGTATGTCTTTATGTCGTTGAACGACTGGAAGGTGTGCTTTTCGATTGTTTTGTTGCCAATTTGAAGGAGCTTTTTGGTTCAAAGAGCGAAAGCGCCGATATACATTCACATGCTCAGTGTTCCGTCTCCTGGGTAAGGTAGGAACGATTCCCGCTAGTTCACAAGCTCAGAGATACCGTGACTTCATCGGATCATACCTACCTGTACACTGACTTTATCTGTCCGTCCGGCTCTGCTAACGTGACAAAATAGCGTACATTTCAGGCACCGTTCCATGGGAGAATAACGTGAGAGATATTCGATGATTCCCTAGGTATCAGTGGCTTCAGACTTCAGAGTCGACGTGGTCGTGAAAGGAAATAAACCGATCATGGACCAGTCCAATACGGCTGGCTCACTTTGGTCAGGAAAGGCCGTTGCAGAACTGTGATATGTCTCGTAAGAACTTGGGAGCTCATCTCGCAAAGTCTATTATGCATTCTTTGATCCCAGCCAGAAAATGTTGTGAATTTCAGTCAACAAGTGTAAGAAGAGGCCAGGCGTGGATGCGTGCAATAGTATACCTACCCCAAGGTGTAATGAGACGTGTTTCGGTTTATTCTGACGATCACGCGCCAACGTTGACAATTACGTCCCACGTAGTGCGTGTTCTATGCTGGGACGGGAGTGTTTAAAGAGTCAAGGTGAGGAAGATGTGATTCTTCCCTATAAGTGGCTTAAAGTGAATCAACTTCGACGACGGGATTAAGAGTATCTAGAAGTAGTATGATGACTTCTTCCCCTTTCCTTTTGTAATATCGCTATGTTATTACAAGCTGTATATACCCCGTGGCCTATTTGTACCGATAGTACTGCCTTCGTCCTCTATCTTAGGCCTTCTTGGGACAGTCGGAGGCGTCGGTTACGTCTACAAACACCCCCCATCCTCATAGTAGCTCTCGCCATCCGCTATTGACAACTTTCTGGCGTTGCTGCTCGGGGTAATTCTCGTTGACCTTGTTCTCGCTATGGCTGTGAGACGTGAGTGCAGCGTTAGAGATAACTCAACTCGCCAAGCCAACTTTGGCAACTAACTCAACTCAACTCAACTAACTCGAACCCCCGAGTTGAGTTGGCCGCCTTCTTGGCAAACCGGCAGAATTTTTTTTTGGTGGTAAAAATGTACTGGTTTTGGCCGGGGACAGGATTTTGGAAGGGGTGCCTGGCTAGGGGTTAGGGTTATAGGTGGCCCTATTGTCTTGGCAACTTTGGCAACCAACTCAACTCAACTCAACTCAACTCAACTCAACTCAACTCAACTCAACTCAACTCAACTCAACTCAACTCAACTCAAGATTTTGAGTTGACCCACTCAATTAACTCGAACCCCCGAGTTGAGTTGAGTTGAGTTATCTCTAACGCTGCGTGAGTGGGGTTTTGCTGCTTGGATCGAATGTATTCGAGGGCGGCGACAATAGTGTCAATATCGGATTCCATCACTTTCTTAGCGCTCACTGAGACTGGAGTGTCATACGGTCGAGTGTCAGAAGAGTGAGACTTCGACGGGGACTAACATTCAGGTATTAAGGAGGATGACTTCTTCTCCTTTTGCTTTTGTGATATCACTATATTTTCAGTTTGATAGTCAAATACCGTGATTTGTATTGGGACCGACTCGGCGGGCAGTGTTAAAAGACTACGCGGGTAGTGACACTGCCCGTATAGTCATCTCTAGTATATAAGACTACGCGGGTAGTGTTACTATAATCCCTAACCCTCTGATGTTCCCTATAGTATTAAATATCCTCGTTCTTTTCTAGTGATAGCTAGTAATCTCATGATAAGTCTTTGGTGTTGAGTGTTAAAATAAAGTAGTCTAGATTATTTAAAGGTAGTTAAAATGTGTAAATTTACGTAATTATATTAATTAATTACCTATGTAATTAATTAACTCTCACCTCCTATTAGTTTACCCTCTTACTTAAAGGTTTTACCGTTTTACTACTTTTGGTTACAGTTGGCGCTGACGAAGGTACTAACGAATGTATTATAGTACGTTTTTTGCAGGCAGGCTATTCATTAGAGTTTGAGATAGAGGGTATAAGAGCAAAAACTTTAGGCTCGTTATTTAATAAGGAGGGTTCTTATACTTCGATAGTAGAGCTTATAGTATTCTCCTTACCCGTATTAACTTCGTCGATTATTTCGAATTAGGATTGTCGCCAGTGGAGCGATAGCTTTAATATTTAATTACTCTTTCCCCCCTTCTTTATTATTTTTTTGGTTATTTTTTCCCTTTTCTAGACCCGTCGTTAAGAATTTACTATTCTTTAGGTAATACGATTATACTATTCTTTAATTATCCCCTAGTTTTGTTGGCGATGTTAGGGTCTTTAACACGGGAATAAGGATTACGTTAATTTTGATATACGTTAGTATAGTATAGTTAAGAAGAGAGTAGAGGTAAAGAAGATATTATATATTAAAAGCGCCTAGATATAATAACGATAATGGATATTCTAACAGCCTAGTTAGCTTTTACTTTTAAGTTTTATTAATATTTTGTAATAGTAGGGAATAATATATTATTTTTAAATAATATAATTATATTCTCCTAGATTGCGTACTAGTTTTTTCTTTGTGCTTATGGGTATTTTAAATAGGCTAATACGTAATTAACAATATATAAAATTAAAATTATAGTATATAATTCGTTAGAGTAAATCCTTCAATATATAAAACTCTTTACCGTTAGTAAATTCGCTACGGACTTTAACGTTTTAATTAACTATCTTTTTCTCCTCTTAGTTCCTCTCCCTTTTATATATAGTTTTAATTAAGTTAATAAGAATAAAGAGATTATTCTTACTGTTAATTAAAAGGCTCTTAATTTAGTAATTAATCGATTCGTTAGGGGAAGTAATTATTAAATCGAAATTGCGGTATTAGTAAGTATAATAGCGTGCTTACTAATAGCGGTATAGTATATACGTATTTTGTAAATATAGTAAAGTCTTCTATTAATTAGAGACTTCGTTAATTAACTACTATTATCGCTATATAAATATTATTTTATTAAGTATAAAGATTATTATTTTCTAGAGTTTAAAGAGATTATAATACATATATTCGATAGCTATAAATAAATTTGGACCGGCTGTTTATAATATTGATTCATCGTTTTAGTTAAACGTAATAGGCTTTTGCTTATTAAATTTTAAATTGTTACCTTTGCTAAAGGTATACTTTTATTTCTTCTTTGCTTATAAAAGAACGTTGCGGTTGATATAAAATATATAGATTTATTATTGGGCATTTAGAAAAAGCGTTATTAAAACCGTCTTTAATTAATTATTAAAATTTATAATAACAACTTTTAATTTAATTATTCTTACTTTATAACGTAATTTACTAAATATATTAATTAATTAGGTAAACTTATTAACCTTTTTATTATTAATAAGACCGAAAGTAGTAGAGTAAAGAGAGTTAATATTTATTATACTTATAATAATAGTGAACGGGTAACTATATTTATTAATTTCGTAAGTAATATATCGATAAAAGGAAGCGGGTAATTATATTAGTTAATTTTATAAATGTTATTTATATTTAAATATTTTAAGTAATTCCGCTATTATTCTATATAAAACTTTTAAATCTATATAATGATAAGTAGATAATTAGGGTCGTTTTTAAACTATTTAACAATATAAAGCACTTTAGCTATACTAAATATATTAAAGTATTTAATTAGAGCCATTATAGTTTCCTAATTATTGTATTGACCCTTCTTAATAATTTAGCGCTAATTATTAATATTCTTTTAAATAAATATAATATTTTTAAACTCCTATTCAATAATAATTAAAATATCCTTTACCATAATATTAGGTTAATAAAATAAGGCGGCTATTCTTTTAAATACTTTATTAATTCTTTTGCGGTATTGTAAGTAAGTAGAAGTATATAGAGAGGGCGTATGATTGTAGACGTAGTATTTAGAATTGGTAGAAAGTCGATAGATTTATTATTAATTATTCTCTTCGAGGGTAATTGCTATACTTATTTATTTGTAATTATATTTACAATTTCTTATTTTTCTAAGCTTAGTTGTAGAAGGATGAGGTTGATTATAATAGTTATAAATTAAGTAGTAGTATATTAGCTTACTTTATCGATAATTAGCTACTTGGGTATAGTTAAAGGCTACGCTGTGAAACCGTTCCTATTTATTAAGGGTATTTTATATATCCTTTATAGAAGGAAGTGGTTAGGGTATAATATTTTCGGTGGTTGGGTTGGGAATATCCTATTGCTCGCTATTATTTAATCCTTTATTATTACTAGAATTGATAGAGCCGTTATTATTATTAGAGGAATTATTGCGGCCTTATTATTAAATAGAAGTGGGTACAGCGGGTGCAGTAGGTGCGGTGGGTGAAGTAGGCGTAATAGGCAATATAGGAATAAATTTATTCACGCTAGTAGTATAATACGAATTGGAATCGTTATTAATTTCGATAGCGGATATTTTAGAAAAAGAAGAATAGTTAGCAGATGAATGGCTATACTACAACGAGTATACTAACGTTGGAATCGTATTAATACGATTTATTTTCGTAGAGTTATAGTAGTTAATTAACAGTCTATTGATTACGTTGTAAAGAAATCGCGTAAGTAATCTCGCTTGATAGGATCTTATGATAGTTGTAAATTACTAAGTTAAACGTATTTAATTTAGATTTATTAGGGTTAGGGATTATAGTGATATTGCCCGCGTAGTTTTATATACTAGAGATGGTTATACGGGTAGTGTATATTGTCCGCGGAGAAAAGTGACACTGCCCGCCGAGTCGGTCCTTTTGTATTTGTAAGAAACCTCGCCTCCTTCACACCCAGCAAGCTACATCTATCCGTTGCTTATAACACCCCCCCATCCTCATAGTAGCTCCCGCCATCGGCCCGCATCTTTCTCGCGTTGCTACTCGTGGTTAGTATCGTTAACCAGAGGCATATTTTTCCTGACACTATGGCTGCACAGTGAGTGAGGTTTTACTACTTGGATAGTACCTACAATATATTCGAGGGCGGCGACAATGGTATTGATACGGGATTCCTCCACTCCCTGGATCCTCAACCTCATGCGAATTGCCCAGAAGTACTGCTGATTGGTAGGGACCCATTCCATGTCGCACATTTTTTCTTGTCTAATGTTTGGGTGTCAGTTTGCGATCAGGATGGAAGTTTACGTGTACGTAGGTAAGGTACCTACCTGGTAGCTGAGATAGCGAGGTTTGAGATGGTGATGTGGGTGATGGAAGGGAGAAGGCAGGACTTGAATCTTGTTTGAGTGTGGTGAGAAAAGGACGGTAGTGCACTGAAAAGATGAGCGTCGCGGTTGGAGAAGGAAAGGAAGAAAGGAAGGTACTGCGTGTTGCTCCTCGGGCGCGGGGAAAGGAGAATCTTTCTACCGGTGGAGGGGTAGAATCGATGAGTCCAGTCTCAGGAGCTACTCCGATAGTTGTCTGGTAACTAAGGATTTCATCCGGTCTAAACTCAGTGTCTCCTGTATCAACCTCGTTATGTATTGCCCTCTGAGTCTCTTTTCCCCGAGATCCGGCGTGCTCGATTCCTCGTGCCATCACTCTCTCACATTCCAACACGAGCTTTTCATGGCAGGCGGACGGAGACACCTTGAATATGAGACTACTTGATACCTGCCTATCTGTGAATTCCTAAGTGTGCCACCAACGACATGATTTTGTCGCAGAGGTGTTGCAAGTCGTTGAGATGGAGCTTTGGCAGTTGGCACCCTGGTTGGCACTGTGGCTGCCTAACGCATGGCCCAAGAGAGTGATAGTGGGCTAGCATACAGCCTCTGTCTATTCGGTTCTGCGCATCACTCGCAGCCAGTCCTCATGATGACGGAGCTGCAGGCGAAGGTGGCATCCTGCTGCCCTGTTATGAAACAGCCGTCAGTCAAAAGCTCTCACAAGCGTAACAAGAAAAGACAGCAACCTACCAGATGCCTAGAAGGAATGATTTCATATCCCGCCCATTCCGGTATCTTCTCGACGTGTATCTTGGTGCGGCCATGAACCTCAAGAGTTGCCTCGGCGTGGCTCTTCTCGGTCTGTTGGACATCAACGCGAAATGTAACTGGACCTCTGAAGATGTATCCGGCCTCGACATCAGACTTCAATACGTGCTGCTCCGGAAATGGTCCCTTCTTGCTCCTGTCAAGACACTCGATGAAGTGGGCTAACCAAGCGACTTTGTCCGGATAGTTGGCAAATGCGTGAGCAAGGTCGCCCTCTCGCTCTGATAAGGTGAGACGGAGCGCTTCGCGGGCGGTGAGGAATGCTTGTTCTGTGGGCGGCATTGTGAGGGTCGAAAATGGGAGGGGAGGATGGCAAGACGATGTCCTTTTCTAAGTGAGTGAGAGCTTTGCGGTAAGGTGGTGCGAGGGGAAGACCTTTATACTTCTGATCTTTGGCCTAGCTTCATCGTTAGGTACCTAGAGGTACCAAACACATGACACTTCTCGGGAAAAGCAAGCATTGTGATGAAATTTTCCACGAGCTTGAAGCCGTTTGCAAATCCCACCAACCTGACACATGATAGAAAGCATGCTCTCTCCCGCCGGGTAGCAGCGCGAGGTAATCACATATGTCACACACATTTGACCAACCGGGGGGAACCAAAACAAACAGCAAATGGTGCCATCGATGACAATTATGAGGTGGACTTGCCTTGAGGATTTGGGGGTGGACAGGCAACGAATGAGCACTTGTCCGGGTTCTAACACTTCAGACGTTCTTGCATATTTCATGTACAGAGTTCCGGAGCCTGGAAAGACGATTCTGGTGCCGACAATCACACTTCACGTGGTGTTCCATGCTGATAGTGTCAGTGGGGGTTGATTCTTCCTATCTGTGGCTCCCTTTGAGTGTTATCAAACAACGACGGGGCCTAACTAGGCTAACTAACTTCTTCCCCTTTCCTTCGTGACCATGATATCATCATATCAGTTCGATCACCAGTTCCATCATCAAATTCAATCATCAAGTGATCCATTCGTGAAGATCTGTGTGTTCCACTCCGTTCACTTCGACACTGTGAATATGATCCTGGCCATCTTCCTTCAAAGTCTGTCTCTAGGTAGCTCTGTACTTCACCGGCTTCACCTTCGCAGAATCCGACATGCTCATCGAGCCAGCGCTCTTGTCGCCAACCGCCTTCTCATGCACTTTGCGGAGTCCCATCCGTGACAGCTTTCTGCCAAGCTTCTGGTAGTGTTGCTCCATGTCGTTGTCAATCTCAATGTTGATGGTCAAGTCGGTGGTCTCGGGAATGTCGCTGTCATTGTTGATGGCCTTGTCGGCGGTCTTCTGAGTGCCGCTCTCGCTGGCGACGCAGCCGATGCTAGGATGGCACTTGTGCTGATGGGCGCGGGGGTAGAGCTCCGGGTGAGCATGGATCCTCTTCAAAGCGGTGACGACGGAGAGCTCCTCATCGGACTGCAGGTCTCTAGCCATCACCTTGTCGCGGAATCTGGCACGTCTCTCCTCCTCCTCTTTGGTAATACTATGCTGAGTGGCCGTGACAGATCCCATTGGTGCCACTGGTGCGATACCGTACTGCAGGTCTCTAGCCATCACCTTCTCGCGGAATCTGGCACGTCTCTCCTCCTCCTCTTTGGTAGTACTATGCTGAGTGGCCGTGATAGATCCCATTGGTGCCACTGGTGCGATAGGCGGTGCCAAAGCTACAGGAGCCATGGAGGTAGGGGTTTGGAGGGACAGGGGCATGTTTCCGGAAAACATCTTCTCCATATTCTCCCACACCTGCTTTTGGCCGTGCGTGATAGCGTCGCCTTGCTGCTGACGTTTGTCTGCGGTGTCGCTGTCATTCTTCATGGCATTCTTGGCGAGTCCTTGAATGACGATGCCTTCGCTGGGAGTGGAATGGGGCGTCTTCTGGTCGGCGAGGGGGTAGGATTCCCGGTGAGCTTGGATCAATTTGAGGGCGTGAACGACGGGGAGCTCATCCACGGATTGCAGGCCTCCTGTCTTCAACCGGTCGGACAAACTGACGCGTCTCTCCACTTTGGTAGTGGTAGTGGTGTGGACCAGTCTGGTGTGGACGGACTTGGTTCTCGTGCTGGAAACCAACTTCGGCATTTTCTCCCACATTTGCTTGCCGCCGTCCAAGACAGTATCGCCTTCCTGGTGAAGTTTCTCGGTGTGGCTGTCATTCTTCATGGCTTTGTCGGCGGCGGGTTTGTGAATGCCGCTTGCGCTGAGAGTGGGATGGGGCTTTGGGTGGGCTCTGGGGTAGAGTTCCGGGTGGTCTTGGATCCATTTCATGGCGGCGACGATGGAGTGGTCGTCATCGGGATCCAGGCCTTTCGCGATCAACCGGTCGCGCAGTGTCTTCTTTCTGTCAGTTTTGTCGGCCATGTTTCTGGGAACCGCGTTCTTCTCGTCATTCGGCTTTTCGCCATCCGTGACAGCTTGGCCTTCCTGATGACGTTCCTTGCTGTCGCTGTCACTCTTCATGGTTTCGTTGGCGGGTTTGTGAATGACGCTTGCGCTGGGAGTGGGATGGGGTGTCTTCACGTGGAGGTGGGGGTAGAGTTCCGGGTGGTCTTGGATCCATTTCATGGAGGCGACGATGGAGAGCTTATCCGCGTCGTGACCGGCTTCCTTGTGTCTAGCCATCGGCGGGTTATCCAGTCTCTCCATGCCATCTCTCTCCAGGTCCTCTTTGACGGTGGGGTGGTTGGCCATGGTTCTGGGGTCTGTTTGGGTGGCACTGGCAGTTTTGTCGTCGCTAGAGGTATTGCTGTGGGTTTCCTTTTGCTGCAGCTTGGACAGTACGTAGTTGATGGCTCTGACAGTATTGTCCTCGTCCTCCTTTTCAGCCCTCAACCAGTTGCGCACTCTCTCTTCTCCCTCCTCTTTGGAGGTGGGGTGGTCAGGCATGTTTCTGGGGCTAGGTGTCAGCTTGCGGTCAGGATGGATGCGAGATGCAAGATGAGCATACGTGATGAGGGATGCGTGATGAGGGATGAGGGATGAGTGATAGAGGGGTCTGGTATAGGGTGGTAATCGTGTGAAGGGAACTACAACCTACCTGCTTGGTGACGACTGACGAGAGGTTTAAGTTGTGAAGATGGAGATGCCCTGATGGAAGCCAAACAGACAGTCAGACTTGTATCTGAATGTAGGGTGGCAAGTTTGGAAAGATTTTGCTGCACTGAAAATGGAAGATACGCGTCGCGGTATAAGGACTGGAGGAAAAGGAAGGAACAGTACGTCACTCTGAGAGTTCGGGGAAAGGAGAAAAGTGTATCCGAAATCACCTAGTCACTTGCACCACTCCGATGGCAGGAACGAATACGCTACTTTGTAAATTCTGGTCTAAGCTCAGTTCCTGCTCCATCGTCATCGACATCAGATTGCTGCCTCCTGCCTCCACACGTGCAAGCTGCCACTGCGAAATCGCTCGCACCCAATCCATTGCACGCAGCAGTCGTTCTAGGCAAACGTGATCTTCTCCTTGACTGTTGGTGCAAATCATTGAACCCGTCAGTGGAATGATTCCGAAGGTATGATGAGAATCGGCATGGACTTACCAGGCTGCTTTGTAATCTGGACTTCTTCCGCGTGTTCAACGTACACCAAAGTGCCATCACAAACACTGAGACTCGTACCGAAGAAACTATTATCGGGACCCTTGGTCACGACGCGAAAGGTTGCAGAACCTTGGAAGACATAGTCTGTATCACCTTCTGACTTCAAGACACCGTTCTTGGGAGTCAACGGAGACGGACCCTTTTCCATCTTGTCGAGGCAGTCGATGAAGTGGACTAACCAAGCCTCTCGATTAAGATATCTGGCAAAGGCTTGGGCAAGCCTGTACTCTCGTTTCCAGAGGGCCAAGTGGACTTCCTCTAGGGCGGCGTTGATGGCTTCTTGGGTGGGCGGCGTTGATGGCTTCTTGGGTGGGCGGCGTTGATGGCTTCTTGGGTGGGCGGCGTCTTGACAGCGGGCATCTTGTCGGTGGGAGCAAATAAAGGCACAATGGAATGATGGGAAGTTGAGAGTACAGATGAGGTAGAGTTTCTGGTGACTCGGTGAGCAGTGAGGCAGAGGCAACTCGTCTTATTCATATCGCTCAATAGAGGTACTGTTCTGGTCAAGCTTCCTGCCGTGCCCCTCCATATCCTGTTTGCAAATCTCATCACCAAACGATGCAAGAAGAAGTCTGCTCCCGTCGGGTAGCAGGTAACCGTAACGTAGGCCTCTCGCCTTTGAGCCAACTGGAGAAAGACTGACACGACCTTGACGCAGTCGATGACAACAAACCAACTGTCCAAATGCCGACATTCCACTGCCCTAAACCGTTAAACACTACCTCAAAACCTCCAGACTCATGATCATTCCTCATCCGACTCAGATTCCTCGTCCTCCTTCACAGGAACCTCATCCGCTTCTGTTGAAGCCGTGAGGCTGAGACTGAACAAATGAAAAGTTGTGGTGATGATCGAGGAGAAGGTCAGTCAGAAGGACTGACCTGTCTACGAAATCTATCTAGGTACTGCGCAAACCGCGGAAGTGTTTGGCATGTGACCCACAGCGGCTGGGCAGGCAGCCGTGTCAACAGCTTCAAACGTAGTGATAAATTTCCCACGTTCCGTTTGCACTTGGACCTTCCGCGCCTCCTCGATGCGAACAGTTGCAGCCTGCGTCACCCTCACCGCCACAAACCCCTCAGTCTTGACGTGAATTGTCGCCGGACCTTCCAACACCATGTACGTCGCGGGGCCGCTCGTGGTAAGGACTTTGCCCATAGGACCGGCGGGCTCTGGCCTGTCACCATCGGCATCGGCATCTGGATAGGATGTAGTCGAAGACCTGGAATCAACTCTTTGCCGTTTTCTGCTTCTGCTGCTGCCGGTGTCTTTAGGGTCTCCTGCATCCTTTGCCGGCGGCCCCTTCTTGATGCTTTCGAGGCAGCGGATAAAGTGGATGTACCACTCGACGTCTTTGCCGGATTCGAGGTAGGCGTTTGTGATATCGAAGACGCGGTTTCCCAAGATCTTGTGGATTTCTTCGAAGGCCCCCTCGAAGTCCATGTCACCGTCCACCGAGGTCTCGTCCTCCGACGTCTCTGGTTGCTTGCCGCTTCCTCCCATCTTTCGTTTTTGGTCGCACGTTCAGAAGTGCGCTGACGCGGATGGCTGTAGCGTATGGTAGAGGTAGGGAAGAAAATAAAGAGGAGGGTGGGAGATAACTGCGAGAACTGGAAGTCACGCTTCGATTGTTTGTTGTTTTGAGACGCGTGAACTCAGCGCTAGGAAAACCATATCCTGGCGTTGTATTCGCACCAATAACGCGAGCGTACACTAGCGCCCCAAGCCCCTCTCCGAAAAAGCAACAACACCCTTAGTGTCCGAATGCGAAAGGCCGGTACTATCGGGGGGCCAACCCAGTATGGTTCTAGTAGTGGAATACTCGGCCGTCAATTCCCAGGCTAGGAATGTCCTAGAGCCATCCCCAGGTAGGAATTACCAGGGGATAACCAACTACTACAACATCCCAAAGATCCCAAAAACCCAAAGAAAGTTGGAGAAATACTTCCGCCAAGAGGCAGAAGAGGGAGCACCTTCCCATCTATAAGCATCGACTTCGAACACCTTCCTCGATTAGATAGAAATGGTCTTTTGGCCAAGTTGTTTCGCGCGCAGATAGATAATTAATCTTTTACCTACGTCCTGCCTTCGAATCCTGACCGTGCAATGTTTTTCGTGATGTCCCAACTTGAACACCTTGAGCGATACTAAGAAGATGATGCATCACCACCAAGAACAAGATGCATTACCAAGAAGAAGATGCATTACCAAGACGAAGATGCATCACTAAGAAGAAGAAGAAGCACCACCAAGAAGATGCCCCAAATGGGCGATATTCTTTTGCACTATAGAAGAAGACCTTGGGTTACTGGGTTTGGCTGGGTTTGGCTGGGTTTCGTTGTGATGGTCCCAGCCGGTGGGCGAGTTCCTACACAGTGAGTCTCCCTTGGTACCCACCATGTTGTGGTATCCCCCTAATGGGACTGCCCCCCGGTGCTACCGGCCACTCCTACTCGCCTACTAAGGACATTTCGGGCAGGAACAGCAGGGAACCGCCAATTTGACCCGCTTTTATTTCCGACTTTCAAGTGAATTCTTGGGAAGATCGTAACGACTACAATACAAGACTGGTTTGTTTGTTAGTTTGGTTCTTCGGCCATAGGTTGAACAGGGGAGAACTGGAGCTCTCATTGGCCTTCTCAGAGAGAAAACTGGTCTTCGTTTGAAGTGACGGACAATGACCAGGGCCTAAAACGCCACAGAAGCCTCTTTTTTATGCCTCTATCCGTCTCCTTCGAGATGCTTAAGACTAGAAGATATAAGAGGGCAATCCCCTACGGCACCTGTCCGCTCGAAGCCCGAATGCTTTTCCACTTTCAATAGCTCGAGAGTGGAAATAGGCGTTTTTTGTACCAAACTAACAAACAAACCAGGGTTAGATTGTACAGCTTTTCAAGATGCAAGTGGCTCGTAACCAAAATGCTGGTCACTTGGGACATTTACCTACATGCCAGGTTTGTTGTAAAGGAGCAGTCCGGGTCTGCTTTCAGTCCAGTCGGGAGCCGGGGCGGGTCCATCAGGCCGGAAGGTGGGTCCCCGGAAGCGGACGTTACCGGATAACCATGCCTGCTTGCATTTTCCCTGGTCATCTTTGGATATAAATCAAACCCAGTTGAGGTTCCGACCGCTTCTTTGTGTAATCGTTCAACTTACAAGCTCTTCCCGTTCTCAAAGGCTCAAAGCTGCGCGTTTGAAACAGGCCGTGTTTGAATGACATTAAACCTTAACGCCTAAGCTCCGAATTACTACACATTTCTTGATAGTGCCCTAACAGCACTTACCCTTCGCTACCCTCCTCCTTGAAAATAGTAACAACATTCCCATCAAGCACCTGCATCTGCGCCTTTCCAGCCTTTCAGACAGAGAATTCGCAACTTGGTGAGTTATTATCCACGCTCGATTACTCCTTCACCGAGTATAATCCTGCAGTTTCGGTCCTGTATGCCCGTCTACGCTCTTTGCTGTATATGTGTGATGGTGCATAGAGGTAGCTTTGTAACACAAAATCATGCTTTGAGCACACTGGGGGGGGGGGGGGGGGGGGGGTGCCTACATTGTTGATAACTCTCTGCCTCAGATTGAAGTGAACGCCGGTTACTCAGAGGTACCTCTAGAGCCTGTCTTGAAGTCGTTCTGAGATACAGGCCTATACCCATCATCCGTAAGAACAGAGACTTTGGAGAAGTCGGCGGTCCAGAGCTTAGCACCAGCAGGAAGGCTGAACTTGGTGGAAGCTCCTTCTAGTTCTACCCCATACATGGTACCACCACCTTCGATCCGGAACCACTTCGTCCGATCATAGCTGACGTGCTGAAATAGGCGTGGTGACTGCTCCGTGTTGGGCACAACATCCGTCGCCGCGCTTTCGGAAGCGGCCGCAGCAGCCTGGGCCGGGCCCTCCGCGATCTTCGCCAGACAACTGACGAAGTTGACCAGCCAAGCTTCGCGATCGGGAGCGATAATGTACGCAACAGTGATTCGGTACACCCTGCTTCCCCAAATTGCGTTGAGCTCCGTCTTCGCTTTCTGGATCTCTACCTCGTCAGTCAGACGATCTAGAGTCTCCGCCAGCGCGAGAGGACGGGGCGCACTCGGAGTACGCTCTGATCCATCATCAGGCGGTCCCGCGACCATCATCGCAAGGCACCGAATGAAGTGGATACACCACTCGTCGCGATTCGGGTGGTGGAGGTAGGAGAGCGCGATGGCTGTCTCTCTGGCTTTCCAGAGGGTGTTGAGCTCATCGTAGTCCGTTCCGTTCGTCGGCTTTTCCTCACCCGGGCTGGACGACATCGGCGCCGGCGCTTCGGCTGTATGGGTAGGCATCGTAACGAGCAGACGATGGGGTGATGGTGACGACCGAAAACTGACTAGGAGATAAGGATTTGGGTGAAAGAAAGGGCGAGCAGAAGGAAGTGTCAGAGACGTACCTTGGTGCCTGCGGTGAGGGTCGTGTGAGGGGACGACTGCCTCCTGGTGTAGAGGAGCAAGAGGCCTTTGGGAAGGCAGGGAAACGCCAGGCGTTGGGGTGAAGCAAGGCTGTAGAAGCGAAACCCTTTACACGAGCGCGTTCGATTCGCGATGTGTGAGAGGAATCGGGCAAAAGGAAATCTTCCAAGCTCGGGATTCCAGTCTGTGAGCTTGATGTGGGGGTCCCGGTGAGTGGGAGTTAGGTGAAGTGAAGGGTGCTTGTGTGTGAGAGCTGGTCTAGGCACCCAACAAATGTACAAATTGGTTGAGTGCTCGCCGGTAAGTTCTCGCACCGGATTATCCCTCGTCCGGGTGACTTCATATCTCTAATTCCATCCGATGTAGTAAAAGTACTGTGACGAACCGTTACAAGCACAGGAGTATATCGCTGGGATAGGTAGAACAACGGTAGTAGTAGCCGAAAGGTACTGATTGATTGTAGAAGCTATTGCTTGCTGAAGAGCCGGTATTCAAGAGGCCTGGGGAGGCCGTCTTATATACTGGCATTCAAGAGGCCTGGGGAGGCCGTCTTATATACTGGCCTTCATGGACCCGTCAATCCGGACCCGTGGACCCGAACCTCCGTATCGGGTCCCCGGGACCCGGCCTAAGGACCCGGGCCTTCGGGTCCTTCCTTCGGGTCCTACCTGATTGGTCCCGTTGGTTCTATCTGATCTAGCTTACATAAGGGATCCTTGATTGGATCGTAACAAGTACCTAATACAACACTGCTGAAATTCTCGCTTCACTACCCCTTAAGTGGGTCAAAACACACTTCTTACCTCGAGCAAATCATAATGTAGCTTATGAGTTCCTCCTCACAGCGCTTCTTGATGATTTCCACCAGTGAAGGTTCTCTCCATCTCCTGACATACACTTTCCGCCTTGCGGGACCATGAAAGCCAGACTTCTCCTCGCCTCTTTTCCTCTCGCTTCTCCTTTGACTGCCGCCACCAAAGTCCCAAAGATAATCTAAGCCACAAGTATGCGTAATCCATATCGGTAGGTACCTACGTGAGGTATCCTGCAAATATTTTGATTAGCTTTACCGCTTCAAAGAACCATCAGAGCAAGCCAAAGCAACTTCAAAAGTAACTCACATATAAGCCGCTCCTAGACAGACTTAGTTGACTTCAAGACATCCCCTTCCCCTCTCCACCGACCTCAAAAGTGGTAACACGCGATTCGCCAAACGTCTCAACGTAGACCTTCTTCGCATCTTGAAAGTAGACCGCAGCAGGCCTAGTCACGCTAACAATCACAGGACCTTCAGTCTTTATGCGCATGTTGACCGAGCCTTCCAAGACTCTGTATGTCGCCGTGCCGTTCGTAGTAAGGTGTTTGCCAACGATTTCTAGGGAACCTAGCGTCTGGGCCTCATCTCCTTGTCTCTGCCGCTTTCTCGCGGTGTTTGAGGTTGAGCCAGCTTCCTTGGTAGTGCTTCCGGTGCATGTGGCTAGCGGCATAAGGCAGCGCTGGAAACAAATCAAATATAAATAAATATCGATTTCGATTTATTTGAGTGGGTCAAATATGAAATCGTATTTATTTGCTTAACTTCGATATTTATTTAATCAAGTACTAAACTCGAAAAATCGTGATTCTTAGTGCTTTTAAACCCTATTTCGTTTATTCTTTCTATATACAGCCTCCCTAGACCTCCCTTAACCTCCCTAGAGCGCCAAATTCCCTATCCTAGACGTCGTCGTCGTCGTCGGTTCCTAAACCCCTATATTAATTATACTTTTCAAGCCCGTTTAGCAACTAGAACTTTAAACTCTCGATGATATTAATAGACTCAACGGAAAAACTATACTTCAAATTATCGACAATCAATTTTATACTATTGAAAGAGCGCTTATAATGGTTCACTATAGCGGGGATAGAATAGTAATCAAATATTATACGTAATAGGCGAGGGTATAAAGATTAATTAATTTTCTATTAACTAATTATATTATTAACTATATAAATCTCGTTATTAAAGTAGCAACATAGTTTATCCACCTTCATTAGTTATGAAGGGAGGGTACTGTAAAAATTAAGGTCGATAAACTAATTATTATTAAACAATTTAATTTATTAACTACTATAATTAGCTAGCGGGTCTTCAATAGCTACGTCAGCGTAGCTCTTGTCGTAGACGATTTACAAGTCCCTAATAATCAATTTATATTCGTAAATAGAAAAATATTTAGCTACCTATTCAACACAGTAACTAAGATAGAAGTTATAAATAATCTAATATATAATATATTCCTCCTCTATTAAATGCTTATATTTTTCTAATTTAATAATAATTCCATCAAATATTGGACTAATATATTCTACACTTTTATTAATTATATCATTAGCGTAATTAATTGGGGGGTTGCTAATTAAAATAATAAAAGTAGAAGGAAACGAGGAAGAGGGGGATAAGAGTGGATTTAAAAAAAGGATTAAATTTAGGAAGTTCGTATACGGTGCCGTTAGGTAAAAGTATTAGGAGCCGCTACTATAATATTAAACTGTAGGATATTTAGACCCTTTTCTTATTAAATTGTACTTTCTTCTTATTAAATATAGTAATAAGGCGATATAAATTAGGTATTACGGTTAAAAAGTAAGGACCCCGCTTCTTAAAATTCTTAGTAAAATCTTCGAAGTAGCTTATTATATTTATAATAGAGGTAAATATAGTTTCATCATTATTATTAAATTAATCTTCCTTAGGAAGCCTCTTAGCAGTATTAGAATATTATATAGCCTTATTAATATAATAATTAATAAATTTATAAAGCTTCTAAATACAGTATATTATATAATAATTTAAATTGTAGCGTATTATATTATTAAAAATTATATTAATAACAGGAGATACCTCGTTTTCCTTTATATATATATTTGAAAAGGGATTGAATTTATTATTAATATTAAAGTATTACCCAAGCTATATAATGTTTTAAAACTTTGCCCGTTTTTATAAGCTTCGTTGAATAAATTATATAATATTATAAAACTTTTTAACTAATCCCTATTTACGCTATTTTCATAAGGAAATATTTTTTTAATAATAGAAAGGCGGGTAAAAGGATAATTAATATCAGTAGCATAGGAGAGCGAAGATTTAATAGCAGCCTTCGCGCCGAAATTTAAAACGTAATCGAAATAACGAAGATAATAATAAGGTATTATGATTTCGATCTCCTCTTTAGTAAGAGTAGGGTATAATCCTTTAAAAATATAATAGATATAATAATTAATAGAAATAACGTTATTATACTAAAAGAAGCCAATTTAATTACTATTAATATTATAGAATCTAATAATTTGTAGAAGAGAGGCAGCTAAACTTTCGCCGCTATAATTACTGTAAATTTAAAAGAAATTAAATAGATTATTTTTAATTATTTTGTAATAATTTACGTAATAAATAAAGCTTGAGAGTATAGTAAAACCGTTTAGCGAAGTTTAAAAATTGAAAGAAATATACTTTTACCAAGAGGATAAAGTTAAATGCTCTTTAAAATAATTAAAATAGTATATATATTTATTCTTTATTTATATTGCTAGAATATAGTACGATTTTAATGGTAATTTGTTAATTATATTATAGTCTATTAATCATAAGAGCCTTCGAAATCCCTTATTTTTAATAAAATTAAAAAGTAGGCGCGCGCTAACGATTATTTTTACTAATAATTCGCGGAACACTTTATTAAACGGGCTTCAAAATAAGGAGGTTCGATTATTATAATTATTTAATAATAGAGCGAATTTTCTTAAATTTTAATTCGTCAGTTTTATTACTAATAAACTCCTTAATTTTATAAATACTTCGAAGGTAAATAAGGGTAGAATTAGTAATATAGAGGATATAGAATTTATTATATATATTATAATATTAGTAATTATTGAGTTCGTAATCTCTAAATATTTTAATTAGGTATGTGCTATAATCGCCGACTTAAAAATTTCGTTTAAAATATTTATATAATTATATTTGAAATATATATTGTTTTCCTATTTAGGTAAATTTCGGTATACATTTAATATTCTTCAATAAATCGTCGGAATAAACAGCTTTTAAATATTAAATTTACCAATGGAAGGAGAGGTAACGAATCTTATTAAACGTAGTAATAGCCTCTACGTACGTAATTGAATTTTTAAAGGAGACGGTAGGTATATTGCCCGCGGTAGACGAGGTTTTAAGGTTTTTAATAATAGACATTTTAATAGTAGCGGTAGCGGTACTAATAATATTAAGGAGAAATTAATATTAATTAATAGTAAGGGAGAGAAGTAATTAATAATTATCGTAAGTAATTTAATTCAATTAAGTATAATAAAGGTTAATAGCGGCGAATTAATTAGGGTAGAAGGTTGGCGATATAACCTAAGAAAATACTTAGAATATGAATACTTTAAAATCTTAGAAATTTTATAATATATGCTATTTTGGGTAGTTTGAGCGGCTCTAGTATGGGCGGGTAGTTGTATAATTAAGGGTAGCCTGATAGTGGCAATCTTTAGGAGTTAGGATATATTAGTTTTACCAATTTAAACCCTAACCTAAGGATTCTACCGACCGGAAAGAAAGGCAGCCAAATACACCAAATCAAATATCGATCTATATTTATTTATTCAAGTAGCCGGAACACCCTGATTTATTTCCAGCGCTGGCATAGGGGGACCCTCTACGATACTTTGAAGGCATTAAATCGAGTGACTTGCCCACTCTTGGCTTTTGCTACTGTTGATGTAGGACTGTACCATGGGGTCAAGCTGACACACTGTATGATTCTTCCACAGATTATTAAGCTGTTTAGAGGCTTCATTGAATGCCTTTTGATCTCTCGGTATTTGGTGGTTGTCTGATGACATCTTGGGCGACGGGTGGACTACAGTTGACGTGGACTGAAATTGGAGGTAGTAACGGGGTGACCGGTAAAGGTTACCGCAGCGGGAATCTGGGAAGCTCAGGTAGCCTACTTGGGGGCCTAGTAGGCTCCTCTAGTTTCTTAGCATACTTCTAGCAAGTTCCCTACCCAGGGCAAGTAGGCTACTTGAAAAGTACGGCATCTGATTGGTCAGAATCTCAATATAAGAGCGAAAAAGGGAAATCCCCTAGAAGGCCTTCTATAGTGACTACTTTAGAAGGCCATCCCGGGAATTTTTAGTGGGCGGTTACTGGGGCGGTGAGTGTACCTCTAGGTAGTCTTAAGGGACTTCAACTTTGAAGTTTGGAATCTAGGTGAAGGCGCGAAACTTTTCGGGATTGAACTGGTGATGGGAAGAAAGGAAGCGACGGCGAAAACCATTGAGCCACTGGCCCAATTGATTGAAAGCGGGCTTTATTGTTTCCTTTGATATAGGGCAATAGAATTTCCATAGGGAAATTAACTTTGGGAAAGAAGCATCGTCACTTTAATCACTTCGCTAAAAGAAGCGCTAAAGAATTCCAAGTTCAGCACATAGCTATAGCGCACCTTGGAATTGACCAATCAGATGCGTTTCTCGCCAAGTAGCCTACTTGATTTGGGTGGCCTACTTGACCGAGGTAGCCTACTACCCCCCTAAGTAGGCTGCCCAACTTCCTGATTTTTCCGCTACGGTATGAGTGGTGTGGTCGAGACTCGAGACGCCGAAAGATGGACCCGAAAGGAGTCTACAGCTGGATCTGATAAGAAGAAAGCAGTGGTGTGGAGGGAAAAAACCGTCTCGGCCTAGGTGAAATGAAAAATGGAAGGATCGATTCTGGGTATATGGGCACCGACTCAACGGCTTGTAGTTGTCTTAGACTCTGGGTCGCAGTTAACTACGCAGATCAGACCTCCACCGCTCTTTCCTCGTCCTCGTCCTCCTCCACACTTCCATCTCCATCGCCGCCGTCATCTAAATCATTCAGCTCGGATGCGATAGCTACTTCGTTTCCCGTTGACATAGATGCTCTGTCCACTTTCACAACCTCGAAGGTAATGCAGCATAAGCGGGGACTTCACAGTTGGTGAGCTTTCGGACCGCTGTATGTGTCGTTCGTACTTTGTCTCTTTCCATCCTTGTCGCTAATTTGATCGTTACTGCTGCTGATCTATGAGGGCCTTTTGAGTCTAGGAAGGCAGACGCTTGAACAGTGGTTGGTCACGAATATGCCGGCCGGGTCGGAGCAACAATTGGACAGGAGCGAGACTAAGGGAGTGCGGGGCATTGATGTAGCCCGGTCCCGGACCGACACGCGGAATGCATGCAATCACTGATGAGATCACTTTCATGTTTCCGTCATTCACTGGTTCGCAATTTGCACTCGATCCTCCTTTATTCCCTTTACTTTAATCATAGCTAGGTCTGTAGGCACAAGGGTTGACTTCTTGACGTTTACCCTCTGTCCATTCCCATTAACTCTTGCACCCCTTCATCGATAGCTAGTCCCCATTCCCGAATTCTCCCTTTCTTTCCTTGATCTAATCCGTCAAGATTGTTAGAAGAGGTGTATGTGCGTGAAATTCTTCGTGGTTCTTGCTGCTGATGGGCGGATTTGACTATTGAAGTTGAGGTAGTCTGCGCCAAGACTGAATGAGATCGAGCGCTATCGTTGTCGCTGCGAGGTGTTGAGGGGATGTGATAGTGCATTAACATTATAGCACTACCTCAAGGGAAGAATGACTTCCTCACGCTCATGCTGCGCAGCGATACCGAACCAGGCTAGTTGCTTGAGGATGCCGCGGTGGACTTGTCAGCGTCGGTGGACTTGTTAGCGTCGGCGGACTTGCCAGCATCGGTGGACTTGCTTGAGGAGGCCTCGCCCTCGGTGGACTTGCTGGAGGACGCCTCGGCCGATCTGTCGTAGTAGACATTCTTCTTCGACAAAACCCTGCCGTTCATCAGTCCATCGACCATAACCCTGGGCGAGTCAATGACATGGATGGTACAGCAGCCCAAGCCTCCAGTGGTCAACAAACTATCGCCGTCGACCTCGACATGAAAGACAGCAGGGCCTTTGATCATGTACTGGGCCAGGCCCTGGGACTTGAGAATCTTGTCGTCGTGGCTCTCCGGGGGCGGGCCTGCCTGTGCCTTTGCAATGCAGCTGTCGAAGTGCGCCTGCCAGGCAATAGGGTCCTCGGAACCGGCAAACTCGTGGGCGAGGACTTCCTTCTGGAACGACCACTTGAGCTCGAGCTCGCGGAGGGCGAGGTCGTAGTCGATCTCGATGGGCGAAGTTGACTCCATTGTTGAGAGTGGCGTGATGGTGACTAGAGGATTAGGAAGGCAGAGGGCGGTCTTTCGCAGTGGCCACTGGATCAAGAGATGTTGCTTGATGAAGAAGAGGGGAAGTTTTGGGTTCTAGGAAGGAGCTCAAAGTATGCGATTTTATAGACGACAGGAGGCATCTACCAACCGGCAGGCACCTTGAGGCTGGCGTCATATCTGTGGCGGAAAAGTGTATATTTACCCTTCACCGACACCTCCTTTTTCTCAGCCGTGCGCATAGCCGTTCCTATGTGGAACTACCTGGAATTTGGGAGAAACAAGGTCCCAGTGAAGGTCCCATACGACAGGAGGCAGGCAGTTGATGGCAAGTGTGTCTGGCCAGTCACGGTTTATCCACCAAAGTTCACGTGGGGCTACGACGCAAGTTTGGAGCGTGAATTGCACTTCACAAGTTCACCATTTGTTAGCAGCTCCTTCCACTGCTGCTTCGACCTCATTTGGTTTTCTCTGGCAAGAAGGAGTACTATGAGGACTAACACCACGTATCACCAATATCGAGCGTAGCATTGCTCATTCTATGCTGCTTTGATGCAATGTTCTTCAGGTTGTATCGTATCCACGCTAGAGAATGCAACCAGGTGCATCATGAGTGACAACCAACAACATGAACCCCGCCAAATTCTTATTCTCCTTTGCCATTGCCCTTCAAAATACCTCCATGTACTCTCTTGTCTCTTTAGCACGGTGTTTGACATGATACTCTCTCTCTACTTGCTCAAGTCCTTCCTAGTTGTCAAGGGATATGGTGTATCGAGCAAATGATGAAGCCTTTGATCTTCGTGTCGTGACTAGAGGTACCGATTGCTTAAGGTAGGCAGCTTCAAGGCGATGAGGCGTGCAGGCTGAACTAGGGCAAAGAGAACTCCTCGGTGACTAGGTTAGTAACAGAATCGCGTTAGCGGGATCACTGAACGAAGGGGTATCTTGGAGAACCTACTCTGCTTGCTGACTTTGGCCGCCTTTTGCTCATGGTCCTCGGGCGTGGAACCGTCATCGACGCGACGGCGCTTGACGGCCTTGACTTCGGCACCAGAAACTTCGGCGCCAGAACTGCCAGTTACGGCAGGTTTGGGTGAGGGTCCTTGCTTGATCTTCGCAAGGCAGTCGAAAAAGTTCTTGAACCAGGCCTCCTGGTCCTCGGCATCCGCAAAGGCCTGGGCCATACCCTGCTCTTGTGTCCACCAAGCCATGTGGAGCTGCTCGAGACACTCCTCGAAGTCTTTTCTAGCAGCCGACATTGTGAGATCGTGGCGACAAGTGAGAAAAGGGTAAGGATATTAGAGGATTGGAAGAGATAAAGGTTCTAAGTGTTGAAGAAAGAGGTTGATTGTTGATCTTGGGATTGAGTAGTATTGTAGTGAGCTGTCCGTCTGGAATCGGCAGGAAAGGAATCGCAAGTTGACGTAAAGGAGAAGAAAATTCTTGTTCTTGGGAAGTTACAGAAGCTTACGAGTACTACCTGCTATATACACGACGAGGGGTAGATACATGCAAGCGTATAACTATGCCGGAAATTCGGTTGAAAAAAGAATTGCCTCGACGCGTGAAACGTGGGGCTCTTTCTGCCTAAGCCTGAAATCAGACGGGAGTCGGATACCGAGTCAAGGCCGGGGACGAAAACACGTCGGTCTTAGAATGAGCAGAACTCCTTGCACCCCCCCTCCCCTTTCTACTACGAGTACTCTTTTTTCACTTTACGTAACCCCTTTTGGATATAATAAGTATTATATATCTACTAAATTATATTTAATTCCTTTCTATTTAATTCTTCAACTTACTTACTAGCCCCCAAAAGGTTATTCCCCTCCCCCAATAAGCCAATCTAGCTCTGCAATAGGCCATTTCAACCTCCCAAGAGGCCTTTTCACGCCTTGGAAAACACCCCTTAAAGATATCCCTAAAGCAAAGGTACTTAGTAAAAAAAAGGACGAATATTACATACTAGGCTCTATAAAGAGAATTAGGAAGAGGCCAGAATTTCTACCTTTTAACTAGTGAGCTAAAAGTTTAATATTAGAATTATAGAAACGAAGACTTTATCTAAGTAATTTGGAGGCTGTTTATTAGGATTCAATATTTGAAAATGATAGAACTCATCATAATAAAGATATTTAACAATATTTAAAAAAGGTACGTAAGTGTAAGCAAAGGGGTGGGTACCTATCTAACGCGGACTTACGGCTCTGCCAGTTTTACACTGGAGGTTTCGCCTTTGGCAACAATCAAATCTGAAAAGGGATTCACGGTTCATGTTAAGAGTGAAAGCAAGGTGACCCTTTGGGCGGGCGAAGGTCCCAGTCAGATGGAAGATTCGGGTAACATCAACATTGAGTGATAATAAAATGCAGAGGTTGTCCTAAAGCAGTTGATTGAGAACAACTTGGAGGGGTCGGATCCCACGGGTGCACGCCTGAGCAGTTCTTCATCCCTCTTCAAACATCGCGTCGCGTACGTAATAGAAAGCTGACTTGAACCGGAACTTCCAGCAAATGGTGATACTTACGTAATAGGTATTCAGTCCTCTTCCTTCTTTCTATTGTTGCTAACAAGATGACCAAGGAGTTGATCTTATTATTATGGCACTCACTACAAGCACACTGCCCACTCAGTTCATACATACATGTACCGAAGTTTGGTACTAAAGACGGATATCGAAGAGATCGATACATCATTCGAGAGGCAGGAGCAGAGAAAAGCAGGGGAATAGTGTAGTTTATGCTCCCGAATAGGAAAGAATAACGACGTTCACACCTTCCTTCCACAATCTTCTTATGTCTCCGTGACCCATCCTGACTCTGTTACCGACGTCATCCATCCTTCCCAACGAATCCTATCACTGCTAGAAGTGCACAGAAGAAAGAACGAACAAATGGTGAAGGCTTGGTATTGTTCTTTGCCGTTATAAAGGGTGATACCGGTCCAAAGAGGTGAGCAACAGCTCATCCTGATCCATCTTTAACCCCACGGTTGCCAAACTTGTGTAGCCGCTGATCTTATGCTGTGTTCTCTTCTTCCGCGTCCATCTCAGTTATTCATCGCAACCTTGGAGAGGTTCTCGACAAGCTCTGTCAAGAGATACGCAAGTCAGTCAAGGCAGCCTGTAGAGCAACAGCGGACAGAAAGTCTCTTGCCTGAATGTGTAGTCGTAGTTGTGGTCTCCACAACCCCGAGGGCTTTCTCGGCATGAACTTTGCCGGGACCTTTGATCCCAATGTGAACCCGAGACAACTCGGTACCCGGGATTTCGACCAGAAGGGCAGTAGGACGTGTTGTCCAGAACTCCACGTCCACTTCCTTGTCCGTCTCAATCACTTTCTCGTATTCACAGATCCTAACGACTCGAGAACCAGTGTCGTTAACTTCGACACCGCAGCTTTTGCGATCCGCGGGAGTGAGGCAAGGCACCTTGCCAGCGTCTTGAGCCTTGGGAGGCGGGCCCTGCTTGATGAGGCAGTCCTGGAAATGCTTCAGCCAGGCTTCCTGGTCGGCAGCGTTGGCGAAGTCTTTGGCCATGTCGGCCTCTTCCTTCCACAAGGCAAGGCGGATGTGCTCCAAGGCCTCTTTGTAGTCTTTGTGGGCGGCCATGTTGAGGTTGAGGCAATGGGTGGTTGAGGAGTGAGTGAGTGCCTTCTGGGTGGCGGGGTGTAAGAACAGGAGAGCGATGGCGATCTGGATGATGCTGAGAAAGAGAGACGGCGGAGGGAAGCTTGAACAGTGAAGTGATAAGCGCGTTGTCAGTGTCGTGATGAAGGTAGGTACCAAGGTGAGAAATGGAAGACCGCGGGGTTGGTGTGGAAGGAAAAGAAAAAAGAGTTTTGGTTCCTGCGAAGGTGACGCCTGATTTAGGGGATTCTACAGCCAAACACCCATAATTCTACACAGTACACGCACGCGCCTTCTCCACTTGACAGCTGGCCGGGCCGGAAACAAACTGCCGTTTTGTATATCGTGGGGGCTCATACCAGCTTGTGCCTTCTTCTGGGCGGCGGTAATGTAAGGATGTAAACCACCCCCTTGTAATTTCAAGTCAATACGGGGCGTGAGGAGTGAAAACTCCCGCTTGGCCCCAAAGGGAAGGAAGACGACTAGGCTCAGGTTAAGGGTTTTGTGTGGAAGGTATATATGTATAGAATTAAAGGTGTATACTCGGAGAATATCTCCTGATTTATAGAGGTAGGCACGGATTCTGTCCCAGATGAAATGCGATCACACGACAACCAGCCAGATCTGTCGACATACGTGTAGACTGATGTCATTCATCTTCAACAGAGTACTAGTATCACTCAATGTACGCCAGGCTCTTTCGAGCATGTATTCAAGCCTGGCAGAGGCTTCGGGGTTGTCACTGGTCAGTGCCTTGAAGTAATGGCGGTCTTCCTGGTTCCAAAGATAAGGAGGCTCTTAGGTGTGTGATGAGAGTGAAATAGAGGCTGGATGGCTAGGTATGGGGCGTTTGGCGAGGGTTGAGACTTGAGAGCACTATCCTCCAGTCGCTTCCCTCACCTTTAGATGACAAAGGTGTCACAAATACTGCAAGCGATTTATTCTTTTCGTTCACAACTCTGCTATCATTTATGCTAGTGTATGCTCCTGGATAGTAGGAGATAACGACATGCACACCTTCCCGAACTTCCTCGAACCCCTCAGCTACTTGTGAGCCATCTTTATCCCGTTCCGACTTCATTCCATGCCCATCATCTGTCGTGTTGGCCCTCTTGACACCACAGCCTGTCAGACTGCAGTTAACATCTTGTAGAGTCCGAGGCATGCCGACTAGAAGTCTGAATCTGACTCTTCGGATCCAGACTCTGATTCCTCCGAACTTGAATCCGATAGGAGCACTGCAAATTTCTTCTAGTCCGTCTCCGTCTTGACCGCCGGTTGTTTCTTCACCTCCTGTCCATTCGCGGTCTTTGCGAACGCGAAGTTCGCGGGAGCTTTACCAGGCGGTTAGTTAGTCGCCAGACAGCATGAAGAGACTGGAAAGTAGAAGTGTCTCACCTGACTTTCTAACAACTTCAACCTCATTGGCATCATTGACAAGGACTTTAGTGCCGCCACGGACAAACAGGCAGGTACGAAAAATAAAAGCTCTGGGGCCATTGTATGGTGTTACGACCCGAAAGTTGGCAGGGCCTATGAACTTGTACGTGGTGTCCTCCTCCGACTCTAAGACCCTTCCACCGCCTCTGAAGCCTTGAAGGATCGTCACCTCATCATCGACACGGCGGCGTTTGACGGCCTTGGTCAGGGAACCGGACTCGCTACTCTCTTCGACCTTGGAGAGCGGTCCCTGAACGATCATCGACAGACAGTTGATAAAGTGGAGGTACCAAGCATTGGGGTCCGGATGATTGGCGTAGGCTTTGGCGATCATGCTCTCTCTGTTGGACAGTGTGCTCTTGATCTCGCTCAGAGCGCCGTCAAGTTCTGCTTTGGTCGGCGGCATCTTGAGGCTGTGTTGAGGTTAAGGTGATGGTGATCAAGGAGTGAGTGCGTCGATGGTTATAGCAGGCGAGAGGTGAGAATCTGAATGCCGTAAAGGTAGACGGCTGAGCGTGAATTGCGGGATAGGGAGCGCAGGAGCACTGGCAGCTTTATGATAACCCCGAGAGAAGTTGAAGGTTGTGGGTTGGTGTAGAAGGAAGAAAGAAGTTTTGGCTCCTCCGAGGGTGGCGTCTAGGTGATTTATAGGCGCGGGGAGAGGCTGCCAATGGACTTCGTCTTAACGTGCCCTGCGACGAATGTTTCCCATGTACAGTCCGCTGTTTCATCTCAGGACGGTCAGTCAGATGACGGCAAACAAAAGTACCACCATTCCCGTTGTCACATCTCAACAGTTCAGGTTGATGCCTCTACACAGTCGTGATGAAACTCGTACACTGCGAGCTGCGATGGGAACAAACCTCGTTGTCTTAACTTCCACGAGGTGAGACCGAATGATCAACTATTCTATCGACTTCAGTGGAGCTATGATCCCGTTTGCTTTGCTGAGCATAGTTTCCATCTCAACTGTGTGCTAGTATTCGTCAGTATCGGCCATGTTCTGTCGAAGATGTAATTGTTAGTATTGAGCAATAAGCAGGCATCGAATGTGTTCAAGTACTTAACCGGGAAAGGGGTCTTCGGCCTCAATAGATGGAAGGATTTCCGGGAGTTTAGTGAGGGGGGCATGAGCCTGGATGGCCAGGTACGGTTTATGGCTGGTGAGATTTGAGAGCATTACCTTGGTATCTTGCAGTGTGCGGGGAGGGAGTCATTGACAATTGAAGAAAGTGACATGGTAATTCAATATCTAGGTTAGTTTGGTCTTTCTAGGTACAAAGGAAGGAACATGAACGCTTTAGAGGATAGGGGACGTTGAGCTATAGTAAAGAGAGCAGACACAGAAGAAGAATGAGGAATTGGAGAAGATGAAAACATAAAACAAAGGAAACTTGAACTTAGATGAGAGTGATGGTTTGTTGCTTTCCCCACTCCGGAAATGGACCATCATCATCCAGCCCATTTTGAGAGCGGCATGCTTCTTGTAGCATCTGTATACCACCCCCCTCTTCGTTCGAGGAACGGTCTCCTACCTCAAATACCCCAACTCTTTGAAAGACATCTTGGCCGCGGTCGGTCTCTTGTATGAGCAAACCACTGACTGTGTTCTCGCGATAGCTCGTACCAATCCAGCCGCAAATTCCCCAGTCCAACATGGTAACGAGAAAGTAAAGAGTCTTCTTGTTTGGCCGCTGCCAAGGGTAATCGACTGTGTCCATTATGTAGCCTCCCACGGAAATTTTCTTATAGTAAACCGAATGACGATCGAATGCCAAGCTCTTCATGAGTGAACTTGTCGCCAAAGGGCCCGTTATACGTAGGGCTCCCCCTGAAACTGCTCCAAATGGATGGTTCTCATCCAACAAGTTGATTGTGGCATCCAGAATCTGAATGGTAGGCCGGAAACTCTTGTTTCTAGGCAAGAACCTTGACTCCATTCTCCCTGGTAACTGCCCCTTCTGCATCATCGTCAACTTCACTCTGGTAGGGATGGAGGCCCAAGACCAACTCGGAGCTACATACTCGCTATAAGGCCTAGGGGCTTGACTTAAGTCCCTGTGCCAGAGAAGCTGCTCAGGCAGATTCGCAAGCCACATCCCAGCAAGGTATTGGGTGTTGAGAAATTTCGAGTGCATTTTGGCCAAGCCCGATATCGCTACCAGCTTATCGCGATCGAATGTGAGATCAAGTGTTTGGTATTGATCCACCACCAAATTCCAAATCAGCAAGGAATCAAAATACTTGTTTGAGGCCGCGTTGGAGGGACTCAAGCGTATGAATATGTCGGACCCTGGAGGTCTCAGCTTGCGCCAGGCACTGCAGAGGCAGGCACCCGAGCCACGAAAACAGTGTATGGAGTGCGGCAATCCCATAGGAAAGCTCTCGCTGGCTATGCTCTCGAGGCACTCCCAATACAACTGTGTGTGGGAGCAATGGATCATGCGAGGAGCTAGTGTTCGCTCCTGATATACCCAACCTCTCCGGTACAAGGGGGCCACGGTGACGTTGAGTGTAAAGCGGTGAGACGCTGCGGCGTAGTAGTATCCTGATTTCATTGCCCAGTTGACATGAAGGCGAATGGGACGGACTAGAAAAGGCTCTCGATCGAAGAAACAACCCTGTGTTGAATCCATGGCATGTGTCGCGGCAAGGTTGATGTACGAGTTCTCATACACGCTCGTCATTTTTGCAGATTCTGCAGCCCAGTCCTTCCCATCTGGAGAATCCTGGATAATGCAAAGGGAGTCTATCCAAATGTACCGAATTCCCAAGCGCCTTGTTGCTTCTATAGCGTCTTGAAAAGTCTTCGGAAGTCTTTCCAACGGGATTTCTTGTTTGAAATCCTGAAGGTTATTTACCTCAAGTTTCAGCGGCTCCTCAGATGCCCAGCGATGACTCAAGGTTGCATAGCGTCCTGATGTTTTTTCGGTTACCACATGGAGGCATGGCGGACGACTGTCACCCTTAGACCCAACATCAATGACTCTTGTTGGGAGCGGCGGGGCCGCCGACTGCACCTGGTTACATGTTTGGTGGCTCGATAGACATTTGGCCATCCAGCTGCTCACAAGTTGCCAGGTAAGGTCTGACCCAGTGTTTGACTCGAAGGGACCCGGATTCCCAATTGCGCGATCCGAGAGCAGTTGAACTTTAAAATCCTCCTCACACTTTGAGTTGCGAGGATGAGGCTCATATCCCGCAAACAGCACTATGTCAACTTCTGCGATGAGATATCACGTGGACTCAACATGATACATACCGCTCTCTGGGTAAATCTCAGTTCTAGCATACATAGTTACAGGCAGGCCGAATTGATCCACACTCTTAGTCTTTACGGTCAGCTTAATACCGAAACAATTCCAGTTTGGTCGGTATTCGCACTGCTTGACAACGGTGATCTCATCCTGCGTAGGTTGTTGTTGGAAGAGTTCATTATCAATTCTTCTCATGTTCCAACGCAACTCGTAACAGAGAGGACAATAGTCGGCGAATAGGCTGGTCATCAAATTATCAGACCAAGTAATTTTCGTAGTAAGGATCCAAATGGGAAAGGTGAACTCTGGCTGCTTTCCATGAAATTCTACCTCCCAACCCTCACACACTGGGCCAGGTTCGACTAGGAATTGACATGTTTCACAAAGGTCGTCGTTGTCTGTATATCCTGGATCATAGTCGTCACTACCGGAAGAGTCGCTAGCCGCGTGTGTTGGACTAGGCTGAGTATTCTCGGGGAGACTATCCGACTCGAGGGCAGAACCAAGCTGGGTAAAGGTCCACTTAGGCGACAGACGAGATTCAGCGCAATCAGCGGCTGGGCCAGACTCCGTGGGTGGACGAGGGGCATTGAGCGCAGCGACTGATGCATTCTGGCTCGAAAGGCCGATTCCCGCGGGCCTAGCGGATGATGGGGGACGCACTTCGGTAGGCGTAGAGACGGATAAGCCTTCCCCCGCCATCTGGCTGTTCGGTGGACGGTGGACGGTGGATGATTGAAGCAAAAAATCCGGGCTTGAACGAGAGTGGAATGGCAGTCCGCCCAGGGCGAACAAGAAAATTGGTGAGAATTCCAGCAAAAGGAAGACAGCCCGGCGAGACAGGGCACAGATATGATGGTGAAGAAATTTGTGTCGCGTGAGGAGGAATGGCTGGGAGTCCCTCCACAGATTCGAAGCCAAGGCAATTGGGCATCAACTTCCACTTCTTTTGCTGATGGTGGCGAGAAGAACCGCTGATTGGCGACACTAGCCGCGGAAGGGAATTGTACTGTGTGATGCGTGCGGGCATGGCGGGGTTCTTGCGACGGTTGCCTGTCGGACCTTCCATTCCCCAGCACAGTAGTCAACACCACTGCTTCCCAGTTGTCCCATCGGATCTTAAAAACGGAACAGAAGGGGAAAGAACTCAGCACATCTCGCACTCCGAACCAATGTCCAAAACGGGTCCGATCCTGTCTTGGCACCGGCCAAATGTACCCCACCTTCCCCCGGATCACGGCGACGGGAGCGGGGGCCCCGCATTTTCGGAGACCCCGCACGCTCCGGACTTCGCACATCCCGTCCAGACTTCCGGCCACACGACCAGGCCGCCTACCCTCAGGCCACACGATTCGTGACTGAATGGAAAGACCATCAAAAAAGAACAGCGCGTAGCCGGTACGAATGAAGCAATGACGTAATAGGGAAAGAATAGGCCCACGAACGGCAGACGACCACCCTAGTTCTGCAGCGGGCCGTGTTGCTGTTTTGGACTTGTGATCACGCGCAAAACATGTCCAACCACACGTCCCGGGACAGAAGGCTTTTTGTACCTGCAGACTTTGCGGACCTGCAGATTATGCGGCACTGATGAGTGTGTATTCCGGGACCATGATGTTGACATGCCCGCTGCTTGTGATCTGGAGATACTGGGAAAAACAAGATCCTTATTTCTCCAATCTGGACAACTAGAGGATAAAGTTAGATGTCTCGCTTGAGTAGTGCCAGTAAACAACGATTATGGTTGCGAAACCGAGGAGGTTAAGGTAGCGACAGCTTGCTGGGCCACAGTCATGCTTGGACCTCCCGTCCCGTGGCTAAACATGGGTCCATGTCAGATCCGCAACCCATCTTTCCCGTGCCTATTTCCATGAGGAGATGTCACAATCTTGGGAAACCACTTAAGACGAGCAGAGCTTGCTGATAAATAATCTGCGAACCGGCAAGGAAGGGATGAGCAAGCGGGAGGGAAATTCAGGAACCACAATCTGCCGTTGTCGTAGACATGTAGAGTGACCTGGAAACAAGAAAGGTACGGAGGGCAAAGGAAATCAAGAAAATGCCTATAGTACTGGGTAATATTGCCACATGCAAAGACTTGAAGGTGGGAGGGTGGGATGCATTGCACGCAGAACTTGCCGCGGTAGCATTGATGATACTTCAACGGGCCGCCATGGCAACTTTGAGATTCTGAGGATCGCGTACATAGAAGGTGCTGAAGAGGAGGTGGCAACTTGGTGGGCATAAGTAAACTTATAAGTCCAGACTGAGGAGGTGGTAAGGAGCATACGTATCATGAGAGTGATAAGGGTATGTGTGTCGATCCGGGCTCCGCCGAGGTCCGCGCCGACGTCGTCAACGCCAATGGCAAGAGGTGTGGCACATGTGTGACGAATTGTGCAATGAGGCTCGGTACCATGAAATTTTTGAACAACGTTTTTGGTGACATGTTGAACAACACTTGCACCATCTCTGTCACTTGGAAAAGAGAAGATCTGTGTGTCCGACTTCTCAATATTGAAAAGAAACTGGATGATAGGGGCTGCGATTGGCTAGTGAGAAATCTTCGAGAGGAGCAGGGTTGCCGATCCCGCTCGGTTTTCTGTCTCGCATCTACGAGACCATGACGTGGATCCGAGTCGCAAGGCGTGCTGGTAGCACCTCAATGGATCTTCTAGAAGCCCGAGGGGCTCGGGGATGAGTAGAAGATGGTATGAGGAATGGGGAAATGGAGCAAGATGGCTGAGGCACGGCCGAAGCATCATCGGAGACGGTGTCAGATAATCCTTCGGTCGAGAATAAGACGATATGGAGTCGGTGGAGGCCATCGGGTTCGGGGCCGAGTTCATCGGAGAGAGCGATACTGGATCAAGTTAGCCGGAGTCACCTTGGTGACCAGTCAAGGTGAGATCGGAGGTCCGGGCCATCGGAGTTTGAGATGCGTCTCCGTCAAAGTCATCATCCTCCGGCCTCTTGGCGGGACTGAGCCACAGCACCGAGTACAAATGGCTGAGAAGAATGATGTTCATTCGTGTTGAGAACGAAGATGCAAGCCGCGCGCCACCCTGTCAAGCCTTATGTTAACGTTGCACGGTAGTCTCAGGGCTGAGACATGATGTAAGGTACTGTACCTCATGTCTATAATGTGGACAGGGCACAAGTCTCAATGCTGGGCAAGAATGTGTAAGCATTGCAGCATCGAGAGTCGATAGGCTTTGGGTACCATGCCGTACATCGTCGACATTGTCGGCGCTGCAGATTGTAGAATGGCCAGAGAGATACACAGCAGCTGTCATGACTGCAGCGCAGAATGTTGTCCCTCGTTCTAGCTCCGGGTGAAGGGAGGCCACCCGGTACCGTCAAGGTAAGACATCAAGTTGTCAGTGTGTGCCGTTAAGGTATCGCCATTACTTTCAAGGTACCCGGCCCGTTGCCAAGTGGTGAATCTTGGGGCCACAGTGGGGGTCGCTACTGCAGAGACGCATCGTGAGATCCCTGACGTTGAATTAGCAGGGGGCCGAAAAGAGGAAGGTGGAGATAGAGTGACACAAGAGCCGCACCGGTATTTGGAATAAAAGATGGCCAATAGCAGCAGCGGGTGCAATCGAGAGCCGCGAAAGTGTCGGATGGCGGTGGTGAATTGTGTGACCTGGTCCTGGAGGTCGCTGTGATGATGGCCGGTTCAGTTCGATGTCATCGTTATACAGTCTAGCGAGTCTGGGACAGCTCATCGTCGATGGCTCCCAGCCAGATATCCCAGAGATGCTAAACTCGGAACGTTGGTCCGTCGGATTCATGCAGTAGGTACTCGGGATGCCCTGAGGCTCGGATCGTGGCGTTTCATGACATGGCTTCTCTAGCGGCGTGGAGGCGCAGTCCAATTGCTCAGTCATGTCTCGGATTAACGTTGACGGGAACGGGACCTAAGAATATCGTGGACATGACGACTTGAATAGGTAGTCAGCAGACGAGCAGACAGAGATAGACACGGGATTGCCGTTTGCTGTCACAGTTGAGCCGTGATGTTTGGGCTGGTGTTGACTTGGACACACGCCTAGGTAGAGACAGATGCTTACCATGATGATAAGCACTAGACAGAAGTCTTGAATCAGCGCGTCCAGGCAGCGGGCATCTCCAAGGAGGATAGCTGAAGAGGTGGAGGAGGATCTGGTTTTTGTTTTGTCAATGTTTCCAGCGACATGAATGGACAGACGACAAATAAGCTTTTCGAGGTTGCAAATGATGACAGAATTGGGGAAGGTGACGGTTGCCTGGAGGGAGGGAGTGTCGTCGAAAGAAAAGTGGAAGAAGCGACGAAAGAGACCGTCAGCCATCCCGCTGGCGTTAAGCTTAAATCGGGCTAGCCTATAGGGCCGTCAGCCGCTGTAAATGTTGACAGACATAAGGATTGCGCGCAGGCCGCTGCCGGTCTGTCGGAAGCCGCCAATACCTTATCGTTATCTCTGGCGCTTCAGACAGCTCGCTTGGCGGCCCGTCAGCTTGTTGTCTGGCCCCACTACCTTACTGATCAATTGGTTTGTCACTTTGGAATTCCAAATTTGATCTGATCTCTCCGGAAACAACAACAAACACACTTGGTTGCACCTCAGCCGACAACACCATCAAATCCTTCGGGCCGGCGGGAATCACCAAATCGACTCTCATCGACCATGGAGCATTGTTTCAAAGAGCAAACATGACGGTTTCTTCGCTCAGCTGTTCTGTTATCGGCCTCTCCAAAGTGGTGTTTGCAGTGGACAATGGCGCCCAGAATAACTTCATTCCCAGGCTGCGGGGTCTTTCAACACCCAAACATCAACACGACAACATGAGCCACCACCACACAACTTGATTCTGGCAGCTCCAGCCTCTTTTCCGATCCTAAAACCACTTGAACATTCAACACACAAGCGTGTCGTCTCAACTCTCAACCGGACTGGTCGATTCATGTTGCATTCCAACTGGATCTCGGTCATCCATGCAGACAAGCTCCAGGCCTCTCCCCTGTCTCCTGTTCCTCGATTGTAATCTGCACTGCAACCACTCTTTGAACCTATCTTTCAACCTTCTTTTGCAGTCTTGATAGCAGCACAAGATGTTGTACCTGACCTTCCCGTATGGGTTTGACAGGCATGCCCGACCTGCCATGTCTGTACATGTACTGCTGTGTCCGGGTTATCCCCATCCAGACATGTCCCCCATCCCACCAAGTGGTACAATGTGATACCAAACCAGACCTTGTGGACTATGTCTTGAGCCTCCCAATCCTTCAGACTCACCTGCTTTTCTGTCATGGCTTCTATTGTTCAAGCCACCATTACTGATGTATGGAAAGCCATTGTATCTTTGCTACGTCTTTCTGGTGGCTGTGTCTGCTTTGGCGCCCGCACAATGCTCGGTTGTGGCGTTGGGATGGTTACCATGGAACGTTCGGTATCTCTTGGCTGTCAGTCTTTGTTCGGGACTTAAACGCATGTTGGTGACATCAACAGAGGACCCTGATATCATGAACGAGCCAGTAGATCTAGGAAACACCTTCAATCTACTCGACTTCCAGTCAAGAAGAGTCTTGGAATTGGTCAAAAATTCCAATAATATCTCTTCCATTCGGCCGGGCAGTGGACACGCTCTTGTATCGCGCTTGACCGACTTGATAGCAAAAACAAGAACGGCAAGGCAAGGTCAGCGAGCTTGATCTTGGTCCACACGGGCTTCAACTGCGCGGGATATGCAACCCTCTCACCCTCACCCTCACCCTCCCGAGATCCCCATAGCACAAGGGCCATGCCTCGGTGGTAGCGTCTATGATGGGTAGGAGGGTAGCAAGCTCGACAACGGCACCTCATCTTTTTGACATTCCCTTTTCAGCCTCCTTTCAGTCTTTCTCCGGTACGTACCGAAAGTTACCATATCCATCCCAAGTTGGGTCCCAAACTTTTTGTTTTGTTTGGCCACCAACCGGTTACCATCAAACGAGCCATTCCACATCCGGGCTGCCGATCACACCTCTATCCTATGTTGGTGCCCCATGTCAACATCTGCACACAAAGATCGATAAGCGACTTCAACATGCCTCCTTCTTGTATCTCAATGATCCCTCTCATGTCGAGGTACATCCTGCACTGAAAGGTACCTAGTCTATTCGGGGAATTGACACATCAAAAAGCTCTTCCTGGCAACATCGAGCTGATTCTTACGCAGTAGACTTGAGACTGATGGACCCCATCATGACCGGGATCCAATATAAGCGCCGCGCCGTGTCCAACATCAGAGATCCCCGTTGCGGGTTTCTTTCTTGGTACGCGCCTTGAGTCTCGGGCTAGATGGACATGTCATGGTCCTCGACTATTGGGCTTGGCCTGAGTAAGCATGGGCTGATTTGTCCTACCTGCCCTACAGTCCTTTCTTCCATGATTCCGAAGGGTCTGTATCATGATATCTCATTGTGAAGGTTACAATGGTGGCCACCAAGGTATATATGTATTCCCCTTCTCATCCCGTTCATGCTCTATTTTCATCATCAGCATCAGCATCCGGTGTTTGAGGATCAACAGTTCCACTTCCACCTTCTCAACAACTCATCACTTTGGCTCTTGCTTCTTGATTCTAGATTTACCCGCCTTCATAGTTTCACACCACAAGCCACACTTCACCACTCACGTCATCATGGCTTCCCCATACAGCCAGGAGCTCAAGCCCGCTGAGCCCACACCTGCGCATCCCGTCCAGTCCGACGTCGTTGAACAGGTAGACGACTGCGAGTCCGAGGATGAAAGCGATGATTCCATCCGCGAGACCAGCCGCGATCTCGAATCGGGCGGCACCACAGCCGCCAACACCCCTTACGCGACCGCCTCTCCCGCCTCCAGCTCCAGCGGCTTCTCTGATCCCAAGAAACACAACGAAAAGACCATTGCCAGGGTCCGCCAGCTCGTCCCTGATATCGACCCTCTCGAGTACCACGGTCTAGACTCCTCCCCCTTGCCTCCCAAAAAGGGCAACCGCCTCTACCGGTACCTCCGATGGAACTTCGGGTCCGTCTACCGACGCATCTTCTGCCTGGCCTTTATGGGTAACGCCGCGGCGGTCTTATGGTTCATCATCCGTTCTGGTATCGAGAACCGCCCGATTCTCACCTATCAACAAGCTGCCACCGCCGTCACTGCCAACATCTTGATGGCCATCGTCGTCCGCAACGAGCACATCGTCAACGCTTTCTTCTGGATCTTTGGTACCCGGGCCAAGGTGCTTCCTCTCTGGGCTCGTACCCTTTCCGCCAAGATCTACTCGTATGGCGGTCTTCACTCGGGCGGTGCCGTGGCTGCCACCTTCTGGTACGCCATCTACCTCGTGCTGCTCACCATGGACTACCGCTCCCAGGAAGGCCCGCTTGATGCCATCAGAGGCTACATCTACCTCTTCAGCTACGCCATCATCGCCATGCTCGTGGTCATGCTCATCTTCGCCTATCCGCGTGTGCGTGTGCTGATGCACAACTCTTTCGAGAACACGCACCGCTTCATGGGATGGACTGTCGTCGGCCTTTTCTGGGCTCAAATCATGTTGCAGACAGCCGATGCCTCCAACAACTCCTCCCCTCACCAGTCCTTCGGCCATGTTTTCGTCCGCAACGCCGCCTGGTGGATGCTCCTCATCACCACCCTGCTCATCGCCTACCCCTGGTCGCGCATGCGTCTCCGCAACGTCGAGGCCGAAGTCCTCTCCTCCCACTGCGTCAAGCTCAACTTCGACTACCGCGAAGTCTACTTCGGCCAAGCCATCCGCCTCACCGATGCTCCCCTGAAGGAAACCCACGCCTTCGGCGTCATCCCCCACCCCCTCGCCCCCACCGCGGCCGAAATCGACGAGAAAAGCTCCATCACCGGCGAACCCATCCAGCGCCTCTCCCACTGCGGCGACAAGGGCTTCTCCGTCATCGTCTCCCACGCCGGCGACTGGACCCGCAAGATCATCGACTACCCGCCCTCGCAGATCTACACCCGCGGCACGCCCCAGTTCGGCGTCATGCGCTGCGCCGGTCTCTTCTCCCCCGTCATCGTCATCGGCACCGGCTCCGGTATTGCGCCCTGCTTGTCCCTCTTCACGCAACACCCTGATCATCCGGTGCGCATCATCTGGTCTACGCCCAACCCGCTGCAGACGTACGGCCGCGCGGTGCTGGATCTGGTCTATAAGACGGATCCGGCTGCGGTGGTTATCGATACCCGCAAGACGGGCCGGCCTGACTTGGTCAAGATTGCGTATAGAGTGTGGGAACAGAGCAGGATGGGAGTGTTTCCGGAGGAGGTCAAGACCCAGGCTAGAAAGCCGTGCGAGGCGGCGGTGATTATTTCTAATCAGAAGGTTACGGAGAAGGTGGTTTATGGGCTGGAGAGCAGGGGGTTGCCTACTTATGGTGCGCTGTTTGACTCTTGAGGGAGTTGATTTGTTGTGAGGTTTGGGATGGTGAAGGGTTACACTCTTGATGTTTAGATTGGGCTTGGTGTTTGGTGTTTCTGTTTGCAACAGCTAATGTTCTTGCCCATATATCTTTTGGCTTTTTGTCTGGGCCTTTTGTCTTGTTGGCTTTGCTTAGGGATTTGTTCACTTACGAAGATACGCTCGCTATGATGGATATGGAATATGCACGGAATACAGGGGTCAAGGAAAAGGAGTGGTTGAGGTTGGAAGTGGTGTATATAGAAGAGAAAGATTATGGGTTGATGCAGTACATATGATGAGGAACCTGAAAGCCACTGTGGTTGGCATGGGGTTGTTTTGGGAATAAGGTGGTGGTTGATTAGAAGAAAAGTAACAGAGGGAGAAGCCCGGAAAACTAGGTATAAATACCCCTCATTGCTAAGCGCACAGCGCACCTTCCCAAACCCTAGGTGCACTTGCCCCTTTTCCTATACGCACCCACTTGTTTTAAGACACTTCGAAAAGTTTTGATCAATACCTATTCTATCTTCTCTAAACCTTAAAGCCTAATGAATCAGTTTCTAATTTACTTAATAAAGTCGTTTTCTTATACATTTCTATTATTATAGTTCTATTGGTTTAGTATTTGCATTCGCGGGGCCCAGTTTTCACAACGTACTTAGAACGGTATAAACAATCAGCCTTAGGAATTCTTCAAAACTATTTAAAGCTTGGAAATTCGCTTAAAAAATTAGTAGAACGTCGTTGTAGTCTTTAAAGAGGCCGAACTTTGAGAAATGTTGGGAAGGGTCTTCAAACCTGGGTGCGTGTAGGAAAAGAGTGGGTGTACCTAGGGTTCCTCTATATGATAGATTTGCTGGACAGAATACAAAATGAGATTAATACAGTTACTTGTGTTCTCTTTATGATGATTTATCATCCAGTGATTGTAGTAATTCCTTCTGGGCAGCTAAAAGTGGTTGAAATTGGAGGTTGGAAAGCGCGACCAGTATCCTCCCGACCTCCGAAAGTTTTATCTCGGGAGGCCTGAGCTTGAGGACCGAGTGTCTGCGACAGATCGGTGACAGAGATAAGGAGAGTACTTAAAAGAAGAAACAACCAACAGAGGGACAGTGATAAGAATCTGTGCTGGAACCTAACCGACGGGTGTGCCCCGCTATTAAATTCCGACATAAGTAGGGCAGGCACGATAGCTCCATCCAAGATGGGAACAGTCTGACATATAGGATCTAACATATATGGAGAGATACACTCTACGCACGCAAGTACTGAATGTGAAGCGCACTTTCTAGTACACATCCTCAATAAGGCTAAAGGAGTTATGATAACATCATATCGTCTTGGAGAATAGACTGAAAAGTGTATAGCGAAGACAAAAGCCAATGCAAAAAGTACGGAATCTTTTTTCTTAAGTATTTTAAGGGGGTGAATTTGAAGGACGTACTTGGGGAGTTTTTGGGCATGCGTGGAGTGTACCTCAATATGAAAGGCGTATGCTGTGCATTAAGATTGGAAGCACCGGTGATATTATCGGCCGACTCCGGACACCGGCAAACACCATGCTTGTGATGCCTAGGCCTGGTTAGTGACATGCCAAGGATGACCGGTGATAAGTTCCGCTGAACACTTCAAGATGACTTCATCGTCCACAATAGGTCTGAGGTTCACCAATCATCGCTCAGACAACCTCCAACATCCATACAACTCGTATTGCGAGGCCACGGGCATCGCACGGTCGTTCCTTCCGTTCCTGCCCACAACCCCGCCCAACACTCCCCATAGAGTTCGGAGGAAGTTTCTATTTCATGATGGCGGGGAAGCTGACCGGACTTGTGACAGGTCGGAATAAAACCCGTATTACATGTCCTCAGGCCATATGACGAACAACTTAACCCAAGCAGTCGAAATGATGTCGCAATGGCCACAAAATACTCACATCCCAACACATCTCCGGACGGGAAACCTTAATTAAAAAGCCTTCCACCTCCCAATTACTGCTTCCCCTTCTCATCCTCCTTCTCACCCACAACCTCATCGCACCATGCGAAGATTTCCCACCACCATCCCCTTTAGAATCACCAAACCAACCGCTTCTGCCACTCGGTCCCACCACCTCCCCCGCTCAATCACCCATCAACAAACCCGGCCAATCTCATCAACAATGTCTCTCTTCCACCCGCGCTCCCTCTCCCACCCCTCCTCCTCTTTCGGTTCCCAACCCACCTTCTCCTCCCTCTTCCGCATGCTCGACGATTTCGACAAATACGCCCAACAAGTCGGCTCCTTGGTCCCTTCCAACATCGGTTCGTCCTTGCTCCCTTCGTCCAGCACCGGAATGGAGACCTTCAACCCCAAGTTCGACGTCACCGAGGAAGACTCGACCTACACCCTCCAAGGCGAGCTGCCAGGCGTGGACCCCAAGAATGTCGAAATCGAGTTCACCGATCCGCACACCCTCGTCATCTCCGGGCGCGTTGAGCGCACCCGTACCGAGGGAGACCCCAACCTGCGTCTGGGCAGCTCTACCGAAAGCAAGAAGATTGAGGGTTCGGAGAAGGATAAGAGCAAGCAGCAGCAGGGCAAGGAGGAGAAGAAGGATACCAGCGGCAAGGATGAGAGTGCCGAGAGCAAGCCCGGTCCGAGGTACTGGGTGAGTGAGCGCAGCTATGGAGAGTTTAGGAGGGTGTTTACCTTCCCGACCAATGTTGATCAGGAGAAGGTCGAGGCCAAGTTTGAGAATGGAATTTTGAATATCAAGGTGCCCAAGGCGGAGAAGAAGGGGAGCAAAAAGATTTCTATTCAGGGTTGAATGGCCCGTTCTGGAAACACGGAGTGGTGGAAGACGAATGGGAGGGAGGGTTGGTGACGACCTTTTCAAGGATGACATGATGGGAATTTGGAAGAAGTTTGTAACTTACGGCTGTCTGACTCGGAGGATATAATCGCTGGTTGGTCTTGGACTCGGAAAATGATGTGTTGTTATCTGTGCCTGTAAATACGACTGCGAGTAACAAGAAAAAACACCCGTATCAGATTCTCGATCTGCCTTTTCCCTGTGTCCGAGTGCCCTCTTAATGGTATTTGATGAGCCTTATTGTGCAAATCTTGTTGTCGGGGCAGGCCGAAATATGTCAGCAACCCCGAAACGGCAGAATAGTCAACTTACAAGGCAACCCTATCTCCAGCTGGGCAAACCTCGCTCTTTCGGCCTTTGCTGCGTCAACCTGTCTACTTTGAAGTTGTTTGCATCATATCTAAGCCCCTATGCATCGCAACCGTTCGGCCACCTATGAGGATACAAGCCTCCGCTGTGATGGTACACACCCTCGACAACTTCCAGATGACGAACTGCAAGCGCGATAGGTCAATTGACAAGGCTCTGGACAACGAGTTACACTGCATTGACAGGTTTCCGGCAGGCTGGTTCTCGGATGCGTTGATGAACATCTTGTTCGGGCTGGACCGGGCAATGTGCGACCCATGCCGGGCATCCGCCAAGGGAGCAGCCAACAACGCCTTGTTGGGCGAAGCGAGCCGGGTTTGCTTACCCTGATCCGGAACGGGAAGAATAACAAGGGATGACTTGCAGCTTTCCAGGCTCTCGGGATTCACTACTTAAACCTTGGTCTGGTTGCCTGGTTTTTCGAGGCCGTCCTACCGAGCACTACCCATCCATCTTTACTCCCCTTCTCTTCTTAACCGCATCAAGCTAGGGCAGCGTCACCAGTATGGCTCACCTTCGCAGCTCCTCCTACTACCAGGACAGCCATGATGATTATGGATCCAGCTCCAGCTCGCATCGCCAACCATATCACTCCCTCCACGCCCCCAAGCAAGAGCGCCGTGGCCGCCCGGCTTACACCACCGTTCGGCCTTTCATCATCAACAGCCGCAACAACCCTATTGCCCGCCCCCATGACACCATCAGCCATGACCTCAACCGGCAAGTGGGAAGCTATGTAGCAAACCGCCTCGTTCCCACCATGCTCAGGAGCTCCGACCGCCCGGTTGAGGTGTTCATGAACTTCGGTGATGCAAAGCTCTCTCTGCCAGACCACGACGACCACATTCGGGAGCCCAGGTCAGGAGCTTCTTCTCGTGGCCCAAATTCCATCATTTTCAATGCCCCAGGTTGTAGTCTGACCATAGACGGACGAAGGTGCGACCGATATTGTCATCGCTGCGACCCTCTAGACCGTGAGCACCATGATCGGGACCGGCATCATCACCTTCGCCGACGAAACATGGAATTGGATCATGAACTCGACGACCGGCATCACCACCTTCGCCGTGATAACAACGGTCGCAGCCGCTCCCACGTCCGCATTACCTCCCACTCTGGAAATCCCTCACCATCTCCTCTTCCTCCACCCAATCGGGACCAACACTATCACCTTGACAGGGGACTGGACCTCAACCACGGCGGCGGGCATCACGACCGTCACCCTCACTCGCGCTCCCACATCCGTGTTGTTTCCCACTCCCGCAACCCCTCACCGTCTCCCCTTCCTTTACCCGGTCTCTTCCCCATCGCAACAGCCGTAGAGAAAGCCAGTCACTCAACCCGCGGCGGCCGTGGACATGGAAATGGAATATCGCATGCCCTCTGCCCGGGTTGTCTCATCAAGACCACCGTCTACAAAGACGGTTACTGCGCCGATTGCCATCCGCCCACCTACACTCCCAACTCAAGGCGAGTGGAAACAGCCCCAATCTCTGGTGAACGAGGTCATGGAACCAGAGTGAGATATACCAGGGATCAGGTCACCGGGGATGGAAGCTCGAGCGAGGACGGGTGGGCGAGTGTGGAGGTTGCTTCGAGGGCCATTGACATGGAACGGGGGACGAACAGAGGAAGGGATAGGGGAGGGGTGTACGATGTTATTACTAATGGCGGAGGATATGGTCGGTCAGGCAGGAGAACAAGCAGGAGGTTGAAGCCGAGGTATTCGGGGTATGCTAGCGAGTCGGATTTGTGATTGTGAGGTGTCTCGTTGGTTGTCGTGTTGATGGTGGTTCGTTAAAATAAGGTGTGTGGAGACGCCCAATTGAAGACTATACTTTGTTGATCGCCCGGCCCGTCAGTTGAATCGCTGACGCGGAACATCACGGTGTTGGGTTGAGATGAAATGATTTTGTTGACATTGTATGACTACCTGGGCGTTCGTCATTTTATGGGGCTCAAACGCTATGTAAGTGTCTGCGTCTACGCAGTAAAATGAGAGTGAGTTAAGCCCAGAACATGCCCATGCGTCCTCAGTTGAGCGCTGTAATGTACTGACTTAGCGCAGATTTAAGCGCAGCACAGTCTAAATAGCACACACTTGCAGGACAGCAGCTCAGGCGCTTTGTTTGTCGACTGCGGGCACGTCGTACAATGACGTATTGATTTCTGACGTAACGATTTCTGACGTAACGAACTCTCCGACCAAGAGAGGAAACACGCACCTGTCAACCGAGCATAAACATCACGACCTCTCTTCATCTACCTACGATATAACAATCGACAATATTCAGACTGGGATTTCGATCCTAGAACCTAGAACCACAACCTACATCAGTAATCAGCAACACCGACACAATGTCAAACTGCGAAGAACCTCCGCCCTCCTACGAGCAAGCCATGGCAAGCTCCAACACCTCTCGCCCCGGCACCAGCGACACATCTTCACGACCGGGCACGAGCGGCGGCCTACAAGCCCACCTACACACCGACAACCTCCTCCACGTCCCCGGCGACGACCACCACCACGGGCACGACGGCATCCCGACGCCGACCCGCCTTAGCATGGAAGACGAGCTCCGCCCTTTGCCCGAAGGTTGGGTGCGCACCTACGACCCCGAAACCAACCACCAGTTCTTCGTCGACACCAAAGCCGACCCCATCCGCTCCATCTGGCACCACCCCTACGACGACGAGCACTTTCTCAACTCGTTGCCTCCCGCCGAGCGCGATCGGATTGAGCAGTTGAAACATCGCAACCCTGGGCCGGATAGTCATTCCCGCCCTGGCTCGTCGAGAGGTGCCGGTTCTAGAGCCCACAGCCCGCAACCTCCTCGCTCGCCTCGTCGAGCCGGAGCACATGCAGATGCCCATCCGCAACGGACTCAGCAACAACAACAACACGACCACGACGAAGAGCAGAAGACCTTGGGCCGCAAACTCAAAGACGCCCTCACGGGGACTACCCATTCAGAACGCGTAGAAGCCCGCGCAGCCCGCGAAGAAGCCGAGCGCGAAGCCCTCCAGCAACACCTCCTCCTGCGACGCGCGATGCAAAAAGCCATGGAAACCTCTCGTCCCCAACTCCTGGGAAAAGACGACAACGGCGTCGATTTGTACCTCGAACCACCGGGGCATATGTTCCCCGGCGTAGCGGGCGTTAAGCCTCTCACGCCTTGGTTGTCGGAGGTGTTTTACGAAAGGGATAGATCGAATGGGAATGTGCGCCAGCCGGGGCCACCCGGTAGGTATCTAAGGCCGGAGGGATCGATGTATGGTTTCGGCTATGGTGGTGGGTATGATTGTGGGCCGTCCCCGATGGGAGGCGGGCGGTACGCGAGGCCGCAGGGGCCGTATGCGAGGCCGATGAGGCCGGTCGTGTATGGAGGGGGGTTGGGATTGCCGTTGATGGCGCCGATGTTGGGGGGTGTGATGTTGGGAAGTTTGATGTTTTAGGGATTGGAGGGGAGTTTGGTGGGGGAGAAGGCGGAGGAGGGGGAGTGCCCGTGTTGGTGTCCAGGTTCAGGATGAGGGCTGTTTAGGGATTGTAATGATGGGATAAAGAAGCATGGATACATGAAGGCTGTGATTATTGATACCAGAGCAAATTGTAAGTTGTTTTCACCTCTTTTGTTTTCCTGGTCGCAGCAGCTGTTCAAGGTGTTCCGGTCTCCAGAGGTTGTAAAGCTACAGTCTTATCACTGGCCCACAGAGAATTGGTGTCCATCTGTTAAGGCTGCATCTAAGTCCATGCCCCACTCGACCTGGGCTTCCCCAAAAGTTCGCCAACTCCCCGACGGGATTTTCCCACATGCACGCCCAGCCAGTCCTTTTCTCCAACACCAGTCCGGCCCGAACTGACGATGCCGGAGAGGACAGCATATCACCATCTCAATCCACATGAACAACTACAAAGAGATTTCTTTTCGAACCTTGCAAATCAACGACCTGAGTTGGTATGACAGCTGATAGCAGACTCCCTAGCTTGGGCTGCTAAGGCATGACACTGTCCCCTCTAAGTCTACATCTTTCTCCCCTTTTCCCTTTGCCTACTACTCCGTTGCACTCTTCAGCTTATCCTTCTCTCAGTCCCGAGAAAAAAAGAAGAGGAAAAAAATGACACAATCTCTTGCCATGACACAAGACATAAACACGTCCAATCCTAAGGTAGGTACACTCAAATTCTCGCGTCTTCGGTGTTGTTGGAGTTCATCGAATTCCCCGAGTTCCCTCCCACACTACCACCTTGCAGCTTCTCCTTCACCTTCACGTTCACCGCCACCTTATCCCTCTCCTCCCTGATAATCGCTGCAGTCATCTTGAGAAAGTTGTTCATTTCAACCGTCAGTGCCTTTTTGACTTGACGCATCACTCGCGCCGTTACCGTCCTCGTCACTTTCTTCGTCACCTCGAGATTGATTTCCACTGTGACACCTTGGCTCAGATTCTGGGCGATCAAGAACTTGAACTCCTCCTCTAGTAGAATATCCACGTCCTCCCTTAAATCCTCCTTGGTGACTCTTGCGGTTGGTGCAGGGGCCGGTGCAAGATTTGAAGTCGTTGGATGTACGACATGTTGCGCAGATTGAGCGGGTGCAGAAACTTCTTGAACGAGTAGTTCTTGCCAAATTGTTTCAATATCTGGACGCTGTGGTTCCTCCGTAGGAAGAGTGGCCGGAGGTGCAAGTGGCTGAGGTAAGTTGGTGCCTGACGACATTGATACAGGTACTGTAGGTACCTCTAGGTAAGGATCGGGTCTTGGAACTTCGTATTGAGTTGATCGTTTTTTTCTGGAAATTGACGTTAATGATTGTTGGGTACAGAAGGAAGTCATTGGATTGCGTACCAAAGTGTGTTCGAAACGGCTTACATATGCTTCCAAAGGAGCTGGTGATCGAATGATGCTCTGGTTGATATTGGGAAATGTGGAAAACAATGGAAAGGAAATCAGATGCGCCGAGCTCGAGAAGCAAAAAAATACACGAAAGCTACCTGTACAAGCTTGGACTCAAGGTAGGACCTTCTTCGCTGTCATCCATCTTCCTAGCCGGGAAGGTACGTGACCCAATTCAGAAGTGACTGTTTTGCTGATAATATCAGGAACTGTCCACATCTCTTTCTCGATTAAACTGCAAGGACTTTGACGTTCGTTCTGTCCAGTACTTCTCGTCTACCCAAACTTACCCTCATGCAAGAGCGATGATAGTTTCAACAAAGCAACCTAGTCAAGCCATTACTTCCGGTATCATGAGCATTTCTGGCTTCAACTGTGGTATATGGGCCATTGTGACAGTAAAAGAATTTCCATGTGTCAATGGCGAAGGTCTTTGGTGCACTTGCGTTGATGTCAAAGGTGCCTGCAGCAATCCAATGAGAAGACATGCAGTTGCCCTACTAGAAGTTGGGAGGAGCAAAGCAGAACGCCGACGGGCCAGAGAAGATATACAGCCTCAAATACCATTGCCAGGTGCTGCCAGGGAAGATGGTCAGGTCTTTTCAAGAGCTACGGTCAGGCAGGCAGTCAAGCCATCGCACGATTTTCCGTCTACACACAAAATTCCGGCGAGCACATAGTACCTAGTTACCACACTAACACTTTGGCACATGTCAAGCCAGTATTAAAGATAAGGTCGCATCTTGGTGATCCTCCAGCTACATATTTCCAACCGAGATGTTATTCTGTTGCACCCGCATTCCTCGCTACCATCACATCGAGTTCGGGAATTTCTGACCGCCGAAAATAAACCATTGGCCGGAGACAGAACGGATACGGCCACTGCTACCCCAACAATACTACGAGGGGCAGAGATGCTTTGTCTGTGGGCTGGATAGCATGATCATAGGCTGACTCAAGGCTCCCAGGAACATTCTTCTATTATATCCGGGAAGTTCGGGAACTATAGACGGGCTCTCAATGGGTACCAGCAAACTCTTTAGTGGGAACGCGTATGACTGTCCTAATCACCCCTAGTGTGTGCACCGGCTCTATGCAAGGTCTACCAACCGCTGATTCCTGTAGCATTGCAGAGTCGCAGTCAAAGAATTTGCCAAATGCCTAGATGCGGATATCCAGGTACCAACGGGTGTGATTGCACCGAGCGGTCTAGACGGATTTGACGAAGTCCACACGCTCCAAATAAGAGCAGCGTCTGTCGCAACAGAAACTATTGGGACCTGTTCGTCTCTTTCTCGTATGGAACAGTTGCTCGCTATCAAAGGAAGTCACAATGACTTTCAAGAGACTCTACAAGGTCTATCTCGTAGTTACCAGCTTCTCCAGCGTACATGCCGCAAGCGTCAACACTCCCAAAGTCATCGACAGAGATGTCATCATCATCGGCGGCGGAGCAGCCGGCTCCCACGCGGCTTTTCGACTCCAACAGGATTACAACAAGAGTGTCATCTTGATTGAGAAACAATCCATTCTCGTAAGTCTTCCTCGTCCTCTTCCCCGTCTGCGTCTTTCTCCTGCATCCTCCTAACATCAACCAGGGCGGCCACGTAGACACCTACCTCGACACCACCACCACCCCTCCCACCCCCCGCGACCACGGGGTGCAACTCTACTTCCCCTACCTCGACGGCCTCGACTTCATCAGCCGCTTCAACCTAACCCTCCTCCCCGGCCTCGGCCCCCGCGGCTCCACCATCACCCGCAACATCGACTTCGCCACCGGCCTCGGGCTGCCCTCCAACTACACCGGCCCGGACCCCTCCGGCATGACCTCGGCCATCATCCGCTTCCACGACCTCATGGTCTCCAAAGGCTGGGACAAGATGGTCGAACCGGGGTTCTGGAACCTCCCTCCCGGCCCTCAGATCCCCGAGGACTTACTTCTACCCATCGGCGAGTTTGCAAAGAAGTGGAATGTGACGGAGGCGTTGCCGAGGATGTACGAGTCCACCGGCGGCGGTGTGGCCGCTCGGCATCGCAACTTCACCGACGTGTTGACCCTCACCTTCCTGCAGAGCTTCAGCCCGACCTGGATGCAAGTCTTCTACGGCCAAGCACCCACGTACCACATCGACGGCGGGAACCAGCTTCTCTACAACGCCATCCACGCCCGTTTGGGATCCGACAACGTCCTCACCAATTCCATCGTATCTAGCGTCCGCCGACCGGAGAAAGAGGGGGACAAGAGAGACATAGAAGTAACCATCAAAACCACCCTCCCCAACAACATTACTGGTAACTCACAAACCGTAATCCGCGCAAAAAAACTCCTCCTCGCCATCCCCCCCACCCGCGAAAACCTAGCCCCCTTCGACCTCTCCCCCCTCGAAACCGACCTCTTCCGCCGCCCCAAATACGGCCGCTACGGCACGGCCATCGTCACCTCCCCTGTTTTACCGAGGGGTTACGAGCTGCACAACACTCCCATCCTTGCCGTTAGCAATCCCAACAAGCCGTTTATCAACGGGCCGCATATCCTTGATTTTTCCAGCTATGGCAATGACAGTGAGCTGTTTAGTATTGGAACTATGAGTGGGTCCGGGTTGAGTTACGGGGAGTTTGATCCGGAGAAGGCGGTGGCGGTGGCGCAGGAGAGTTTGGATCGGATGGTTGCTGCTGGGACGGTGAAGGGTGCAGCAGGTGGGAAGAAGGGAGGAGATAAGAGTAGCAGGTTGAAGGTGCTGGAGTATTCGGATCATGGACCCGGTGGGTTTGGGGTTAGTGCGGAGGAGATGAGGGGAGGGTGGATGGAAAAGGTTTATGGGTTGCAGGGGAAGAGGGGGACGTGGTATACGGGGAATGCGATTGCTATTGACTTTTCGACGCAGTTGTGGAAGATGAATGATGAAGTTTTGAGGAGGATGTTGGAGAGTTGGTAGGAAAGGTTTTGGAGTGGACGGGAAGGGGTGGTGCAGTGGTCTTGTGGTGGGGTACAAAGAGTCAAAGACGCTGAAGACACGGCAGGCTTTTCGTCGTGATTTTCGTTATTCGTGGCTCTCAAATATGGAGCTCTATATCTGGATATACGCAGAAGCCGACACCTATAACCTTAAAGCAGTTTTTTTCGAATATTTTCGTATTAAGACCGCGGAGTTCCTGTGTAATTCCTGGACAAGTGCCAAAGAGCAATGCGGTTATTGCACTATCAGATACGCCGCAAAGTAAGCAGGATTCCAGATAGCGTCACATCTCATTCGCACTTTCCTTTCTCGCTCGACCAAAGCCGTGTTTAACACCCAAATCGGCATCCACGATTCTGAACCACCCCTTCACCCATCATTCAACAAAACATCTACCAACCCCGAAACAAAGCCCCCTTCTTTCTGCCTCCTCCGCCTTACACCACCACCGCCCACCACCTTCATCGAAAGCCTCCCCCTTCCATCAACCCCATACTTCAACACCGGCTCCTCCCCCTTCTTGTTCTGTCTAACATGATTCGCCAAATCCGCTCCCGACGCATCGCCCTTGCACTCAGCCAACAACCTAGCCACCTCTCTCTGATTCCGATTCCGGTTCCGGTTCGCCGTCGACTGTCCCTGCCGCTGCGTTTGCGTGTGCCTCTCCTCGCTTGAGTCCCTTCTATCATCATCATCATCATCATCAAAGAACTCCTCCTCCCCAGGCGCAAGCACAGCATTGATCATCTCCAACGGACTCATCGTGAATCTCCTTCCCAACTTCCACCACCCCCAGAACAGCACCAGAGTAGCTACGGGACCAATCAAGCTAATCACCACCGCCACCGCCAGCGCGGCCTTATCCATCGCGTACCTCGCCATGCTCTGATGACTTACGGACCCCACCTCTTGGAAAACCTTCGCGTCCTTATCCGACAGCCCCTCGTTTTCCTCGGTCGCCGCCTGCAAAGACATGCGGAACGCAATGTCGCGGTACGCGTTGATGATGTCCCCCATGGGGTCGTCAAAGGAGTAATCTTTGGGGTCGGAGCTGCGCCGGGCGGCGGGCGTGGCGGCGGTGTAGAAGAGGTTGGAGAGCAGACCGGAGTTGGAGGTGGTCCAGCCTACGGCGCCGCCGTGGGAGACGTTGGAGGTGGAGTCGAAGAGGAGGGAGCCGATGGCGTGGAGGGCGGGGATGGTGCTGCCGAAGCCGGTGATGTAGGGGACTGTCATGTTGCTGTGGGGAGGGAGGGAGGTTAGTTTGGATTGGAGTCGATGGGGGAAGAGGGTATGGGTGAGGGAGCGGATAAGAAGAACGAAAAAGGGGATAACTTACATCGATGCCACGAACGAGTCCACCGGCGGCAGATTAACAGGGTCTTCCACAGCTGCGGCATTAAACCAGTTTTCGGATTGGAAACTCAACAAGTTGTCGTCGAGGAACATGCTGTAGTTCAACAAAGAAGGAGCAAGCAAGCAGACTTTGTGCTCCAGGTTGCCTTCGTATCCGACATCGACTTTGCGCACCACGCTGATGTTGATCAGACTTCCCCTCGGAGACTCGTTGACGACGCTGATCCTTGAGTCGAACACTGTGGCCCCAAGAGTACCGTTCATGATGGCCTCGACACTGCCGGTGAGATTGTACGGGATGTTGGAAACCGTGCAGTTGACTTGGAAGCCGAAGGCCTGTTGGTGTCTCTGTTAGTAACTCCTCTGGGTCTTGAGTCATGGAGCCATTCCAGGGACAACGTACCACCACATTGACAGAGCAGTTTTGACAATCAGCCCCAAGAAGTTGCATAGGCGACTGCGTCTGATAGCCGGCAACCGCGTCCGCAAAGCCAGGCGAAAACCGGAGGTCCTGCAGAGCATGCCCGCTGAGCATGCCGCCCCATTCATCGCTCATGTTCGCCATGACCGGGATCTTGATCGTGTCCAAGATTTCGAGATCAACGAGCTCGACAAAGGTGGCTCTTTGCATCAAAGGACCGCGTAGCAGGGTCGAGATGGCCACGAGAATGGACACCAAACTAACCCCCACCGCCCTCCTCCTCCACAGACTCGTCAAAGCGCCCACGACACTGCTCGAGCTCGACCACACATAATGCAAGTTACTAACCGGCATCCCGCCCACCGCTCCCCTCCAGAAGGTAATTACCGCCGCCTCGGCAAACGCTACGCCCATCAGGGAGTTAGCCACGGTAGTCGTGTACGAAAGCAGCACTTGCGGTGCTTTCCGGCCGGACCATGAGTCAATGTCTTTGTGGTGGGAGAGGCGGACAATAAGGATCGCTATGCCGGTGCCTGAGGTGGGATGGATGTTAGTCAGCTGAGTTGGTGGATTGGGTTTGAACTGTGGGAGTGGAAAGGTAGAGGTAGAGGTACGCACATGCTATGCTCAACAGCAATGGGAGGATGCCGTAGACGGGGAACTGTCTGAGGGCGCCTGGCTTCCATGAAGGTGGGGAAGGCTTGACATCGTCATCTTTCGAGACTTCGTTTGTTTCCGTCTTTGAGATATCTTTCAGAGAGGCGGAGTGGGTGGAAGGCTGTTCTTGGACGTTCTGGTCGTAGTCAGACGCGTCGTTCTCATCTGGAGATCCCATGGCTCCTGACTTTGTCGCTTTAAACTCGATAGCCAAAAGAAACAAATGACAGCAGGCTCAGGATACTTGAGAAGGTGGCCTGAGAGCAGCGACCGAACAACGCAAAGGAAGGAGAAAGAGAAACATGAGGAAGAGGCTCTTGAAAGATAAACAGTACGAAAATCCTTGACTCACCTCCAAACCTCAGCTCCCTCGCATCGAAGCTAGCAGGCAAAGTAACATCCCACCGCTTCGGAATGCAACCAATGTCAAGCATCAGCCATCAACGGCAATCGATAGCTGCAAGCCACCACAACCCAGCGCGGTGAGCAATCCTACAGTCTACAGTCGGCTAGCTCGCCCCGTGATAGGTTGGATTCCCATCGTGAAGTCCGGTCCTTGAACCGAGCTAGCGGTTCAGCTTCAACGTGGGCGCCACAACCGAGGGAGCTCCCACCGGGACGTTCGAGTTCGGTCGAGTCCAGACTCAAATAGGCTCGCGTGAATGACAGGGAAGACCTGACTCCCGAACCCAGCGGAAATTTAAGATTAAAACCCACACGGCTTCCCGGTAGTCGATCAAGCTATTGACTGGCGGTGGAGCTTGGTACTTTCCGCTGGGACGTTCTAGAACGTCAAGAACGTCGAGACATCATAGCGCTCCTGAGGGACACCCCCAAGACCCTTTTGAGGTCATGAGGCGGGTTGCACCACATCCACGACGGTGTGTCAGAGGCCAGGGGATCGATCCACTGGGCGTGCACGTGCCTAGTTGGGCTGGGATATACGGGATTTATCCAGATGCCAGAGCTTCGAGTCTACAGAGCCAGTCTTACACACACACACACACAATCAAGCCACGTTGAACCCCATATCGATTATTACCAGTAATATCACACGGTGAGGGTAGTATGGTTGTCGCTCTCATTCGTCAAGCGAATCGTTATGGCGCAGCTGGAGTGTTCCATGTTCGAACACCCCCAGCCGTTCGAACGGAATGCAGGCAGAGAGGGGGAAGGGTGCGTTGGCCGGTGCATCCACGGCCAAAAGAAAGGGGGAATTCAGAAGTGGGAAAGACTATGTAGGAGAAGCACAGTGAAGAGGAATTTATGGAAACGAAAGTGCACGCAGAGACAGGTTATGGACACCAAAGCCACATACCTGTGATAGTGCACTAACAGACGCTGGGGGAAATCATTGGTGAGTCAGATAACGCCGCATCTAAACCATCAATCTTCGCCATTCCTATTCGATGCAACTGCGTACTTACCTCAAGACTGAGACTAGAAACCATTGCCCGTTCCTACAACACCTCCCCCTTCATCGGCCTCCTCACCCTCCGCCTGTCCGGGAGCACCCCATTCACCACCACCATCCCTAACCGCCCAGTCTCCTCCACAACTCCGTACTGCAACTTTGGCTCTCCGCTTCCTTCAGTGTCCTTCTTCCGCACATAATCCGCCACCGCTGCTCCCTCAACATTACTCTTGCAATCCGCAAAAATCTGAGCCACCTCCGTTGTCCCGTCTTGAGCATCGGTGGCCGACGAAACGGACATCGCATTGATCACCTCCAAAGGACTCATCGTCACCTTTCTCCCCAGCCTCCAAAAGCCCCAGAACAAGACAAGCGTAGCCACGGGACCGATCAAGCTGATCACAACCGCCAGGGCTAACGCGTCTTCGTCCGTTGCATACTGGACTCTTGTAGTATTGCTAACGTAGGAGATGTTCTGCGCCACAACTAGCTCTGACGTGCGAAGCTTGCCTTCGTTTTTCTCTTGGGCCTCCTTGACCGACATGCGGAGGGCGATTTCGCGGAAGGAGCTGATGAGTTCGTCCATTGGGTCGTCGAACGCCAGGTGTTCTGGCTCTTCGGTGAGGGAATTATCGAGGTCTGTGGCGAAGTAGATGTTGGCGAGAAGGCCTGCACTTTGCATTGTCCAGACTCTGGGATTGCCTGTGTACCTGGCAAAAGAGGCAGATTGGTATAGGTTTTGGTTGATGATTTCAAAGATGTCGAGTTCATTTAGCTTCCTTGAAAGACCGAAGTTTGTCAGTGGCTGTAAGCGGAAGAGGATAGGGACAGTAAAGATTGAATTGCCCAAAGACATAGGAATGACATGGGTAACTAACAGAAGCTTAACAACAGTGTCGTCTTTCCAATTCAAAGACTAGAACCGGAGAGCCCCATCGACGTCGAGACTCAAGCTGTAGTTAACAACTGCCGGGTACAGAAAGCAGCCCTGGCGTTCCAGATTGCCTTCCAACCCAATCTCAGGTTTCCGGGTCAAGTTGATGTACAAGGCACTCGTACCCAAGGCCTCATCTCTCACGACAGTTATGTCCGAGGAGAAGACATATAGGATGGGATCCGCGTCCTTCCTGATTTCATCAAGCGTTAGATTGTACGGGATTTTGACGGTTGTGCAGTTTCTCACGGCAAACCCAAATGCCTGCCAAGAGATTAGCGACTTGAGGTGCGGCTTAAAAGCACAAAGAGACAAAAGGAGCGTACCGTGGCTTTCAGAGTGCAAGTATCACAGGTCTCATCGCCAATGTCGATCGGATTTTGGTTCTGGAAACCGCTAATCACATCCGCAAAGCCAGGCGAGAAGCGCGAAAGGGATCCAGTGGCCGGGTTTGTCCGGCCAGCCCAGCCATCTGTGATGTTGGGCATAATGGGGAGGATCTTTGTATCTGCGTAGATGTCCGGCACCTCTTCAACGAATGAAGCTCTTTGCATCAGAGGGCCACGGAGCAAGCTTGAAACTGTCACAAGAATGGACACTGGAAGGAGTAAGCGATTCGTCCAAGTCCAACAGATGCTGTATTGCTCGGTATGCTCGGGAAGGGAGTAAGTAGAAAAGGCAACGCATACCCGAGCTAACCACGACAGCCCTCCGATGGAAGATGGACCGGATGGCCCCCATAGCACTTGAGGAGCCTGCCCAGTAGTAGTGAAGGTTGCTAGCCTACTGTCATTGTAAGTCGTGTTCGACGTAATCTTCGAAGAACAAGTTAGGGGACTGACCGGCATCGCATCCAGTGCGTTGTTCTAAAAACCTATCACCGCTGCTTCCGCGTAGGCAAAGCCCATCAAGGAGTTGGCAATGGTGGTGGTGTAGGACAAAAGCACTTCAGGCTTCAGGCGACCAGAGAAGTCCTCGATTTTCTCGTGGTGCGTCATGCGGATGATACCGATAGCTAGTCCTGTGCCTGAATTTCTCTGTTAGTCAAAGATTTATGGTCGTTCTTTGCAACAGTTGCAAACTCACAGCCAATGCACAAGAGCAAGGAGGCAAACCCAATGATAGGGAACCTTCGAAAGAAGCCCGGTTGCCATTGAGATTCTGCGCGCTCTTTGCAAACTTCTGCTGTCTCCTCCTTTGAGACTTCCTTCACGGAGTCGGTATGTTGCTGGACATTGTAGCCGGGCGGATGAAGCTCGCTAGGAGACCCCATAGTGTCGGGCTTTGGTGTGATTGAGAAGGGGTAACGGCTGGAGATTCGAGATGAAGGTCAGCTCAGATCGAAGAGAACAGTCGGCACCATGATAATGATATACCAACACTCGCATCCAAACCTCAGCTCACCTTCATCCCCACAATCATTAAACCGGTCTTCGCGTTCAAGGTGCCCACCAATACCCATCTTCAACGTTGTTGGTTCGCGTTCAGCACCTGCAAGCCACCAATCTCCAGCTCAACCCCAGGGCGGCAGACAGCCCCAGGTTGGTTAGCCGGTTGGACAAGATTAGGTCGGAAAGCCCGCCATTGGGAACCAAACCAATGGTTCAGCTCCATCACGAGCGCCACACCCGTGCTGGTGAAGCATGGGTGATAAGGCCCTGGGGTTGACGATACCATTTTGGTTCTGGAACGCGATAACGGCCTGGAGGCAGCGGGTATCAGTTGATGGAGGGCAGGCTGCTGCAACCTGAACACTACCAAGTTCCAGAAGAGTGTGGAAGGGTGTTGGTCAATTGGCCGTTACCTGTTGAGCTATGTAGTCAGCACTCAAAGGTGGTAGTCGTACAAGAAATGGTCCAGCTGCGCCGTAAAGCACTTGTTTAGTTGTTTGGAACCAGTTTAAACGCGCTCGGGGATTGGCAACTAGTTGGGTGAAGTACTGGATGGCTACGCGGGTGAAAATGGAACAAGGTTGGATTGAGAATGGGTGCTCGTTTGCGAACGAGGAAGAACCATTGAAAACGTTGGTCGAAGGGAAAAACATGGGACTGTGGAGAAAACAGAGAAAAAAAACTATGAGGAAGGCGCAAGGAGTTTGCAAGTGGGGTTGAGAAGAAACCAAAGAATCCACGGAAGGGAAGGAACGTGTTGAGGCTCAGCGCCAGACGTACGCCTATATAAGAGTATGACAAAGGAAAATGCTGGTATCAGAGAAAGTGCCTCCCATGCGCAATATGTACAACCGAAAGGGAAAGAGAAAAGGAAGAAATCCTGCATGCAATCAAAATCAAAGCCTCGCAACATTATAAACGAGAAAACCTCCGCGCACTCCAAGCCCAACCTACACGCACTCTAAGACCCATATGACAGCTGTCATATAAATACGGTCGTTTTATATAGTAATCTGGGGTCTTTTCAATGTTTCAAACATCGCTCCCGCCAGAGTAAAAGTCGTAATACTTTTCGTGCCCCTGGTATTGTGAACCACCTCAAACTCGATATCGCCATCACAGCAGTCACACACACAGCCGTACAGTCTCGATGCCTGGAATCCCCCTCTCTTATTTCTCTAAATCGTTCAATACGATAGGGTTCTTACTATTGCCCGGCAAGTACTACCGTACGATCCACGGGATGGTGACTCTCGTAACTTCTACCAAAGTAGGGTAATGTTGCAATGTGGTGTTGCGGCGTGTCAAATCACTCAAAATCGCCAAGTTCGAAAAATATCACGAAATGTGATGTAATGTTTCGTGCATTGAAATAGGGTATTTTCACGGGTAAAAGTGGAGTTTTTGATGTTGGGTGTCATAGCCTATTATAGGGTGCCAGGGACCCTAACCCTTGGGACTTTGTGGGTCTTAGAGTGCGTGTAGGCTAACCTTAGAGTGCGCGGAGGTTTTCTCTTATAAACCCAATCCTCCAACCCCAGCACAGCACTCTCAAACGGCATCGCCTCCACCTCCAACTTGAGCTCAAACTCCAGTGCGTTCCTCCATTTGCTGGAGAAGTCTTTCCTTGCAATGGCTTCGATGAAGGCAAACCCCATCAAGGAATCAGTAACCGATTTGTTTTGGGGGGACAATGACATTGGCAAGAGGCGAGCGGACCAAGTGGAAATGTCCATGTCCTGGTTTAGTGTATGATGGGTGTGGGTGAGAAAGTGAAAGACCCCGATGGAGGCTAGTGTGCCTTTGCTTGGATATTGCGTTAGTATAAAGAGCGTGGTGGTCGTGCTGGCTGGTGGAAATTGGGCACTCACATGTTATGCCCAGGAGCACAAATACGAAACCGAAGCTGATGATAGGGAAGTGAAAGACTCCCAGGTTTGTTTGGGATTCGGTTTCTTGGTGGTTATTGGGAGTCTCTGCCGTCTTTGCCTTAAGGTTTTGCTCTTCGTAGTCGGGGTATTGTTCAAAGTGGCACCCGAGAAGGTGAAGGTCGCTTGTGGATATCATGGTTTCAGAGTTTGGTATTGGGTAGGAAGGAGGAAATGTTGAATGTTCAGTCTCCTTTGAGGATCAACGGAGTATCGAAAACAACTCGGTGGAATCTAACGTATGATGATGAGAAAGAAAAAGATGCGATGAAAATGCAGAAGACAAGAATACAGCAGCGCAAATACAGCAAAGAGTCAACAGCATGTTGATATATCAACAACAACAAACACTCACCTCCACCTTCAAGCGTCATCTCCCCATCTTCGGCTCCCTCACCAGCTCATCTCCACTGCATCAGTCGTGGCAGTCCAACGCTCTTCGCGATCAACGTAATGAGGTTTCTCGCCAATAGTCCAACACCAATCTCCGGTTGTTTGTCCCTAGTCTCTACGTAGCAGCAAGCCACTTCACCTTGCCGAGCCCCAGCTCAGCCCAAGCCACATCAGAATCTCAGCGCGCAGGGGCAGACGTAGCAAATACGTACTTGACCATGGTTGGTCAGTTTTCGGCAGCCAAATTGCGACCGCAAATTCGCAAAGTCCGTCATTGGGAATTTGCAGATACCAAGCGAACGGTTCAGCTTCGCCTAGGAGCGCCACACCCGTGCAAATCGGATCATCACTATCGGGAAGTCCATCCGCGAATTCCAATGCCCGGTTTGTCTTGGAATGTCAGGGAGCCCGGCAGCCCGGCCGGGTTCGACCGGGATTGCTGGCCAGGAAGTGAAACAAGTCAAGCAAGGCAAATCTGGGGTCGGATATGGACTTGATTTGAGGTAAAATTTACGGATTTGCTTGAAAAGCGGAGGGATTTGGCCGAGTCCCGGGGGCGACTTGCTTGGATTTGATTTGGGTAGATTTGACTTGTTTCGCTTCCTGCTAATGGCCTCGGGGGTATGTAGTTGTATTGGTGCTAGTGCGCTAACGGATAGTGGCGATACTAGAGAGTATGAGTGCTAAGCTTCCATCTTATTGACCCAAATTCCTCATCCTTCGACGAAACCCAGGATGGATGATATCGAAGCTTATGACACGCCCACAACAACCTCCCTCTTCCGGCCACCTCACACTCTCGTCTTTTAACATTCATCCAAAGACGCCCAGTCTTCCCAAAAGCTCCATACTGCAGCACCAGTTCCCCACCACTTATCACTCCCTCAGTCCCTCTTGACGTGAATATCAAGCTGGGCTTTATTAAGAGCGACAACCAGAGCAGCGGCGATTATGTTGATTTCATTTTCGAGTTCCTTCTTCGTGTCATCAAGATACTTCTTCGCCATCTTGAGGTCATTCTTTGCGTTCTTCAGGTCGCTTAAGACAGCCCTATGGTAGGCGCCTTTGTCCTCCTTCTTCTTTCGGCGGGCCCGCTTCCGCGAGCGCACCTGTAGGTCGACATTTTGCTTGGAGTAACCTTCCAAAATGCGGAGGAAAGTGTGGACAAGCTCGGTTGCGGCATCAAGGTTTTCGAAGCCTTGAGCGGGTTTCTCTCCCGAACTATTGCTTTTGCGCTCTGCAACAAAAAATCCCCGTCAGTTCAAGCTGCACGTTTCCAGTGCCGGGGGGCTGCTCACCTGAATCCGCAGTGGTAGCCGCCGTAGCGAAACGGTCCGCAGGGACAGGCCGCTCCAGTGATCTCAACTCCCACCAGTCCCACGATTTGAGGAAAAAGTGAGCTAGGAGCCCGACAAGGTTGACGACTTGCGCGCGAACTAGGGCCGAATCGCGGCCGTCTTCAACAGTCAATGCCCTCTTCCACAGAGGAACACAAAGCACCATGGAAGCCACCACGAGGAGTTCGAGGAGGAAGCCTGTAGTGATGTGGTCAGTCGCCAGAGCACGAAGACGATAGGCATCGGGGTTGGATACGAACGAATTCCAAGGACAAGGTCGAAAGCGATTGAAGACTCCATCGTTATGGAGTTGAAGGGATCGATGACGACGGCAACTGCGTTACTGAAGACTGGTGGAAGGCAGTTAGGATCTGTAACATAGGACGAGAGGGGAATCTGATGCGATGTTAAATGAAGGAGAAGGACGGACCGTTAACCACAGCTTGCACAGTTACAATCCTCTGCGTCAGATCCAGTCCAAAGCACTGAGGGTGGGACGAGCGAAGAGAGAAGGGAGAACAAAAACAACCTAAACTTGCCAGTCAGGAAATACGGGAAGGGTGTGTGCCTTCGAACGTCGGGTGCGCCGCGGTTTGGAGTTCCCACCGGGAACGGAGAAATTCCATCCGAGTGCAGATTGTTCCTTCGGTCGCAAAGCTCTGGAAAAGAGGAAGGAGCGATTCCTTACCGCGTGACTGACGCAACTCGCGACTGCCTCTCAGCCTAGAGGTACCGTGCCCTCGATTCCGGCGCGAAATCTTGAGGCGATGACCGCACAGGGGAACACTCAGACAAGAAGCAAAGCATGAGACCTGACCTTGGAAAAGAGCGGACGTCGAATCCCTAGAACACGATCTAATGAACCGACATTTCAGCCACAACTGCGTATTCCTCCTCTGAGAGACTTTCAAAGTTAGACTTAACATGTAAGTAGGCTCCTGGGAGAACTGGACCAAAAACGAAGACGTAACGAAAAAGCAAGAGCACATCAAACCCACATCATCCTTCAAAGACGCCCATTCTTCTTCACAACAATATACTGCAGCACCAGCTCCCCGTTACTTATATCCTTTCTATAACGAGGATCTTACGCTGCTTCCTCTACCAAACCCATTCCTCCTTCAATTCGAAAAAAATATCCATGTCAGCACAAGTACCGTCCATTCCGGACCGATAAGCATCGATGAAGCCAACACAAGGATGCAACCTATTATGATTTGGTCAGTTGGCAACTTTATCATACGTCAGGTGAGGTTGCAAACCAATTCCAGAGACGGTGTGGTATTCCAAGACCCATGTTTCCACTTGATCTTGTTCCATATGATGGCGGTCCGCTCGAGGCTCGGTTGTCTCTGCTTTGGAGCCATCGTTCATAGTCTCTGTATAGGTGGTCCCTCGAGGTATGTGACGGGACGGGGGCAGGCTATGCGCGTTCGAGGACTCCATGGCTTCAGAGTTGAAGGGATCGATGACAACGACAACTACTGAAGACCGGTGAATGACAGTTAGTCAACTGTAGCACAGGAAGACAGGCGGAAAATCTAATGCGACGTTGAGGGGAGAGAAGGAAGAGGAGAACAGGAGGAGATAGTAGTTGGGACATAGCCGAGACGCGAGAATGATGATTCCGCCTGATCTTTAGGCAGAACTTGTTTTCGGTCTCGTGCTTCAAATCCAGTCCTGGCAGTCCAGAGCACTGATTGCCGGACGATCGAAGGGAACGGAATACGGACGAAAAGCTGAAGGAGGCGGAGAAGGCGACCTCGAGGACACAAAATGTGGTTGACTCGGTGGTGGTTTAACGAAAGAAAGGAAAACGGAAACCAGGACAGCCTGGAAATGTCGGATGGAACTGAAGTCCGGGGCCAGGGCACGGAATTCCACCAACAGAGAATGCCATTTCCTATTACCGGCCTAGAAAAACCTGTCTTGAGTAGCAAAGCTTTTGACAAGAGGAAGGAGCGATCCCTTATCGCGTCACTGACGGAAGTCACGACGGTCTCCCAACCTAACCACAATTTCGATGCCAGATTCCGGTCTCGGGGCATAATCTCTGCATCCCGGGACACCGGGAGACAAGCAGACAAGAAGGAAAGGATCAAACGGATCAGATGGAGAACGAATGTCAATTGTCATTCACAAAGTCACCAAGCATGCCAGGTAGAACACTGAACCCGTATAAGTAGACACATGTTTGCATTTGCGTATGTATGTCCGGCAAGTCAAAACTCTCAACCCTTTTCTCTCCAAGAAAGTTACACCATTGCCACCGTTTACAAGTGACATAGAACTCCCCAAAGAGCTCCCCAATTCGAACAAAGGAACGTGAAGAACCGAAGAACCAAAACCATACAGAATGTGAAAGCGTAAAAAGCGTAAATGTCAGAACAAGATTCCAATTCCCAAAAATGCATAACACAAGACACAGTCGTGGTGAAGCGAACCAGGAAAAAGTAAAAGCGTCACCAAGCCATGTTCTTCATCCTCTCCAGTTTTCCGTGTTTTCGTCCGTTGAGCGGACACCAAAAAGCCCAAGACAAGGTGGCACAGCGACCTTGCCCAGCAGACATGTCAGTTGGGGACGTGCCATGAATGAGAGTAGAAGAAAAACTGAAGACATCGGGGCATAATCGTGATTAGCATAACATTGTATCCTGTAAGCCCCAACCCATCCCTTCAAGACACCAAACCGGCAAAAGCCCCATTCAAAGCTTTCCTTGTGTGCCAGCAACACTCTAAGCACCAATGCTGCGCTTCTGAGCAGTCAATACAAGCCTCGCCTTGCGCTGCTGACCGTCAACGGCCTCCGTCTTGGCGCCGCGGTTGCTGTTCTTCAACAGACTCGCAAAGCTGCCAGAGTCACGGCTGGCCGTCTCGTTATCGGAGCAGTTGGTGCTATCAACGCTCGTGCGGTTGGTCTTCTGGCGCGAGCTCGGGCGATCCGAGCCGATGGCGCCCCAGCTGCCAGTGCTAGTGCGCGAGCTAGGCAGGCTACACTCGGCATCGTCGTGGTCGAGCAGGATGCCGGATCCGCTACGGCCCGAGTCGCTATCGTTATCCGTCAAGGGTGTCTCCACCAGCTCGTCGGCGCTCTCGGAAATAGGGCTAATACTTCCAGAGGAGCGGGCCTCCTTGCGCCTCTCAAGACCGGCGCGCACAAGGTTGTGGATCGCCGAGCGGCGGGTGCGAGCGACAAAGTTCTTGCTACCCTCGTGCTTGGAGGTCGGCTTAGACTTGAGCTCATCCAGCGAGGGCGGGTTGCGCGGTTGACGGACGGGGTGCTCGCCAGCACGAGCCTGACCGGGCCCGTAACCGGCGGTCATAGGGGTCATCGGGAAGGTGGACGTCTTGGGACCGGCAGTCTTGGGAGGCTCCTCGTTGGTCGAGATGGACAGCTGGTTCTTGTTGCCGTTCGCAGTCGAGATGGTCTTCTTATAACCACGACGGAAGGCGTTAGCGCTCGGGGGAGGCAAAGGGTTGACAGCAGTCTCGACGGGCGACTCGAAGCGGCGAGGAGGCGAAGAGCTCCGCGAGTTCGACTTGCTGGCCTCGGCCGGGGGAGGAGGAGACACCTGCAAGCGGGGAGTGCCGACAGCCGGCTGCTGGACACCGCCGTAGCTGTTGAGGTTAAGCTGAGCAGTCTGGTTGGCGAGCTGGTTGGTGGCCTCGTAGAGCGTCTGCTGGCCAGTGGTAGGATCGTAGAGGGAGTACGCGCTCTGCTGCTGGGTAGCAGTCGGGGTCATCAAGGCCTGGAGCTGCTGGAGGTGCTGGATCTGAGCAGCCTGTTGGGCACGAGCCTGCTGAAGCGCCAGATACTGTTGCTGGAGACGCTGCTGTTGGAGTTGCTCCACCTGCTGCTGAACCTGTTGCTGCATCTGTTGCTGGTAAACAGCTGACTGGTGGTTGTGCTGTGAGGCCGGGGCCTGTCCCTGCATACGGTAACCCTGGGACTGGAGCTGCTGAGCAGCCGCCTGCAGGGCCTGCAGCTGCTGTTGCAACTGCTGCTGACGCTGAGCCAGAACGTGATTAGTGTACATGAGTTGAGCGTGCACGTTGGGATCAAGCTCTCCCTGAACCGAGTCATCCATCGAAAGCTGTGGGACCATAATCTGGTCGGTCGTGTACTGCTGCTGCTGTTGATAAGCGGCCACCTCAGCGTTGTAAAGAGCCTGCTGTTGCATGGCCTGCTGTTGAGCCTGGTGCATACCGCCATAGGTCGGCATGGACGTCTTAGGTCCGTTCAGGTAGCTGGCGCCGTCATACATGCCGGGAGTAATCGAGTTGTTGCGGCTGTTCCGGGCATGAGGGTTGACAGTGGGCGAGGCGGGACCGTTTCCAACCGAGAAGCTGGTAGCGGTAGCCGACTTGGGGGCGGTTCTCAAACCCGCCAGAAGGTGAGAGCGGCTGGTGCGCGGCGTAGGAATGCCGGTGTCGTTCTCGGGGATGGACTTGAAGTCGAAAGAGAGGGGCTTGATGTTCTGGCCGCCTCTCCTTGAGGCCAGACCAGAGGGCATGGCCTGCTGGTTGTACTGCATGTGCGCCATTTGTGATGATGATGGATGGATATTAGGAAGAATATACCGGTTGCTGCAAGAACGTGATCAAACGCTCTGATGTTGCGACCGCTCTATTTTCTCTCGAAGAATGCGGAAAACGATGTGAAGTCGAAGAAGCCTGTACCAAGACCCCAAACCGAAGATAATGCAATGGTGGTTGGTGTATAAAAACAGCTGATGATGATTGGGAATGTTCCAATTAAGAGATTGTCGAAAGACGGAGGTCGAAAGATTGTGCTGCTAGTGATGGAAGCCGAATGAGCGGACAGAGCGTTCAAAAGCCGGAGCGACGAACAGAAGAGGGAAAGAAGCGGTCGAGGGTCGACTGTTAGAAGACGGTCGTCGGTCGGCGGAGAGAGAAGGTAAAAAGACCTCGCGCGTTCGGTGGGATGGTGGATGGGAAAGAAGGACGGTGGGGTTGTTCGAGTTTCTATTGATGACTTGTCGAGAAGAGGAGTGAGGTGGCGAATTTGGTCGAACCGGTGCGAACCTTGAAGAGGTGCAGTACGGTGGTCAGGCAGAGTCGGTTCGGTTGAGACCGAAGACAGTGTGTGCAAGCCTGCACTTGACCGGGTCAGGAGACAACAACCTGAAGAGCTGCTAGCGGCAGTGGATGCTTGGCTGGCAGGCAGTGGTGTGGCTGTCGGGTTTAGTACCTCTAGCGGGGAGCGACGACGCGTGGAGAAGTCAAACCTTTGTTTCTCGGAATGGAGACAGACAAAGGAGGACAGAGCTGGCCAGAGCTACCTTTTCCACTTGTTCCAAAGGGACGGGAGCGTCTTGAACAACAATGAACAGGACTGATGATCCTTTTTCCTTCCACTCTCAAAGTGTGTGGCAGAAGCAGCAGCAGCTGACCGTGTGTGTGTAGTTGCTGTATCCGGGGGATCACGTCTCCACGATGACCCTAGTATACTGCTCTTTCCGAATCAAGGACAATCAATTGCCTTTGATGAATGTTGCTGCCAGAGATTATTGTGTGAACGACGGGTGTTCGTGGTGGTTGGAGTGCGAATGCGTTGCGGTGCGTTGCGTGTTGTCGAGAAAAAACCAATCGAGGCCGAGGTCGACGAGACGGAAAACGCGCGAGATAAAAATCGGTCGGTGATAACAAATAGCGTGTGCAGCCGAAGTAGAATACAAGGATTAAAAGGAATAACCTTTTTGCTGTTTGTTGTTGATGGGATCGATCTTTTTTCCTTTTGCCCAGCTAGGGGTTTGGTTGGATTTTGGATTTTGGGAGATTTCTGCAGTTGTGTGCGGTCTAGTGGGTGTGTGGTGTGGTGCGTGGTCGAGGAGGGAGGGTATCTCGAGAGAAAGCCGAAGCGACGAAGGCGCGTTGTTGGGGACGTCTCGGTGGAGATGGTCCTGTCAATTTTTTTCAATCAACGAGGAAGACGGACGGTTGAACACAGCGACGACGGTGCCACACTAGTAGAGAGAACAACTGAGAATGGAGAATGAACAACTTTGGGACAACGACGACGATGACGACAAACAGCGACGACGACCGACGTCTTGCACGAATGGAGAGGAAGAGGAAAGAGGAAGGGGGTTGTTGCCGGACGAGGCTAGGAAAAGGAAGGGCGATCTAGATGGCGATGGAAAAAGAGGAAAAAGAGAGAAAAGATGAAGTGTCTGAAGACTGGAAAGAGCCGAGAGAGACGGGAACAGAGTGGGAAGTCAAAATCAAGAGTGCAGTTGACCTGTCGGGCGGACAGGTGGTGGCCTGGCCCTAGCTCACACAGCGCATCGGGGCATTCAATCACCCAGCAGGGCATCACGTTGGGAAACAGGGACAGTGGTGTCAGATTCTAGGGTGGCATTCTGGCCAGATGTGGGCTAGATGCCAGAGTCCTAGCCACCTGATTTAACAGGTCTTGGCAAATATGGGTTACCCTCAGAACCCTCTATACTAGAGCGCTCAAATCAATCACATAGAATATACAGAATTAATCAATTACTAATAAATTTAATAATTAACAATCTAATATACAACATATTAATATAACGATTAGCATATTTAAATAATAAATAATAACCAGCTTATAATATCCCTCTCAAAACCTACTGAAACGAAAGAAAACGTCGCTTACCTTAAAAATAGCAACGACTAATCGCAATAAGAGCCTATATTCTTGTTATAGGGCTAGAGCCCAGGGGTTAAGCTTGGTTGTTGCCAAGCCAGCCGTATGCAGCTGGCCTGCGCTAAGGCCAATATACTCCCTCTGGTTAGCTAGACCTACCCGACCGCTTAGCCTGCCTGGCCCGTGCGCCGCACTTTAAAACCTTGTCTCAATTGTACTCTTTTGATATAGTCTTTCTTTTCTACTTTCTTTATTAAATATAGCATTTTAACTTTATACGACTGCTTGCTATATAACCCTCTTGTAAACCTATTATATTATATTTAACCCTCTTTTTAAAACGACTTTCGTTACTTCTATCGTTATTCTTTCATAAGTACGCCTAAAAGAGCTCCCTACCGTCGCTCTCGTTCCTTAGCGATAAACACCCTATTTATAATACTTTAGTAATTACTTCCTTAAATTGTCTAGTCGACGAATTCTTAGGAACGATAACGATAATTTACTTTTTCTATCGAATAATTAATTATTGAGATTACCTTTCTTAAAGCCTCCCCTTCTTTCAATTTGCCTCCCTATAAACCAGTATTTCCTTACTTCGAAAAATTTTTAGAGAGTAAAGAAAAGTTCGAAACCTAGGTTTTAAATGTATAGGTTAAACTCTATATAGATAGGCCCGCTATTAGCGATTTAGAAGCGTATTTTTATTATTTACTCGCTTACTTATTACTTACTATTAAGAAACCGTTCATTACGTTCGCTATTACTCCTCGGTCTCCCTATAAATTTATTAATAAATTACGTTTTATATATAGGGATCCTAATGTTATTAAATATTTTAGTTAAAGGCTTTACCGATTTCGTTAGAAGTTAGGCGAATTTATAGTAGTTTTTTTCGCCTGCTTTGAGGAAGTATTTTATTGTATTCGTATTAGTTCTTTGTTAGAAGTAGCCAAAATCAACTAATTAACTTCGGCCTTGAACTATAATTGGAAATAGCGTCTCTTAGATCGAACCGACGTACTTAAATAGTATTTTCAATTATTTGAGTACTTTTGACATCTTAACGGTAATATTTTTCTTTTAGCCTCCTCCTTTTTATTTTACCTCTTTAAAAATATAATAGTAGCTTGGTTAATTATAATAACGATAGTAATATTATGGATACTTCTATTAATATATTTATAATAAGGATTACGCGGTTAGAACCAATTGAGAAATAAAAGAATAAGTGGGAAAAGGAGGGTAAGTATACGAATTATAGGAGTAGTTCCTACTAGTTTAAATAATATAAATAAAAAACGAGGATAAATAACATTCGAATGCGACTTAATAGGGGCTTAGACGGCTATAATAACGATAATTAAGAGGAGGAACTTTTAAATGAACGAGGTTTTATTAAAGACGACTTTGATGATATGGGGGTAGAAGAGTATTATTATTGTTAGTTAGTTTATTAAAGTAGATTATTTATTAGTTAGATAGGTAAGTTATAAAGTAGTACCTTTCACTGGTTAATTATATTTGGTAGTACTTATTTATAATATAATTGATAGAGGGAATAGGTATTATATTTCGTAGGTATAGGAATTATTAAGGCTATTCCTTAGCGAAGGAATAAAAGGGTAGTTAATTATTAGTAGAAGAAATAGAGCGGTACGAAAAATTGGATAATAGCTTTAATTTTGATTATTTCCATTACGGATCGTTAATGTAATACGGTAAAAGAGAGCCCTAGATCTGGGTAAAGTTTAGAAATGTCCCTTAATTTAGTTTTAATACTAGGTTATAGCGTAATTCTATAAGAGTAGGCGATAGGCGTATCGTTACCGATTCGGGTAGGAAGTAGGTAGTTGTATAGCGTTTGTTTGGAGGTTTAGTGTAGATATTCTTTTTAGTATTGATTTTCCCCCGTTTAGAGAGGTATTTGGTTGGGTGCGGTTATATTGGATTTTAGTTATTTTCGTATAATTAGTTGCGATGTATTTTGTGGGGTGGGCTGCAGTGTTTGGTGTTGTTTTTAAAGGGGGAGTAGGGGGGTAATATTATAAGGTTAGAGCCTAGGGGTTAAGCTTGGCTATTGTTAAGCTAGCTATATATAGTTAGCTGGTGTTAAAGCTAATATACCCGCGTTGGTTGGCTGGACCTACCCGACCGCTTAGCCTACCTAGCCCGTGCGCCGTACCTTAAAACCTTATTTTAATTGTACTCTTTTAGTGTAGTCTTCCTTTCCTGCTTTCCTTGTCAAATATAGCATTTCAACCTTATACGACTGCTCGCTGTGCAACCCTCTTATAGACCCGTTACAATTCTAATCAAAATATATCCCTAATACCCTCAAAAACTAATTCCAAAGAAAAGCCCAGAAGCCTTCCGTACTAAAATAGCCTTATCCTAATTACTACCCCTTAATTAAGGAAGCAAAGACTCATATTAATAATATAAAGGCGGAATTCGTATATTTCGACGGCGGTATCAATACCCAACTCGTTATTTAAAAAACGGGACTAACCATAAAGAACCTATTAAATACCGCAACCGAAACAAAATCGTAATCGACGCCTTTATTATTAAAAACGACCTTATTAATAAATAATTTTATAAACTAAAAATCAACCTCTATTCTAATAATAAAAAAGATTAGAAAGAGTTTATAGTTGGCGATAAGGCCGTACGTACTGAAATAAAATTACTAATTAATTACGAACTATAAAATAGAGTTATAAAAGAAAATAGGATACCGACGAATAGTATTAAAACTTTAAATAAATAATAAACTATAAAGTAATCGATGACTAAATTTAAGTAAAAAAATTATGCTATAAAACTATCGCTATTTTTATAAAGGAACCTAAAAATTAAATTAATTAGCTATAGACCTATTTTACTATTATAAATAAC